GAGTGAAGCCCGAGGCGGTGGATGAGTGAAGCCCGAGGCGGTGCTTGAGTGAAGCCCGAGGCGGTGGATGAGTGAAGCCCAAGGCGGTGCTTGAGCGAAGCCTCCCGACACCAGGCTTCACACCTCAAGTGATGGGTTTGGCTGGCTCTGCCAAGCTGCCACCTTTACCGCACTCACGAATTAAAAGTATTTTCGAGAGGCTCCAGAATTTATAATGGAATAAAGAAGAAGGATTGAGAATGTTTTGGTTAGGAGAGTGGAGCGCGGGTGCCGTGACAGGCAGAGGCCGGGGCGGGGGGGTACCGAACCCTGCCCCCACCACACCTCTCTACCCCACCACCAAACTCTCAATACCCTCTTCATGTATATGTGAGCAAACTCTGCAGCTTGCTTACCTCTACGAATATTGAGGAAGGGGGAGGGTTGGGGTCTCGTATAGCTATTATAATTAGTATTAATTTGGAACCCATTTTATATAGTTCGTTTATAATGAGTTCCTGAGCCCATTATATTCCCCCCCTAAACTTTTTTACTGCCACTCACACGATAGGTAAGGGGTCCGCTACTAATATGATGGGTGTGTGGTGCAAAATAAACGAGCTAAAAACACCACTCTATCCCAGGTATGAACCCATTCAATATCTCGACGTGTTCAAGGTAAACTTAACAATAAATACACCAGTGAGAACAATCCCGGCTCGTTATTAAATATATATCACTTAGTGCTTATTAACACCCATAATAAAGCTGCATGAATAAGTAATAAAGAACAACGCAGGGGGTTGTTAATGTGGCCTGGTCCTGTAGGTACACGAACGCGGGTTATAACTTCAGGCATCAAGTGCGTACATTGCAATGATTGGTGCTGGAAGTGCTACTGCTCATTAGTTAGCGCCATGGGCATCGTGTTATAAATTAGCAGTGATGCAAGCTTTGGCTGGGAGCGTGGCAGTTGCCCGCCTCCCTGTGGGTGGGAGCGAGGCAGCCGCCTACAGCGCTGTGGGTGGGAGGAGTCAGCCGGCCTGCAGCGCTGTGGGTGGGAGCGAGGCAGCCGCCTACAGCGCTGTGGGTGGGAGGAGTCAGCCGGCCAGCGCGCTGTGGGTGGGAGCGAGGCAGCCGCCTGCAGCGCTGTGGGTGGGAGGAGTCAGCCGGCCAGCGCGCTGTGGGTGGGAGCGAGGCAGCCGCCTGCAGCGCTGTGGGTGGGAGGAGTCAGCCGGCCAGCGCGCTGTGGGTGGGAGCGAGGCAACCGCCTGCAGCGCTGTGGGTGGGAGCGAGGCAACCGCCAGCTGCGCTGTGGGTGGGAGGAGTCAGCCGGCCGGAGCGCTGTGGGTGGGAGGAGTCAGCTGGACGACGCTCTGTGGGTGGGAACGAGGCAGCCGCCTGCAGCGCTGTGGGTGGGAGCGAGGCAGCCGCCCGCAGCGCTGTGGGTGTGGGAGAATCACTCACCGACTCTGTGGGTAGGAGCGAGGCGCCGCGCTGTGATATATCAGTAATCAGCCGATGACAAACATTGGCCTCACGAGGACCTGTTGAAGGAACTTGAGGACGACATGAAACAACCCAACAAGACATACAAGACAGGAGAGGGAAGTCATTGACAAAGTAGCACTCGAGACCTGAGAGGAGCAGTCCAGCCGAAGCCAGGGCGTCCAGAAGGCCGGTTTCCAGACTCCTGGACCTAGGGTTGCCGTCTTTATTAACCCCCTGGAAGTCGGACCGACGCCATTGACGGCCCTGCGCTCGAGTGCCCATGGAGACTCATCACTTTCAATTACTTCACCAGGGCTTTTATCCAGGAATGAAAACAAATGGAAGAATTTAAGCCCCTAGCGAAATATCCAATGAATCACGTCGCCTGGGTTGGCGGTGATGGACAGATCTAGCAGCAAGAGCCCAACAAACAAACGGACGGTGGCCAGGGAGCGGAACACCGCCGAGTGACAGCTTAACGGACAGGTAAGCTCAAACTCTCAGAGAAAAAGAACATCGAGATTATTGACACACTAAACACACCCGTTGCGAGTTGTGGAACGCGGCGAGGAAACTGGCAGGGGAAACATTACCAGCCCTCCAGAGCCCACACAGGTAACACAGACCCAAGGAGACCATGGCGGTAACGGAGACCAAAGGAGACCACGGCGGTAACGGAGACCCAAGGAGTCCACGGCGGTAACGGAGACCAAAGGAGACCACGGCGGTAACGGTGACCCAAGGAGACCACTCCGGTAACGGAGACCAAAGGAGACCACTCCGGTAACGGTGACCCAAGGAGACCACGGCGGTAACGGAGGCCCAAGGAGACCACAGCGGTAACGGAGACCTAAGATGACCATGGAAGTAACGATCATAAGAAGACCAAGCTAAACCCAAAGCTCTCATGGCTATTGTGGAGACCAGTGGTATGAGGAGAACATGACATTGCTCACAAGGAAGGTATATTAGCTTTGATGCAGTTTAGCATCAACGACAAGTCAGCAGGACGGAAAGACTGGTACACCCGAGTAGATGAAGACCCGGGAAATGCAGATCGCAGCACCGCCTAGTGCTGGCCCAGAGTAAAGGGAAATGTCAGTATGTTTGTGTCTGTTATTACGACTTTAGCTTTTCCTACTGTTGGTACTACTTCAACTACTATTACCACGGCTACTAACACTAACAGTACTACTTCCATCACTACCTCTACTGATATTGCTGCTGTTAGTAATAATAATATAGGTTTTTACTGGGTAATGCACACAGCAACCTTATAAGGGTATGTATTGACGCACAAAATGCTCCCGTGGAGGAATGCGAGTTGGTAAATATTCCTCAAGTTTGATGTGTAAAATGTACTGGCTGTGTGCGAAACCAAAATCTCATAATAAAACTCACTCTTCCTGTAGAAACTGGCCCAGTCTAAAATTCATACTTATAGGCGAGGGATTTTGTTTGTCTTAATCTGCATCAGGGATAGTTCAGTAGTTGTGTATGTGTGTACACACCTAATTGTGCCGGCGGGGGTTGAGCGTCGACTCTTTGGTCCGGCTTTGCAACTATCAATCAAGTGGTGTATAGGTCCCTGAGCCTATTGGGCCCTATTATAGCTACATTTAAAACTATGCATGGCGTCTGTCTCCACCACCTTAAGTCCTATTATTCAAATTCCATTTGTTCACTACTGAGCAAATTGCTTCTAATCACTATTTGGCTCATCTGGGTACTCAGTCTCCACCTGTATCCTCTTTTACAAGTACTACCTGTGTTAGTCTGTCATTCTCTACCCCTATCAATTCCCATTAGAATTTTGTAAGTGCAAATCATGTCTCCCCTAACTCTTCTGTCTTTCTACGATGTGAAATTTAATTCCAGTAGCAGTTCCTCCTAACTCATACCTCTCAATTCTGGGACCAGTCTGGTGGCATACCTTTGAATTTTCTCCAACTTCGTCTTGTGTTTTACTAGATGTGGACTCCCCGCTAGAGCCGCATACTATAGGATTGGTCTGACATATGTGATATACAATATTCTGAATAATTTTATACATAGGTTTCTAAAAGCAACTCTTATGTTGGCCAGCATCGCATATTCCGCAGAGGATATCCTTTTGATATTGAGGGCTTGAGGAGACAAGTTTGGTGTGATATCAACCCCAAGATCTCTGTCCGATTCTTGAAGGATTTAATATCCCATTTGGTACCGTTCTGGTTATGGTCAAGTTGAACTCGTAATCTACTATAAGACCAAAACGACAGCAGACTTAATTTTTATTTATTTATATTTACAAGAGTTCTTACATTCTTGCGAAGCCACTAACACGCATAGCGTTTCGGCCAAGTCCTAAATCCTAATTTTCCCTGGAATACGACCCGCCAAACCGTTTAACAACCAGATACACATTCACTCCTGGGTGAACAGTGGTTACAGTTAAGGATTGGATAATACATCATATACATTCTTGTTGTGTTTTATTCTCCTAAAACCCAGACTGATCATAAATTTCGGTAACCTAATCACCCAACTTGGCGCTCATGCTAAGAAGATTGTTAGACGCATCGAATGCTTGAATAGCAAATTCATCAGCGCCAGCACTGTAGTCTCTTCCAAACAAATATATATGCAAAGATAGATCAATAATCGCAGATCTATTAAATGCGGAATAACCACTAATTAAATAATTAATTTGCAAGAGAGTTTTCAACTTTCTTGGATCATTGTCAAAAACTTGACCTGAGAAGGTCGAAAGTGCTTCAGCAATTATTCTTATTTCATACATTATTTCATTATATATATATATATATATATATATATATATATATATATATATATATATATATATATATATATATATATATATATATATATATATATATAACGTATATATATTATTTAATTATAATATGTATATTCTTATTAAAATAAAGGTATAATTATTACAATAATTTCATTATCATCAGCACGCACTAGCTTGCCTGAATAATATCAGGAAATCACTTCCGCCTTTTACATGGAAAAAGCTTTTCTTTTTCCCATTACTATTGTGTGTTATGATTGTCTTTCATAGTATACATTGTTTACTTTTCTCCCGATATGGATTTAGTATTTATTCAATCAAATTATATCAAATTAACATCATATTTTTATTAATAACCAGCATATTGAATTAAATCTCCAGATTCTCCAGATATTGAATTAAATACCTTGTTTTATTATATAACAGTTACGATAATAAATAAAGCAGAATTATAACTTATTCTGGAATGTATTAATTGGGTAAAATAAAGGTAGATGCGTGGAGAGTGACGGCACATGATGGGAGGTGTGTGGATATCAGTACACCGTGCTGGGCCCCATTGTTTCCTTATCATTCACACCTCTCGTCCTCATTACCATACCGCTTCTGTTATCTCACCCACTAACTGTTAACTAAAATGTAAACAATATATGAACATGTTCACAACAACAACAATAACCAGAGATAAGACGAGTACCTGGATGGGTCCGTCCCCTGGGAGAGCCATTGTTCACCCGCCGATGACTGGGACATCAACGCTCTCAGCAGCTCAGTCGTCGCTAACTCATTTACTTCTGAACAGTGATTGTATTTTTCAAGTTCTAGTGAATACTGACCAAGAGGAAGTCAAGTTTTTCTGTGATATATAGAGATATTATGAGGTTATTTAGGCCTCTCTTCGTCACCATGAGTTCGAAGCGAAAAAAGACGACATTTGGGCTGATTATCGTGCTGCTGGTAGCCGCCTTGAAAGGTATGAAAGGCCTTCACTTGCTTTATGTGAAATGTAAAATGTATATTCTTCCACATTTTTTTTCTGTGAATGTAACCTTTATACTCTATATTTGAGGAATAATTTTTGCTTTTAAGGCTAAAGTAATACGCATTTATTTTGAGTCTTGGTAACCATCTTCTGTTTTCAAAACTGAAACTCGATTCCAAAGACTCAGCGATTCTTTGGGAACCTACCAACGGTAATCTTAATATCCCAAGAAATTCGGGTTCTTGGGTTACCTTGGGAGTGTTGACAATAATAATGAGTGTTACAATGACATGTGTATGTAACGAAGATAAAATCTGACTGGAAAAAATGTGATAATGAGGTTGCTTACTGTCCATGGTGTATTTACTATTTGTGTGTACTATTGTATCTGTATAATCGAGCTATTAGCTCTTGGTCCCCGCCTTTCTAGCCAATTTATTTTTCCTCTATTATGTCTACTACATATATTTCTCTTACACACGCGCACATACACACATGCCCAGGAAGCAACCCGTAGCATCTGTCTAATTCCCAGGTACCTATTTACTGCTAGGTGAACTGGGGCACCAGCGTGAAATAAATTCTGTCCATTTGCTTCTGCCTATGCCGGGGATCGAACCCGGGCCCTTAGGACTACGACCCCAGAGCGCTGTCCACTCAGCCGCGAGGCCCCTAGTACTCACCTAGTTGTGCTTGCAGGGAGTTGAGCTTCGGCTCTTTGGTCCCGTCTCTCAACCGTCAATCTACTGGTGTACAGATTCCTGAGCTTCTCGAGCTCTATTGTATTTGGGTACTGAGCCTCCACCTGTGTCCCCTTGTGCGTGTACCACCCGTGTTAAATAATCCATCCTTGTCTACCCTTTTCAATTCCCCTGAGAATTTTGTATGTGGTGATCATGATTCTCCAGCTCTTCTGGTCTTCCAGCGACGTGAGGTCTTTCACGCAGCCTTTCCTTATAACTCATGTCTCTTAGTTCTGTGACTAGCCTAGTGGCCTCTGAACTTTTTTCCAGCTTCCTCTTGTGCTTGACAAGGTACGGGGTCCATGCTGGGGCCGCATACTCCAGGGTGGGTCCAGGGGTGTGTGTGTGGGTGTGTTCTGGGGAAGCACAAGTTAGCAGTGAAGATGTTGCAAGGATAGAGATGGTGTGAATGACTGTGACGCCTGTGCTACACACGGACACCTCACTGGTCTGAGAAATAACTTATCATTATGTTTCTCGATGAATTCATACATCATTAATGTATAAATAGATCTATGCATAGTAAACACATACAAGTTTTATACAAAAAATCTGTTTGCACTGATTGAAATTTACATTATACGGAATACATAAAAATTTTTTATTTAGTATTAGTTTTACCTGTTAGAATTAAAGAAAAATAAGAAAATTTATGTCAGGTCAGGTTTCTAGTTTTTTTGTAGATTATATAAAAGTCTGTTTATCATGTTAATTATAACGAATATACTTTTAATACATAACATACGGCTTTCGAGAAGCTATAACTTTTTACAGAGACTCAGCTTATTTGCCATCTACGGCTTAATTAGCTTCTTTACAATTATGTAATTAATTTTTAATTATTTGACTACAAACATCGCAGTTTACATGAGGGTAACATAATATTGGAATACAATTCTTTATTCTTAACAGCGCGGGAGGTCGAAAGTCTCCAGGAGCCATCCACTGATGACTTGGCTTCCAGGCGACTAAGGCAGGTGGAGAGTGGGCCCGCTGCTTCCAGGTCCACGGCGTCCCCCGTCCTCTGGCACTGCTACTTCGACAGTGACATGTGTGGCCTGGTGCTGACGGGACGAGCCACGTGGTTGCTCACCACCTGGGCTAACACCACGCAACATAACCATGGTATTCAATACCCTCGTGTTGTGTACTTTAGTCAACACATGTTAGAGTTTAAGTATGAAAGAAATCCTGTGTTCGTGGTGGATTTAAAATTAATTGTCTTAGTGACTGGGGGATATTGAAAGACCATATTATCAAAATCATTCATTTGAGTATTTGACGTGTCCACAAGTGAAGAGAAAAGTAAACGAAAATGTGCTAGAGAACAGAGCCAAATGAACAAACATGCAATTAGTAACTATTTGAACAGTTCTTGTTGATTTGGCTCTGTACCTCGGTACATTAGATTTGTAATGTAACTATATCCACGAGGTTAAAGTACAAACCTTTAGTTTTAATTTTAGGAAATTTACACTAATTTCAGGTGAACCGTGATGAAATTACTGACCCTTTATGTAATATGTCCCGCCATTTTAGAGGATTACAAGTAATTAAACATTCGGCTGCTCAGCTGTTTCTTGGCCAATTGTGTGTCACTGCATCGTTAGTTCATGCACAGGAGTTATCTTGAGTTATCTTCAGATGATTTCGTGGCTTAGCGTCCCCGCGGCCCGGTCCTCGACCAGGCCTCCTTTTTGTCACACCCCCACCCCCCCCCCCACCCCAGGAAGCAGCCCGTAGCAGCTGTCTAACTCCCAGGTACCTATTTACTACTAGATGAACAGGTGCTAGGCGTCAGGGTGAAAGACACTCTGTCCAATTATTTCCGCCTCCACAGGGGATCGAACCCGAACCTCAGGACTACGAATCCCGAGCGCTGTCCACTCAGCTGTCAGGCCCCTTAGGAGGGGTAACACAAGGTCTTGCGTTGATTTTTGGTGTGGTATTTGTATATGGAGTCTTTTGCTGTCGTCTCTCAACAGGAGGAACAAAGAAGTGTCAATACCAGTAAGCAGGCCATCGTGAAACTGAAAAGTCAGAATATGTCGATCAGAAATATTACCTAAACATAAAGTGTACCAAAATCACCTGTTTGGTAAAGTGTCATGAGGCAAGAGCATAGTGGTGAGCGCGGCATTAACAAGCGACCTGGCAGACTACGAAGACCGAAGACCGAAGACCGTATATGCTATACGACATATATAACATAAGAATAGTGAAAATTAGAGAAGGCCTATTGGCTCTTGCGAGGCAGCTCCTATTTATTCCCAGCTAAATTCATTCATATACATGTCCAGCCTACGGATGAAAACATCCAGCGATACAAGGCCTATTTTGATTACCAGGTAATTTATTCGTAGGCTTCTCACAGGTGACAACACTGATGGAAACAATGTCTAGGTGGATGAGTACAAGTGTACCGTGGACTAACTCTGCGTACTCCTGTTTATACTCAAAACCTTTAATTATCTTCACATTTATACGTTAAACATCCAAAAACGGAAGTTAATTAATTGGTTAAATTTTTACGATGAACTTTGTAGATACCACTAAATTATTGTTTCTGTTTGTTTGCTGTCTATTTGCTTCTGAGCGACTGGCTGGCTGGCTGACTGGCTGGTTGGTTGGCTGGCTGGCTGGCTGGTTGGCAGGCTGGCTGGCTGGCTCTCTCTCTTTCTTTCAAAGCATAGTATGCAGTATTATGAACAGCTGAAGAACTATAGAAAAACCTCATGGAAAACAAAACCAACATTTCATACTTCCAAACACACATACAGACAAACACACTGACATATTTTATTTTATATATATATAGATAAGAACATGACGATTCATAATTTTTGGCCATAGGTAGTAAATAAAAAAATCGATTCTATGTGGTGTTTGAGCAGTCTTCTCAAGAATTGTGTTTCAGTAAATTCCATATATATTTATTTAAATCTAAAGAGATGGGATGCCCATCACCATTCAGAATCATTGACTACAGCATTCGTTATTATAATTTTTTTAACCATTATCACACAATTGGTAAGTTCAGTTCCAGTAGACACAAAATGGTTAATCATATTTCGTTTAATATATAAATCTTAGTATATGAATAATATCTAATTTCTGTTTTGTATATGTGACCAGACTTGTCGTGCCTGTCGATACAAGGACTAAGTGGGTGGAGCGGGAGGGCGGCGCTGCCCCAGCTGCGCGCCCGCGGCGCCCTCTGCTGCCTCTCCTTCTGGTACATGATAGAGTCCGCAGGCCGGGGCGACCTCTCCGTCCTCGTCACGTGAGTGCTCACCACAGTCGTTCTCTCTTACCACCTCCATCCATGTGTCATGTTTTTAAGATTCTATACCACGAGCAACAAGCAGCATTCATAACAGTATTATGATTGCACTTTCAGATTTGCCTTTTGATCTCATACTTTATAATATCAATATTTTGACGATTATTTTCAGGGATATGTATTTTTTACACTAGTTTACCTCTTTATATAGCTAACATAATCTCCGCCCCTAACATAATTACTGAGTAATTATAATATTCAGCTGAAACACTTGCTTGAATCAACAGTTCAACTTCACTAATGTTATATACGACTTTGTTATTATCTCAGAAATTTTACCGATACCTTTTATTATAAATGGCTTATTACTGCATTTAGTTTTGAGTTTATTTTTGTAATTTTGTTACTTAATTCTTGTTTAAATGTAACGGAAATATTTTTCCATTAAATAATCATTTACCTTATTGCTTAGCATATATTTTAAGATTTTAAACTGATGTGATTTTGTATCGCATTAATATATTTATATTACTATATATTGAGTATTTGATTGCGAAATAGATTTCCTATTTTGTTATATTATCATCATGAATCATGTAAAATCCCCATCACACAGGATGGTTAGTCATACAGAGGCATGTGATAAGTAGTCTGCACTGGCAGACTTTGGGTGCACTATGAGGATATCATCAACACAAGAGGGAGTAAGGCAGCAGTGGTAATAAAAGTCCCCATCTCGCAGGATGGTTAGCCATTCAGGGTCATATGTTTAGTAGCCTGCACTGGTAAATTTTAGGTGCAATATGAGGATATCTTCAAGAACACGAGAGTGAATAAAGTAATAGCAAAGCTCCAGGTACCCCATGCCAACTGGTCTGAATGGTCTAATAACTGGACATTCGGTGATGTAGTGTGGGAGATCATGCCACAGTAATCAAGTAATCACCAAAAATCTTTTTTTTTTTATTAAGTTATGAGGTACATCTGCATTAGTGCAGCTACCCTAGCAAAAATCAGTGATCAATAAATACCAAAACTCTACGGTAAACTCAACCCCAGATTTTATATCGGACCATGAAAATCGCCTGGGTTGGTATAGAGGCCAATATTTATTAAAACATAAGACTGAGGCCGACACCGACTGACCTATAACACTTACGTAGCTCCCACCCATGTTTCATGTGAAAATAAGCTTCGCTAAATAGTCCATACCAAATAAATATTGGTATATTATCCTTTATATTGTGTTCAGGAGGAGTGACGGAGGGGAGGAAAGCGTGTGGACTCGCAGCCAGCCCGGAGGCCTCACTTGGATCTTTGCCACTGTCAACGTCCCCGTCGACGGCTCCACAATGGTAAGATCTGTCATGGATGATGCACTCCTCGTAGACTCCTCGTAGCTGCAAGAAATGGGATTCATAAATTAGCATTTAAAAGCCTTATTTTCCATCCACTCAGACTTTTTCCGTATCACTGCTGCCCCTTTGTTAAATTTTATGATTACTCTCCACCAGTGTGCATGACGTTTGATTTCAACACGATAACCACCAAACTATTAGCGTAAATGAATACTTTAAAATCAAGTATGGAAGATTTATTTTTATATATGATAACTTATGTTCTGGGGGTGTACTTGGTGATAATTATGAGGGTGCTGTAGGTGGAGTTCGTGGGTGTACTTGGTGATAACAGCGAGGGCGTCATGGCTGTGGACGATGTCTTTATGCTGGCTGAGTCGTGCGACAGCGTCTTGCCAACCCTCGACCCCAACAGTAATGGTAAGTGTAGAGTTCTAGTCTCATGGTAACTTCTCCATAGCTGTTAACCAAAAATCAGTTATTCAGCACCATGAAAAAATAATAGTATCTGGATATACTGGGTCAAAGATTTACTGCTCAATTAATTTTGTCATTTCTTGGTAAGGTTGCGACTTTGAGGAGAGTGAGGCTTGCGGGTTCACCACCACAGGGAGCTGGGCTCGGGTCTTCCCTCGCCATGACAACAACACGCACCACGTCCCCGTAGACCACACTTACAACACTGGTTATGGTTCGTACTTCTCCACTTATAAACATTCGCAAATTAAATAACACTCTTAAATTGTATGTAGCTTCTTGAAATTTGGAGTAATACAAACCTGCCATTTCCTGCAGGTCACTACATGGAGGCGGCACTGGACCCGTCTAACACAGAAGGCGTTGTGGGCCACCTCATCTCCCCAAATATCTATCATTCCGAAGGTGTGCAGCAGTGCGCTTCCTTCTGGTACGTCCACAATGGCGCCACCAACATGGACTTGCTCTCTGTGTTAGTTAACATATCCGGAAGCCTAGACAACACGCTCTGGTATGAAAGAGGTGAGAATTAGGCCCAGTTTCCTGCTTGCAGTATTGCATTGTATGCCATCTATACATTTTGCTATAAACTGTCGTAATTCGGAGACTTTCGCGCGAGTCACTGGCTTGTGTCTTAATTAGGTGATAACAACATCTTTCGTGGCTTACTAGATGCTCAGAAAATATATATCAATCAGCCGACAGCATTTTTATAGCTCGGCTATCAGTCACACAAGAAATACTGAGTGGGATAGTATAGGTATATCTTATTATGGATCGACAAGATAGTAGTTTGTTGGGTTTTATGACGACAAACATCTTGTGCCATGAACGTTCACCCATATTTTCCCTATTACTTATGGTCGTCAGTCTTTTAGGAACCATCTTTGGAGCTTTATTTTGATCTTAGATTTACATATTTCTTTCTCTAACGTTATTATCCTGCGACTCTGATGGTGCTACATAGTCTCCCTGGCTTGGTGCCTTCTTTTAATAATTGCTTACTTTCTCTAACGTTATACTCGGTTGCGGGCCAAACTATAATTTGCTACGGCCTATTATAACAAAAACAATGAATGACTTTTATGCATCTTTGATTAATACTACTACAAAGAACAGCAATAAAACTGAGTTTGATAACGGTAACAAGTGTTATATAGAGAAGCGTAAAGCAGAGGCACCACCTTACACCCGCAGCCAGCTACGTTGACACATGGTTGAGTGCCTGGGTGCCTGTTCCTGCTGCTGCTGCTACGAAGGAGCTCCATCTGGTGTGGGAGGCATGGCAGAGCGCCAGGGAGGATCATGCCACTTTTGCAGTAGACGACATCACTATCGTTCCTCAGCCCTGTGATGGTATTGGTGAGTACCGCACACCATATAGTACCATTCTTACATTTACTATATCACTTAAATTTCAAGTTATTACATCACCATAACATTTCCATTTATACTCTCACCTTAACTATATTACTAATCTTCATTGATCATTAAATTGTCAACATATTTTAGTGAAAATACAATATTAGTCACCTGTCTCGCCTTCCCCAGGAACTTGCGACTTCTCGAGAGGTTCGTGCGGGTGGCAGAACGTGGTGGGTGTCGGCAACAGGTCGGACGACGCCGACTGGATCATCGGGTGCGGCGTCGACGGCCAGGACCTCGCCACTCCCGACGCCGACCACACCGGAGACGCTGAAGGTAAAGACGACCACAGAGGAAAGACCCGCTCTTTCTTTATGCTTTTGCTCTTTCCTCCTTGTTTTCTTCTTTATTACCCGTTTCCTTAATGTTTTTTGTTCGCCCGTTTGCTTAGTAACTCTTCATTTTTTAACACTATAATCGCATATGCAACCCGTATTCCCATATTTTTTCTAAGCATATCTCATACTTATCATTCATAATCATATTTCGCGAGAAAGTATATATTTACCGTATTCCGAGCGCCATTGCTGCTTCGTGGAGTAAACTGTGCGTCCCTCCCTACAGGGAAGTTCCTCTATGCGGACACTGCCTTCACCCAGAAGGGCCTGGCCATCCTCCAGAGCCAGATGTTAATCCCTGAACAGCACGACAACTTCTGCTTCCACTTCTGGTACTTCCTCCAGGTGAGTCAGAGTTTGTAGAGTACTTCCTCCAGGTGAGTCCGAACTTGTAGAGTACTTCCTCCAGGTGAGTCCGAGCTTGTAGAGTACTTCCTCCAGGTGAGTCCGAGCTTGTAGAGTACTTCCTCCAGGTGAGTCCGAGCTTGTAGAGTACTTCCTCCAGGTGAGTCCGAGCTTGTAGAGTACTTCCTCCAGATGAGTCAGAACCTACTGCAGTGTACTTCCTCCTAGAGAGTACAGCATTTATGTTACTTCCTACTGTTGAATTTATATCACATGGTATTTAATTCAGAAGAATCCCGCATTGTCAGTACTTCCAGATGGGTCGAGAACCCCTGGTACTTCCTCCAGGTTCGCCCCTTGTTCGTGGTACTTCCTCCAGAATAGTTCAGCGAGATGTGGAACAGAGAAATAAGAATAGTATTTACATCATTTAGATAGGAGACGTTATAATTTAAGAAGACTGAAAAAATGGTTGCATAGCTCATGTATATTTATATAATTGTTGTACTATAAAATATTATAAAGGTATCGACTAAGTTTATTTAGAAGAGTCACTGACAGTGGGAGGTACAGTTCCAAAAATAAGACTGAATTCTCTTGTGATTACTTATGACTTGTATGTAAATAAACCCTCATCATATATTTCAAAATAGAGTATGAAATTGCAGTATGGAAATATAATAATGTTGACACTAAATGCCCTTTTGTAATGTGCAGGGAACGGTGGATGACGCCCTGTGGATAAAGGTGGGAGACGGTAGCCAGGAGAGTGAGGTGTGGCTGGACACCGCCTCCGAGGGTCAGTGGATGGAGGGACAGGTTCACATCAATACTGACCAGCTCTTCATTTCAACATCCTATCAGGTAATATAGCCGAGCCCAAAGCTCATAAATAACGGCAACTCTTTAAATAAATTATTTAAACATAAATTTTGTTCAAGAATATAAGTGCACTAAGGGAATCAAGGATCAGGGGGCAGCCTGTCCTCCTACTAAGAACATCGCATTTCGCGCGTATGCATTACCCAAGGCCAAAATTAGTCGTATTTGAAAATGGAAGCGGCTCGCGAAAGTGACGTACTGTCCCGTTTTCTGTTTTAGGTCCTCTGGTAGGTTAGAAGAGGACACTTAACATTGATCGTTTTCTTGGTGTTGGAACCCCTTAAGAGGACGGGCTGCAAGGGACGTAACTCCTGTTTTTATGTCAGTTATTGTATTGGTAACACGATGACCATCCCTTTGCCTGCCTACTTACTCAGACTTTCGCTGTCACAACCATGCAATTTCATATATGGATTTTTTTTCTAATCTGCACACAGATCTTACTAGGCGCAATGCGAAACTCGGATTATGCCAAAATATCTGTGGACGACTTCACCTTCACTCGCTTCTCAGGGGAGTGCCCGCACCTGCCCACAGCCGCCACCGCAGCCCCCTCATCCTCCACCCTCACTCCACCTGGGGTAGGTCTATGCACTTTATTATGGGCCTACACACTTTATTGCTATGTTATCTTCAGTTTTCATCACAAGTGTCAGTATAGAGCTGTGTATTGTTGCTTTTCCGAACGCCAAAGTAATCATTTTAGTCTTGTAAACATTGTTATCTTCACATTAGTGTTTACTTACACAGCTACAGTTATCCATCCTCGCGTGGTGAACAGGTAGAGAGTAGATATATTATTATGAGTATCTAAAATAAAGTTTCTGTAGCTTAAATATGTATGACAAATTGTTTTTGATACACACTTCATATTACGTTAGTTTTGAGTTGTTTGATGTTTTGATATCTTACTACAAATAACAAGATCTTTAAATTCGTGGTTGACTATGTGTGTACATGAAGCTGTGAGTAGGTTCCTTGACTAAGTGTACATGTGTGTGTCCGGCAGAGTGTGACGTGCGACTTCAGCGAGGACGAGTGCGGGTGGGTGAACGTGGACGCCCGAGGCATTCACTGGCAACACAACAGTGAGTTGACCATCCTCTTATAACCAAGTCATCTGAAGGATACTATACACACACACACGTTAAATTAACATATTCCTTGTTTTGCGTTAAGTAGCGTCCTGCCGCACCAGCGCCTCGCTCAGTGTTTACCTATCTCTGACACAGATGAAGCAGGCGACATGGAGCTGGTGCTGGAGGGGACAGAGTCGAATCAGTACTACCTGGGAGTGATGAGAAGTCCGGTCTTCACCATAGCAGAGAGCACGAGCAGCTGCCTCTCACTCACCTGGTTCATGGTCACCCAATACGAAGCTCATTTCTCAGTCGTTATCCAAGAGTTAGTTCTGCTGCCTCTTGTCCCGCATCATATTCTGCAGTCATTATTATTATTTAATTATTATTAATCGTTAGTGTGATTAATTTCTGTGTATTATTATTATTATGAGTAGTAGTAGTAGTTGTTGTAGCCAAGCCACAAGAATATAAACTTCAAACTGTATTGACGGCTCTTGATAATACTTCCAGTTTGCCTTTAATGTTATTTTCTGGCTTTGTTGGTACTAGCGGGCTATTAATGGAGTACTCGGCTTTTCATATAATTCGTAAAATATTAATTACCAAGTTATTCATGTCAGTTTCGCTGCTACTTATTAAGACAAATAATGTTGCTATTCTTTACCACTGAACCGTTTTTATAAACTTTTCGGGACACTTTCAGTGAGTTTGGGCAAGATCTTGACTTTCTCATGAACGTCAACGATGGCTCAAATGACCAGTGGAAGTCGACCAACATGGACCTCTCTAAGGCTGGCTCCTTCAGGATAGCCATCAAGGGCACGGTCACCAGCCAGTGGCAGGGCTCCATGGCCTTCACCAGTGTGGAGCTGCTCGACAAGCCTTGCTCCGAAGGTACGCTGTACACACACACACGCACGCACACACGCACACACACACACACACACACACACACACACACACACACACACACACACACACACACACACACACACACACACACACACAATATATATATAACTGGGTACCTATTTGCTGCTAGGTGAACAGGTATATTAGGTGACAGGAAACTCGCCCAACCATTTCTATGAAAGTTATTATCTAAGACGCCAACATCTTGATGATTAACTGTTTTAATATTTACAACTATTTTTAGTAATATTATTATTATTATTATGTTTTAGAGGTGAAGGGTGGCGGGCTGTGGTGTGACTTCGAGACCCCGGAGGAGTGTGGCTTCCGCAACTCCCTGCCAGGGGACACCACCGTCTGGACGTGGGGCTCCAGCTCTCCTAACCTCGACCACACTCTCGACAGCCACTTGGGTGAGCCCACAGCAGGAGGCGCACATTACATGCGGTACAGTGCGTGCATATACGTATACACTCATTTCAGGCAATACTTAATTATTACCCGCTGTAGGGACACACGCGCGTGTGTGTGTGTACAGTTGTAGAGCCAGTAGTAGCAGTGGTTCCCATCCAGGTATCTTTAGTCTCAGTCTCCCTTTTCCAACAACTTTCTCACCTGTGGACACTTGTAGCCAGGTTCTCACCTGTGGACACTTGTAGCCAGGTTCTCACCTATGGACACTTGTAGCCAGGTTCTCACCTGTGGGCACTTGTAGCCAGGTTCTCACCTGTGGACACTTGTAGCCAGGTTCTTACCTGTGGACACTTGTAGCCAGGTTCTCACCTGTGGGCACTTGTAGCCAGGTTCTCACCTGTGGACACTTGTAGCCAGGTTCTCACCTGTGGGCACTTGTAGCCAGGTTCTCACCTGTGGACACTTGTAGCCAGGTTCTTACCTGTGGACACTTGTAGCCAGGTTCTCACCTGTGGACACTTGTAGCCAGGTTCTCACCTGTGGGCACTTGTAGCCAGGTTCTCACCTGTGGACACTTGTAGCCAGGTTCTCACCTGTGGACACTTGTAGCCAGGTTCTTACCTGTGGACACTTTTTTTTTTGAGATATATACAAGAGTTGTTACATTCTTGTACAGCCACTAGTACGCGTAGCGTTTCGGGCAGGTCCTTAATCCTAAGGTCCCTGGAATACGATCCCCTGCCGCAAAGAATCGTTTTTTCATCCAAGTACACATTTTACTGTTGCGTTAAACAGAGGCTACAGTTAAGGAATTGCGCCCAGTAAATCCTCCCCGGCCAGGATACGAACCCATGACATAGCGCTGTAGCCACATGACACTTGTAGCCAGGTTCTCACCTGTGGACACATGTAGCCAGGTTCTCACCTGTGAACCTCTACAGCAAACTAAATCGAGCAAGTAAAACTGACAGTAGCCATTGTTGCAACAAATACATACATTCGTGTCACAGGTCCTGCATTGCTATTCTCAGTTAAAACTGCACGTAAATAATAACAAGAGAAATTCAGTTCAACACCCCACTAATAAATGCTTCTTATTTTGTTGGAAAACAGTACGTAGTATTAGTCCTATGGACCCTTTGAAATTGTTCCATAGGCCGGTTGAGAACTACTGGCCTATAGTCACACACTCGCTTGCACAATTATATAGCTTATAGAGACACTTGCATACATCTTATTTGCTCAGTTATAGCCTACAGTATAGGAACACACCTGTTACACACAGATAGGGAACACAGAATTGACAGAATCAGTAAGACACACAGCTATAATCAACATCCACTGCTAACAGAGACCAATAAACTGTGTTTCCATTTCCATATCATCCCCCTCCATTCCAAACCTAGCAAGCACTCCAAAATTATCTACACTATCAAACATTAACATCCCTACATCCTTCCTCCGATACAGCAGGTCCTGACCCTTCCAGCGCCTGACAGCTGAGTGGATTCGTAGTCCTGAGGTTCCGGGTTCGATCCCCGGTGGAGGCGGAGACAAATGGGCAAAATGTTTCTTTCACCCTGATGCTCCTGTTACCTAGCAGTAAATAGGTACCTGGGAGTTAGACAGCTGCTACGGGCTGCTTCCTGGGGGTGTAACAAAAAGGAGGCCTAGTCGAGGATCGGGCCTTGGGGACGCTAAGCTCCGAAATCATCTCAAGATAACCTCAAGATAGATCCATGCATCCTCCTCCAGCAAGTTCTGGAGGAGGATGCCTACACCTTAATCCACTCACTACCCTATACCCTGGCTGAATATACATTGGGTGTTATGGGCTCCGACGATACCTTAAGAATGTCGCTAATATTCATGATCTATATGATAACCCTTATAGCTGTGTCTGTGTTTATATAGCCTAGTGAGAGGGAACTTTACACAAACAACTCTGACCCAGGTCACACGATGTACTTGGACGTGTCGACGGTGGGTAAAGGCAAGCTGGCCCACCTGGTGACCCCAGCCATCAGCCCCGAGGACCAGACCTTCTGCCTCACCTTCTGGTTCTACATGTTGGGTCAGGACGTGGCCACCCTCACGGTAAGGCCTCTCACCATGACCTTATACCTCTTTTCAATATATTTAATGAGTATATTTACTTTAAAAAAAGGTTTAAATTTAAAATTCGTTTAGCCTACAGATATTTTTTGTTAACAGATATACGCAGTACAGAACAAGACGCAAAGTCTGCCACTGTGGACTCAACACCAGTCCTTCCGGGAGGAGTGGCGAGGCGCCTCCGTCTCCACCTTCGTCAACCTTGACGCCAACTTTTCGGTGGGTTAATTGTCCTCACCCTTAATACAAATGGTGGGTTGTCCTCACCCCTCACATTTCTTAATACAAGACGGTGGGTTGTCTTCACCCCAAATTGTCCTTAATTTACTCTATAATCAAGATAAATAACATATGAAATACACACAAGACCTCCGACTTTAAACACTTGGCTAACACACTAAAGCAAAAATACTTATACACACACTCACGTTAACACAAAAATAAGGGTGTCACTGAATATCTACACTAAACATTACAACCTGTACACGAAGCATCTGAAGGCAGGCGTCGCGTTGAGGCCGTAAGATTTTACGGCCTTATTTAAAATGCCTTATTGCCTTATTTAAAAGCAAAACCAAAAAGTACCTAACTTCATCTATTTAGTTTCCTACACTGAGCTTTAAATTTGCTCTGTACCTAGTGTTACCCAATCTCCTAATTTTTATGTAATATCAAACAACCTTATCATTGTGTTCATTGCTGTCTTCTTTTATGTGCTAGCCATATGCTGTATTGTGACTACCAATTTTTTGTCAACTACCATTCAAGCTGTCATTGCAATCAATCTTATATTGTTTCTGCTGTATTGTGCCTACCAATTTGTTGTCAACTACCATTTTAAGCTGTCATTGCAATCAATCATAGCTACCTATGTGCTTTAATATACTGTACCTATAATTTTCTCTCATCTTTTTTTTCATTCCATGTAATCTGTTATCATTTTTTGTCTATAAATTTTGCAAGTATTTACCTCCTTAAAATTTTCTTAGATTAAGGACCTGCCCGAAACGCTGTGCGTGCTAGTGGCTTTACAAGACTGTAATTACCATATTTGTATCCTCACATTCCTTATGTACATTCTTGTATATGCATAAATAAATAAATAAATAAATAAATAAGATGTAATCCCTGAGCACCTGAGAGAGACTGATGAGATGACCTGTTGTTGTTAGAGATTCAGCTACTCGGAACAAATTCCAAGTAGCACGGGCTATGGTGAGCCCGTAACTTATCTGGCACAGGAGCTATGGTCAACGGCGTTTCGGAGATCAATATATAGTCCTTTAGGTGCAAATTTTTGTCAAGAGCTGTATCAAATCAAGCATATTTGTTACAGCATCGATGGTGCTTTACATTCCATGAGCTCTAGTTCCCCATATAAGTCTAACTGCCAGATAATTATAGCGAAGTTATATTCCAATTGAGACATCATTTATATGTGTGCTTTTTCTTCCCGTTTTCTATGATTGCCTTGTGTCTTTGACAAAGATTAGTAGGCACATTAAAGTCCATTGAAAGCTTTGATAGCTTGATTGATAATTTGATGAGCGACCGATGACCCAAAATTTCTTGTAAGTCATACGTGACACAAACAGGACTCCAGGTTCGACCTTGACGACGGGTGGACGTCTGGACGTCCTGTAACATCTGCCTGGGAGCCGCCGGATCTTGGTTCTATTTCGTGATTTTGGATTATGATACTGTTGTTTGGCATTCCAAACAGCAGTATCATATTGTAAATCATCATTTGCAGTCCCCGTGGTGTAGTTAGACACTCGCCTGGCGTTTCCCGAGCGCTTTGTCCTGGGTTCTGTAGCGAGTAGATTATCCCAATAATATGCATAGGTGATATACTAAACATAATAGATACCCTTAAAAAGCTTCATAGAAAACACCGACCTTATCTAACTTTGTTAGTATGTTAAGATAAGCATCTTATTGCTTCGTAATTACAATTATTACTTAACCTATACCTATAATAGGTTAAGTAACAATTGTAATTACGAAGCTATAAGATGCTTATCTTAACATACTAACCAGGTTAGGTAAGGTCGGTGTTTTCTATGAAGCTTTTTAAGGGTATCTATTATGTTTAGTATGTCACCTATGCACTTATTTAATAAGTCAATATTGACTTTACGAATTTGCGAGAACGGGTTGCAACATACTAGCTTCAAATGCATTGTTAATATTCCTGTCAACTTTTGGAGATGAATGAGGTGAGGTGTTGCCCGAGAATATAAGCAGCAGAATAGCAAATATTAACCAAATATTAACCGAATCTAAATGCTCCACCAGCGACCCAAGGACGCAACAATCATGCACATTCTTCTCGCCTGCTACATGGAGCTTGTCCACACACTGCCTGCATCTTTTGGTACTGGACTAGTAGCCTCCTTTGGACCAGGGAACAGTAGCCTAGTATTTTTTGTTGTATTGATTTTCTTTCATTCCCTGGCAGGGGGAGTCCTGTAGTCTTAAAGCGAGTCTTAAAAATGTATTGGGATATACATTAGTAGATTTCATAAATACTCTTTGGTAAGTTGGAGGAAACAATCATTTACTGTTTGTTATAAAAAATAATTATTTATATTTTACTTATTATACTATGAACTCTCAGGTGGTGTTTGAGGCATTCACTGGAAAGGACACGTGGGGATCCCTTGCTATTGATGATGTAATGATAACACCAGGATTCTGTCCTGACCCTGCCACTTGCACCTTCGATGATGGCCTCTGTCTTTGGACTCAGTCTTATAGTGATGACTTGGATTGGGAAGTTGTCAATGTGGCAGGAGACCTTCATGATCATACCAATGGTCAGTATTTGCTACTAGTGCTCACTGAAAAACAATAATTGTTTTATCTTGAATATATATAATATTCAGTATTTTATATTATTAGGAAACCAAGTTACACAATATTAATACAATCTGGAGTATGATTATCCCATTTTTACGATGATTATGATCTTTATCTTTTGCTAATGTAAGTACTGTATAGTCATGCTTGAGCTCTGGGTTTATTTTGAGGAATCACCTTACTTTTCATTCTTGACATATGTATCTTTACATATCACTTTGTTAAAGCTAAATGACTACAGCAATATTACGAATAATGATAATAGTAATAATTAAATGACTGAATTATTTATTATATAACTTGTTCATGAAATTGATGTTCACAGGACACATTGGCAATTATAGACGTTAGTATTCATGCTTAATACAATAATTCATTCTCCTCAAACAGAATCGGGGAATTTTCTGGCACTTAGGATTGACACATCAGCTTCCCCAGATAAATCAGCAGTACTAGAGTCACAGCCAGTGGAACTGCTGGAGGCAGCTTGCTTCTCCTTCTGGTGAGCCAAGTACCTTATACTGCAAAAAAAAAAAATATCCAGTATTGCATTATGTTGTAGAAAGTCTTATACAAGTATTATAAATATGCTTAGTAACAACAATTTATTAAATATTGATATATTAAGGCATGTCAACTTATAATTATAAAACTGTTCAATTTGAACACTAAGAGTGCACAATTTTTAATTAACTTATATGTCCACTGATATTTCATTAGATACTCAAATAAATTTGTTATAGTTTAAACTTTTTTCATGCATTTTTAGGGACTTTCTCTTTCTGACCTATTATCTTCAGACTTTATCTGTAAGCATAAATATTAACTTTATTCAGGCATACAGTAAATCTTAGAATTTACTTGTACTTCATGGACTTCATTGTCTGCTATGAATCATTTATTATTATTTACACTGCAGGGTGCAGCCTTTCTCGCTAAAACTTGTATTACACTGCCTGTTGATTTTCTGATATTACTTTCATCTCTATCTGTGCTTAATAAGTCTTTTTCACTTCCCTTTCAATAAGATGGATAAATTTGCACAAAGCGTTCTTTCACATTCATGATTTTAAGTGTGTTGTATGCTATTGGTGTAGTAGTTTGTAAACTGTTACAGACCACATTTCACATTTGAATACTGTACTGGTGTATGTCTTAGAAGCAGTCGTAGTCTCACCAACCCATTTCATCCTTCATACACAGTGGCCTTGTTTTGGCTTATATGTTTAATTTTAAGAGTTCAGTTAACTGTTACACTTAATCAAACATGTCTAGTGTAGATTCTGAGAATAATACACTTTCTATCAGTGAGAATAAATTATTTGGTTGTTACTGTTATAAAGTGTTGTGAACCTTTATGTTGTATTAATTAGAAATTACATAGAAAACTGGATATTTTGTACTGTCTGGTTCGGGTGCTGGGACTGCAAGGGCATCCCACTGATTTGAACATTTAATGAAAGTAGGATTGTGTATCCCTACTGAAGACTGTTTATGAATCCTCTCCCTAGTGGTTATAGTAGGATTTCTTTTGCAAGGTCATTGGATGCATGGGAGGAGGAAAGGAAGACTGGTAGAGTAATCTGGGAGGCCATGCAGACACCAAGGCCACCAAGTCTGATGGGAAGGGTCATATTATTTTAATGGCATTATATTTTGTCTTTGCTTCACATCATAGGCTATTGTTATCAATTGTCATATATACTGGTAATTAAAATCACATAGATACGAACACAACATGTGTCTCAATTATAACACATTTTGCTGAACTGTATCTCAAGGTATACAGTATTGCATTGCCAAACCTTCTTCTCTCTTTCAGGTATAATATGTGGGGATCAAATGTAGGACGCTTAAAGGTTGATAATAGTGGCCCTGACTTTACTAAGGTGACATTATGGGAGCTTGCAGGCCCACAGACCGAGGGCTCAGAATGGAAATATGCAACATTATCTGTCCCTCCTGCTGGTGCATTTAATATGGTAAGCTTATAACAACTGTCAACTTTGTAATCCTTTCAAGAATAGTTACATTAGGAATTTCTACATATTCTAGTATAGTACAGTGTACTTCATTGATTACTGTATATTATTTTCATTTACTTCTCTCTGATTTTAGTGATGACTCCTCATCATCAATAATCTTATTGATTAATAATAATCATCATCAATAATCACCATTGTCAGTAGTTATCAGGAGTCATCAATCAGTCATCAAATAAATGAAGACAGTACAATAAGTCAATTCATATAAGTTATTTTGTCTTTGGAGGGGCTGAATCACGGAAGATGGGTTACCTTCCCAATACTGTACACCACCCTTCATTGCAGGGAATGGGTGGCAGTTTTCAGTATTTTTGTGGATCACTGCATCCATACACCAATGATAATATTTTTTCTGGGCTTGTACTTTGCTGCTCCACAAGGTGTATGATCTAGCAACTATCATACAATCATTAAACAGTCAGGCAAACTTTTTCTGGCACTGATGGCCAGAAAAAAGTCCTCCAGAATTACACCTGGAGGACTTCAAATATAATATGAAGTCCTCCAGGATAATTGTCAGGTGCTTGGAAATTCTGGAGACAGCCAATCCAGCTATAACTAATGATGGTAGCTAATATTGGCTAGGCAGTTAATTGAGCTGTTGAGAAGTGCAACGTAGTGGTCATTTGTGATACCAAGTGTAGATTCGGTAGGTTTTGAGTCTATTGCTATATCTCTGACAGTCATTCTGGGCTGGATTAAGCTTTTCTCTATAATGCTCTCTTCGACCTTATATGGACCTTCAAGGATGTTTGAATAGATTTATGCAGTTTTAGTGCTGACTAGTGTCCTGCCTAACTGTTTATCAATGCTCTTCCTGACATCTGGTTTTTTAATCCAGTCAAACACAAACCAAAGTTCGAGAAAGATCAGAGGCATGCCATGAGACAAGTGTCAGAAGGCTAAGGCTTAGAAGGCTACTAAGAGGTATGAGTGAAGGCTACAGGAATTAATCCTCACATAGCTAGAAGACAGAAGATTTAGGGTAGAGATGATTACCATATACAATATTCTCGGGAATTCATAGGGCAGACAAGGACAGAGTATTTAACAGGGGTGGTACAGATACATTAGAAAGAATTTGTTCAACTTCAAATTAGAGAACAAATTTAATTTCTAAAAAGTGAGGTGGGGAGGCAGACTTCATACACAGTTTCATATGTAGATATGATATACTGTAGCTTAATAGGTGGAGGAACTGTTTACCAGTTGATTTAAAGTTGAGTGGCTGGACCAAAGAACTGAAGCTCGACCCTGTAAACACAATTAGGCAAGTACACCCTTGTAAATCTGCTTGTATTAAATGTGAAAGTTGTTAAATGCAGTAACGATATTGTATAGGCATTGGCCAAATACAATACAAAAATGCAGCACACTTATATTTATGTTAATAATAACTGTTTATTTATTTATTTATTTATTTATTTATTTATTTATGCATATACAAGAATGTACATAAGGAATGTGAGGATACAAATATGGTAATTACAGTCTTGTAAAGCCACTAGCACGCGCAGCGTTTCGGGCAGGCCCTTAATCTAAGAAAATTTTAAGGAGGTAAATACTTGCAAAATTTATAGACAAAAAAATGATAACAGATTACATGGAATGAAAAAAAAGAAGATGAGAGAAAATTATAGGTACAGTATATTAAAGCACATAGGTAGCTATGATTGATTGCAATGACAGCTTAAAATGGTAGTTGACAACAAATTGGTAGGCACAATACAGCAGAAACAATATAAGATTGATTGCAATGACAGCTTGGATGGTAGTTGACAAAAATTGGTAGTCACAATACAGCATATGGCTAGCACATAAAAGAAGACAGCAATGAACACAATTATAATAATTGTTTTAATTAAACTGTTTTAATTGTTAATTTTTTTGTTTATCTCAGATCACAGTAGAAGGGATAATAGGTAATATTGGAAATGGCACCATTGCTATAGATGGCATTGAACTGAAGAATGTGGAGACTTGTATCTTTGAACCTCCTGAAGCAGAAGTAGGCACACCAGCACCCATGACAACTACTCCTGTCCCAACACCATCTCCTGGATACAGTTTCTTCTGTGATTTTGAAGACTCAACTAATGCATTTTGTGACTGGCAGGATCTTTCTGACCAAGATTTCAAGTGGACCATCGTAAAGGTTAGATCTAAGTTTGTAGTACGTCATATACAGCACTGTACTTTTTAAGGTCACGTTCAATACAAAATTACACACGTTTCTATTAGGATGAATTATGTACTACACTGTCAGTAGTCAATGTCTGAGAAAGATTGAAATTGATTGCAAGGCAAGTACTGCTTCAAATATACAGTACTGTATTTGAAATAAATGAGAATAAAATTGTCAAACATGCTCTCGCATTAATCTGTTCTTTTCAATATGAGTATGAATATTATTTGCTATTATCATCTTAAATCATTTTCCCTCATTAGATGTTAAAATAATTGACCGATTGATACCAGTGATCTATCTCCCTTCTTTAAAATATAAAATTAAATATTCATATCTTACTTATTAAGCTACCTCATATGAAAATAGTTATGAGTAATTATCTAAGTCTAGTTACAGGATAAGAGCTACGCTCGTTGTATCTCATCTTCACAGTACTCTTTGTCATATGATACTTTGAAGCTACTGATGGTTTTAGCATCTACCACTTTCTCACTTAGCGTGTTCCAACCATCTACCACTGTATTAAAGAAACATTCAAATATTTTGTTTGCCCCTTTGTTTCCTTAGCTTGAATCTGTTACCTCGTGTTCTTGAAGTTGCAGGTTTCAGGAATTCCTTTTTATCAATTTTCTCTAGTCTTATTATTGTTTTGTACATAGTGATCATATCACCTCAATTCCTTCTATCTTCAGGCTTTGGTATAGTACAAGAATGTAACAACTCTTGTATATATCTCAAAAAAAAAAAAAAAAAAACTATAAACTGCTAGTTTACAGCCTAGAGTGTGTCTTGTTATTCTGGAATAATGATAATTTGTTGTGGTAATTTGTTTCATAATTTTCTGTATTTATAAAGATCTTTTCATTCCTTTAATTTTTCACCAAAACTTTATCATAAACAATTTGTTTTACATTTGAAATTATACTGAATCCTTGTAAGTTGCACAATCAAACATAATATCAAAGACTAAAAAAATTCTACCTGGATAAGGCTCTGGGAATTCTACTTTCCAACCCGGCTCAAGGCCAGGCTTGACTTGAGAGAGCTATGTCCAACAGGCTGTTGCTTGGAGCGGCCCGCAGGCCCACATATCCACCACAGCCCGGTTGGTCCAGCACTTCTTGAAGAAAACTATCCAGTTTTCTCTTGAAGATGTCCATGTTTGTTCTGGCAATATTTCTGGCTTGTTGGGAATATGCTGAACAACTGTGGACCTCTGATGTGTATACAGTGTTCTCTGATTCTGCCTATGACACTTTTTATTAAATAACTACATAATAATTTTTTAAAATAGATATTTTTCCTTGGCAGGGTGCTCTGAATATAGAAGGCATAGGTCCAGTGGGAGATCATACCACAGGCTCTGGACACTATTCCACTACTTTCCGGAATGCTGATGCATTGGTTGAAGTTGTGTCTGTCCTGGCGAGCCCTAGCATAGAAAGTACTCAGATTAAGTGCTTTGTCTTCTGGTACTTCCTATGGGGAGACACTGTCACACTCACAGTGAGTAATTATGCTTCTTTTATTCTAGACCAAGTAACTGTAAGATTGATGAGAAATATGGAGAACCTGCATGAGAAGATGTAGTTGAATACCTGGATTTTACCTGGGGGGGGGGTAGGTTCTGGTAGTTCAACTCACCAAGCCAAGCCTGGCCTGGGGAATTGATATCTGATACCAGTCTCTCACAAGCTTAACTTGTGAGAGATTATTCCAACAGACTGTTGCTTGGAGTGGCCTGTAGGCCATATATCCACTACAAACCTGTTGGTCCAGCATTTCTTGCAGGGAACTGTCTAATTTTTTTTTTTTTTTTTTTTTTAAAAACTTTACTTTTGTTCTGACAAAATTTCTTATATTTGCTGGGATGATTATGAACAACCATGACACTCTGATGCTCATACAGTATTCTCTGATTATGCATGTGGCACCTCTACTCTTCACTGGCTCTATTCTGCATTTTCTGCTGTATCGTTCACTCCAGGTAAGGTAAAGCAGTTATCAAGAGAAAGCACTAAGCCATTATGAATATATAGCACTTGGAAGGGATATGAAGACAAGGATCTGAAATGGGAAGGAGGAAAAGAATGGTGCCCAACCACTTGGATGGTCAGGGATTGAATGCCAACCTGCAAGAAGCGAGATTGTCACTCTACCGTACATTCTAAGTGGTTTTATTTTATTAAAATTTTAAGTCTAACATAAGACTTAAAGCTCCCACATAGGTATACAGGGCTCACACCTGCTTCCTCAGGACACCAGTTAACAGACACCATATTGGAAAAAATCGTGGGCATTTCCTCCCGAGTATAAAGGCCTCAGTACTACGATGGCAATGATGGATCGATGAATCGATGTTCTACATGTTTTATTGTAGAAATTTTTGAAACTACTGTACACACTACTGTATAATATAAAAACAAAAAAAAAAAAGTAAAAAACAAATCAATGACACTGAAATAAATCACTATAAATATATTTGCGCCGTGAGGCACCATGCGGCCTCCTCAGGGCATCTGATTCACAAATGTTTGTGAATCTCTGATGACATCACTCCATCTTAGTCAAAATAGGTAAAAAGATTTTTAAATGTTTTCCCCTTGATCAGGGAATGCATTTTAACAATACAGTATTAGAAATAATTTTTTTTATCATATTTAGTTTTCTTGCTTAACAAAGGGTTGTCATATAAAACAGGTGTGTCATTCAGGGGTTAATGTAGAGCTAAAGTTAATTGCACTTAGTAAAGTGGTAAAGATAACTTTTCTTCAATATCCATTGTCTTCTCCAACAGATGAAAGTGAATGCAGTCAACAACTGGAGTAGGAAAGGCAGTCAAGGTAACAAGTGGGTGCCAGCTAAGGTGGACATCAATACTAAAAACCAAAGCTTGGAACTAATCCTGGAAGCTGTTCTTGGGGAAGATCATGAAGACTCTTACGTCTCTCTTGATGACACATATTACTACAATGTCACCTGTGAAAATGTAGATGTTAGTAAACTGGACATTTATTGGAATATTAATGTGGATTTTCACAATTATTATGACTCACATTTTTCACCATCATGGGTATAGAAGGCAAAGACCTGTCAAAATTCATAAGAGGTCCAGAAAAATTTGAGTTTATTATATTATACAAAATTTAATAAATAACTTTCCTATTAAAAGAAATACAAAAATGGACTCTGTATCAGTAAAATATAGCTATAAATGTATAATTAGCCCTTTAACATTTCTTATATACTGTACACCTAACCTGCTCAAGTTGATAAAGTGATCTCATTGGTCCCTCTATTTTGAATGTGATTAATATGGTTAGGAAAACCCCCTCTAACTCTTATAATTATTAGAGCACTATGCAAACATACACCAAGCTGTACCAGATAATTTGTTAATGAATCAATGCAGTAAGTATATTTTGATTAATTTGGGTTTTCCCATAAAAAATTAATTCTAAAGCAGCCCTGAAGCTGATTTCTTGAAAAGATGATGAAACGTTTAGGAGGCAGCTTCGATAATTGAGTTTATTCTGCATTTCAGTTGTGTGTCTCATGTGCATTTTAGATCTAAATATTTCAAAGTGCAGAATTGTGGACACAAGTTTTCCAAATTAGTCTTCTATTATAAGTGACTGGCTTCTAGACCTTTTTGACAAACTTATAATTATCAGTAATCATAAAGATTAAGATAAAGCTTTATAAAATCCTCATTGATTAATGTTTACAGGTTGGCACCAGGACTGAGCGCCAGTGTGATTTTGAAGAGGCTGACTTATGTGACTGGGGACAGGTGATTGAGGAAGATAATGCTAATTGGGACTGGGTTAATGGCTCTCAAGGAGGTAAGTAAATAAACAGTTAAATTTAATATAATACAGCATAAGTTTTTTTTAGTTCAGTGTAAAGATGGAGGGGGTTCCTTACAGTTATGTAACTAGCTGTACCCGGCCACGCGTTGCTGTGGCTGAGCAACGCATGTGCATTGCTGAGCCACGACAACCTTCCGCTGTCTCCCAGTCGTCCCCACCATTCCCACCCTTCCCCGTCCTGTCATCCTCCCAACCATTCCTCACTTCCCTGTCCCCTCGTCCTCCCAACCATTCCCCACTCCCCCGTCCCCTCATCCTCCCCACAATTCCCCCCTCCCCCGTTCCTTGGTCCTCCCCAATATTCCCCACTCCAATATCCCCTCGTCCTCCTAACCATTCCCCACTCCACTGACCCTTTGTCCTCCCCACCATCTCCCACTCCCCCGTCCCCTTATCCTCTCTATCTTCTCTCCCCTCCCCCATCCCCTCATTCTCCCCACCATCCCCAACTCCCCTGTTCCCTTGTCCTCCCCACCATTCTCCATTCCCCTGTCCCCTCATCCCTCGTCCTCCCCACGATTCACCCCTCTCTTGTTCTCTTATCCTCTCATCCATTTCCCACTCCCCTATCCCCTCATGTCCCCACCACTCCCCCTCCCCACCATCCACCACTCCACCGTTCCCTCGTCCTCCCAAGCATTCCTCATTCCACCGTCCCCTCGTCCTCCCAAGCATTCCTCATTCCACCGTCCCCTCGTCTTCCCCACTATTACCCCCTCCCCTGTCCCCTCGTCCTCCCCACCATTATCCTCTCCCCTGTCCCCTCGTCCTCCCCACCATCCCCCACTCCCATCCCTTCCTCCTCCCCACCATTACCCACTTCCTCGTTGGATGCATTCCCAAATGATGTGATGTTCCCGTCAGAAAATTGGGAACATCAAATGATCTGATGATCCTATCACTGAAAAATAAGAACAGTTAAAAAAAAGAAAAACAATGAAAAATGAAAAATAAATTATACTCACAAAATGAACGGTATGGTAAACAACACAGCTCAATTCCAAGGCAATGTCACACAAAATAATTAAATCAAAATGAAAATAAATTGAAGTCTATGAAAATTCAATTTATCAATGCAATTGGAAACATTGAAATGGAATCGTAACATATTTAGTATAGCGTCGTGTTGCTCTTACATGCAACAGATGATGCCGTTTTTTAAAAAAGAACATGATTTTACCTGTCACAGGTGTGGCATCTATACTTACCCAAACAAAATGAACGGTATGGTAAACAACAAAGCTGAATTCCAACACAATGTCACAAAAAATTAAATCAAAATGAAAATAAATTGAAATCTATGAAAATTCAATTTATCAATGCAATTGGAAACATTGAAATGTATTTTGTAACATATGTAGTATAGCATGTGTTGCTCTTACATGCAACAGATGGCGCTGTTCTTCAAGAATAGCATGTTTTTACCTGTCACAGATGTGGCATCTATATAGTAGATATATAAAAACACGCGCGTATTCGAATGGAACGTTGTGTCAAAATTTCAAAGCTATCGGTGAAGAACTTTCGGAGATTACAATGTGTGTTGATCTTATGTCCAACAGATGGCGCTGTTTTAAAAAAAAAGCATGTTTTTTTTCTGTCGCAGGTGAGGTATATATATAGTAGGTATATAGAAACACTCGCCTATTCGAATGCAACGTTGTGTCAAAATTTCAAAGCAATCGGTAAAGAGGTTTCGAAGATTTCCCTCACATGAAAAACAGTTTTTCAAAGGAAGCATGTTTTTTCCTGTCACAGACTTGACATCTATATATTATGTATATAAAAACCCGCTCGGATGCAAATGGAATGTTGTGTGAAAATTTCAAAGCAATTGGTGAAGAACTTTCGGAGATTAGCGATTTTGAACAAACTAACATTTCCATTTTTATTTATAAAGATGTATAGTTAAGGAGCACTTTAAAAGTAAAAGAAACTATTTTGAATTGAAAGATTTAAAGAAGCCATTTAACTGCATGCATTACATGTACATTATTTAGACACATGAGAGGTCATATACAACATATGCACATAGAAATGATTACACAGATCTCCATGGTGAGGAGAGAGGGAATTATCAGGAGACAGTGCCAAGAGAGAAAACTGAGGTAAACCTCTCACAACAATGAGGTTGGCACCACAAACTCTCACTCCTCAAGAACCAGGCCTGGGAAATGGAGTGGAGTGGACATGAGGGGCTCAAGAGGAGCAAAGCTTAGCTACCCGAAAGTGCGGGAAAGTTCCTTTACATTACACTAAAATAAACATGCTCTCTCATACGCACCTTGAGATACTTATAAACAATGACAATAAAATAAAAATAGCAGTAAAATGAAACTAATTAAAATTAATAGCCAGTCATTACATTGGAAAGCATAAAAACAGCAGTATATTGCCTAAAGCCACATGTAGTGTTTCGGGCATAATGTGTGAAAATGCTTAAAAGACGTAAAACTAAATGAGATAAAAAATAATAATGAATTGAATTAGAGAAAGAGAAAGTTAAATGACAATTATTACACGATGAATGGAACAGCGACAATTTTAGCAGAACAACAGATAGTAATTTAACAGAAAAAAAAAGAATACTATTTTTTATTCAGTTTTTAAATTTTTACGCAGCAGATAACAGCAGCAGTACAGGTTTAGTAATTTATGTTCAATAAGAGCAGAACATAGGTTGACATTAAAGTTGACATTTAGGAAGTTAGGACGTAAAAGGGAAACTAAGAAATATTTAATTAATATCATGAAACAAATAGAATTTACATTTAACTCCTCCAAAATAAGCTAATTTTGTGTTTGCTGTTATTGTAAATATTAAATACTATATCTGTACTGTTTCTAAAACTACAGTCTGTTCCTTTCATCATTATCACATATAATTCATTTTGTTGGCTTGTATCAAGGTCCTCCAAGATTGAATTTTTGACATTTCCCAGGATGCAAGCTGACAACAGTTGCTTAGCTCCCAGGTGCCTATTTAGTGCTAGGTAAACAAAGGTATTAGGTGAAAGGAAATATGCCCAACCATTTCTGTCCCAACTGGAAATGGAACCCTGAATTTCCATTGAACAAATCCACAAGGGCCGTGACAAGGGTTCGAACCTACGTCCGAGAGGATCCCAGACACGCCTTGATTTCTGTGTGGCCTGAATTTCCAGTTGTGAGTTGAGAACGAACGCAACTGTACCATGACAATTATACAGTAGATATTTGTGAGACGCAGTGGATTGCCATAATTTTTTTTTAGCTTATGAATGGCTTTTATTCAAAGAGTTGCCATATTTGCCAATCACAATACTGTGCCAAGACAATTATAGATATTTGTGAGATGCAGTGGATTGTCATAATTTTTGTTTAGCTTATGAATGGCTTTTATTCAAAGAGTTGCCAGATTTGCCAGTCACAATACTATATTTATAATGTTTCTTGTGTTATAAGTAACTCATTGGTTGCTTTACCAAGTTCTTTACTCTTAGGACTTAAAGGGAAGATATGGTTAGGAACACACCGGAATCATGTGTAAGATACTGAGTACAAAGTATGTATTATAAGTTTAACATATTTTTTATTTCTGCATTCAATGTATGCAGTTCAGAATTTTATAATACAATAATAAATAATGTATGCAGTAACCTTTAATGTATTACATATGTGAAATATTAACCTCCAAAGTATGCGAATTTTCAGCCAATATTTATCTGAATTTACGTGACATGTACTGTATTATCTTTCAGCTGCAGGAAGTGATCATTCATATAATGCACCCAATGGCCACTACCTGGAATTAACCTCAATCATGCAGGGATCAGGAACACAAAAAAAGGCTATGTTGCAGTTACCACCATTCCAGAATATGCCAGCAGGTGATTATTGCTTTCAGCTCTACTACATTCGCTTCGGTGGGGTCCGCATTGGCAACATCAGCATTTTGGTGAGTTGTTATGCTTTTCAATTATATTTAATTATTTTGTCAATTCAGTAATTATTTTTATGATAGGAATGCATTTCTTCACTCTCTCAAGTTAAAGGGGATTTCTGAAGTATGTCATAGAGAATCATCATCATCTTTATTTAAATTCTCACTTTCACAGGTAGGAAAGTATTCTCATGTTAAGAAAATGCTTTCATAATATATTCATTGCTGTTCTTTTTTGTGTTCATCATCACGTGCATGTGATGATATCCTTTCTAACACTAATGCATCTTATTTAACCATCTCCTTTTTAAACAAACTTTGTGCTTTTTTTGTCACCTTCTCATCATACATTTACTCCCAGTCTATAATAATTAATAATAATATCTGAAAACAATGCCTATATGCTATGTATTGCACAATATGTAAACTTTTAAGACTTTAAGTAATACTCCTTAAACTGACTTTGCAAAAAAAATTATCCCTGATCAAGGCCTGCAAGACTTTGGGTGGGTGGTATTCCCAGCCCAACAGGCAGTGTAATGGAGATAGTAGGGATGATTGTTTCCCTGAAGCAGGGGCAATGAACAACCTTTGAATTCTCACAAGGCGAGAGCAGGTTTGGAAGAAGTAACCAATGTACGACTGAGCCCACAGGTGTTTTCCAGGGCCTGTAGGATGAATTAGCCCTACGGGAATCCCAGGCACTGAGGCTAGCTAAGCTGGTAGAACCCTGTCAGGTAGCAGGCAAACTAACCACCAGTAACAGTTATGAAACCTCGAGGGCAACAGAGGACGACTACCAACACATCCTAGGCTTGCCTAATAAGAAGCTAAGCAGACCTCCTCTGTCTAAACAAGGCGAGAATGAAAATATAATGAAAACAAAACCCCCCGAAGATACACAACAAACAAACTGGCAATCAGTGAGAAACATTGGCTACTGCGTTGAAGTAAAGCTAGCTGCGCCAGCCACAGTGCACCCCCACCCAGCCAGTAACACACTCCTACCCGGGGCAAAACAGAAAGCCTTAGACCCCCGACATACCCCAAGGGCGAAGATAACATCAAGCGATGAAGTCCTCAAACGAGGAGTGATTCCAGATCACCCCAGGGAAGGTCACCTTATAGGGAAGGTACTGCCCCAGGGAAGGTCACCCTACTAGGGAAGGTACGCCCCAGGGACAGTACTGCCCTGACACGCAAAGGTAGTACTCACAGAGCACCTAGGGAAAATCACCCTAGGCGCATGCTGTGCTCCTGTACTCTAAGACACCTGACAACCACATCATACACTGCTGGAACAGCCACATAGGGCAAATTTCTGGAACAGGATCTTGAGGTCAGAGGTGAGTGATTTGACCACCAGCACATCAGTTCAAGCACTGGAGTGGTGGCTACTGGCTCCCCCTTCCTCCCTAATGGTGGGGGTAGGTGGGTAATGCTAACAAGTAGGAGTGCTTGTTGCATGAAGTATTGCTGTTGGGTTTCTTGCTAGGAGAGTTATTTTGATCTTCTCAGATGTAGATTGCACAAGTTAACCCAGACAGTGGACTGTTTTGATTTGCCTATCTTTCTGGATCATCAGTCACCTTTCCCAGTCGATTCCTTTCCTTTCCCAGTCGATAGCAATTGTGACATACTTTAAAATGTAAAGTTTAAATGTAAATGTAAATGTACTTTTAAATTAAATCATGCCCCCCCCCCTCCCCAGAGAGGCCATTGCTCCCTGCCCCTTTCTGAGGGGGCCAGGTTCTGGCTCGTGGTCCCCGGTAGGAATAAGAACTCCTGTGACTGATGATCTCAAACTAATATAGCACATACCAATTCGGATAGCTTCAGGGAGCCGACAGGGCTCCCCACAGAAAAGTATAAAAATAAGAGCATTGACATGCTTAGCCATAGCCATTTATCTGCACATATATCATAGTTTGCATGTATATATCCCCATGGTATGCATTGCATATTTCATAATGTCTTTATTTTCATTTTTAGGTGGAATTTGCAGGAATCATTACACCAATTCTGGAGTTGAATGATAAAGAAGGTACTATGAACTGGACACTTATACAGCAGACTTACAAAAATAATGCACATCTTGCCACTGTTGGATTTGTTGTAAGTGGTGAAGTGGGCGCAGCTTCAGCAGATGCTGGCGAGTCTGTGATAGCAATAGATGACTACTCCTTTACTACCACTGCCTGTCCACAGGTGGGGCCACTTATAAAGCAGATATTTAATTACAAAACTTTATCTCATAATGACCCATTTATATATGATATGGATATTGTGTTAGGCACAGTAACCTGGTTTACTCTAGCTAACTATATGTATTTGGAGGTGCTACACATACAGGGTTTTATATGGTAAAATTACTCCACAGCCAGGATCTTGCACTTTTGAAGATGCTCACATGTGCATGTGGCATGTGGAGATGTCTGAGGATGTTGTATGGCAGCTAACTGATGGACGAGAGAGCCATAGTAATGGTCCAAAAGTTGACCACACCACCAATACCTCTTCAGGTCAGTTCTAGCTATTCTAGCTGCTAGGCTTTGCTGTTTTGTAGTATACTCTCACCAACAATCTTTAATTTATTTATTTCTGATCAGTTTATTAATATTTCTAGTGGCTCGGCAACTCCCCAAGTACTTATCACAGTGAGCAACTGAGGCCTCCACCAGAAAAGGCTGTTTCACTTCATTCAGTGCTTGATTTTTAAATACTATTTAGCAATAAATATTATATAGTATGCACAGTTGGCATCCTCCTCGACTCACAATCAGGGATCCTGGGTTTGATTCCCAGGCAGAAATGTTTCCTTTCACCTAATGCCTCTCTTCACCGAGCAGTAAATATAGGTGCCTGGGAGTTAGGCAACTGTTGTGGGTTGCATCCTGGGGAAAGGTTATTAGTAGTTCAACCTAGGTAGGACCTCAATGCAAGACTTAAGTATATATATACACAGTCTTCCTGTCCCTGACAACAGGAATTATATGAGGCATAAGAGTAGAGTTGACTGCGAGACAATGTGGCATTCTAAAACATAGTTTGCTTCCATGCCAATAAAAGTGAGATAATTAATTTATAACAGTGTCATAATATTTGCTACAACATATTTAGGGCATCATAGCATTATGGAAAAATAATACAGGAGTAAGGTGAAAGGCATAGTCACTGTGTGGTTATTTTTGCATGTTTGCATTTGATCTGCTTTTAGTGTTGCTTTTATCGTGTATTGCTGCTGTACTTTATTGCAGACTGCAAAATAAAACCACAATTCATAAGCAGTGATGTTTTTTCACCGGTAACATTCAGGAGTGCTCTAAAATGGGACTCTGTTTGAATGTACCCCCTGCTGTTACAGGTTTCCAGATGGATTGGATATGAGAGGATGCACTCTGGAACTCTTAGTACAATGGCAGACACATTGGAAATGTGATGCCAAAAAAACTTAAAAAATCAGAAAAATATTTAAATTTACTAATTTCCAGGTTACTTATGTATCAAAATGTGTAGAGAAATACACACAGAAATCACAATAGCATGATATATCAAATGAACAAATTCACAAGGGCCGTGATGAGGGTTTGAACTTATGCCCGGGATGATCCCAGACGCTGCCTTAGTCAGCTATGCCACGACATGGTCAAAAGAATTGCAATCGGGAGTTCTACTGACCTCACTCAGATCCTGCAGCCTCTCCGAGACACAAACCAGAGTTTTACACAATTCCAACAATTTGACCATGTTGTGGTGCAGTCGACTAAGGCAGCGTCTGGGATCATCCTGTGTGTAAGTTCAAACCCTCATCACGGCCCTTGTGGATTTGTTGTAAAGAAATATATTTAGTTGTTTGAAATTATAAAAACATAATAATTATGGCCATAAAATAGTGCAATTACTTAAAGATCTTTTTCTGCAATTATTTTTCATATAATTAGCTGGGATCTGGCACAAACTGATTGGTGTTAATAGATTTGCACTGCACTGCAGTGAACAAACATGATGCATTTATCACATATCTGATTGACAGATATCTCTGCCCACTCTGCTTGTCTGCTTCAGTCCTTCCTTCCCTTTCTCTTGTTAGAAGCCAATTAAATAATTATTTTACAGTAGCTGAGTTTTTATAGATGATGGCCTTTTGTAGCTCAGAGTTTACCTGGACTTCTGCCTAAAAATTGGGTATTGTATTTCATTTCATTCAATAGATTGTAAAGCAGGTTATTCTGTAATATAAAATTTGTGCTTTCTTTTCACTTCCCGTAACTTCTAACATAATTTCTTTCTGCTCAAATAGGTGGTTATGTAATGGTGGAAGATTCTGGTGAGCACGCTAACACAGCTACTGCCTTGGTCAGTTCCCACATACCAAATGATGTGTATGGATTTTGCTTCAGTTTTTTCTATTCTATGAGTGGAGATGATGAAGCTCGCCTGAAGATTTCATCACGAAGTGATGATGGCAAGAATATCATATGGTCTCTTACAGGGCAACAAGGCCCTGACTGGCTCTATGGACAGGTAGATAAGACACAACAAGTTACATAATGATTTAGGCTTTCTTTAAACTCTTCTCTCATGTAGACCTACCTGGAATAAATCAAAGCAAATAACTTTGTAGAACTTCCTTTTGTTTCCTATGGAATAAAATGAATATGATAAAATCAACAAAGCTCTTATGTTTATATTATTTGAAACTGATAGTTTTGCAGGATTATTATTAATTATTACACTAGTCTTAAATTGTAATGAGGTTTGAAAATCTGATTAAGTATTGCAAGTTGGTACAGTGTTGTATAGATACTGCACTAAGTTATTAGATGTTTTGCTATATTAAATGTAGAGATAGATATCAAGATACAAGAATGCTAAAAAGATATACTAAAAAGATAGATACAAGATTGTCAAACTTCCAGCCTCTGTACTCTCATAAACGATATGTACCTTCTTGTATATAAATAAATAAATAAATAAATAAATAAATAAATATAAATATTACTATTTCTATTAACTTCTCATATCGCAGTCTAATATTATTTATTGTAAAATTTAAGTAATCATTATTTATATCCTGATACAGTATATATAATATAATTATATTTATATTACAAACAACTCTTCCAGGTTGGCATTCCTGGCTCTACCAGGGGAGAATTTGAAATTGTTATTGAAGGGGTAACTGGGTCCTACTCCTCTGGCTGGATTGCCCTGGATGACCTGTTTACTTCTACTGGTGACTGTGTCACTCTACCCTCAGCGGCTACACCAACACCGTTACCTTCTACAACACCTAACCCACGTGAGTCTTCTCTTTCATATTATATATTATTGTATATTTCATATCAATTTTATCTTAGATATATATGTATTTATTTTAACGTGTTATGTTGGATTATAACACTAATGTAATATTAACATTTGTTTTCATTATATAGCTAGTGACATTTTCAACTGTGACTTCGAAGAAGATATGTGTTCAATGATCCAGGTTACATCGGACGATTTTGATTGGTTTTACCAACATGAAGAAGATGACTTTGAGCTTCCTCCTGGAGGATACATGCTAATGGATGCCACGGGACATAGCAATAAAGAGAAAGCTGTCATTAAAACTCCTGAGATTACTTATCTTGGCCTCCAGTGTATTAGTTTCAGGTAATTTCCTTAACCTATTTCATAATTACAGTTTTATAATTATTAGTAATACCCAGTGCTATCGTGGAAAAGAAAATATAAACACATTTGATGTTATATAATATGAACTTTGTTTCCTCGGGGTAAAAAAAAATAAAAAAAAATTATACAGTAAAGCATGGTATACCATTGATGTTCATTCTTGGTAGTGAAATGAATAGAGAAAGTTAGTTCTGGGAGTGGTTATTTTTACCAGAATTTATCATGGCCACTGTTCTATGCCCCAGACCCTATGCTCCCAGTATGTACAGTAGGCACTGTACTATGCCCTAGAGGGGAGCCGGTCGGCTCTGGACTTGTGATCCTGTGGTCCCGGGTTTGATCCCGGGCGCCAGCGAGAAACAATGGGCAGAGTTTCTTTCACCCTATGCCCCTGTTACCTAGCAGTAAAATAGGTACCTGGGTGTTAGTCAGCTGTCACGGGCTGCTTCCTGGGGTGGAGGCCTGGTTGAGGACCGGGCCGCGGGGACACTAAAGCCCCGAAATCATCTCAAGATAACCCTTCTCTACTGTTCTTCTTCCCGGGGTCAGCCCATTGGAGATCCTCTGGCCTTTTTTATAGTGGCATCACTGTGAGTAGATTAAGAAGCCACAGAGAGCTAGCTAGGTCCCTCCCAAAAATCAATGGTTGAATGTAGCGATGCCCTTTCTGGTAGGGCTCTAGGCCTATCAGGAAAATCTGCCCTGTTCCCTTCTTCACTATGGAGTAGTGGAGTTTTGTACTGTGGCTCCAGAGTGAAGGGGTATGCTGGTTGACACCTCAACTGACCTGGGCTGCCATTTGGTGGCAACAATGGCCATCACAGTCAGGTTATTTATTCTGCAAAAATAGTAATTTGCTTCGTTTACCTAAGTGTGCCTATTTTCCTTCAAGCATTCACTTGTTTTATGTGCCTGTGATTTCTGGTGTACTTTCCTAGTTTTATTGTTGAGACACTGCTTCTCTCGCCTCATAGTGAGCCAGATTCTGATCCTGGCCTTGCTATGCAACAGATATTAGGCCTGGTGTGTTGGGGTTAAGGCATTGTGGTACCAGAGATAAGCTTAGGGAGCCACTAGGGGTACATCAGAAGTGAGCATTTCATCACATTTAATGCTTTATTTATATATACTACAAATAAAGATGTATACTGGTGGTATAAATATTATTGAGAAAATCCGTAGGAGCTGTGATGATGGTTCGAACCTATGTGGTGGGTGTTACCATGCACACGCCCTAGTCAACTAGACCACAACATGGACCATGTTATGACCTAGTTGACTAGAGTGTGTGCGTGGGAACACCCACCGCATAGGTTCAAATCCTCATCACAGCTCCTACAGATTTTGTCATTGATACATCATGTTAGTGTGATTACTCTCTGATTATTATTATTATTATTATTACAGTGGAACCTCGGTTTTGGAATGCCCGTTTTCAAATTTTTCGGTTTTCAAGCTCGATTTCTTCAAAAAATGTGACTCGATGCTTGAGTTTCTTGATATACATATGGGCTGACCAAGCACATGGCGCACTTCAGTTTACCAGTGTCTACTGCCAAGTGATGACCTTGCTTTAATTCTTTGTGAGGAATTTCATTGTTTTTGTGCTTTTTTTGGTTACTGAACATAAAAGTTCTTATTATATATCATGCCATGGGTCCCAAGAAAGTCAGTGGTAAAGTTCAACCTAAGAAAATAGTTGTGAGGATGATGATCCTCACAACAAGAGGGAAAAACAAGTGATCATTCATAGTGAGACAATGTAATGTCTCACTACAGACAAGTGTTAAAACGTAGAGAAAAACAAGTGTCTGTAGACAGATTCTTAGTAAGACAAGCAAGCAGTGAGCTACAACCAGGTCCTAGTGGTATGCCTGCAGAATGTGAGAGAGAGTGTACCCCAGAAATATCATCACTGCTGTTATAATGGAAGGGGATGTCCCTTCCAAAAACTAACAACTCTTCTCCTCCCCCCTTCCTCACCATCTTCCATACCCCCAACAAGAATCATCAACAAAGGTAAGATATACTTCTACATACTGTAGTGCAAAATATAAATACTGTAGTATTATGTATAAATTGTAGTTTTATTATTATTATTAATATTATATAATAATAATAGTAATAATAACCGTTATAATAATAATTATAACAGTGATGACAAAAACAACAAACCAAGAGTTTAATTATGTCAAAACTACAATGCCACTTTTGACTTGCATTGTGTGTGCAGCGATGATGATTGATGTGGTGATGACTTATGGAGTGGTGGTAATGGTAATACAGTAGTGGCCAGTTTGTGGGGGTGACTATTAAAGAATGCAAGTGACTTACTCACTTATTTTATGTGAACCTATATTCTGTTAGTACTGAAGAAGTTAAAATAGAAAAGTATTGAATAAACTCAGGCTTCTGTTCTTCACTTTGTGTTTTCTTCACAACTTGCTGTACCTAATTAAAAGAACATTGGCTAAGCTATACAGTATCATGTTAGCCCAGCATTCTCGTACCATTAGGTACAGGATAGGTATCAACAAACCACAGAATTCACTAATCCACAATTTTTTTAGTTCCAGCTGTTTCAGATTAATTAAAGAAGCTCCTCTGTTTTTCATTAATGTAAAGCATTGAATAATAACTAATAAAAGGCCCTTGTATGTCTTTTTGCATGTACTAATAACTTATAAAAACCAACAGGTACCGGTTTATAGGATGTGAGTCTGGTGTGCTACTGATGTTCTTTAGTTTTCGTGAGACCCGTAGTGAGGCATTATGGCAGCGACACACCACCACAATACCTGATTGGATCTCTGCTAATATTGAGTTGAATGCTGGAGATGCCTACTCGGTATGTTATTAGAAATTCTGTACATCTAGATAGTGTCTCAAAAAATTTAAGTATTGTGTCAACAAATAATAAACTCTCTATATTTATGTTCCCACCTTCATGTAATAGTTTGCTGCTCTGTCAAGCTAGAATATGTGTATTACTATTATTTGTTTATTATTATTACTGTATAATTATTTTCATTAATAATTCTCAGCATTATAATTACTGTACTGTATTGTACTATTAAATATTAACATTATAGTTACAATTTTGGTATAATTAGATTTTTAATCAACTGATTTAATTTAATTAACAGCTAGAATGGGAAGCCCAAGTTGTTGGGGAAGATTCCCTCATTCTTTTGGATAACATTGTGATCACAGCAGAAGGATGTCCTGTCGAACGCCAGACTTGTAACTTCGAATACGAGAGTCAAACTGACTTATATTGTGGAGGTATGTTGAGGTTGGTGAACTTTCAGATAACAGCTTTCCACTGAACTGCATCAAGAACTTTGATAGGTGAGGAGCTGCTCCAGATAAAATAACAGTACTCTAGGCAAGGGTAGAGAGGGAGCTAACCAAAATGTAAGAGCAGTACTCTAGGCAAAGATAGAAGGGAAACTATCCAAGATATGAGAGCAGTACCCTAGACAAAGATTGAGGGAAACTAATCAAGATGCGAGACCAGTACTCTAGACAAAAGTAGAGGGGGAGCTAATCAAGATATTAGAGCAGTACTCTAGACAAAGTTAGACGGGGGGGGGGGGAGCTAACCAAGGTGTGAGAGCAGTACTCTAGGCCAGGATAGAAGGGGAGCTACCCAAGATGCAAAATTTGTACTCTAAACAAGGATAGCTGACACTTTTGTAAAGCTGAAATAACTAAGAATTTAAATATGCTTTGAATATGGACTTTATGGATGTACGCTTGGCAGTTGCTGAAATGTATGGCCTCCTTGACAGATTGAATGTGACTTGTGACACCTAAGATATTGATGGAAGGTTTGCAAATGCAGATTTTCTAAAAGGAGCTGGTAATCTGCCAGAATTTGCTCTAATGTAATTGGAAGAATCTGTATTTTATTGCAATAGATTTTTGACTCCATTTCAAGTACTTGAAATGAGATGTGGTGTAAATATAATTGATGAATAATAAAGAAAGAATAGACAATAGACAAGACTTTAGAACAACACAGTTAACAAAAAAGGCTACCTACAGAAGATGGAAGGTTGGAGATTAAAAATTTGTGCCATGCCTTGTATTGTACTAATATGTTCTTCAAAGGACATTGGGACAGAGGCTCTAAATAGATTTAAAAGTGACTAAAAATTGGTGCTTAAATTAGCAAATCTTTAATGTACAGTATTATACACCCTTCAACCCAAATGTTTCTGTTGCGAATATAATTATGCTGGTACTGTATGCCAGTATATGCAGTATATTGTACAACCCTGACCTGATGTCTTTCACTTTACACACAAGAAGGTGACCTATGTCTTGCAATGCTACAATGTGACCCACTTCATACTGCCCACCAGAACTGGACCTGCTTTAAGCATCATATTAGATTATGATCCGATTCTTACAATGCAAGGCCCCTCAACCACTTCATGCAGCACACTAGAAGCTGACTTGCTTCTTGAAATGGTAGAGCCTGACCCCTTTTATGCAACACTAGAAGCGGGCATGCTTCTTGCAATGCTAGAACAGGACCTGCTTCATGCAGCATATTAGAAGCTTCCCCACTTCTTACAGTGGTAGAACCTGACCTGTTTTATTAAGCATATTAGAAGCTGTCCTGCTTCATATAAAAAACTAAAAGCTGCCCCACTTCTTGCAATACTAGAACTTGATCAGCATCATGCAACATATTAGGAGCTGACCCACTCTATGCAACATTAGAAGATGACCCACTTCTTGCAGTGCTAGATCCTGACTCACTTTATGTAACATTAGGAGCTGACCAACTCTATGCAACATTAGAAGTTGACCCACTCTCTGCAACATTAGAAGCTGGCTGACTTCTTGTATTGCTAGAGTTATCCCACTTAACAGTCTTACAATGCTAGAACTTTACCCACTTCATACAGCATATCAGAAGCTGATTCTCCTCTTGTAACACATACAACCTTTAAGTGTATTCAGTTCCTTGAAACAATTGTTCTTCTCTCAGGATACCAGTCGGGTTCACCAACTGACTTCCAGTTCTTCCGCACCTATGCTGCCGAGTCTGCACACAAGTATTCCAGTGATGATCACACATACCAGTCTGCTTATGGTAGGATTTCAGTGTGTTGTCTTCTATTGTAAATGTATTATAGTGATGTTTCATATTGGCAATTTTGAGTCATAATTGACTTATATAAGATAAGTTATTAATGCTCATAATTTTTAATTCCTTATATAGGTTACTATGTTGTTCTTGACTTTGCGAAGGCTTCAACGGGTGGACAGGTAGCTACCATGGATGGCCCAAACATATTAGAAGATTCCAATTGCCTCACCTTTTGGTACCAGTTTAAAACTGTTGATACAACTGCTTTTCGAGCCATAACTAATGACACACAAGATATAATTTTCTCAGTAGAAGGTGAGTCTTGATGATTATTAAGGTATGGGGAAATTAAGTCATATTGGCTTTTACATACTTTTCTTTTAATAAAATTTTGAGAGAAAAAACTTATTGGCTTGGATGATTTATTAAACTCACTTGTAACCTCCCTGCACTACACCCCTGTTTATCGGTGACAACCCTCCTGTGCGCAAGAAAAAACTAATTCTTTTTAATATTGTTAAAATATATTTCCTGATCAGAGGAAAAAATCAATGTTACCATGGCTGTGAATGAGTGAAGAAATCTCACGATGACATCACCAATTCATGTTCACTCCTGCAGTGAGCGCCCCAGCAGTGTCTTCCGGTCCATTCAGTTCACAAGAGTTGCCACGATGATATTGTCGTTGAATTATTTATAATGTCTCTGACCTATTTAGCCATAACTTATTTCACTGATTTTGTTCACTAGGGTGTAACTTGCTGTTCTATATAATAAAATTATAGAACATTGATACATACAAATATATGCGTGTCACAAATACTGTATACACATTAAAATGTTTTATTTCACAATAAATTTCATATATATTCCTGAGGTTTTCTCACTATATAATCTCATTCACTCAATATATACATGTTTATGCTACATTACCTTTAGTTACCTTATGGTGATTTCGAGGAGCAACGTCTCCGTGGCCTGGTCTTAAACCAGGCCTCCTGGTTGGTGGTCTGGTCAACTAGGCTGTTAGATGTGGCTGCTCGCTTGATGTGAAATCTTTGTACTTCGCATTTGGTTCACTGAGGACATGCCTCACCTTCCACAGTCTGTCATCTGCATTCCACTTTTCACTATTTTCAAAATTAATGCACTTGAGAAGTAACAGATACCCGTTGTGAGACAGGTATTTTCTGAAAATAGGTGACGGGACCACAGAGTCTCTGTTCCAATAATCCTGGATAACATGTTTCACTGAATGTTTCATCATCATTCACAGGGCAAGAAACAAATAAAAGTTCAACTACAGTGGTGTCCGTCCAATGCTGCAGTTGTGAATGTGGTAATATGTCCTCAGTTCCAGTGAGTTCGGCAATATATCTGTTAATTTTCAGAACAATGTTCCATGATTGGTTCATGAGTGTATGCCATAAAATAGTCCATTTCACTCATGTCATCACCAGTTAATGGGAAAATTTCAGTAACCCCAACATCTGTATTGTCAAATTTTGGGATTTGTGGAACATAGTCCCCACCATCTCCCTACACAAGTACACCTGCTGTTCTGGAAGAGGCACCACCAACACCCCGGTGGATGTGGTGTTGGCAATTGCAAATGCAACAGGGATCTATTCATATGTCTATTGTCTGGTGAGAGGATGGAGTTTTGTTTGGAGAATTTTTTTTTACAGTAAAATATTTTAGCACCAACAAAACTATGTTGGCTAGAAGATGAAACTTATCTAATATAACAGTCTCCGTGGTGTAATGGTAAGACACTCGCCTGGCGTTCCGCGAGCGCTATGTCATGGGTTCGTTTCCTGGCCGGGGAGGATTTACTGGGCGCAATTCCTTAACTGTAGCCTCTGTTTAACGCAACAGTAAAATGTGTATTTGGATGAAAAAACGATTCTTCGCGGCAGGGGATCGTATTCCAGGGACCTGCCCGAAACGCTACGCGTACTAGTGACTGTACAAGAATGTAACAACTCTTGTATATATCTAAAAAAAAAAAAAAAAAAAAAACACACTACAGCTATGAGCAGTTGAAGATGAGGGCATTCATCCCTTAATTTTCCTATGCAACATCACACAACAGAGTTTGGCTATAATTTTGAATGTAATTTCCTCTTGTGTATTATTAATAGTGGGAACTGGCAGCTGGTGGCAGCTCGGTTCAGGAAAAGTGCCTTCCTCTACAAGTACACGCCACGTAGTCTTCCAAGCTTTCTTTGGTGGGACTCCAGATGGCTATGTAGAAATTGATGACATCAAGCTTGACAACTCTGATGTTTGCCCTACACATGGTAAGAATAGATACTATAAAAACATACATACTGTATTAATATTTATGTGTTTTTACATGAATACCTTTATTACAGTCATTAGTAGCCCTGGTGTGGACAGGAAATTTCCTATTTGTGTGTGCATATATGTGTGCCCATATTATGTTTAATTATGAGTGTACTCTCCAAATAGTGCTTGCAAATATTGATTATCAGCTCTTTGGTCATGCCACTCAACTTACAATTGTCTGGTATACAAGTTCCTGAGCCTGTTGGGCCCTGACACTCAGCAAATTATTTTTAATGAATATGGTTTATATTGGTACTCAAACCAAGTACAGTAGTTTATTCTTATCTACCCTGTCCATCTCCTGGGAATTTTTATGTGGAGATCATGTCTCTCCTCAGTCACCTTTCTTCCAGTGATGTGAGATTTAATTTCTTTAGTCTGTTTCCCATAACTTCTACCTCCCAACATTACTATTAATCTAGCGGCATCTTTTTTGTCACATACGGTAAATGTGCCCAAAGATTTGGCCAACCTTTACTTTTATGGCATTGCCATCACCCATAAGGTTCTTGATTAGTCTTTAGTCCCATTTATTTTGGGTACTGTTTAATACTTAATAATTAATATTAATAAATCTTAAATTTTGTATATACTGTAAATTTAATAATGGTATGACTTTCACTTTTAAAATGTGATGTTGATAGGCACTGTACTGTACTTTATATATTGGACAACATTTTGCTAACTTCTCTTTATATTTAATTGCAGGGAGTTGTAATTTTGAGATTGATACCTGTGGATGGACCAACACTGGTTACCTGGAATGGGTATTCTCAAAACTTGAGGAAGACAAAATTGGACCTCTCACCACCACCTGCCTCATGTTTGTCACACCAACAAGTTATCTTGTGGGCAAGAATGCCTCTCTAAATTCTCCGATTCTTCTGCCCTATTTAAACTGTGTTCAGTTTTGGTAATGCAGTAGTTATTTTGTGTTTTATGTGTGCATATTCCAGAGTTTCTGAGGTATATAACTATGATCAAGTTAGTGACAGTTTATAATTTGATTGTTATTTCAGTATTAAAATTCTGATGCTTATTCTGATGATAAAATGCTGATGATTATTATCAATATGAAATTACTGATGTATCGTACAAGTTAGGGATGTCTGCTTCGAAACACTTAAAGTTGAGGTGTGATTTTGGAGAGAGAGAGAGAAAGTGAAGACGAAGATTACTTTGGGTCAACATAAAGTCAACACAAAGAAGTCTCTGGACTAAGTTCATTATTGCATCAAGAAGGAGTATATAAACAGATAAGAAAGAGTCAGTGGGAGAAGCGCTCACTGTGCAATAGAGTAGTGTTTAAAGGAGGCTACCAGAAGGAAGGGACACTTATTGGCTGCAAAAAGCTGGCAGGCACAAGTACCAGTACCAAGAAGTCTCAATGATAGGAAAGTCTGCTTAGAATCACACACTGATAGCCTAAGCATCTTAGCTGGGGAAATAACCCTGTAGCAAACATGCATTTGGTCCACAAGAAGACCTTAGAACAAGTTTCTTTACTGGACTTGGGTGGGGGGGGGGATAAGGCTATGTAGGTGGCAAAGTCCAACAGGGAATGCATCCAACAATACATATGATACATATCATTATTAGCAGATAATACATGGATGGTGAAATATTAAAGAAACTTCATGACTTGTGAGACCAAAATTGGAATGTGCAGCATTTGTATAGTACCAATATCTCAAGACGCACAAAAATAAACTGAAAAAAATGCAACAACATGCCATGAAATGGTTTCCAGAACTAAAAAACAAGAGTTATGAGGAGAGACTAGAGATGTTAAATATGCCAAAGCTAGAAGATAGAAGAAAAAGTGGTGAAGGGATCACTACATACAAAACAGTAACAGGAATCAACAAAATTGACAAAAAGGGATTCTTGAAACATTTAACTTTAAGAACAAGACATTATAAAGGTTGGAATAAGTTAAGTGAGAAGGTATGTAGGCCAAAACTGTCAGTTTCAAAGCATCAATTGATAAAAGAGTACTAGGAAGATGGGACACCACACGCATAGCTCTCATTCCGTAACTACACTTGGGTAATTACATTTAGGTAATTACTAACACTAGTATCAGGAGTGCAGGAAGATGGATGGGTTTTAGAGCCTAGGCAGTAAAATAAGGCAAAACCGTTACATCCATCCGACCTTGAATTGTTTTTTGGCTGATTTTTTTTAGATTTCAAACTCAATTTTCTTTGTCTCTTTGGGTTGTTTTGATGATTAGGAACCAGAGTAGGGCTCTATTACTTATATAAAGTCTTCATATAGATCATTTAAATCATTATAATTATCCCTATATTTTGTTTTTTGGGGAGGTTATTTTTTCTTGACTTCATTTCAGCACATATTGACCTGCAACTATCACATATTTGAGTATGAATGCCAAGCAATATTTATTAAAACATACAAGACTATTCATAAGTTAGAACTACCATATTTGTTGTAGATAACTTGAACCTCAGTTATATCTAAAACTGGAATTTCAACTTTGAGACAATTTGAAAAATCCAGTTTCTGACTGATTCTCACCATTTTTATTTATTATGTGCATAGTTCTTAGTTCTAAGGTTTAATCCATGTCGTTTATTCATAAACCCTTAACTTTGGGAGTTAAAAAAAAATTCTGCTAAAAAATGGTGCATATTTTGACGGCAACAGTGATTATTTTTTACAGTAAACTTTGATCTCAAACATTATTTTCATTGGGGGAAAATTAACTTTGTATGCCATTCTGGGCCAACAATGAATTAAATAAAAATTGGTGAAATTTCCGATCCGTAAAAACAAATTGAATTTTTGCAATTTTCACTTTTAAAACAATTTTTTTCCCTGTTAATTTTTAAGCAATGATTCATTAACAAAAGTTGGAGCATTGACCATGTGGATTATGCACAAATTTGTTTAAAATGTTTGAGGAAGGTTGAGAATGTAAAGGTCCTGGCCCCCTAATGCTTCAGACACTCGGTGTACACTACACAGTAGCTCCAAGCTTGCCAGGGGAGGCAATGGCCGGAGCTATAAACACTTTATATTACTGTACTTACTGAGGGTAAGGGTGTTGTTTCACATATGATCTTGTAAAAATGTGTGGGTATTACTGTTTGGAACATAGTAATTGGTTGTTTTAGCTGTAAAGAAGTTAAGCCGAGATGTTTTAGAGCATTCTATAATGCCCTTTCTATGTATTTTAGTACGCTTATTGTCATAATACCTTAAAATGCTTTATCTATCCATCACTATATTATGCAAACACTTCATTGCTCTTGTCACTTTCACTTTGAGAATACCAGGAAAGCACTTACATTTAGCAATCAACATTTTAAAAACCCTTACCCTCCTCACTGCATTCATTGCATGCAAGATTTAGGAACACCTCTCCCCATGTGCTTAAAATTTATCATAGCATGTTTTCTCTTGTATTTAGTGCTAGTAGAAATCTTCATTAAAACATTTCCTGTATTTTATTGTTAGACTTGAGGTTATGTTTTGTTGTAAACAAAGCAAACTATCTAATGATGAGTCCATAATTTTCAAAGAGCCATCACCAATTTTGAGGAAAATTATATGTTATATGCATTTCTAATATCTGCAAATTAATTTTGACAGGTATAAGAAGTTGATAGATGCCCCAGCATCATTAGTAGTTAATGTAGCTCCAAGATCTGAGTTCTCTGATGATTACATTGAGATCCCAGTTTGGCAGCTGCCTCAAAGTGATGAACAGTGGCATCAAGGACAGTTTCCAATACCTGTTTATTCAGTGGGCAATATGCAGGTGAGATATTACAAAAGTTGAAAAAGGTTATAACATGAAAATAGTTGCATCATCATAAGCAGATATCATGCTTAATTATCTTCCACAGTGACTTTATTTTTTGGATATTTGCTGGTTATGTTTTACTAAATGGCTATCACCATTGTTGTGATCTATCCCCCTTGCCTACTTCTTCACTGTGATCACTAGTTCATCATTTTTGAGCTATTGCATTTAGTTTGCTCTGAGTGCAAGATTCACTCTGTCCTTGAGAAAAGGATTATAACACTTGTACAGAAGATATTCTTAATACACTCTACGCTACAGGGAACTTCTCAAATTGACAGAGGTGCATTTCACAAAATCTAAAAGGAATGTAAGAATTTACCCATATGATGAAATGTGACTGCCAAATGCAGACTCCACCTAACGGGCCAGATTCACGAAACAGTTACGCAAGTACAGTACTTACGAACGTGTACATCTTTCCTCGATCTTTGATGGCTTTGGTTACATTTATTAAACAATTTACAAGCATGAAAACTTCAGTCAAATGTTGTTATTGTTATAAACAGTCTCCTGGTGCTTCGGAGTACATTAACTGTTTAATAATAAGTGTAAACAAAGCAGGCAAAGATTGACAAAAGATGTACAGGTTCATAAGTGCTTGCATAACTGCTTTGTGAATCTGGCTCCAGGTCTCTACTGTGTCTGCTCGGCAACATAGTTTCTTTGCCTGTAATCGGATGGCAGTGAAAAAAGATGAGATTCTAAGGGTGGACTGCTGACCCCTCTTGAGGAAGAGAGGGAATCAGAAGTTAACACTTAGCTAAGAAGTGATGCCCATAGAGCAGTGATGGCACCAAGAAGAAGCCGCATGAGAAAGAAACTACATACCACTGCTTAGAAGGGTGTTTTTCATGTTTACTCAGAGCCATAGTTTTGGGTCAATGCTCTTGTCACTTACCAAGTTAAAAAGATTCTCCTTTAAAATATTTTTTCCATTTTTTCCATTGATAATTTGAAAATTATCTTAAACCTACTGAACATTATTTTAAGTTGTTCTGTTTTAGTAATTTTGTGTTTTATTACTGTACTGTATTTGATTTTTTTAGAAACAGAGCATTCATATTATTTCATTAATTTAAAAGTGTTATGATGTTCCAAAGACAAAATACTGAAAATATTTCATGGAAAATTGATGATGTACATTGATGATGCAGTTGCCACTTTCTGGAAAAAGATTCTTTTTATAAAAATATTCCATCATATTTGCTTTTCTCTAATCAGAATAATATCTGTTTCACCTCCTAATGCAAGCATTAAAGAAAATGAAAGAGGAGATGTTGTTGCTATTATTGATGATGTTCACAAGGATAATGTTACTATTCAGAATTTAAATACACAAAATTATTAACTTTAATTTGATATTGACTTGTGCAGTGCAATGCTGTTTTTTATTTTCAACTCACAAGACGTTTATGGAACCAATTTTTTACTAGACATTATTAAAACCTGCTAGGTATGTGACACAGACCTAGTGAGCAGAGGAATTTGTTGCATTATAGCAACAGGCTGGTGACTAAAACATACTGGCACTTAAACATGTAAAAAATCCTGTAAGTGAATAGTTATTAAGAAACATACAATAGTGTTCAGGAAAAGGGCAGAATTCCTGCAAGACTACAGATAACTAAAAAATATCATGTGTAAAAAGAAAACACACTTCTGTAAGGTGATATTTTCTCAAATATGTATGTATAAGCTGTCAGTATACAGTAGTAACCTTCTATCATATGTATATCATGTTTCAATTTTTTTTTTTTTTTAACTTTGCTAATTTTAAAAAGATCTTGTTTCTTTTAGGTTATTTTTGTAGCAGAGCGGCTTGAAGGTGATTGGATCTTGGGCCACAATGATGGTTTGATATTCCTAGATGATGTGGAGATCCTTACCAATGCTGACTGTTCCCTGGTTCCTCCTGATGCCATTCCTACCAGTACCACCATAGCAATGTCCACACCAATACCTACTGGTATATTTTGTCCTACAGTATAACTTTTATTCAGTAATGACAATTTTAATTGTAATATGTAATTATAATAAGAAAACTTTCATTTTATGTACAGTAATTTAGTATTGTCAAATCCAAGTTTTATACATTCATAATTTAAATACTGTATAATAAATTTAATGTACGGTAAACATTTTGACTGTGTTAGTTTTATTTGTTCATTGTTTGAATTTGTGTAAGTTTCCATGTCATTGCAAGTTGCCTTACAATTATAAATATGGAAATTCATGATTGGTTTTAACCTAAAAGCATAGTTTATGTTCTGTTTCACTTAAATACTCCTTATGGCGGTATCATCAAATATCCCGGACTTGATCATGATAATCGGGGCATAGTTACAGTACTTTCTGCACAGGTACAACAGGGATCTATTCATATGTCTTTGTCGGGTGAAACTGGTGAGAGGAGGGAGTTTTGTGTGGAAAAGCTGAACCTCAACTGGGGCTGTCTTCTGAGTGATGGGGGGAAATGATCTTGTAATTGATTTTATTTTAATAAATTTTAACTTTATAAATTAGCTTCATGTGTATATTTTCAGTACCACCCAGTGCAGCATCATGTGACTTCTCAAATGAGGATTTCTGTGATTGGAAAACCCTCTCTGGAAAGGCCAGCTGGAGCATTCAAAGTGGAGCCTCTGATACACATTATGTTGGACCTTTAGCAGATCATAGCACAGGTTGGGTTTTGTTAATTGGTTTTACCTCTTGGACAAATACCTCTTAGGCATTTACTCATATAATGTATTAATAATGTAGGCACTTTCAATATTTCTCTGTAAACATAATTCATGTTTCTCTAGGTGATGGTTACTTCATGAGCCTTACACCAACATTTAACAACTCCAAAGGTGTTGCAATTGTGTCCAGCCCTGAAATAATTCCAGTAAAGGTTTGTTTTGTTTCTTTCTTTACGTTCTCATAAATTATCACTTTAACAATATACTGTATATAATTACATATTTGAATCATTGCCTTCTCTGCAGATTGAACATAACAGAACTGTAAAAGATCACAACTATATATAGTATGTCTTTTTTACTGAGTTTTAATATCTGAGTTTGTTTGGAGGGGTCCATTAATCATGTTGATTTGAAAAGGGGAAAGACATTGCTTTATACAAATTATGTATTGAAAGGCAAGTACCAGATGGGAAAACCTATAGATTTTATGTACATGTTCAGTTGAAAATTAGTCATTTGATTATAAAGATTAATAGATTTAATATAGATTTTGATTTAACATGAAGATTCAGTAACAGGTTTTAATGGGCTAATGAGTAGATCTTTTGGAGTCCCTCTCGGTCAGTGCTTCTTGAGTATGGGATGTGATAGTCAGGAACAGAAATTGTTGTCCTAAATTTTGTTGTATTACTTCATACCCTGATTGTTATTTTTCGACATGTGAACACACACCAAGTTCTCTTTCTGTGGTTATATACAGTCTTTGAAATTGGTTATACATGTTGCATAAAAGTATCTGCTCAGTTATCTTTCTGTCTTGATTCTTACAAGCTTTTGCTGTTTTCAAATATTTCTATAAATATTTTCATAATAGTTATATTTTCCTCCATTGACTGTACTGTAAATGCAGGATTTGTGTATGCGATGGTGGTACCACATGGATGGGTCAGATGTGGGAAAACTTGATGTCCATCTCAAGAACTTTGGCCTTAATACTAAAATATGGACCAGGAGTGGCTTTCAGGTACAGTTGTAAATCTTATTAATATTGTTAGTACAGCATATATATATATGTGTAAAGCAACATTTTATATTCAGATAGTAAAGATGTACATATGTCTTGATAATAAATAGAATAAGGAATGAATTTACAGTACTGTATGTATATTTTTTCTATTATATATAAAAGTCATACAACTGGGTACAAAAGTCATACAAATTGGTACAGGTCGGCGGTGGTCTAGTAGTAGAGCATGCGACTTAGCAATGCCGGGGTTGTAGGTTCTCTACGACCCTGGCATTGCCTACCTCACAACCCTAGTGGATTTTCTCATAAATCACAATAATGTGATTTCTGTGTGATTATTGTTATTGTTAAATTCTTGATCATTTTAACAAATTTCTACTTAAATAACTTAAACGCTGGATGTCTGTGAATGCATCCTCAATATTAGCTGGGAATTGACTATACTTTGTCATATTAATATTTTCAGTGGATCACTCGCTAACTTATTTGTTCACAGACTGCTGGATGGATGGAAGCCTATGTTGGTATCAACACTACCAGAACTTTTCTCATAGAATTCCAGGGTTCTCAGAGTGACAACCCTCTTGCAAACATTGCTGTTGATGACATTGTGTTCACACCAACTAAATGTTTAGGTTAGAAAACATTATGTAAAGTTTGATTTTCACTTCATTGCCAAGCAAAATTTGATTTCCTATTAATGATTGACATTTATATTTTCTCCACTTTATGCTGTAAAAATTTAATTTAACCTTTGCTTTCACTTAGTTTTTCATCTGGCAATTCAGCCATACTGCCATTGGTGGTTTTCTGGTTTGTATTTTGTATCAAGTTCTATTCTGCACAGTACTAGTTAACCATACATGGGGTGCCTTGAACACCAATCTGAGCACCTTGGGGCCAATCCATTCTCAAATAAATTTATGTTTTTCAGCTATCAAAACTCTTCATGGCATATGTACAATTTACTTACCTTTGTAAGCCTTAAATAGCCTATATAATATAATTTCATACCTGGAAACATTATATAGCCTATATAATATAATTTCGTACATGGAATCTGACAGGTTTTAGCTTTTTCATTTTTCTTGTGATTACTTGTTCACTCGTACAGAAATATATACAGTGTGTCCTTGCTTGAACAAACTGTATGGAGTGAGGTCAGATTGTTCCACAATGGAATTTGTTCTGCCCGTCAGCCCCAGGCTATCTCTTCCCTTGATGTGAAAAGAACAGAGGTCCTACAGCCAGGATGAACAACAACAAAATCACAGAAAAATCTATTTCTGTATTTTATCATTTTGAACATGGCACATGATAGAACAATCATTAGTGAACAATTACATATCAAAATCATAGCTATGTGACTATTATTGTAACACTGTACGACTGTTAACATTTTGGCGAATCATAGTTGATGACAGTCACCTCCTGACTCTCGGTCTCGGTGATGTCTCGGACGAACAATTCTCGCTTAATCGAACATTTGTATGTTCTACTCAAGATTTAGTACCAAATGCAATTTGTTCGGACCATCCAGGAATTTGATAGAGCAGGGTTTGTTGTGAGGATGCACTGTAATTCTAGTAATTTTGCATGCTTTCTCCAATCATTTTATCTTTTTTTATATTCTATAAAAGTCCAGAATTAGTTGAAGAGGTTTCTTTTCACTGTACGGTTTCCAATTTCATTTACTTCATAATGTGAACAGCATATGGTAATTTGTTTATATTTCATTTATGTTATTTCTTTCACGTTACCATGCAGTGAAAAATCTGCTTTAGTAAATACTTATTATGTACTCCCCCAGAAAACTCAGGAATACTGGGCAATGACACCATGACATGCTCCTTTGAGCAAGAAGGAACATGTGGTATGCGTGATGACTTTGGTGATGGCTGGGCTTTGATCATGGCTTCCATGTCTGATCACACAACATTCACTGATCAAGGTAAAGCTAGTTTGAATAAATATTGAAAATGAGATTTAGGTTGCACTGTTTTGCAACAGAATTATAGCTTGCATGAATTATAATCTGCAATTGCATTTATATAATTCTGGTCATATGTTTGTATAGCTGTTATTGGAATCAATCAGCTACAATTAACTTATATTTTACTTTTGCCATGTCTTCTATTTTCTTATATCAGAGGAGTTGTTTCTGTATTGACTCAATAGTTTGGAATTATGCTGATTATTTAATACAAGATCTCTTGTAAATTTTAGGCCATGTCTTTGAACTGCGCGGACGTAAGACTTTCTTCGCTGCATCACTTAGAACTCCTTCAATTAAAGTTGAGACTGCTAGCTGTCTCAGATTTTATTACCGTTCACAAGGCAAAGAAGAAGCCACGCTTATAGGCAAGTTTTTTACAATTTTTTTTTTTTTTAGCAAATCTGCCTATATTGAAATCTATGCACATTATATATATACAGTATATCTCGTTATTTCCCCCCCCCAAAAAAAAATCTAATTAGTTTATGTGAACTAATATTATTATATTATATTACAAACATGAATTACTGACCCAGTAATGTTATGTTAGGTTAGGTTTGGTCATATTTCTATGCTAGTTTTAATTTAAATTAAAAACTAATAAAATCATTTGTAATGTAATGGAAAGGTTTATCATTTCATAAGAAAAAATATTAGGAAAATATATAACTTCAGAAAAACTTGGCTTATTAGGCAAATTGGGTCTTGCATAGTAGGCAAAGTAGTGCATTCTGGCTATTAGGTACAACATGTGTATGTATGTATGCTTGTTGGTTTATTTATATATTTAGCTTTAATTTATTTTATTTATTCATTTTATTTATTTTATTGCAATGAAATACAGTGCATTCATTTTATTCTTAAAGATTAGTTCTTAAATGAAAGATATTCAAATATAGTTGAATCACCTTAACTATAGATCTTTTCTTTGTGCTTCCTCTTAATATTAAGTGTTATTTTTATCTTCCTTAAAACTGTAATGTGTTTAATGTCTTTTACAGTGTTTGTGGAAATGCAAAATGGTACTTTTACCAGTGATCATATGAAGCTTTTAAAGATGGCACAACCAGCATGGAGGGCTGCTCAGATACCTTTCTATAAATACTATGGAGACAGTATAAAGGTATTCATCTAGTATTTATATTGTTAATTTAGATTAAATTTTATGTTTTAATTCCCTTTTGTGTTATTCTTAATGACATCGTTGGAAGTGAAGGTTCTTTTGATTTAATTAATCTATATTCCTGTATACACATTATATACTTAACTATTTTTATTTTCCTGTTTGTCTTTGTGATGAATAAACTTTAGTTCCTAGACTAACCTGTTAACCACTAATCAACTAATGTAATACAGTCCTTACCCCAGTGGCATATTATATTTACGTAGCATTTCACTTATGAAATACTGTATGTATCCACTTCTTCTCTCCTAGTGTATTTTGCTCTCTACTTTCGCAGTTAAGAATTTTTTATTATATATCTGTAATTTGTGTTATTAGATCCCATGTGTGTCATAGCAACCTGGGCTCTACCATTGTGACCCCCTCATCCTGGTCTTGCTCCCTTGTATCTTCCCCTCATTGTGGCATTGTGGTCTCACCCCTTGTGTTCCCTTATCCTGATCTCACCCCTTGTGTCCCCCCTCATTCTGGTCTTGCCCTTTGTGTCACCCCTTTTCTAGTCTCACTCCATGTACCTCATAATATTGAGCCTCAGGCCGGACTTGGGAGTAGAACTCCCAAAACGCTCTCCAGGTATGTTTCGGGTAAGTACCCCCTTCTTCTTGGCCAAACAAAAAACTCCATAAGCTGATTTGGTCATTTAACTGTGAAGTAATCACCATTTGTTTTCTTCTCTGGAAGACAAGGTTTAAAAAAAAGGGAGATGCCACTTCAGTGATATTGCCACCAGCTAACGGATAATGGAAGTGGGTATAAGAAAATGTGAAATGTCATAGGTCTATATGCATTCTTCATTATTGTGGTGTTTAAAATTGATGAACCATGTAATACATTTTCATGTAATTTGGTAAATATTTGTGTTTATACAATTTTCTATTTGCATAAATTGGTCATGTTCTGTAATTTTTGTAAATTTTGAATACAATTAGTGGAACTCAAGGTTTCCCTATAGCTGCTTTGCATCTGTCCTCAAATCTCTCATTTTGATTTGTTATATACTCTGTTCATTTGACATTTCAGGTGGTGTTTACAGGAGAAGTAGGGCCTGGGGAAGATGCTGTCATAGCACTCGATGACTTAAAACTGACAGAGGAAGATTGCTCCTGGGGAAGTTCTGCTGTATGTAACTTCAGTGATAACACTACCTGCTTTTGGACCAACAGCGATACCGGTCTTCAGTGGTTTGTGTCTGATGGGTACAGCAAACATACCTTGAATGGGCCATCGAGTAGTGACAGTTTTAATGGTACAGAAATTATTAATTTTGTTGTACAGTATTATATTTTTTTGACACTGACATAAAATATATTACACAATAAATTCATCATTTCAATTTGACTGAGTCAAGGTAAATCTCTACTTTACTATTAACAGATCTTAAATGTTTATTACCTTCATTTTATATAAATATAAATTGTTGTTAAATTCTTTATCCTCCTGTTAATATAGTATGAGTATAGTATGACTGGTGAGCCCCAGGGTATGTGAGACACTTTCACCTAGTAACAATATATATGGAAAGGCTCATGCAGCACAGCCAATAGTTAATGAGAGCCCCTGATTTTTCGAGTTGCCTATGATCACAAGCTAAAGCTTGTAAAATCAATGAATTCCTAGATTAACTGAGTTTTCTCCAGTGATTCCCTCATTATAATATGGCCCTGTAAGAATGCTTGAAAATTTCCTACATCAGCATTCTGAATATCCAACCCATCCTTTCAATTTTTACATCATTATGGTTTGTTATGGTTACCAACATACCAAATGCCACGTTCTATGAACAGTAGCGGCTCGCAAAAATCCATGTATTCTACGCATCGGTTGGTTAGGTTAGGTGGGGTGGCTTGGGCTCATGCACTTCTGGTTAGGTTAAGATCTTAGATTTGTTATGTTGGGGCAAATCAAGAGAATCCACCAGAATATTGTCCTGTCTGACTGTATGATTCATGTCTAAGGACTCAGTATGATGTTACACAAGGAAGTAGCTACAGGACACTGCTCAGAAAGAAGCTTTCACAAATCTCAAGGCCATATTTTTTCTCTCTTCACCACCAGACCACTATATCATATTTGAAGCTGGGCCCCATCACACTCCTGGATCTGTTGCTCGGCTTACAAGTCCAACTTTACCTAAAAATCTGTATTCAGATATTGTGTGCTTTACGTTTATCTTTTCGGTAAGTAAATATTATACAATAATCATAAATTTGGTAGAAGTACATACAGTCAAGCTGTTTTTCCAATGTATTATACTGTACTATGATAATTTGCATTCTAGTTAAACAAAAAATCCATACTTTGCCTATACTGTATTTTTTGTTTGTGTGAAGGCTTGCTCTGAGCATGGAGGGATACTGTCAGTGATGATCTCAGATATAACCCAAGGCACTGAGTCTGTTGTTTGGCAACTTCCAATCACCCGTCAGCATGCAGACTGTTACTGGCATGAAGCTCAAATTCCTATTAAGGTACAAAATTTTACAGGCTTTGGTTGTTGTTAAGATTGAATAATGTATCAAGATAAATATAAGGAAACATTTATCATTTTTATTCCATAATCTGAAAATATTTAATTTTATTCTACATATTAGGTAATGTAAGATAATTAATGTATTTCAAAAGGACAAAAATATCAGGTGATCATATGAGTTGGAATTAAAATAAAACAAAATTTTGTATTCCTGTTCCTTCTACAGGTATTTTGAGTTTGGTCATGTAAAACTTTTGTTATGAAAGTTAACAAAATTGGGAGGCACTTAACTTAAAATTTATTTTCTTTATATCTTTAACTGTAAAATGCAAAAATGAATTCCATTACAGGATCCTCCAGAGAACTTTCTGCTGGTTATTCAGGCTGAGCCCTGGGATGGAAGAGAAGGTTTCATTGCAGTCAACCATCCTATCCTGCGGGAAGTACAGTCTTGTGGAAGTGAGTTGCAAGGAGAGTGGATAATCTTTTATATCGGAAGAGTGTTCAGAGTTAGTATGGTCATGTAGAATGAATACATGATGATAAAGTAGTGAAAAAGAGTGTATTTGAGTGAACTTGAGGGTAGGAATGGGAGAGAGGAGGGTCAAGGTGATAGGTAGACATGGTGGGTGCATGTGTGACGAGACTTGGATAGAGTGTGAACAATACAAGAAATAGTTAGGTTGTTAAATGGAAAAGTTAGCTAATAGCAAGTGAATGCATGACACCTAATCTTTTGAAGCAGTGGAGTGCTACTGTGGATGAGTGGTTTATGTGGTTTTATCATTTTGGTGGTTTTCTGTGATACTATTTAGAACAAATGACATGGTGAATGGATTAGTGTCTTTTTTTTAGAAAATTTGTTACATATGTTCCCATGTTAGGAGGAAATAGGCTAACGCAGATAAAACTTATTGTTTCATTGTCATTATGATCATTATTATTAGTACCTCACTTTCATAAGATGTAGAGCCATCAGGTCAGAGAAGAGAGGGATCACAAATAAAGAAGCACCATTACACTTCAGCAGTTGTTCACAGTGGCACCCTACCATTTAATAATGCCAGATGTTCATTTGTCACCTTGTGCAGCATAAACAGAAACTTGTGAAATTTCAGAGGTTTGTGACTAGGTTATTACCAGAATTGAGAGGCCTCAGTTACTAGAACAGATTGAGAGAACTCTGCCTCACAACCTTAGAGAAGAGAAGAATAGAGCGGATATGTCAACTTCGTACAAGATATTAAGAGGAATAGATAAAGTGGATAAAGGAAACCTATTTAAATAAAAAAGAGGTAGGACATGGGGACGTCGGTGGAAGCTGGATAAGCAATTGAATCAAAGAGATGTAAGAAGTTCTCATTCCCTGTACAAGTGGTAGGAAAGTGGAATGCATTGAAGGAAGAGGTTGTTGAAGACAATTCCATCACTTTAAATAGAAATATGATAATGTTGATATTGAGAGGGGTAATTAGCGAGCCAGGTTAAAGTGGCCAGGAGGCTGGGCATGATGAGCTGGCCATCTAGCTCACTAATAGTCACTGATTGGCAAGCACTGATAGGTAAGCACAATAGTAAAGTGGTTGGGGGAAATGCTGGAGAATTTGTTTATTCTTAATGGCACTCAATATTAAAAATCAAACAGATCCTCCTCTTCCTTACTTTTAGTATATGTATGTTACTTTATATCAGAAATATAGAACAGGTGTTTATAATAAAGACCTCAAACACGAGAGTAACACAATACATTACAAACAAATATATCCACTCCCTCTTTACACACTTCTGCACCCAATATTCTCCATTACCATATTCCATGTGAAGTTTACACTCACTCTTCACTATCACACTTACCAAAACAAAGAGCATGCTAGTTAAATCCATGGATAAGAATAAACAGATGTCATTTTTATTTTTGTTTTTTAGTGGTACCGGAAGATGCTGCACCAGACATTTCACCTACAGTACCACCTGTGTCTACAACACCACCACCCTTCATTGGAGATTTGGTTGTAGGGTGTGACTTTGAAAATGATGGTCACCCAATATGCCAGTTCAAACAGGATGTGGGCGAGGATGTTGGAACATGGGCACGGGTTAATGCTTCTAATCCTCCCTCATCCAATCACCCATTGTCTGACCACACACTTCATAATAGTAGGTTGAAAACAGTGCACAAACTTAATGTATGTGTGAGGGATAGGTTTAAAAGTGTGTGCAGTTTTTCTGGGGAATAAAGATTTATGTGCATATACTGTACATCTTCCATTAATCATTTACTTTTATTCAGCATGATCAACAACTTGGATTGGATGGTAGAGCGACAGTTGCGCTTCCTGCAGGTTGGAGCTCAATCTCCAACCATCCAAGTAGTTAGGCACATTCCTTTCCCTCGTATTATCATAATCCTTGTCCTTAAATCCCTTCCAAGAACTATATACAGTAGTTGTAATGACTTAGTGTTGTCTCCTGATAATTACTTTACCTTTTATTCAACATATTTCACAACATGTACAACTTTTATTTATTTATTTATTTATGCATATACAAGAATGTACATAAGGAATGTGAGGATACAATTATGGTAATTACAGTCTTGTAAAGCCACTAGCACGCGCAGCGTTTCGGGCAGGTCCTTAATCTAAGAAAATTTTAAGGAGGTAAATACTTGCAAAATTTATAGACAAAAAAATGATAACAGATTACATGGAATGAAAAAAAAAAAGATGAGAGAAAATTATAGGTACAGTATATTAAAGCACATAGGTAGCTATGATTGATTGCAATGACAGCTTAAAATGGTAGTTGACAACAAATTGGTAGGCACAATACAGCAGAAACAATATAAGATTGATTGCAATGACAGCTTGAATGGTAGTTGACAAAAATTGGTAGTCACAATACAGCATATGGCTAGCACATAAAAGAAGACAGCAATGAACACAATGATAAGGTTGTTTGATATTACATAAAAATTAGGAGATTGGGTACCACTAGGTACAGAGCAAATTTAAAGCTCAGTGTAGGAAACTAAATAGATGAAGTTAGGTACTTTTTGGTTTTGCTTTTAAATAAGGCAAAAGTTTTACAGTTTTTCAATTCACTAGGGAGTGAGTTCCATAGACTAGGTCCCTTAATTTGCATAGAGTGTTTACACAGATTAAGTTTGACCCTGGGGATATCAAAGAGATATTTATTTCTGGTGTGGTGATAATGGGTCCTATTACATCTGTCCATTGAGAGTTTCAGAGCATGGTTTGCATTTAAGAACAGGGTTTTGTAAATGTAGTTGACACAAGAGAATGTGTGGAGGGAGTTAATATTTAGCAAGTTTAGAGATTTAAACAAGGGAGCTGAGTGTTGTCTGAAAGCAGAGTTAGTTATTATTCTGATAGCAGATTTTTGCTGTGTGATGATGGGCTTAAGGTGGTTTGCAGTGGTAGACCCCCATGCACAGATACCATAATTAAGATAGGGGTAGATTAGTGCATAATATAGTGAGAGGAGAGCAGAGTTAGGAACATAATATCTGATTTTGGAGAGTATACCAACTGTCTTAGAGACTTTCTTAGTTATGTGTTGAATGTGGGTGCTGAAGTTGAGTCTCTTGTCTAGGAATAGGCCAAGAAACTTGCCATCATTTTTATTACTGATGTTAATGTTGTCTATCTGTAGCTGAATTGCATTTGATGATTTGCTTCCAAATAAGATGTAGTAAGTCTTTTCGATGTTTAATGTTAGTTTGTTCGTTGACATCCATAAGTGAACTTTTTTTAATTCATTATTCACAACATTATTTAGTGTATGTGGGTTGAGGTTTGAGTAGATAAGGGTAGTATCGTCAGCAAACAATATAGGTTTGAGAATATTAGAGACATTAGGCAGATCGTTTATATATATAAGAAATAGAAGAGGTCCTAAGATGCTGCCCTGTGGCACTCCAACGGTAATTGGTAGAGTGGAAGAAGTTGTATCATTGATGGTTACATATTGGTGTCTGTCACTAAGATAGGATCGGATGTAGTCAAGGGCAAGGCCTCGGATTCCATAATGCTGGAGTTTAAATAAGAGGTAGTTGTGATTAACAGTATCAAAGGCTTTTCTTAGGTCAATGAAGAGTCCAATCGGAAACTCATTTTTGTCAAGGGCTGAGTAGATAATGTCAAGGAGACTAATGATTGCATCATTGGTACTCTTTTGGGACCGGAAGCCAAACTGGCAGGGGCTGAGTATGTCGAATTTTACGAGGTAGGAATAGAGCTGTTTGTAAATAATTTTTTCAAATATTTTTGATAGAATGGGTAGATTTGATATTGGTCTATAATTGTTTATTATACTTAATGACTAGCATCTTATTATTACTTATCCTTCTTGATATTCATATATCTTATTGTTTATTTTATATCTGTATAGTTGTCTTTTAAGTTATACTAATTAAGGATTATTACTAAATAAGTTGAGTTTCCATAAAAAATAGGCTTTGAGTGTACAGTACTGTATATGAAAGTGCCTTTCCGAGCAGAATCACTTGATTGTCCCATCAAATGCATAGGCTCTGACAATACAGTTTTATAGGAAGAAATTGTGTTGGGCATGAAATGCTTCAGAAAAAAGGCAAGTAACAAATTTAAGTAAAGAGCGAGAAAAAAATAAAAAGTTAGTGCAATATAACATAGCCTGGAAGTGTCCCTGTACAAATGGTGGCCAATCCACCTGAGAAGAACAGGGTTGGGACATAAGGCCTTAAGGGCCAGGAAACAGGTTGGAACTGGCTACACGATAATAATAAGAAAGACCTAATGCTCATATTCTGGCTGGATTGAATTGTCACCCTTAACACATTATGACTCTGTAGGGATGCTTGAACATTTCCTGTGGCACCATTCTGTATTGTATTCCTACCCTAATGCATAACCCATGTTGAGGGGCACAATGGAATCTTATATCAGTGAGCAACCAAATTACAGTATATGGCTTAGAAAGGATCTCAAGCATTATATTTACTCTGTTTTAATTCCTGTTACAATGCATGTATGAATATATTCTTCATTGGTACATTATTTTGCCATTAATATTTTAATACTGTAGCAATTATCACAGACAATAAACTACTGAATGATCGAGTAAATAAATAAATAAATAAAGTAATAGGTTATCAGTTTCTCTTAAGAAAATACAACAACCTCATATATACAGTACTGTACTTGCATTATAATGTATATTTTCACTACTAGGTTCTGGCCACTACATTGCAGCACTACAACAAGCAAGTGGTAAAAGCAAGAGCGCTGAAGTAACTGCTCGCCTAATAACACCCGTTCTTGATTCTGAAGTTGACTACTGCCTTACATTCTTTTTGCATCATGTGGGTGACAGCCCTCCACCTGTCATTGTTCATGCTGAGGTAATAGTTAAGGAAATGTCAATTTTTTTTTTTAATCCTATGTATATTTTCTATGCTTTATTATAAAATTATAGTTTTAATTTTCTAATTCCCAGTATACAGTTAATATCTTTTCTTTATGTAACTATAATATTCTAATAGAATTTAAATTTTAAAGTTACAGACAATGTACCTACTGTAGTAGGGAATGTTATTTTACCCCAATGGTAGTACAGTTTGCACATTACAGATCATTAACTTGAAAATAAAAATACTGTTTGTAGTTAAATCAGTTAACACTTAGACTATGCTTTATGTTTAGTCTCTTCTTACCAGACCCAACCTCCCCGAGTCATAGGTAAGTTATTCAGAACTGGTAGTAATAGTTAATCAAACAAGAATGGGGAATAAACAACACTAAAACCATACCATCACCATGTGTACTTCATAAATATACACACACACATGTACAGCACATAACATCACACGTATCCCACATTACGATATGTATATTTGTTTAAACCCTGTAAACCCTTCCAACCTATTTCATCTATAATGATAAAGCAGAAAGTGTATCTGTTCTGTATGCACTCAAACACTGTCAAACTCAATTCCGTGAAACTCTGATTTGAAGAAAATGTTAGTACAGTACAACATTCAGAAATATATTTTTATTCCTAAAAGTAAATTCCTAAAATTAATTCCTAAAATTTATTCCTACTTGGTTTGAATAAAGTCGATGCAGATAACAGCATAATCAAAATTTATTCCTTTTACTGTTAACACATATAATTTCGCACTGTACTTATGTCACAGGACCTACAAGGATCATCAGTGGTGGAACTTTTGCGTCGGGATTATCCGTTAGAAGATCTGTGGGCACTTGTTCAGATTGACATCCCAGCTGAGACTATGGAAGTCGAATTTATAATCACCATTGAAGCATTGATTACAGAGAGTCAAAATGGAGATGCTTCTCTTGATGATGTGATGGAAAGTATTATAATTATTATATATGTAAAACTGAAAATATTATTATATAATCTATCCATAAATGTACTAATAATGTAGGTAAAGTTATATCTTTCTTTATAGTTTAAATAACTCTATGGCTAAATTTAACAGGTTACATCATCAAGGTGCCCAAGGAAAGATGACCTGTACTGCACATTCTCTTATGGGTTGTGTGGATTTCGACAAGAAGAAGGGAAAGATGACTTGGACTGGATTTGGCACGATGCTAGCGGTCATGATGATCCTTACCTGCCTCAAGAATCCAAGGCTCATGATTATTACATCTATCTGAATACCTCTGCTCCAAAGGTTTATTTTCTGAGTTTATATTTAATAATTATTCAATATGTTAGGGGACAGGTAGCTAGTATATTTATATATACTTATTAGCCTTAAATCAAGGTCACCCCCCCATCTCCAGGTTGAACTACTGACCCTCCACAGGATGCAACCCCACAACATGCGGGCAAACTCTTGGGTACTTATTTGCTGGTAGGTAAACAGATGCATTAGGTGAGAGGATACGTGCCCAACAATTTCTGTCCCGCCCAGGATTTGAACCCATAATTCCCAATTTTTGAGTTGAGAACAAACCTGACTACTATTGGGATCCTTAATAACTTCTTATACTTTAAATTAAGTTTTATATTCATACAGAAAACTTATTTATTTTGAGGTTGCATTCCTGGAGCTCTTGTGATAACTCAAAACCTAAAATTTCCCTTCTTAGTATCTTATAGGAAGATTTAATTTGGTTCCACATTCAGTTTGTTCAAATTCAAGAACAAGTACCAGTATTTTTATTTATATATATTACTGTATACTCATATATAAATATTTAATTTATTATATAAATATTATCTTCACCTTTTCAAATGTAATTTGTATAATGTATATCAGTATGTACGGTAATACGTTTTCAGCTACAGTACAGTATCGTGAATGGTACTGTATATCTTAAAACATTCTCACTTTCTTGAATGTATCTTTTCTAAGAAGGAGCTCTCAGTGGCTAATCAAGGCTAACTCTTGTACCATCCAGCCTCAGCTTAACACACCAGGCCTCTGTGAACGTTCTTTAGCCTACTGGGAGCCAGGACCAAAATCTGGTTCACTTGCTTGGGTGAACAGGATTCAAAGATCAACCATTAAACTGGGCGCTAGAAGCCAAGGAGGACTTCTAGCTCTCCACTAAGTGGTGTTGGCCTTTCCTGGAACATTTGTTCCACTGGTGGCCATTGGTTTGTTTGTTTTTGTTTCTCTCGATTGTGCTTATATCTCCAATATTGTATGTTCCCAACATTTCATTTTGATACGAATTTAGCCAGGGTTCCCTTTCCTGGGATAGGCTTGTGGTTTCTCTGTACCTCTCTAGATATACCAGCTTTGTCATGCGGGGTTGTGTGCTCCCTGTTCTTCAAGCCGACTCCTCTTGGCTTAAATAACATTGTGTTTGAGACATTCAGACTGTGTGTTAAGAATTGCCTACCATTCTGTTCCTGCTTGTGTGTGTGTTAGGAGCCTTACAATTAAGCTGACATTATGCTTGTGTCTTGTACCTGATATGTTGTAATCCATGGCTGCTTACACTCTCTCACTAACAGTTCATTTTTGGTATTTGCTTCAGCCAGATGCTTCCATTCAGCCCATCCTCCTATTTTGGTAGTACTTATAGTAGCGATGAGGACCATAGTATATATGCTGACGTACAACGAAATTAGAAAGTAGAAATCGGCACTATTGAGCTGGACAAACCGGAAAACTAAGCTGGCTGAGGACCTCAGTTGATATAGGCTGTCATCTGTTGGCAGTCAGGTGCATCACAGTAAAAGTATTTGCATCACAACAATGATTAGTTTGCCTTGTTACCTAACGGTGCCTAATTCCAATTTCCTTCAAGCAGTTGCTTGTTTGGTTGCACCCATAGTTTCTGGTGGGTTTCATAGTTTTGTGGTCAAGCTCTGATTTCCTTGATAGCCTTGCCATGTCGATTGAGCCAGATTCTGACCCTGGCTTCTGGTAAATTATGGAAGGATCTCAGAGGCCTGATGTGTTGGGTTAAAACGTGGTAGTATTTGAGTTAAGCTCAGAAACCCACTGAGACTTACCAATATATGGCATTTAATTACATTTATTTTTTTCCACAGGGGTCCAAAGGAATCATCTATACAAATAAATACCAGCTTGTTGAGCCATACTGCTTAACCTTCCAAAGTCACATGCATTCTGTTAAGGACCAAACTAGTTCTCTGAAAGTTTTTAATGTAGGTGAAGGAGATATTGATGATGGAGAATTGCTTATGCATGTTAGAAAAGATTTTGGTCCAGACTGGGTCACATTACAGGTATGATGACAAAGCAATTATAGTACTGTAATTACTCTTCATTTGAAGTGTGTGACATAGTAATGGTTTAGTTATTAGTAGATTATATATATAATTGTATGTGTAAGTAGCCACTTGGAAAATGAAACAAAAATTCTGAATGTTTTCATGTTCCCCACATTATCAAGGAATACAGACAGAAAAGACAAAGGTTTGGGATCATATACCCCACTACACCTGAGTAGATAAAGATCCTTAAGCCATAATATTGTTTAATGGAAATGACATGAAGGTAGGATGATTATATGGATGATTATATTGGTATCCCATAATTCTTGGAATGTACCATATACACAGTTCTTCTTTACGTAATTTTATACCTATCACAAATTTGAGCAACTTTCCCACAATAGACGTTATGCAAATTGGCTGATAGTTTGACACAAGTGATCTATCGCCTCTGATGTAACACCTGAAGAATAATATCAGATGTTTTATTACTAACGCTTCAAGAAATAAATCCCAGTGTCCTATTTGCCTTATTTCGAACATATATGAATTGATATTTTGGCTTGAAAATCATACTAATCATAACTCCCAGATCCCTTTCACAATCCAATTTCACAATCTCAACACTATTTAATTCATATCTTGTAACTATCATCATTACCTAGTCTCAAAATCTTACAGTTTTCAGCATTAATTAAACTGCATCTACCAATCTTTTTGACCAGAGTAAAAAATTAACAAAATTTTTGAATAATTTAATATATTATTGCAATATATTTGTATTATTATGTTTTGTTAGTACTGTATATGTATAAAATTATTAAAATGTAAATTATTTTGTTTGTCTCTAATTTACAGCTTAATATGGAGCCGGATCTGAAGCCCTTTCGTCTAGCCTTCCAGGGCACCATTGGAGACCACATGAACAGTGTGTACTCTACTTTTGCTCTTGATAATGTGAAACTGAGCCCTGGAATGTGTAACTCTCCTGCATCATGCACATTTGATGATGACCTGTGCTCTTGGTACTCTGATGAGAACTTGGGTAATATAGTCTGGCAAATTGCCGGTCCTGGAGAAGTGTCCCTTGACACCAGGCCTTATGCTGATTCTACTCAAAGAGATAACTCTGTAAGTAATTTCGTTATACAGTGTAGCTTTTCTAAATGGAAACTAATAATTTTGATTTTTTATCTTTTGTTACCTTGGTAACTATGTAGCATTTTTAGCTGTGTATTCTTGATCTAGTTATTTTGTGATGCACATGCTCTTGCACATTGCCTAAACAAACATGTTTACCTTACTGATTTTAATTATCTTCAATGGGTTCTACATCCAGGAGAGGTTTAATGTAAACTAAAACAACCAAATATTTTATATATACTATCTAAGCAAATGTTGTTATTTATATCACTCTCAATATTAGTTAGAATTATTGGTCTGCACAGAACTTGTAGCTTGTTTTCACACAAAGAGCACATGTATGTTTACCAAACTTGATCTTTCACTACACTCTTGTATTGAGACACCAGTTTGAAAGTAAACTTTATCAAATTTAATGGAGAAACATATGGCTAGCTGCTTATAAACATAAAAGGAGTTGTTAAGGTGCTGTAAGGTAACAGAGAAGAAGATATTGTAAGATCAGAGAGAGACGAAGGATTTTGAAGTCGTAGAGGTTAAGCTGTTGTGAGGTCAGAGAGGTGTTGTTGTAAAGTCAAAGAGTTGAAGATGTTATGTGATCAAAGTGGTGAAGATGTTGTGAGGTCAAAAGAGTGAAGATGCTGAGGAGATCAAAGGGTGAGGTGTTATAAGATCAGAGTCTGGGGCATTCAAAAAGGTTAAGGTGTTGTGGTGTCGAGTAATTAACACTTGAGTAATAATTTATTGACATTGACTCACTCGGGAAGAGGTAAGTGACAATAAGTCGGACACTAATCAATTGGACAAGGGTCTCATGTGAAATGCTGAAGGTCAGCCCACTAGTTAGTTTGGTGGGTAAGGTTAACACAAAGGAGTCGAGGTTTAAAAATAATAGTTTATTTAATTAATTTAATGAGTTATCCTAACTATGTTTCCTTACTTAAGGCAATACAATTGATGATGTGAAGTGACAGGAACAAGAAAGCAGTGCTTACAGCACCATTAACACCACTCTGCATGTAGCTATGATTTTCAACCCTCTCGCATTGTCCCCCAATGCAACATACCCACTATGCCACACTCATTTCACACCACCATCTTTGTCTATGGTCCAAAGTTTTATATAACTCCTGAGGGCTGTGTGAGGTCCTGTGGTATCTTTTGATCCTGACTAATACTCTCAAGTGGATTAGTAAGGACACAACATATCTGACAACGTTGTTATCTCCAAAGTGTCTGACCTGACCTTCTGGCTGTTCCTGTTAACGCCCATAGGTGGTGTGATTTCACATTCTCCTGATAGATTGGTTGTCGCTGCATCCAGACCTGTTCTACTATTACCTTATTCTATAATTATTATACTGATCTCTTGTCACAAGGTGAAGGTATTGGGGGTCAGAAGTGAGGAATTATGTAAATAACAATTTATATTTGAAAAGTATAGCCTTTATTTGAAAAGTTGGATTGCAATGTATAAATTTATTTTGTTCTGCTTGATGGTATTGTAGTGTTTGATTGCTGAAGATTGTTTTCAAATGTTTTGCCTTTATTAACGAGTTAAGCATCCTTAAAGTTCATGAAGTGTTGTGCAAAGTTCCTTTGCGTAATACATACGTTATTGGTGTTATCAACACCAACATTGCAATTCTATATTACAACCCTACTTAAATATTATAAATTGTTGCTTACATAATCTGTCACCTCTCTGACCTCCCTACAGTTTCACCTCATTTTGCCCTTTATTATCAGCTGGCTCTGTATTTCTCCATTATATTTGATAAAGCATATACGTACAAGCAAACCTTCTTTTCTAATCTTAGGCTGCCCTAAGTCAGCACTTTGCACTCTGTTTAATAAATGTAATAACAATCTTGCTGTCAATATATCACTTTAGATATAAAATAATTTTGCATAAATTTGAATGTGATTTGTAAAGTACTTTTCTGACAGTTCCTCTTTTGCCTTCAAGGGAGGATTTGTGTTTGTGGAAGCAGATGAGGAACTGTTATCTAGCAGAGCCTTGCTTATGAGTGAAAGACTGACACCAATTATATCATCTGAGCGCTGCCTCACATTCTGGTATCATATGTAAGTATTTTGTTTATGGATTTAATGCCTATACTGTACAAATTAAAGTGTTAACATAGGCTTTGTCATAATTGGAAAATATATTTTTGTTTATTTTGCCTAAAATAATGAATAGTATAAATGCTTCTGCATAAGGGATATTTTATTCTTATACTGTATAGTTTTCATTCACAACTGTTAATAGGCACTGTCCCAACTCTCGTAAGTCTGTTGTCCTGTATGTAAATATTAAAGACAAACCTTTTGTTTAACTTTAGATATGGGGCTGAAGGCTCTAAGTTAGTAGCACTGATGTATGGGCCCGAGTCAAGTTCAGTTACCATTCTTTGGAAGTTTGCTCCGTCAACCGCCAGATGGGATCCAGGTTGGCAGTATGCTTCTGCTCCATTCTCTGCTTCATATACTCATCAGGTTAGTCACTGTAATGGGTATCTCATTTATCAGATAATTAGTTATTTATCTAATTTTATTTGATAGAGACAATAATTTAAATTAATAAAATATGTTAAACTTACTAATTCAGGTCAATGCGATTGTCACAGTTTCATAGTAAGACGTCTTCAGATTTTAATTTATAATATCATTAGCAAGATTTATTTCCTTAATAGTATACTGAATAACTAAGTCTCTTTTGCTGCAGATCATTATTGAGACAGTGATGGGAGCAGGTTTCATGGGTGATGTTGCTGTGGATGACATAGTAGTAGCTGCAGGCGGTTGCATTGTCCGACCAAGTGAAGCCAGCAATGGCATCAACTACACTACACCACTCATTCCCACATCTCAACCTCTTACTAGTCAGCCTCCTGGACTCTATGACTGTTCCTTTGATGAAGACCTCTGTATATGGACAAGTGATACTGGAGCTGTAAGAAATACAACACAGTATTTATAAAATGCTATAGTCAAGCATCTGAAATCTAAAATGGTCAGGGCCAAGCCCATTGGCATTCACATTTTGGAATGTTTCCTCATGCTATCCTGATTTATGGCAGAACTTCTTAAATTTTCTTTTTAATTATGGATTTTGGATGGGTTGATTATCTGCATTCAACTGATAATCAAATAAAATTGATTATCAATTTTTTTCATATTTAACTAAAATATAAGATATTATAAATCAATAATATTCAGTAAAAATTAGAGAAATGCAAAAAGCTAATACAGCATGAAATTTTATGCATATATTAATTATTTGTATTTTATATTAATCAGGACACAGGTAATGAGATGAAGTGGGAAGTTCATGAAGCAGATGACACATCTGATGGTAAGTTTCTTTATTCATTATCATCCAGATTATAACTTATGATAATGATAAACTTATCCACTTTGTATCCATTCTTTTGTGTTCTGTTTTGTGTTGATATATTTACCATTGTATTAATATTCCCTTTATGATAAACTTTCATCCATTTACATATGGTATTTCAGTTATACTGCTCCTTACTGTTCACTTTTATAGAAGGTGTAGTTTAATTTAATTAATCTCTTCATATGGGAAATTTTTAATTTCTGGGATTAACTTTGTCATCCTTTTCTGTACATGCTCAAGTGAATTTACGTTCACTCTATAGTATGATGACCAAAACTGAACTGCATAATCTAAATTGAGCCTAACAAGGGCAAGATAAAGCTGAAGAATATCAATAGTTATCTTAGAGCCCAACCCATAGAAGTCATACTCAGCTCTCAAGCTAAAACAACTTTTTCATCCTCAACCTGCTTACAATACTAGGAAACCTGTTTTTTAGCATTTCTTTCACATCTAAACTTAAAAAATCTCACAATACCCTTCATCCTCTTAAAATAAATGTGATTACTCAGTTTTTAGAAAACTGAGTCATCACATTAAAATACAAAATGTTTTAAGGGCAAGGGTTTTTTCTGATGTCCAACTCAGAAAGCACATCTAGATAAATGTGTCTAGGTGAATACATTTTATTTCACAATTAGCGTAAGTGCAGTTTACTAATGCCCGTATTACTTTATCTCTGCAGGCAGGTATGCTTATCTGGACATCACCAAATCTGTTAACCCATTTGCAAGTGGTGCCATGAACTCTACAGACATTTCTGCTACACATGCATCTTGCTTTGCATTCTCTTATGTGCTGGATGGTCCTCACACTCTCAGCATATATCAGCAGGTAAATAAGAAGTATATAATTGCAGACGATGAGTCACAATAACGTGGCTGAAGATATGAGGACCAAACCACACACCAGAAGATGAAGAGACGACGACGTTTCAGTCCGTCCTGGACCATTATCAAGTCGATTGTAATGAGAGCGAGTTCTTGTTGTTTTAGATTCAGCTACTCGGAACAAAAAGTTCCAAATAGCAGGGGCTATGGTGAGCCCATAGTGGACTTAACTGACACAGAAACGGGTCTGTAACTCGTGGGAGCGAGATTGATTGATGAAGATTAGGCCACCCAGTAGGTGGCATGGGCATGAATAGACCATAAGTAGTAGATTTTTTGGAGTGAATGTGATGTGGTAGCAAGAGGGGCATGGGTATTAAGTAAGGCAAGAGTGAGGTACCTACCATTTACCTTGTTCTCTTACCTGCTCCTCACCTCACTCTTGCCTTACTTAATGTCAGTGCCTCCCTCGCACCCCAGAGACATGGCAGTAGCCATACAGACTCAGACTTGGTTAAAAGTGCTGCTGGAAGGTAATAAACCCAATAGTTAAAGAGTGCCATATCTGTGGAACAGATGCAGAGGCGCCACTATTGCATTACTTACTGGAATGCGAAGTAAGTGAAGCCCTGCACATCAAACTCAACATTAATCCAACGACAGCAGCTGCATTAGATGCAAATTCCACAGCAACTACAATAATTAGAAAAGCGGTTGAAGAATGTAACAAACTAGTGAATACTGTGCATCTATATCGCCACCAAGATAATGTTATTAAAACAAGACTAAAACCTGTGTGCTAAAACAGAAGCAAAAATGAAACGGGGGGGAAATGGAGGTAGCCCCCACCTCCATCTAAAACTTTGACCCAAATATCACAGTAACAAGGCTATTGCGAATAACCGAACTCAGTTACGGGCTCACTATAGCCCGTGCTACATGGACATTTCGTTCTGAGTAGCTAAATCTAAAACAACAACCTCCTCCTCGCTCCCATCACAATCGACTTGATAATGGTCCAGGACAGATAAAATGTTGTGATCTCTTCAACTTCTGGTGTGTGGTTTGGTCATCAAGTATATTCAAACTCAAATTCAAATGTTTATTCAGGTAAAAGTACATACATAGAAGATTAGTTACAAACATAATGTTGGATTTATAGAATTTATATATAATTGTTATTATTTGTTCATTATTTCTGTACAGACCAATTTGATATCTAAGTTAATTTGGCTTCCAGTTTGATAAATAAAGCTTTAAGGGTAATTTATATCAAAAACACATTCCTGAGCAAATCATTCTGGTGATTTTTAAAGTGAAATCCCACAATGTTTTTAGTCTGCATCATGTATAGTTATTCAGGGTTACATACTGACACTAGCACTACAGAAACTTTTCAAATGTCCACTTCAGGGTTATTAAAGATGCTCTCACTACTAGTATTTATTAATTGATCTGAAGAGTGACCTATACTGACTACAGTACTATCAGGACCACCAAGCACATCTGAAAACTCTGACCCCCAACTACTTCAAATGCTATTTAACTAAACAGTAATTTTGTGCACAAGGAAAGTAGGGAAAAAAGAAGAGAAGAGAAGCAGCAAAATGATATGTTCAAAATATGCTTTTCCTATACTTAACAGTATATACATTTAAATTTCTGAGCTCTCACATTTGGCTGCTCTCTAAAGTAAGCTTCTTACATGGATGAAGAATGAAAAGAAAAGGGAAACTCAGCTTGGAAAAACATCAGACATAAAAATAGAGAAATATGTATAACAATTATCAGACTAAGGCTGGGACATACCAAACTAGCAGCACATAGCTATAAATACAGGACATAAATGAACATTGCATCCACTGCTATATTCCAGAGGCAATCGTACGTTACCTCTTCCACTGCTTCAGACATCACAGTGCTGGAATGAACACTGAGCAAATATTAGAGGGGTATATGACCTCTCACTGCCTCTCACACCAAGTAGTTAAAGCATGCTGATAAATGCACTTCAACACCTACAAAGTCACTGGAGGGGTTCTTACTCAAATATTTATATAGAGCATTTCATGTCAATTGTGTAAATTATGTTTTTACATTGGTCTCTTAGAATTTATTGTGGCTAAGCTAACTTAGTGCAAAGATTGACGTACTAAGCAATTAGAATGCATACTACAGTATTCACTTTATTGAGTCCAAAAAAATGAAGCTAAAAACAAACTTAAATATTCCTAGGCCTAGTATAGCACACATATGTACTGTATTAGGCCTAGGAAGGTTAGGTTAGGTTAGTTTAATTTGTCTTTGCAACATAAATAGAAAATATTTTCTGGTCTGTCTAAATTCAATAGTACCGATTTATTCTTTCTAATTGCATTGTACATTGGTATATGTATTATGGTCCTCATCATTACTATAAGTACAGTACTACCAAAACAAGAGGATGGGCTGTCATATTATATACAAACTCAGTTTATCTGCAGGATGTTTACAAATAAAATATTTGTACTGTCCCACTGTGATTGTCTCCATATGAACCCTCCCTTAGTCCCACTCTCCCAGGAGGAAGAGTAAGGTGTTGAAGCCATAGAGGCACAGTAGATAGGTGTACTTATTAGATTACATAAATTAAAGAACTATAAACTTAAAAATATGATAAATTTTACCTTCAATAAAGCTTAAATTAGTATTCAAACTGACATAGTGAAAATCAACTAGATATGTGTCTCAGGTTCTACTTTTGGTTTAGAGTCCTGTAAGCACATTATGTGTCATATATATTGAACTTTATGTAAAAAATCAACAACTTGGGTGCTAAATTTTCATCACTACCATCAGCATGGGAGATATTTTGTGCTGGTTTGGCTCCGTGAAGGCCCATACGGAACAGAATGGATGGATGGTCAGGTTACTGTTGGCTCAGATGAAATATTCAACATCCTTGTGGAAGGAATAAGAGCAGACACCCCAGATGGTTGTATTGCCATAGACAGTATTACCTTGACTCCTGGCCCTTGCATAATATCAGGTAAATACTGTAACTTAATACTGCTGCATTCTGCATTATAAATACTGTATATATACATCATCCATATGTATATAAATATATACAGTACTGTATATATACTGTATATACATATGTAAGATTTTTATATTTGTTCTCTAATAACCAGTTTTATAAGTAGTGTAACTACTTAAGTTGTATACTTATTCTAACTGAACCTTAACAGAGGAGTCTTGTGATTTTGAGGATGCTCACATGTGTGGATGGCAGCTTCTTGGAAGCCCAGGCCCCAGTGATCCCACGTGGGTATGGACTAATGGTCAAGATATCTTCGAAGTCGATCACACTACAGGAACTATTTATGGTCATGACCTGAGAGCCAAGAACAACTTGAATAGCAGTGCACTGAACACAGCCAGAATCTCCTCAAAGCTCTATAATTCACAAGGTGTTTCATGTGTGAGGTGAGATATAACATTGTATTTTATTTATTATATGTTATGTGTATTCTTCTTCTTATTCACATTTAGTAAAAAACATATTAATAGATACAGATGAAGATGAATGCATATTTTGTTTCAAATTAGTTGTAATAAAAATAATTCCATCATAGATATGATAGCTCAGTGATCTTAATACCAAGGTAAAAATCTAACAGTTTCAGGATCAAATCTAGACTGTTTGAGCACTGGTTTGACCATGTTCTGATTGACTCTAGTAAAAATTTAGCTTGTCTACAAATCTTTTGATAAAAGAAGGGCAGTTTAATGTGGATAATGCTTGGGTTAACTTGTAAATATGCTCAGTAATCCAAGCTTTCTGGCTGCCTAGTCATCCATATTTCAAAGATATGAGAAAAAATTGCTGTAGTTAGGCCTAGTCTGTATTGATAGGGTACATGATACAAGTCTAAGAAATTAAATAGGCAAGAAGCTCTAAACTATAAGCCAAAACTTCTGATAAATATTAAAAAAATCATTGGATTAAAGACAGAAAATCTTGCCTCATTAACCACTGCGCTGCATTATTTATTTATTTATTTATTTATTTATGCATATACAAGAATGTACATAAGGAATGTGAGGATACAATTATGGTAATTACAGTCTTGTAAAGCCACTAGCACGCGCAGCATTTCGGGCAGGTCCTTAATCTAAGAAAATTTTAAGGAGGTAAATACTTGCAAAATTTATAGACAAAAAAATGATAACAGATTACATGGAATGAAAAAAAAAAAAAAAGATGAGAGAAAATTATAGGTACAGTATATTAAAGCACATAGGTAGCTATGATTGATTGCAATGACAGCTTAAAATGGTAGTTGACAAAAATTGGTAGTCACAATACAGCATATGGCTAGCACATAAAAGAAGACAGCAATGAACACAATGATAAGGTTGTTTGATATTACATAAAAATTAGGAGATTGGGTACCACTAGGTACAGAGCAAATATGACACTATTTGTCATATTTGTCATATAAATTAAAATATGACACCCCCTTGGTTCGCCAAAAATAAATTCTTTCCCAAAAATTATTTTTCTCTTCTTACATTATTAAAATGCAGTCTCTGATTATGGGGAAACTAAAAAAAAAAAATTGTATGTGACATACTTTAGCTGTGATGGAGCTGGGAAATCGAGCAAATAATGGGTGCTGAGCGATGGAGCGTTCGGGATTACTCTGTCCACCCCATGGGGTGGCAGTTGTCACGAATATAATGTTTCACAACTATTTTGATGTTTCTCATTCGTTTCCTCTCTGCATTTTTTATTATTCAAAAGTGTGTAAATTGTGGAATTTATATAGTTCAATGTGTGGAACATCTATATACTCAAAATTATGGGGCTCATATATGTGACACATATATTCTACAATCAATCTAATGGTGTTTTTGCTGTTATGACACTATATACACACATTGTATATACCTATCTACATATGTGTTCACCATAACGAACCACTAAGTTGGTATGGTGAGCCCAAAAAAACAAAGAGTGGGCTGCCACACCAGGCCAGCCCTCCCTCACTCCTTCAACACCTAACTCGCCAACATTACTCCTCCCACAATACTGAACTAAGCTGTTATGGTGTTCAAACAACATAGTGGCAACAAAAAACTGCATGACAAGTACAGCAGCCAGCAGACTACGCTAGGAGATAATGCCAACTCTCCCTCCCTCCCTCCTCACCAAGATTACTCCTCCAACCATACTGTGCACATCGCTAATTCTCACCACAATCCTGCTATTATCAGAATCCTGGTCATTAAATCCGGTAAATGAATAATTTTCCACAAGTTTATTTTGTAAAGGAACATGAGAAGTCATTTGAAGATTCTTTGATGGATGAAATAATGGCAGTGTGCTGTGGCTAGTGCTGTGAACATCTTGATCAGCATTGATTCACTGATATCTGAACATTGTATACAGTCTTTATCACAGTCAGGTTCTTCTGTAATACTATCATGGCTAAATAATACCAGTTACATATATATTTATACTTTTTAGGCGATTCTGTGGTCACAAACAGAACAGCAGTGCTGTTAGCTCATGCTGCGTGTGCCAGCCTTGGTTGCTCACTCAGTACTGACGTTCTCACACCCAGGAATGTTGCCTATGATTTAAAAAAAAAATGCCGTCTGTTTACGAGAGCCCTGAGGAAGCTGACAAATAATAAACAATGAATTCCTGAATAAATATAATGGGTATAGGTACAATATATCCTAAAGATAGGCATCCCATGGCTTGCTGAAGTCACTTAAACCAAAGGTAGTGTTGTTTTAATATGATTACCAATCCAGTTACTGGCATTAACCTAACTTGACTGAGTGATGTCACATTATTATGCCATTTAGTTTGCAATAATTATTATTTATTATAAAATTAAGACATCCCAAAATTTTGATTAAAATTATTTTTTCTTTCACCAACAGATTCTTTTACTTTGCACTGCAAGGAACTGCTGCATCACTCAGGGTCTTCTATGTTGAAGATGCCAGTGTTACACCTGAGGAGCTTGTGAGTAGCAACAATGTAGTAGTTGTATAATATATTCTTTCTATATCTTGATTTCAACAGAATAATTGCTGAAGAAAACAGTTTTACTTGTGAAAATATTTGAAAACTTTATTCGTAAATTTATTTGTAAAACATAAATTACTGTATAAGAATGATAATCAGTGTGTTGTAGACACTCATTTCTCTTAATTTCAGACTTGCTTCTTTATATGAGAGTGTATCTGATTCTGAGATGGCCAAACTACTAATATTCTTTACTAATACTCTATATATTTGTCTTTAATAGTACAATAAGTTTTAGCTGTAATACAATAAGTTTTTATTAAATTAGTAAAATTGTTTTCATGAAGTTCATATTATATTAGGCAAGTCTGAAGTTAATGAATATAAAAAGTAGAAGTTATATTATTGAGATGATAGTATAACTAAAGTACGTATATTGTATATTGACTATATGCAAGTACAGTAATATGTAATGTTTTATAAAGGAAATCATAACTTATTTTATGATTTCAGCTAAATAATAATACATTTATGAATGAGAATACTGTATATAAGTACTGTATAGTATATTTTATGCATGTCATATGACAGAGTACTGGGAAGATGGGACACTATGAGCATACATCTCATCTAGTGTAGAAATTAGTAGAAAGAAGCTCACAAGTGTGTGCTTGTTTCTACTCATATAAGAGTACGATTATTGACACTCGTCCTTACTAAATAGTGTTTAGTAAGTAAATAGTAAATACGATCTTCATAAAAAATAGCAAGTCCTCCTTGGAGGTACTGTGATACACACCAATCGTACACCAGGTCACAAATGTCTACCATACAAGGAACTCGTCCTTTTCACTGTAAGTAAAATTTAGTTATACAGAGAAAATGGTATTTTAAATAATAGATTGTAAAATTACAATTGTTTATATGTGCAGAGGTGGCTGCTGAACTGGAGGGAGTTTTAAAAATGTATTTACAAACTCATTACAAAGGTCCCTTTCATACACCAGTAAATGCACTTAGTTAATTAATTACCTGTTACTTTTATAAGATTTTCCTATACTGTATTGGGCTAATAAATAAGCTATGAAACTTGTCCAAAGCTAGCACACATATTTTGATTTTGTAAAAAGTCTCTTTCGAAGCTTCAGCATTCTGCTGCTCCTATAAGCATAATGATCCACAGCACCTTAATGGGATCATAGCACAGTCTAGCAGGAAAACATACAACTTAGATGTTACCAGGACTGCAACACCCTTAATTCATAATAATAATTCCTTTTGTCAGAGATAGATAGCTTGTGTATATTGATAAGTTAGGCTGATATTGAGGTTGCCTCAAGGTGAAACTACTGACCTGCACCTGGATGTAACCTCACAGCAGTTGATTAACTCCCAGGTACGTACTTACTGCTAGGTAAACAGAGACATTAGATGAAAAGAAATGTGTCCAGCCATTTCTGTCCTGCCCAGGATTCAACCCTGAATTCTCAATTGTGAGAATGAAACGAACTGTACTACCGAGTCCATTTAAAAGTACTTGGCAGCCACCAGAGCTAAGTATTCATCTGACCAGTGTATCCGGGTCTCTTATTCCCCCTTTTTCTGCCTTATTCCCATCTTTGCCCCATCTCCTCCTCTGCACTCATTTCCTCATTGGCCCTCCACATCATCCCTCACTTTATCCTCCTCCTCTACCCTCTCATCCTTCTTTCAATAAGGATATTATTAAGAAGCATTGGAACAACTCTTATGGGTCTCAGAAAATGTATTATGTATTACAAAGCACTGAAAAACTCTATGGGAAACACCAAATAATTCACACTTGACTATGAAAATCACATGGAGGTCTCTGTAAAGGCTAATATTTTGTAAAGTATTTAACTCAGGATGACCCTGTCCAGCCTATGTCCATCTCATACCACAAACTATCTCTCCTGTAAAGCTGGGTGTCTGGCCCCAAGCATTTGGCCTCCACCCTTGGACAGACAGACTAGCAGACATTCTCTCCTATAGATAGAGATAGTTTTAATTATTTGGCAAAAGACATATTGGGAATTTATTTATTACTTTATACAGTAACAGTGACATAAATGCTGTCACAGTTATAATCAAGAAATGGCTTGATTATCATATTTTATTTGAGTTACATAATTTGACCCTTAAGTTTTGTTTACAGGCTCCAGTAATAGTATGGGAAACATCTGTGGGTAAAGTCTCAGAGTGGATGGAAGGCCGAGTGGACATTACCGTGAGCTTCTTCAAAATACAAGTACAAGCTGTTTTTGAAACTCCAGACAACAGCACTTATTCGTTTGTGGCCTTTGATGATTTTAGTATCCATTATGGCACTTGTGGTAATGCAGGTTTGTTCAATATTAAATCATGTTATTCTTTTATATTTTAATGAAGTTTATATTCTTATGTACAAGTGTTTATTTTTAATTTACAGAATAATTAGTGTCCAAAAGTATAATATTTTGTAGAAAACAATTTTTGTATGCATATGATCAAATAAAATTAACTTCTCTTCAGCTGAGTGCAATTTTGATGGCAAGCATCTTTGTGGATGGACTCATTCGCTAGATGAAAAGGCTTTCTGGGATATCACCATAGGCGAAGACCACACAAATGGCGAACTTGGTAAGCTTTAGTTTTATTTGAAGCAATAAAAGTGATTCATAAAGAATTAGAGCCTGGACTCATGGCATTTTGTCTCGATTTATTTTCTCACCTTTGCTCTAATTGTTTTTTTTAAATTATTACAACCATCAATAAAAATGTTCCTGTAATCTCAATAATTGTTACACAAATTATAGTAAAGCATGAAAATAGTCTAAAATATCATTATATGTAGAAATATTGTGTTTAAAAGTGTATCTTTAAATAATGCAGGTGGTGGAATGCTAGTATTAGAGCCCACAAGATATGAGCTGGGAGATGCTGCAGTACTCAGGAGCCCAATCATGGATCCTGCTGCAGCTATATCTGCTTGTCTTCAGTTCTGGTTCCACATGAATGACACTGCAGAAGGCACAGTTAATTTTTATATTGAGGTATAGTAATACCTTTCTAAATTCATCAGAATTACAAAGGCCACTGTAACAAGGCAATGATAATGACAGTGACAGAGATAATGACATTGAGATAGATTGGAACACTGAGAGTGATGGAGCCAAACAGTGATACAGTATGTATAAAATGTATTTTTAAGTTAATATTTTTGGGGTGTGGAACACATTAATTAAATTTGCATTACAGTATTTCTTATGGGAAAATTCGTTTCGGTTTTCGAATTTTAAGTTTTTGAACCGTATCTGGGAACAGATTATATTTGGAAATGAAGGTACCACTGTATATATATGTGCGTATGTATGTGTGTTATAATATGTATGCTAGGCTTATATCAAGGTCGTCCCAAGGTAGATCTTCCACAGGATGCATCCCCACAACAGTTCTTAACTCCCGAGTACCAATTTACTGCTAGGTGAAAGGTAACGTGCCCGACCATTAATGTTCCATCGCCTAATGTTAAATTCAAGAGTTGCAACAACATTACATACACTTCAATAATGGTTAGTGTAATGGCTTGATGAAATTTGGGATCAGATGATGCATTAATTGATAATGTATTAACATATAAATAATGATGCATTAATATGACATTACAATAATTTAGTGTCTTTTTCTTCAATTTAAGTATAGTCATTTAGTATACTGTATAGTCATTTAGTTGCATTCTTCTTGTCATTGAAAAACTAACAATTTTAGTGAGATTTAGTGAAATAATGTAGAAGGATCCCTCATGCTTCCAAAATAAATTAAATTATTTTACAGATTAGTGCTAAAGTGCACACTGATTTTGTCATCAATAGCTTAAAGTATCATAGCTTTAATTGTCTTGAAGCTTAGCAATATATTTTCCTGTCATCTCTAACTTTGCGACACCAATTCAGATTTCTTTGTTGAGTTAGCTTATGTTTTCTTACATTTTATACATTTAATATGCAATTGTGTAAATTTGCACAGAATAAGGTGAATACTTAACATATATTGCATTATTCCATGCAGCCCGTGGGACAGCAACGCATACTGGTGTGGAGTATGAGCGGCACTCAACCAAGTCCCTGGAATGTGGGCCGTGTTCCACTATATGGAGTAACAGATGGCCATTTCTTTATTAATATGGAAGGCGTTGTGGGAGCTAATCAACTGGAGAAGATATGTCAGTATTGAATGTTTCTTCTTTATATTCACATTATAATTATACTATATAAGAATACAGTAGTGCTCTGGTATGATAATTATTTGGTTATATGGGGAAAGCTCAACCAGGCATCCTGGTTGATGTCCTCATCATACAAACTGTTGGTGTTTGCAGTTTACAGTCTACTTGATCAGGTATACTTGTTAGTTGTTTAGTGAGTTTTCTTTTGTAAAACAAATAAGGGATGCACTGTTAATTTTCCTTATACTTAGAGGAAAGGTATTTAAACTTCTCAGGCCTTTATATTACAGTATAAAGAAAGCATTTAATTTTTTCATATGTCAAATATTAGAGTCAGCTTGCTTATTTAGCACCAGGTTTACAAGAACATGGTCTATCAATTGTTTTATATCCAGGTCCCTAATTATTGCAGGGGGGTACACAGGAGCAAATACTCAAGGAATTGCCTTACTCATGCTCAGGATTTGAATCTGAGTTGTTCCTCACTTGGATGTCAAGAAAGTGAGCATGATAGGCTATACACCAGTACAGAGATGCAGAACTAGAAAGCAAAATTGGTTTAACATAAATTGCAAGAGAGCCAGAGAAAAAAGACAAAAAAATGGAATCAATACAGGAAGAAACCAACCAAACCCTCCAACATACCAGCAATACAGAGAAGGAAGAAACAACTATGCGGCAGTGAGAAGAGAGGCAGAAAGAAATTTTGAGGGATGATATAGAGGACAAATGTAAAATAAAATTAGGCTTATTCTGTAAATTCATTAAATGTAAACTGCAAGTAAAGAATAAATTCAGAGGTTGAAAATGGAGAACAGATTCACGGAGAATGAAAAGAAAATGTGTGAAACACTAAATGAACAGTTCTAATGCGTTTATGCAAAATTAAGTCTTCAGAGAGCCACACACAGTACGAATTTTAGAGAATAAAAGAATACATAAAGGTGTCTTAAGACGAAGTGGAAAAATATGCTCAAGGTACTAAGTAAGAACAGAACAGAACAGTTGGCTCAGATGGAGTTTCATCTTGGGTTCTTAGAGAATGCACATCTAACCTTAGCATTCCACTTCAATTTATTTTTCAGGAGTCTTGGCAGATATATGGAGTAAGGCAATCATAGTTCAAATCTACAAAAATGGGAATAGGGAAGACCCTCCTAATTATAGACCTATGTCATTAACAAGTGTTGTAGTCAAAACATTAATAAAATAATTAAAATAAAATAGGCAGAACACTATGGAGAGAAATAAAATTATAACAGACAGTATGGCTTTTGAACAGGAAGGTCCTGTGTAACAAATCTACGTAGATTCTGTGGTGGAGACAGAGATTGTACAGGAAAGAGGTGGTGGTTGAGTTGAATATATTTATCTAGACCATAAAATGGCTTTTGGCAGAGACCCACATAAAATGATATTCTGGAAATGAGAACATATTGGAGGAGTGAAAGGGAGATGTCTGATATGGGTGAAAAATATTCTGACAGAAAAATGAGTGCAGTAATCAAAGGCAATGTATCAGACTGGAGAAATGTTACTAGTGGAGAACCACAGGATTCAGTTCTAGCACCAGTAATGTTCATTGTCTATATGAACAATCTACAAGAAGAAATACTGAATTATATAAGCTTGTTTGCTGATGATGCCAAGCTACTAGGAAAGATAAGAAACTTGGTCAATTGTCATGTCCTTTAAGAAGATCTGGACAAAATAAGTGTATGGAGTAACACTTGGCAAATGGAATTTAATGTAAATAAATGCCACATTATGAACTGTGGAATAGGAGAAAATAAGCTACACACAACCTACAAATTATGCAAAAAAGCTTTAAAGAATTGTGATACAGAAAGAGAACTAGGGGTTGTTCTAGATAGAAAACTGTCACCTGAAAATCACACAAAGAACATTGTATGAGGAGTCTATGCTACTCTTTCCAACTTCAAAATTACTTTTAAATATGTGGATGGCAAACTATTAAAGAAATTGTTCACAATATTTGTGTGACCAAAATTGGAATATGCAGTGGGTGTATGGTGCCCATATCTCAAGAAGCACATCATTAAACTGGAAAAGGTGCAAAGGCATGTAGCTAAATGGCTTCTGGAACTGAAAAAACAAGAGCTACATGGAGAGGTTATAGGGTTTTAATTATGCCAAAGTTAGAAGATAGAATGAAAAAAGAGGTGGTATGATCACTACATACAAAATAGTTACAGGAATGAACAAAATTGACAAGGAAGAATTCTTCAAACCTGAAACTTCAAAAACAAGGGAACATAGATTCAAACTAAGGAAAAAAAATGCCCCCCCCCCCAAAAAAAAAAAAAATAGAAAGTTCACTTTTGCAAACAAAGTGATAGACAGTTGGATCAAGTTAAGTAAGAAGTTGGTGGAGGCCTAAACCGTCAGTAGTTTTAAAGTGTCAAATGACGATGAGTACTGGGCAGACAGGACACCACAAGCAGCTCTTATCTTGTAACTACACCTAGGCAATTATTACGATATGCTTTTCTTTGCATACTTATTGCATCTATACTTTTCAGTTGGGCTATTTTTTAATTTTTAAACTTTTTCTTGGTTTCATAAAGGAACCATTTGGTTCCTTAGGAGACTTGGTCTCATATTGAACCACTGCCTCTTAATGGTTTCTAGATGTAGATTATTATGTATAGGACTGCATCTCTCTTACTTGTATTTCTGGGAATTATGGACGCAACACATAAATTTTTTGTATCATCCATAAAGGATGATATCGATATTCCTTGATTTAATTTATCTGAGGGCCACCATATCTAGTTTATTTAACAATACTGGAGTAGATTACAGTTTGGATAAGGAACTTTATTATTATTTTATTCTATGACAGGCTACTTTTTATGCAGATATTGATGACTTGCTGACATTCACTGGTCATTGTAACATCTGGCCTGAAGATGCTCAACCAATTAATAACACGGACTTTACATCCACTACCATTCAGGGAGGATCAACTACTACACCAGGTAAGTCAAAGTTTCTGAAATGCATTTGTTAGAAAGGCCCAGCTGTATTGGGGAAGTTTATAAAAGTTAATAACAGAACAAAGGAACAAACCAAAAATAGTAGGACACCGGAAATGAATGGAGGAAGCATGTGTATAAAGTGAATAGAAGAGAGTTGTTGAGCATATAAGGAATTGGCAGATTGATATTAAATGAGGCAAAGACTTTTACTCAGGAAGAAAACCATGTGTGTGAGTTAATGGTGTAATATATGTAAATTGTTTGATAATTTTGTTGAAGTTTGTCAAGAATATGTAATATCCTCATAGTTGTTCATTGTGTGTATATATGTGATTATGTGTATGTATGTATGTATGTACTGTACATATGTATGTATGTACTGTACATATGTATGTATGTATGTACTGTACATATGTATTATCTCCGAGACGTAATGTATCATCTTAAAGCAAAGCTGTACTAATGCTTAGCTTTTTAGAGCTACTAAAGGCCCATAAAAATGAGCATTTCATTATATTCAATGCGTGATTATTTATCATTAACTTCTGGCTCTGTGGAATGAACTTATCTATGATATTTGTTTCTTATGGGAAAATAGGTTTTGTTATAGCATTGACCTTATAGAATATATCATGCACTAAAGCATTTATTTTTAATTAAAATACTATTTAGCTTCTAATGTCATCACATTAAAATGATCTATGTTAGATTTAAATTTAAACTGCATTTCAAACATTTATTTGCTTTCTTGTAATTACCCAAGTGTAGTTACAGGATGAGAGCTATGCTTGTCGTCCTGTTTTCTCAGTACTCTGTCATATGACGCTTTGAAACTACTGATGGTTTTGGCCTCCAGTCACCCCACTTAACTTGTTCCAACCTTCTACCACTCTGTTTACGAAGGAGAACTTTCTGATATTTTTTTGGCACCTATGTTTCCTTAGCTTGAATCTATGACTTCTTGTTCTTGAAGCTAAAGGTTTCATGAATTCCTCTTAGTCAATTATTTCGATTCATGTTTTTGTTTTGTACATAATGATCATATCACCTCTTTTTCTTCTATATTTTTGCTTTGGCATATTTAACACGGTTAATATTAGCCTATCCTCATAGCTCTCATTTTTTGGTTCCGGTAGTCATTTTGTAACATGTCTTTACAACTTTTCCAGTTTTTTTATGTTCTTTTTGAGATGTGGGCACCAAACAACTGCTGCATATTAAAATTATTTTGATCTCACAAAAGTTATGACCAGTTTCTTTAATATCTCTCCATCCATGTATTTAAAGGCAATTCTGAGGTTGGAATGTGTAGCATATGCTCCTCACAAAATGTCCTTTATGTGTTCCTCTGGTGACAGTCTTCTATCCAGAACCATCTCTAAATCATTCTTTGTTATAGTTCTCTAATGCCTTTCACCTACGTTGTATGTTGTGTATGGCCTATTTTACCTCCATATTTCCTAATGTGGCATTCATTCATATTGAATTCCATTGACAAGTGTTACTCCCTATACTTGTGTAGTTAGTGCCATAAAAATGAGCATATCAGTTGGCTTTATTCAATATTAATTTTCTGTACATTCTAATTAACCACAGGATCATGCTCTTATGTATATTTTTAAATAAAATTATTATTATTAATTGCATTGCCCTATACTTTCAGAACCACTTGGAGAAAACGATTGCGACTTTGAAAACCTGATGATGCCAACATGCATGTGGGAGGTTTCGTCAGCCAATGACACAGTGTCGTGGATTTATTGGCAAGGTCCTCCAGATACTGTGTCTCCTGGCCCTTCCAAAGATCATACTTATGGCACAGGTATGTTTTATGAATATTTGGTTGTTCAGCATAATGTTTGCAGAACAAAAATATTAGCTAATTACTTTGTGAATTTAATATTCATAAAATAATTTTTGAAACCTGGTTGACAACTTGAAAATAGTGAATTTTTTGTGATTCTTAATAAAGGTGACATAAGATCCATTAACTACAGACTAGTATCATTAACCAGTGTAACAGTCAAATCATTAGAAACTGTAGTTAAAATTTAATCATTGGAATATCTTGAATTATATTTTTTATAAAAATCAGTCTTTCGTTTTAAGACTGGACAACCTTGTGCATAAAATTTGCATAGCTTTTATGACATAGCGGCATAAGAAATTGTTTTGGAAATGTGATCATATTGTAGGAGGAAAAAGGAACACTAATAGTGTAGATTAAAAAGTCCTAACAGGTAGAAAGATGAGATCTAATTGGAAGTCATAAATTAGTTTGGAGTGATGTCACTAGTGAAGTAACTCAGTTCGGCTCTAACACCCATAATACTCAATGTACACATCGGTGGTTAACCTACAGGAATACAGAGTAATATTAACAAGCTATGATCTTGGGAGGCATGAATACCCAAAGGATTGCCTCCCTCCAAAATTCTATAAATAAAAGAAGTTAATGGAGTAATACGCGGTTGATTTCATTTAATGTGGATAAATGCTGTTTAATGGGGTTCGTAATAAGTGAGGCAAGGCCACATTCTGTGTAAACTTTATGAAAATCTATTAAAATTATACATACAAGGACAATGGGAGAGGGAACATGTCCCTGAAAATTGTATATACTAACATAGATGGAGTGAGATAAAAAATACTGGAGCTAAACAATGTAATATAGCTTAAGTTGCCAGATATTGTTGAACTAACAGAGACGAAACTTAAAGATCATATTTTACATGAGGTTGTGTTCTCAAGAAGCTACTCAATTTGGAGATGTGACAGAGAAATTAGGAAAGGCGAAGGTGTTGCCATGCTGATAAAAGAAAACCTGAAGCCGACATAATAGCACTGGAGATCTGTAATTAGGATAATAAACTAATACTCATAATGCCTACAGTCCATCAGCAAGCAACACATGGACAAAGGAGCAGCTGGATGACAAACAAGAGTCTCATAAAAACCATGAGAGAGATATAGAAACAGCAGATAAAAATAAATCACAATTGTTAGTACTTGGCGACTTCAACTTGAAATCAATAGACTGGGAGGTCTATAAAGCAGGCCTACGACTAAAAAATCTTAGACAATTATCATGACCTTCAAGAAGATCAGGACAAAATAATTGTATGGAGTAACACTTGGCAAATGGAATTTAATGTAAATAAATGTCATATTATGGAATGTGGAATAGAAGAAAATAGGCCGTGCACAATCTATAAATTATGTGAAAAAGCTTTAAAGAATTCTGATAAAGAAAGAGATCTAGGGATGATTCTGGTTAGAAAATTGTCCCTAGAAGACCACATAAAGAACATTGTGCGAGGAGCATATGCAACGCTTCCCAACTTTAGAAGGTTTGTGACAAAATGAGTGCAGAAATTGTTTTATTTGGCCGCCTAATTTAATGGGATATCCTCTTGCTCACACTAATCAAGATGAAGTAAGTTACACTGTAAATAATTTTTTTTTTTATTTATAACAAATTATTAGATACTGCGTACTAGTACAGTGGAACCTCGGTTGACGACCGTCCCTCTTTACGAATTTTTCGGGTTACGATCTCATTTTCTTTGTAAAATTTGACTCGGTTGATGACCTTTACCTCACTTGGTGACGAGTTTGTTGATACACGTATTGGTCGACTGAACACGTGATTCCTGGTGGCACAGGCAAGGTGTGCTTCAGTTTACCAATGCCTTCCGCCTAGTGACGATCGAACTTGAATTCTTTGTGAAGAATTTCATTGCTTCTGTGCTTTTATGGTTTCTGAACATAAAAGTTCTTATTATATATCATGCCATGGATTCCAAAAAAGTCAGTGGTAAAGCTCAACCTAAGAAAGAAGTTGTGAGGATGAAGATAGAGGAAAAACAAGAGATGTACGTGATGTCTCACTACAGACAAGTGTTAAAAGCGAAGGGAAAAACAAATGTCTGTAGACAGAGTCTTAGTAAGACAAGCAAGCAGTGAGCCACAACCAGGTCCCAGAGGTATGCCTATGCCTGCAAAATGTAGGAGAGAGAGAGTAGCCTAGAGAAGTCATCACTGTCTGATATTATAATGTAATCCCCTTCCAAACACTAACACATCTTCTCCTCCTCCCCCCCCCCCAACTTCTCACTGTCTTCCATACGCCAACAAGAATCATCAATAAAAGTATAAAAGTAAGATATAACTTGTACATACTGTAGTACAAAATTTTTGTAGTATTATGCATGAAATGTATTTTGAAGTTAATATTTTTGGGAGTATGGAACGGATTAATTCAATTTACATTATTTCTTATGGGAAAATTTGTTTCGGTTTGTAAATTTTGGTTAGCAAATTTCGGTTTACGATGCGTCTCTGGGAATGGATTACATTTGAAAATAAGAGGGGCCACTGTACTGTATCATCCTGATTTGTTGTTGATTTCTATAACATTAACTGTCAATCTGTACCGTATTGGGAATTTTATGTTTTATTATATGCTGTATACCTCAATTATTTCATTTTCTTTTTACTACCTTTTGTATTAGATACTGGTCACTATATGTATGTGGAAGCTCAATGGTCATACCCGCCATCATCTGCACTCATGTACCGAGGACCAATAGAGGATGTTCAGTGTTTCCATTTCTGGTATTACATGTTTGGAGAGAAAACTCCAGACCTCATTGCCTCTACTGAAGAAAATGGTATTTTGAATCATCCAATGTTCTTTAAGACTGGTTCACAAGGAGACTTCTGGCACCTAGCCTCTATGGATGTGCAGATCAGTTCAGCAACATATAATGTATGTACCTAAATGATGCTGATATTGAATTTTGTTGATATATCTGGAGAATATAAAGGCAAATAAATAGTTAGGAATATTAATTAATTTATTCTTATTTCAGGTTGTTATCAGTGCAGTGTGGAATGAGTCTAGTCAGGGTATTATAGCAGTGGATGATCTTCAGCTTCATACAGGTCTTTGTATTCACAGTCCAAATGATCCACATGCTCTCCATGACTTTGAGGAGAATGGTTCTATGTTTGACATAGTTGATGGTGGTCAAGTTGATTGGAGCACCATGAGTACTGGTGAGCAGCCAGACCACACACTTGGCACTCTGCAAGGTGAGGTTTTATATGTTTTAATATAAAGGAAGGTACAGTGGGTTATGTTAATACATGTTTGGGTGTGCCATTTATGCATTCTCACAGCCACTAGGATGTGTTACTTTACTAAAATGGATACAAAATATTATTAAAATCATACAGAATTTTCGTGGAGAGCCCCTTCGGCTTCCCAGAGCTATACTGGGTTGATGTGTATGTTGGTAGGTGTTATAATATATGGTGGGCTTGCTATGGGGAAACTAGTGCTATTCAGGGGTAAGGTCAGTCAGAATAAAGATGTATCTATTTGGGGAGATCAGTAAGGCCCGGCCCCCATGGAAACTAGAAGTAGTGCTGACTACTTGGCTACACAACAAGGTCAGTCTAGGGAATGATCAAGATCTCCTACACAGGAAGAACGATACTCTTATAATTCATGTACTTATTTATTAACCCCCTTAACAGCCCCCCATATACATTCACACCAATAACAATAATAATAATAACTTTACCACACTACCTTACGTTAAAAGCCGTGGTCCACATAAGCAGGATACAAGGTTTTACACTGAACACAAGCTAGGGTAAAGCTCTACTATTGAATTACTTGAAGTTAGAGTCAGCTTAGGGTAGGGGGACCACGTGATTCCAACGGAACCCCCTTTAGAATAACTAGTAATATAACCTCTAAAAACACCTACTACACACAAAGTATACTACTCTACACATAGAACATGAGTATGCCAGAGATTGAATAATGTACTCAGTATACTTATCTTAAACAAGACACAGAAATAAGGAAATGAAGAGGAAAGAGGAGGTAGTTCCTTTCACCACAGCCAGCAACTAGAGAAGACCGCTTCAGCCCAGATCAGCCTCCCACATCGTGTGGTGCCGGGAAGAGCCTAATTGATCGTGCAGCTAAGCACATTAAAAATCTTCCCCTATGCAACATATCGTTACTTTACAAATGATTAAAGTATTAGTAAACATAGTTGGTGCCTATGTTATTATTTAATAATCAACCCCCAGCTCAGTCTTTAAATGCTCTTTGAGAAACAAGAATAGTCTTACGTCTGGCAGGGAAGATACAAACAATATCACATCGAGTTGCGTTTTGCTACTCTAACGTAGCTTATTTAGTTCAATTATGACCTCTGGTTTCCACTGAAGAACCCAGGGTCGTAACAGTAGGCTAGGCTAGAACTTCATCGATTGACTGTTGCCACGGTCTAATATGTACACATCAGCCCGATATAGCCCCGGGAAGCCAGAGGGGCTCTTAACATAAAGTTTAAAGTACTGTACACAAAGTAGAAAGAAAACAACAGATATAAATTAGAAAAGATTAGATTCAGAGGTGACCTTGATAAATATGGGTTTGGCAGTAGGGTTGTAGATTTATAAAACAAATAATCAGGTAAGATAAGACTTGGGATTGCAAGATTGTTTCAAGTTTAGGTTAGACATATATAAATGAGTGTGGTAGATATAAATAGGAGCTTCCTCACATGGCCCAATAGACCTTCTGCAATTTCTTCTATTTTAATGTTCTCATGAATGAAATAGATAATAGAAAGAAATACAGTTATAACCTGTCATGTTTCAGAAGTAATTTTAACCGATTTGTCAGCTTTATAAAAGAGTGAAGACTTATTTATATAAGGGATACAGGGGTGTTAGTGGCTTTGCATGAATGTAAAAATACCAATCTTATGTAATCACACCAACCCATTGTACCTTCTTCCAAATAAATTATTATTATTATTATTATTATTATTATTATTATTATTATTATTATTATTATTATTATTATTATTATTATTATTATAGAAGGAATAGTTCAGAACATTGATAGTAAAAATCTAAATTCCTTTTCAAAGGAAACTTTGAAAGGTATACAATAAATGTTTAATTAAAGATGAAATCTGATGTATTATCATGCTCTGTTTGACAGGCCATTTTGCTAGAGCTGATTTATCACAACATAGTGCTGGAGATTGGGGGGAAATTATCTCTCCCATTTACAAGACTGAGGAGCATTTATATAGGTAAGATAAAGAATTTATGTTGCATAATATGTTCTTGTTTTTCTTTATTGAATAGTATTAAATAATATAAATTTGTTTAATTGATGCTGTATATATTTTAATATACAATATGACCTATTACTAAAAAATCTGCATTCTGTGAAGGGATTCATAAGTCTGGTGTTCATAATTCTGAAGCTGAATTTTCCCAGATGCAATGATACAAATGGGGATAAGTTCCCTAACTACCAAAAATGAACATATGAAACCCAAATTTCTGGTACTACTAGTATAAAAAACACTGATTATAATATACTTTGAATGATGGATGTATTCTGCTTGTTTGATTATTATTACATTATTATACATTATTATTATTATTATTATTATTATTATTATTATTATTATTATTATTATTATTATTATTATTATTATTATTATTATTATTAAATTATTACACAGAGAAATTATAGTAACGTGATGTATCAATGAGAAAATCCATAGGAGCCATGGTGAAGATTCGAACCTATGCTCTAGGTGTTCCCAAGCACATGCCTTAGACAACTAGGTCACGGCATTGTAAAAGGAAGGCAACCTGGGATTCTACTGAATCCACGGGGATTCATGAGGCTTCCACTGAAGCCAAACCAGGGTTTAACACAATCCCCCTTGCACTTTGGCTCATTGATACAGTACATCACGTTAGTGTGATTTCTCTATGTATTGAAAGATGAAGCATCAGAGACAGAATTTCTGGATGACAGAGTCCAGGAATTCCAAAGAAAAAACCAAGCATGGACTAGTAGTGCAGTTCTACTCTGTCCAACGATCAGGAAAGGGGAAGGGGAACAGCCTTACTCCTATGCCAGGTAAGTCCACTACGGATTCACCATAGCCCATGCTACTGGGAACAGTAATATATATATATATATATATATATATATATATATATATATATATATATATATATAATATTATATAATCTTAATTTATTTTGTCAGGCACTGGCAGAGTGTGTATGTAGTTATATGTTAGCCTTGTATTGAGGTCCCCTCAAGGTCAAACTACTGACCCCCCTCTAGGATGAACTCCACAACAGTTTACTAACGCCAGGGGTACCCATTTACTACTAGGTGAACAGAGGCATTAGCTGAAAAGAAATGTGCCCAATCATTTTCATCCTTCCTGGGGTTCGAACCTGGGATTCCCAATTGTGAGTCGAGATTGAATCCAACTGTACTACTGAGACCCTACTTGTGTAAAGGAGGAAATGTATATGTTTATCTCTCAGAATGTTCGGTAATATGTTTATTGTTTGTGATGTGTGTATATGTGATGTACTGAACGGGGTGAGAAGAGCTTGAGCTACCTCATCCCTTTGTGTATTTTACCTCAATAAACTTATTTCAATTTAAATTTAAATTTCAAACTGAGACCCTAATAACATACAGTATATATATAATAATAATTTATAATAATAATGTGATATATACTGTTAAAATATATAAACATGAAATGTGTGTGGTCCTCATGGACTGATCAGGGTGGCTAGTCCATGCACTTGGCCCAATAGTTATAGAAAAAGGCACAATGTACCAAACAAACAAACATGTATTTACACACAAGCTGTCTGTCCCTGACAAAATGAATGAATTAATAAAGGAATATATTTTGCACCAAAGTGTTGCCACAATTTTTTGCTAGTTTTAGATGTATTTTACTGTATCTTGAGTTTATTTTTTGTATTATTTTTCACTGATATCAGTGATTCAGGCCCCTTGGGATCATTTTTTTTTAGTTCTGTTGGGGATCAAGGCACATTAAAACTATTTTATTTGAAGTTACAACTTGTTTTCCAGGTGTATCAACTTCTACTATTACCTGTCAGGCTTGTCATGCACAGCCAAACTATCAGCATATATTCAGAGTACTGATGGTGCATTGGATACCTCAAGAGACAAGCCTAGAGAACTTATCTTTGAGCAGTGCGAGAGTCAAGGGAATCGTTGGGTAAAAGCTCAGAGATACATCAATGTGAAAACAAACTTTCAGGTAAGGTGAAAAAATGAAGGACATTGTTAACAGAGAAATACTTTAAGAACATGCTCATTTTGTAGGATTAGCAAAGTTGTTCATTTAAGATTAGTATTATAAATCTATATATTTTTTATGTAAACAAATTTGGTTTGTTTGCACTGTAAATGACAACTCACATTGAGACTCTGTAGATGATATAGTGAATGGACACGTCCTTCATGTATAATATTTATAATCTTCTTGCTCTATATTTTCTCTTTTGTCTCTCTGGGCTGATGCCTCCATACCCCATGCAAGTGAGAAATGAAGTAATGGTGATAATGATGTTGATATTACTTTTGAGTCGTTGATTTAAGCTGAGACACACAAAAAACATTACATATGTGAGATAAACTGGTTTTGATTGGTCAAAAACAAACGTTTGAGTTTACAACAGGTTGTGTATAGTCAATATAGTTATCTATGTTGTTTAGACAACAAAAGATCTGCATATCATAAGTAAATTTGGTTCAATATTCAAGAAAAAATTAATGGGGGAATTTTTAATTTGGAATGCTAAGGAGTGAAGGCATGAAAATATGTAAGCTGAAATAAACTGAGTGATAAAATGTGTAAGTCTTGGTTGCCAAGAGTGAGGCTGTTCATGTGCTCATCCATCCAGTGGCTATCTAAACCTAACTAATTAATAAGTGCATCATCAAATGCCTTGTCAGTGGCATTGAAATGTGAATAAAAGAATAGTGGTTGATTGGTGAGGCAAGTGTAGAGCAATGGTCCCGGGTTCGATTCCCGGATTGATGCATTGATTTGCATCATTTGCAGGCATCTGAGAGCTCAAAAAGGTTAACACAACAGCCTGCTACAGCTTGATTTGGGTGACACTTTCCAGCAGGACTTTGCAATTCTTCCCATACTGCACACATTTTCTTAATAAATGAGGAAGGGACATTCTCTACTCTACGTCAACAACCCTCATACCATTTTCATGTTTACGAATGATCTCTTGTTTTTCCTCTGTGGTCATCCTCACATGTGTTTTCTTAGATTGAACCTTATTACTGACTTTCTTGGGACCCATGGCATGATATATAATAGTTAGTTTTATGTTCAAAAAACAAAAAAGCACCAAAATAATGGAATTCCCTACAAGCGTGATCGTCACTAAGTGGACAGTTCTGGTAAACTGAGGCAGGTTGGCCTGTGCCACCAGGAACCATGCGCTCGGTCGACCCAAATGCGTATCAACGAAGGTCGTTAGTCTAGGGCACGGTCGTAAGTCAAGGCTTATTTTCCGATGAAATTTAAGTTGTAACTCGAAAAATTCATAAGTAGGGGCAGTCGTAAGTTGAGGTGTCACTGTACTATATTAGGCCTAAGATTGCATATGTGTGGCTTGAGGAATGCTGAAATTAGTTCAAGCAGAGGTTAAGTTAGGTTGCTGTATTTTTCATGCCCTTTAAAGTGCCAATAGCACAACATATGACAAATATTATAGTATACTGTTAAATTGTTATCAAATTTCTGCAGTGCATTCCACTCCATTGATAGCAAACCCATGTAAATAAAAATCTTTAATTGTTTTCTATTGCATATGATGTTGCTTGTACAGCTGTAACATAATCCTTCTATTATATCTGGATTTCCACTGGATAGAGTTCTGTCCAAGTAGGACTCCAATGTACTGTATTTTATTTTATCCTGAAATTTAGTAAACTAATTCATTGGAGTTGGAATTATTATGGATAATGTATACAAATATTTAACATCTTTTGTATTTCTCCACCAGCTGATCTTTAAAGCACAAGTTTTGAAGAATAACACAGAGGCTATCATAGGAATAGATGATATATACTCTAACATGGAATTATGTGAGGAAGATTTGTGTAACTTTGAGCATGACCTTTGCTCATGGACAAATTCAATTGACGATTCTGCTGACTGGCTGCTGCAAAGCCCAGAAGATGCTCTGCCAGGACCACCCACTGATCATTCTTCTAACACCATAAGTGGTCAGTTAATCAATGCTACAAATAACACTTGAAAAAATTATTTGATTTGTATTACCTCATGAAGTTATTTTGACTACACTGAAGAGGTGTATCTTCTAATTAAATACAGTATTACATATTTCAGAGGTAATACAGTATTAAAATATAAAATTAACAATTTGTGGTACTGTATTTGTTTTAGTGTCATTGTATTATAAATTAATTTGTTTTATGTTACAGGTCACTACCTAATTGTATCTGGGTACTTGATGCCAAGCCAAGGAGGATATGCTAACCTGGTTTCCCAGCATTATCCTGACACTCACCTTCACGGAGCATGCATGAGCTTCTGGTACAATGCTGCTTTTGCAAGTGGTTCGCTCATGGTAAGTATCACCTTCATTTTAATGGTTGTTGATAATTAATTATATTACAGTATTATGTTTTGCAGCTCTGCACATTTTAAATGATGCTTATTTAACAATTCCATGACATAATATTTAAAAGAGATGCTTTAAGTTTATGGTATTGTTGTTTATATTGACAGTATCAAACAAGAAATCTTTCCCATTGCAGATTTCAGCAGAACGAGGGAACAGCTGGCAAACATTGTGGAGTCTTCTTCATGGCACTGACCCTCACTGGCATTATGCAAAAGTTACTGTTAATCAAAGTGAGCCATTCAGGGTAAGTTTTTGACTAAATAAATATAAAGCATAATATAGCTCTTAAAACATTTTCTTGTATATTCTGAGTGATTTTTGTCACATTCTCTATGGTGTATTTGGTCTTCTAAGGTGTTTAGTGTTTTGGGATGTAAAAAGTTATGTTTATACTGCTTGGCGTTTGACTTTATGCAGCATTGTGTTGCCATGCACCTCATATTTAAGAGATCCACACATATTATTTTGCTAAGGTTCTTATGTGAAGAACTGGATGCATCTCAGAACCAAGAATTTCATTATGAAAATAAGTTTATACTGTACCATAAAATGCAAAGTTTTATTGACACAGTTTAGTACAGTATTTAAGGTGACATGTCCAGATCAACTGAATGATACTTGATATTCTTAAAATTTAAATCAGCCATACAACATTTCTTTCAACATTTTCACAAAACATACAAAAACCAACAACAGGTTTCCGAAGGAGACTGCATGTATTGACCATGCCCAAAACCAAAAATTTTGGTTAATAATTTCTCTGAATTTTTTTTTACTTAAATCAATAGTTGACCACTTGAAATTGGGAACCTGTATATAAAATGATTGGTAGTTCACATTCTAAGAAATAGTGCAGAATGAGCTAGTCTTTTCCAGTGTCAGGCCTAAGGCCTAAGTCCCAACATTTTTTTTTTTTACATGTAGCTATACAGCATATCCATTATCAGAATAATATTTCTAGAACATTCAATGAGCAAAACTCTTCAATCTCAAAAATGAAAACCAGCCATATAATATTTTTCATAATAGGCTCATTTACTTTCATGCTTAAAATATATTCTTAAGGTAAAGATTTTCTATGAATTTTTTAACCTATTTAAAAAATATATTTACAAAGATGTTGTTGGATATTCATTCAGAGTGAGTAAAACTTATTATTCTCAAACTGAAGACCAGATATGCAGTCTGTTTTTAAAATAGTTCCATTAACTTTCCTACACCAAAAATAAGGCTTTTAGTATACTGCAGATGAAAAGCTCCTCTCTGCATTGGCAACTCAGTTGCTCCTCTAAGCAATGTCCAGCTCTCACTAGGACATGACAGTCAAGCCGGGTTAGCCTTACTCACCATTGCAATGTGGATTTTTACCTTATTATAATTGTGGAAAAGGAAACCTTGGAGGTTTCTTAATTAAAGTCAGAATGGATTCCAGTACTGTACATTCATCTACACTGAGAAACCTTCTCCAAATGATACTCAGCCTTAAAGAGAGCAGCAATTATCTCGGTGCTAATTACAAACTAGCCACATGAACCCGAATATGAGCTATGGACAAAATGCTAATAGAAAGCAACCAAAGCAGCAACGAGATGCCTAGCCAGTGAGCGAAGATAGACCACTGGCTGGCCAACGCCAAAACCCCAAGACGACAGAATCACACTGGCAGAAGAACCAGGTATGGGGACCAGAAACAACAGCCAGAATGACCAACATGGGACCAAGACCAAAGGCACCAAGCCATACTAGCCCACAGCAAATAAACCTCATGACCCACCACCCAAAGGTCAGTGGGGAAAAAAAAAAAAAAGCTGGAGACCAGGGCAAAGAGCCAAGAAAAACAGGGAAAACACCCAAAAGCTCCATGTACACAATGTTGGCCAAGTCATGAGGGCCAAAGGAACACCATACTCACACGCCCACAAGCAAACAGACATTACCACCACAGCCAAAACAATAACACAGTTGCCAATGCCCAGTAGGTCAAGGCAAACCAAGCCCAAGCTCACATCCACATAGGAACAAAGCAAAACCTTGCATGTCTATGCACACAGCCTATCCAGGCACAATACCTGGGTACCCTTTTGAGACTCGCCTCAGAAACCTGTGGAGACTTAGTCTGAGAGCCTCGTGGGGACTCCCAGGGAACATTGCCCAGGAACTACCAGAAATGCAGTCCTTGACCCACCAGCAACTAAACTAAGAGCATCCTGGCACACAGCCCGATGTCATCTTGTGCTGATATCAGCCCAAGAAATGGTGATAGACAAAGACAGTTTAACTGGATTTGCATCCAAAACAAATAAATGTGGAGAAAATTATTAAGCATATATATATGCTTATTAATTAATAAGCAATTAATTAATAAGCATATATGATATAATTAATATAATTCTTAATTCATTTCTATAAATATTCTGGCTCAAACATTTTCTTATAAATTGTGCAGATTTCCAAAATGCATCAATTAACTGCATAATATATTTATAGATCATCATAGCAGGCATGTTGGACTATGACCAAAATTCCTACATTGCCTTAGATGAGCTAGGATATGATGAGAATAATGAGTGCGGGGAGAACTACATACTGCCCAATTTTGCTGACCCTACTCTTCAAGGTAAGCAGTGGAAGAATTCATTTAATATCAGAACTTTTCATAAGAGTAGTGAAAAAGTTCATTTAATATCAGAACATTTCATTAGAGTATTTTCTGTGGAGAGCCCCTTTGGCTCCCCAGAGCTATACTGGGCTGATGTGTATATATTAGACCGTGGCAACAGTCAATCGATGGAGTTCTAAGCCTACCAGGGACCAACGCCAGAACCTGGCCTCCTCAGAGAGGCACAAGGAGCAATGGTCTATAGACACCCCCGTGTAGTTGGAAGCAGTCTGTATCTCCCATCTACCAGGTCAGGCATCCAGAAAGGTAGGAATTCCAAAACAAACTACAACTGGTGAAAAATTGCTAATTGAAAGCCAAATGAGCAAACAGAACTCCCCAATCAGAAAACAAGCAAACAAGCATGACGTCACCACAGCCATCGCACCACTGTCTGCGCAACTCTCCCCTCCCCATGAGGGGAAAGGGGTATTTTAGACCTCCCACGCCGACTACCCAACCCCAATTCTGAGGTGGGAGCTGCGCGGACAGGCGACACGGCAACAGGATGTGATGTTTGCTTGTTTGGTTGTTTTAGAATTGAGGGAGTTCTTTTCTCTGTTCGGTCTTAGGGTAGCAATAATTATTTTTTACCATGTGGGGTTTGTTTTGCAATTTGGCACCTACCTTCCTGGGTGCCAACCCTGGTCGATGACAGATATGGAGTGCTTCCAATTACATGGGGGGGTTCCATAGGCCATTGCTCCCCCTGACTGATGCCTCGGTCTAATAGCCTGGTAAGCTTCGGGGAGCCTCCGGGGCTCACCTAGAAAATGGCGTATCATTAGATTCAAAGCTGGTTTTGTGTTTGTATTTTATCAGAGCTGAAAGACAACAATAATGAAGCAGTATCTCCTGAAATATTCATTCAATTTATTGTATTAAGCTTTATTTTTTATTTCTACCTTCAACAGCTGAGGATGACATAGCATGTGGATTTGAGACTGATACCTGTAAGTGGACAGGGCCAAATATGCTTAAAGTTGGGATTGAAGATGAAGTACATTCAGACCGAGGCCAAGGAAATTACGTTTATCTAACGGTCAATGAATCCAATCAAGCTCCCTCTCAACTAGCCCTTCAATCCAGGCGTCTGGGAGAGAGTCCATATGGTTTACATGACTATTGCTTCCACTTCTGGTAAATATTGTCTTTTGTCATTTTATTGTTGAGGATTTCAAATAATAATAAGACTGAGAATATATTTTCTGGAGGGAGCTCCTTCAGCTCCTTTGAAGGTTTATATTAGCTTTTGGAAAAGGAACGATATTAAGTTATACAGTATACAGTGGAGTCTCAATTAGCGAATTTAATCCATTCCGGCACTGAGCTCGTCATGTGAAACGCTCATCTTTCCAAACGAATTTCCCCATTTAAAATAATGGAAATAAAATTAATCCGTTCTACCACCCAAAAACATCAATATGATATTCAGTTTTTTAAATAATGGAGCAGCCTACCTGATATACACTGAACAAACCTTTATGACATTTTTTCTTTTTTTCAAATTTTCTCAAATATTTTTTTATTTTTCATTTTTTTTTTTTTTTAGAAAATGGAGCAGCCTACCTGACATTCACTGAACGAACCTTTGACATTTTTTTCTTTTTTTTCAAATTTTTTCATTTTTTGTATTTTTCATTTTTTTTTTTTTTAGAAAATGGAGCAGCCTACTGACATTCACTGAACAAACCTTTTTGATATTTCTTCTTTTTTTAAATTTTTTCTTTTTTTCTAAAAAAAAAAAAAAAAAAAAACAATGCTTTGCAACATTATAGCAGTCACCCCTTTACATCCCAGCTTCATTAGCATCTTTAAAAAAAAAAATATTTGTATCGTCGGAGGTGTCCAAGAATTTGCGAGAACCAGCGGAAACGCTAGGAAGCATCACATGGTTTTCTCGTTAATAGAGCGGAAGCTTATCAATCGAGACAAATTTTTAGCGAGTGGCTTGCTCGTTACTCAAATTGCTCGTAGATGGAGATGCTTGCCACTTGAGGTTCCACTGTATGTGCAAGGAATCTGCATAAGACAGTGCTTGTTGCAACTCTGCTACATAACTATAAAAGCAATTTTCATAAAGGTACATAACTGAAGGCATGATGAGATGATTGGGGTGTATTCACCTAGTTGTTCATGCAGAGTTTGAGCTCTGCTCTTTCAGCCCGCCTCTCAACTGTCAATCAGTCGACTGTAACTAACTATTAAATAATTTGTTTTTTTGCTTGCTTTCTTCCACACACACACACACACCCAGGAAGTAACACCGTAACAGCTGTCTAACTCCCAAGTGCCTATTTACTGCTAGGTAACAAGTGCATCAGGGTGAAAGAAACTTTCCCCATTTGTTTCTGCCTGGTCCGGGAATCGAACCCGGGCCACAGAATTATGAGTCCTGCTCGCTGTCCGCTCAGCTACCAGACCCCCAAGGTTTGTGAGATGTATGTATTGCATTGATGTATGTATTGCGGAGATTGCAGTCTCCGTGGTGTAGTGGTAAGACACTCGCCTGGCGTTCCGCGAGCGCTATGTCATGGGTTCGTATCCTGGCCGGGGAGGATTTACTGGGCGCAATTCCTTAACTGTAGCCTCTGTTTAACGCAACAGTAAAATGTGTACTTGGATGAAAAAACGATTCTTCGCGGCAGGGGATCGTATTCCAGGGACCTTAGGATTAAGGACTTGCCCGAAACGCTACGCGTACTAGTGGCTGTACAAGAATGTAGCAACTCTTGTATATATCTCAAAAAAAAAAAAAAAAAAAAAAAATATGGTGAAAGATATATTAAATAAAGAGATAAACCGAGACAGTCAGAAAAATTACTTAGTTTAATTCTGTGTTCTTGTCACCTTCATATTATATTTTGTGTGTATGTACAGGGCTCAAGTCGGCTTCATGTTTTTCAAGTACTGTACAATTGGGCATCCAGGTATATCAAATGGGCCAATGTGAATTTCTGATATATTTTACTTAGATACTTTTCCTGAAACTATTTCTTCACCCTTCCCACCCCCTCAATTCTAGCTTAACATATGGCATAACATTACCAATGACCGTTTTATTTACCTGTTGTAATTTTTAATTATAGATCCCTGTTAGTATTATCAAGGTCCCGCTGGCCAAGGGTAAGGCTGCCTGTGCGGCCACCCAACTAGATACTGGCCAGGCCCAGCAATGTTTAAGAAACTAAGTGAAGTGCATATCATCCCCCACCCTGATTGGTTTGATCTAGATGGATACTGCCACTGGGCCAACAGGCCTGCCACAGGGACTCCTACATTTTGTTACTATGTCTCATAGGTACTGAAAATATAAAGAAAGGTCACTGATGTCATGTGTCTTTACAGGTACTATATGTTTGGCTTGAACACCCCATGGCTTTCAGTAAAGCAAAACATTTTTAGAACCCAGTGGGATAACCTCTCAGGTACGACTATCCTCTGGCAGCGTCTGACAGGTGTCATAGACTTATGGTATGAAGCAAGTGTTGTAGTCTCATCTAATGAGGGTGACTATCAGGTACAGTATACTTGATGAGTTTGTTGATTAAAATGCAAATTAATTAACTAGTGTAGCATTCCTTACAGTACTTGTAATCTCTTCTCTTCATAAGATACACATATTTCTCAAATTGTTCATTCTCTAGCTTTTAATCCTTGATTTTTCAAGTTTGTACTACATTATCATTTCACATCTGTACGTAATGGTTTGTACTTCATGCAGCACTCTTGCATATCTGTTCCTAGCCTCAACTTAGTCTCATCTTGCCCGAAACACTATGCGTACTAGTGGCTTTAGGTACTGTATGTACTAGCTCTATCTATAAATCAATCAGAATATTTGTAACTCTGCATCTGTGTATGTACTTTTGCTAAATAAAATATTATTATTATTGTTATTATTGTTATTATCTTTGATTGCACAAATTACAGATTCTTTTTTTTACCAATTGCACATCCTAGGTATTTCAACAGAGCAGCAGGTTCTTCCTCTTTACCATTCACATTTATTTTGCACGGAATTTACCTGTCTCCATTACCACTACTCAACTTTCGTTAATATTCACTTTATAAGTCTTCTCATATATAAACTTTGTTAAAAGAACTGAATCATCTGCCTACATCACATTTAAAGTACTCTTATAATTACTCCTATTACAGTTTTCTCTAATACTCTCACTTTGACACCTTTCTCATGGCCATAACCAAACAGAGTACTATATGTATATTGAACAACAAAGGGAATATCGAGCAAATCTGGCAATAGTCAACATATTTTAAGATGTATGCCTTACTGTTTCTGACCGTGACCTAAGTACTGTACTCACAAATTCATTATTAGGAAGTTTGCACCTGCTGTGACCTATGATACTTGGCTTCAAGGCAATCACCACATGTAGAATTATGTTAACTTTCAAATTACTTCTATTTCTCATTGTATGCCTCGGTCAATAGTTTTATTTATTGGCTTAAGATTGACTGTTTGACTTATAACATTGAATTCATTGCAAAATTCTGTGTTAACTCTTAAGACTTACAGTTGAAAAAATGTCTTGTAAGTTAGTGGCTTTTCAAGACGGTCATAATTAATCACTGAAATCTATACTAATACAACACATTGTACCTTCTTGTAATTACCTAATTGTAGTTACATACGCTCATGGTGTCCCATCTTTCTAGTACACTTTGCCATATAATGCTTTGAAACTGTTAATGGTTTTGGCCTCCACCACCTTCTCACATAACATATATATAATAATATATATACTTGGTTCAATATGACTACATTGCTGGCATTGTTGATCTCATAAGCTTTTATGCCTCTATTTTTTACGCTCGGGATTAAGAAGTGCAATTAAGTTACCGAAATTCATGGTAAAGGAACTAATGATTATTGAATAGTATATTTTCTACATTATTTCGTTCCACTCTGAAACATCTTTAGGTAAGAAATAAACATACAAGGTGCAAATTTATCTTAAATATACATGTGAAAGAGGTGAAGTTGTGTGGGGAGGGAGCTAAGGTGAAGTAATCACACATAGGTAAAGAAATAGGGGAATAATGGGGATGGATGCCAGTCAAATATTAGGTAAGGCAGTGGGCAGGGAAAACTTGGTAAAGATGTCATTATCTGGTCAGCATTGGGCCCCTCTTGTGCTAATGTACTTTTAATGTAATTCAAAGAAAATGTGGATAGATATTTGTCATGTAGAGTTCAAACCCATTTTTAATCATATGTCATATCATATTAATCATATCATATTATATATGTATAATTTTATATACTCTTTATTTTCTTCTCCGAGGCTATGGGCCCCTACATTTGCACCAAAGGTGGTACCCTCTGTGAGGATAATATTTTTTATTTATATATATATATATATATATATATATATATATATATATATATATATATATATATATATATATATATATATATATATATATATATATATATATATATAATATATATAATTTATTTATTTATTTTTTTATGAAAATTAATTAATTACAGTATAATGTTGGAACTCATTCTGCTTTTGCAGTTGATGCTGGAGATAACTGTGGGCCCTGATTCAAAGGGAACAGTTGCGATAGATGATGTGAAAGTCATGGTTGGGCCATGTAAGACATCTTTAATTGACTGTGACTTTGAGTCTGATAACTGTGGATGGAAAAATGATGACAACTACACACTGATATGGACCAGAGTCTTAGCAGATGAAGGAGCGGAGTCAATGGGTTATGATCATACCACCAGCACACAGATAGGTGAAACACGAAATTAATTCTTTGCAAAACCACGTATTGTTTTAGATATTACTAAAACATATGTTGTTTTTGGTATCACTAAAACTGTATGTTGTTTTGGGTATTACTAAACCATATGTTGTTTTAGGTATTATATGTTGTTTTGAATTATATGTTGTTTTGGGTATTGCAAAACTGTATGTTGTTTTTGGTAATACTTATCAGTATGATATTTTGGGTATTACTAAACCATATGTTGTTTTAGACATTACTAAACCATATTAATGTATTTTGCACTCTGCTGAGTGCAATATCAGAGTTTGAGTACATGGTCTGGACCAGGCTTACATATCGGTGACTAATTCGATTACCGTGTGGGATCCAGGCCTCATATTCTTCTTGACTTCCTGATAAAGTAAACATTATTGAAATATATAAACACATTCAAGCTTCTTGCCATTCATCATATGAAAGAGATAAGATGAATAAAACACTGATACGATCAAATTTGTCAGCAATACAATATAGTGTATACTAAAAGTACCATATATCTTCTGTATGAGGATTATTCTGCAGATAATACAGTAATATAACAGTCAGTAATTTGACAGTCCCCGTGGTGTAGTGGTAAGACACTTGCCTGGCGTTTCATGAGCGCTTTGTCTTGGGTTCTTATCCTGGTTGGGAAAGATTTAATTGACGTCAATCCTTAACTGTAGCCTCTGTAAAATGGGTACCTAGTTGTTAAACGATTTTGAGGGGTCATATCCCGAGGAACATAGGATTAAGGACTTGCTCGAAACGCTATGTGTGCTAGTGGCTGTACAAGAATGTAAGAACTCTTGTATATATATAAAAAAAATTAAGTTGGTGTGATATTCCAGTACAGTCCAAACACAGAATTAGAATTCAATTATTAATAAATGAAGACTATTAATATTAATAAATATTATGTTTATTTATATAATATAATAAGAAGAATATTAATAAATATTCAATGGATAACTGTAATTAAAACATTTTTTAAAATTTAATATATAGGATGCCTTATTTGCAAACAACAGCTTAATAATTAGGATGAAGAGATTTAACAATAAGTCTTTATTTTCAGGACACTACATATTTCCTCAGACAACTGGCTTAATACATACAGATATATCTGGCCTATTAGTTGGACCAGATCTAACAGCAGGTGGTGGTGACCAGTGCCTCACCTTTTGGTACAGCATTGAAGGTTAGTTTAATCTATATAGCAAGATGTATAATGCAGATATAATTTGTAGAATGAAGAAATGATGGCAAGTTAGTGTATAAAGGGTTTTCAATGTACCAAGTGTTATTTTATTAACACTGGGCTGTATAAATATGATGTAGTATTTGTTTATGGGTCACAGGTTTCACAAAAGAAAGGGGGGTCACCCATGTGGCTACCCTGTGCTAAATCATTAAGTGTTTGGGATGAAGGGCATTGGGAAATGGGTCTTTTGTCAGTATAGATATTCTTTCATATCATAGGTCTTTCCAGTTTTGGGATCCCTGTGCCAGCTAGCACTCGCTCGCTCATCATATTCTCCAGGTATATATAACCCTACCTTAGAGCCCTTACTGCCTAACAAACACACCAGTCAACTACCAAGACACATGTTACCAAAATAGAACTAACAATCAGTACTGAAAGCAAGATCAAAGACAACACAGCTTCTACTGGAAACAAAAGAAATTGCCCACCTAAGTGCAAGAAAAAAATATAAGGCATTGAGTTAGCATAAACAATTCTTTTTTCTGTGCCATATCACTTGACTGTTTCATAATGTATGACCCCAGTGTGTCTTTGGACATTGGATGTTGAGTCAGGCAGGGTGATACAAGCATCCCTGCTTGGTCATTATGTAAATTCAGATAATTGTTAGCTAAGGGAATCACTGAAAAAATTAATCACTCCAGTCCGGAATGATCATCGGAGGTCAGTTAATAATAAATCAGAGTCCTTCAGATTTCATGCTTGGCATTCAAAGTGACCACAAAATTAGTATTTTCGCTAATTTTTGTATGAGCTACCTGGTCATTCCCACCAGATGTCACTAAGTGTCAACCTCCTCACTAGCCCAGGGTCCACTGACCCATCTGAGCCCACATACAACCCGATATTAAGAAAGAACTGTACACACAGGAGATGGGATAGCATTTAGGTAGGGGGATATTGGGAGCAGCATAGTGAAAAGCCTCAAAAAGGAGCTTTATATACTTTAAACCTTATTTTTATTCTGCTACATGGGCCATCTTTCTTTATCTGTTATTAACATCTCTGGAGCTTTTGTTCTGTAATTATGTTTTTTTCATTTTTACATTTATTAACAAATTATCATTCCCCTTTAATACTCATACATTTTTCAGGTTGACCATATTTACCTTCACTATTCATATCAACATTACTAAATTTTCTTATCTTTCTACCTGAAACCATGCCTTACAATTCTAAACATATTGGTTTGGCTTAAATTAATTTTAACGGCATGATTTATATATTTTTATCCCACGTTTTTAAACTAATAAATTTGTCGTCTCTATCAGGCAACCAACTGTATTTATTTTTTGTTTGGATACTGATAGGTACTAGCACATTAAGCTTACTGGCAATTGGAGAAGGTGATGATGAAAACGAGTTATGGAACCATACTGGAAACTATTTCTATGACTGGACACTGGGTCGAATAGATATCAATATTAATACAACTATGAAGGTTAGTAATGAAAATAAAATTATATTAGTATAGAATTAAATTTCCAAGCTAATGTATTCAATAGGTTTCATTTGTTTTTGTTTTTGAAAATAGGAGTGATAAAAATGTGAAAGAAATTTTAAAATTATTTTAAGAATGCTTTACAAAATTATAATTTTTAGATTGAATGGTTATAAATTAAGTGCTGTACTATGTGGATATGATAACTTCATCGGGTAAAGTTTGGTGTATTATTCCAACTTTACCATGTTTGTTTATCTAACCATACTATAATTCAAGCCAATAAGTGGTAGATTTAATAACATGTACTTAAAATGAAGTCCCTTTCTCTTTCTCTATAGCTTGCATTTAAAGCAAAATATCCAGACGATGTGGGTAATTCTGTTGTCTTGGATGACATCAGCCTTATCCCAGATCACTGTCCCAGCAGTCCTTTATCATGTGATTTCGATGAAAGTCTGTGTAGTTGGAGCAATGTGATTACGAGCAAGATATTATGGGTGGTCGGACGAGGCTTCACCAGTAACCCAGATGTAGTGTCTGGTCCTTTATTTGACCACACAACTCAAGATGGACTCTATGCTTATGTTGACTTCACAGCTGATGAGTACACAAGTATGAGCTCTCTTTCAGGTTTCCCTGTTTTAAGTTGTAGTTTAATTAAACATAAAATTAATAATAGCATAGGATTAAGTAAAAATGTTCAAACTGAATGCTTGAATATCAGACATACTGTAGTTTAAAATAAAATACTATTTACTCAAATAAAAATGTTTGATACTACTGATAATATAAATTACCGGTAAGCCTACATAAAATTAAATAGTACTGTAGTAATATAAAGAGGGAAAATTTTCAGATGATGCATGCCAACTGATGAGTGAAGAAGTACCAGCCCAAGAGGTAGCGTGTCTGACTTTCTGGTACCTCAAATATGGAGAGAGTGGAAGATCAGGAATATTGACAGTGAAGATGGTATGTATCAAGGATATCTTGTTGAACAGCCAATAATTTAGTCTTACTCCTAGTCTGTTAATCGAGGCTGTGAGTACAGTATTTTGCTAGAGTAGATCAATACTGGTGTATTGGGGTTTTACTAAGTTTGAAAAATATGAAAGACTGCTTATCACTGTATATCTTGGATTCTATTCATTAAAAACATTTTCCATTCCTTTATGAGAGTGGCATATGATGGCATGCTAGTTGCTAAACTTTAGCACCTATATTTATGTAAATTTAATTTAAATATCCTCTATACTGATGTGATCAGGACATATGTACACACCAAGCAAATAACAAAATCTCATGAGTACATTTTAAAATAAAGATCACTATGCAAAACTTGCGTTGTTTTTAATTTTATTAGTATCAAACACCTTTTCAGCAGACTTGATTTTTTGTTATTTATCAGCTTGGTGGACAAACTTTAACTCTGGTTCCCAGTGCATTGACTGTCTTGCATAAACATACTAAGCTGCAGTGTGAAGTGGCCCACTCCAAGGCTAAAATGCTAGTAAAACACAACTAATGAGCTTGTGAAAACAACTTTCTGAGTGTTATTTTAATGCTTCCATAGGCTGTGCTTCAAAACACTAATGACCTACCGTCTGGCAAAGAGTGTATGACAAAGGAATCACATAAATTACATTATTTATGCAGGGTTATATATGGTGCATAAAAATCACTGGAATAGTGTCTCATACCAAGACTAGACTTAGATCAGATTTTCTTTTCACATGCACAAGCCCTTCCAGAACTTTGAATGATGTCACTTTTGTGACAACTAATGAGAATTCTGAATTAACCTGGTCCACTAATCAGAAACAAGGTTACTCCACCTCATCATCACCAGGCAGAAAGCAGCAGTTCCTGCAGCACAGGATCCCTCACTTCCTTCTCTCATGGACTGATTAAGAAAGAGCAAAGCCTAGTGAAAAGGAACAAATATTGGGGGAAAGAGACCTTTCGCTACATTATAATACAACAGGTAGTCAAAGCACTGGTAAAATATCACAAATCTACAAAAAAGTCAGGCCACATCGCAGAATATATATAACTTAAATTAACCAGACAGCCATCCATAGAAAAGCTGAACTTTGCAATAAGAGCAACAGGAGTAATCATGCAATACCATGAACACAGCATCCATTCCTCACTACTCTATACTCACATAGTATAACTCCAAGAAGCCTTGTCTAACTGTCAACATTGACGAACCATTGTGAGTGATGCGTCGTCTTCCAACAATACCACTCGTACAGTCATCAGTTGGTAGAAACTTTCACACAAACTGCATGTACTCTAAATAAATGAAGATTGTACATAAAGGGAGGGAGTGAGAACAGCAGAATAATGCCACTGTCATAATTTAGGCTCATTACTGTATTCTACAATAAATCATGCAATCATGGAATAAAGTACACTATTAAATATAGAACATTTGCCAGCTGAGAAAGAGAGGGAAATTGATCGAGTCTTGATCATCTTCCTAGAATCTTCTAGGAATTAGATGATTCTAGCCCTAGCCTAGTCAGGAATAGTCAACTATTCAAGTAAGCAAGAATTTGGATGTCCTTTGAACCAAAGCTTCATGAACACTACCTTAGTTAGCACTTGGAAAATAACAGCAATGCTGGCCAATCACAAACTCAACAGATGCACAACTGTGTAATCATGCACACTATAAAAGCAGCCACTGTTTAACATAACCTGTAATTCTAAGTGCTGTACAGTATAAACACATCACTTAGTTAAATAAAATTGGTATCCATAAGGCTGATTATATCCAGGGAAAAGAGTTGGGAAAATGGGAAGCGAATAGAGTTTGGCTATCCTCTTGATACACAGGTATGTTTTGTACAGTACTTTCATCTGATGGTAGTTGGGAGTAGCGGCCAGATAGACCAACTAGCAGTTAGCAGAGTGTTCCTCAGGGATCTCTTCAATGTTGAGTTGAGCTTAGATGTCTTTAAAATGTAGATGAATGAGCATTTTGAAGGTTCTTTTGGGCCTGATACAGTCCTCTTCATGATCCCATTTGCCCTAGTATGATCCAACAAGGACATTTGTAAAGATCCTGCTGCTCTGGAGCAAAATGTTGCTTTGCCTTAATTAGTCCTGTTGAAGAGAAAGAGCTGGATATTATCTCGGGGAGTAACCAAGAGGCATGAACTCAAACTAGCTTTTCCTCTACACATGAAGCGATATTTTTGTTTACATGAACTGAACTACTAACATGTGACAGTGATTTTAAATTGATAATGTGTATTTCAGACAAATTATGATGATCATTCTCAAAAGGATCTTCAGATCTTGGACAACACTGTCAATGTTAGACAATGGACACGTAGTATGGTAAAAACTTTGAATTGCTTGTTGACTGTAATGATGTCCAATATTGATAAAGATAAATAACAATATAATTACAGTATGCTCAAAACGTATGCTCAAAGCAGAATATCATGAACTAAAATAAGTGTAGTAATAATTAATTTTTACTTGGTTATTTGCAGTTAAATATCAGCAGCACTAAGAACTTCGGCATTACATTTGAGGCAAAGAAAGTGACATCAGACCAGTTCATTGCTATTGATGATGTAAATTTCTTAACTGAAGATTGCACCAGTTTGCCAACAACTACACCAACTCCATCACAGTTTGGTAAGGGTTAAGTGAGATGTGTGTGACTGTATACAGTAGTGAGAGCTGTGTGATTATACACATTAGTGAGAGCTGTGTAATTGTAAGTACCCTAAGTGTAGTTACAGGATGAGAGCTACGCTCATGGTGTCCTGTTTTCCCAGCAGTCTGTGATGTAATGTTTTGAAACTATTGTACTGATGGTTTTGGCCTCCACCACCTTCTCATTTGTTCCAATCGTCTACCACTCTGTGAAATTGAATTTTCTTATATTTCTTTGGCAACTCTGTTTAGTTTAAATCTATGACCTCTTGTTCTTTAAGTTCCAGATCCCAGGAATTCTTCCCTATCATTTTTGTAGATTCCTGTTACTGTTTTGTACGTAGTGATCATATTGCCTCTTTTTCTTCTATTTTCTAGTTTTGGCATATTTAATGCCTCTAACCTCTTATCGTAGCTCTTGTCTTTTAGTTTTAGGAGCCATTTAGTTGCAAGTCTTTGCACCTTTTCCAGTTGATGTGCTTCTTAAGATATGGCCACCATACAATCTTTGCACATTCCAGGTTTGGTCTCACAAAGTTTGTGAATAATTTCTTTAGTATTTCACCTTCCATGTATTTAAAAGCAATTCTGAAATTGGAAAGCATAGCATTGACTCCTTGCACAGTATTATTTATATGGTTGTCAGGTGACAGTTTTCTATCTAGAACCTCCCCTAGATCTCTCTCTCCTTATCAGAATCATTTAAAGCTTTTTCACATAATTTGTAGGTTTTGTGTGACCTATTTTCTCTTATTTCACATTTCATAATGTGGCATTTATTCACATTAAATTTCATTTGCCAAGTGTTACTCCATACACGTATTAAATTTTGGCCAAATTTCCATAGTCTTGTTCTATATCATAACTAACATTTATCTATATTTGCACTTATAATGTTTGATGCTTTATTTTTTTCAGTTACATGTGATTTTGAGGCAGATGATCTGTGTGGTTTTACTCAGAGGCAAGATGACAATTTTGACTGGATTCATGGAACTGGGGAAGATAATGCAGTACTTCCAGCTGATCACACAACAGGCGACATATCTGGTAAATAATTCATGTATTCTCTGAATAAAAGTTATGGGTGATCATTTTATTTCATATTTTCATATTAATTTATGAATATATACTATTTGATTATGCTTTTAATTGCTGTACTATCATCAGCTTTATTGGGGTCTCATTAGCAGAATGAGTTTAGTGAAACATATTAATTCATTGCTGTAGGTTTCTGGGTCTTCTGTGAATTATCTCGCTATAAATTGATAACTTTTTAGAATTTTTTTAAATTGCTTAGACTCCTGCACCTCATCCCTCTTGTAACACAATAAATATTGATAATTGTACTTCTGTGCTATATGAAGGCAGTTCACAAGAGGGGCACTTAACACTAGGCGAGAAGTAATAGCTAAAACCTGTGTGGCAGTTGACTCTTATAGTGGATGTCCTACTGCAGTTTTTCTTTCGACCTGGCTGCCCAAGTATGGCTGCCTAAATATGCCAAACTAACCTTTAGAGGCATAGTATTCATATGTAATGTAAATACCTGGTAGCTTTTTATGAAATTCCTCAGTATTTTTTTCTGATGATTACTGCAGAGAAGAGTATTGATGCTTTTATTGACAGTCTGAGTGAGTCGGTGAAAGGCTTAAGCCCTGCTTAGGTTGCAACCCTATAAATACAAAGTTGGACTTGTAGTTCTTCATTTTTAATAAGTCAGAACTACTATCTCCATTATCAATATTCTCTATTAGCTTGACTTTGTATTTTTCCAAGAAATCATATTTTTATTTACTCCTGTATTGTGTGCAATTTTATTTATATTTTATTCTTTGTGAAGATAATCAAGAACTGTGGCCTAGTAAAAATATTTGAATTAACATAATTACTGTATTAACATTAATAGGGTAAGTTGGTGATAATGAGAAACAATGCTGATGAAGTTACATGTCTAGAGAATAAAGTACCAGGTGATTTCTAGTCACTAGGTGATAAAGTACTACATTTCATCAATACTCATCGCTAGACTCGCACCACTTTCATCGCCAAAGTCAGCCAACAGACTTCTTGTTCTCAGTTGTACGGTACTCGGGGTACTAGAGGATTTACCAGTCTCTTTACCAAACACTTGAATTAGCTGGTTTTTGCATGTCATTCTCTGGCCTGCTGTATCATCAAATGTCTCAACAGTCCTGGTATTTTATCACTATAGTTTGCTGGGCCATTGTGAATATCTAATGGTCTCATTGACATTGAGGGTTAGGGGTCACATTACAACCCTCCACACAAGGTGAGTATTCCTTTGTACAGGTGTAGATGATTGCTACCTTGGCAGAATCTTCAAACTTAATACATATGTTCCCAGACCTGGTTGTTCATTATTCACTTATAACACACACTTGAGTATATATTAGTCTTTAGCATTTTAACATTAGTTAAAAGGAATTGGTATTAGTCTTCAGCACTATTAAAAAAGTTGCATAAAATCCCTTCCTTATTATATATAATGTTGTATATAATTTCTCACCCACAGGGCACTATTTGTATGTTGACTCTACCCACATTGGTTCCGGAGCATATGCAAGCCTAGCGGCCCCTGGTGTGTATGATTTATCTGAAGCTTGTATTGCCGTTGCTTACTTCACCTCCAGCAAGTATGGTGTGCTACAGGTCTGGCTTCATACAGAAGAGGATCCCAAAACCACCTTGCTTGGAAAGTTCTCTGCTGCATTTAGCGCCTGGACAAGTGTGAGGTCAGTTAAGAATTTTTATAGCAAAAACTGAATATTTTCAAATGCAGTTATAGAATTTTATTTTAACAATGTGAGATATTCAGTGACCAAATAGTTTTGTTTCATGCTCAAATTTAATTCTTGAAATATTTATTAAGGACTTTTGCAACTTAGTTCTTTGTCCACCAATGTGTATGAACTGGTTTCTATTTCTATTCAGTAGGATGCTCAGGCACTGGGATCTATGTTGGTGAAAGGCAGAACATTGAACAGTATTGAGAGGTACCGACACATAAGCAACATCAAATCGACTTAGGGTTAAGAATGCTTGGTTCACTATTGGTTACATTACTGGAATTTTAATTTTTTTCCTTTCAGGATGTCAGTGTTTGCTGCAGGGTTTTGGCAAGTGGAGCTTAAGGTTGTTGTTGAATATGATAGTGGATTTGTAGCAATTGATGACTATACTATGGGCCCTGGGGCTTGTCCTGACCCAGTATCTTGTGACTTTGAAGATGGCACTTGTTTATGGCAGAATGTAGAGAGAAGTCGCTGGACTAATGGTAAGTGTTAAAGAAAAAATTATTCCTGCTCATTAATTTAGTAATTCAGATTTATTCAGCAACAAATTAGGTTGTATATTTCAAGTATTATTGTTACAGAATATTTTCATGTTTTCACTGCTGGTATTTAATATACAGTATTCTGAGTTTCTTGATTGCTTACTTAAGATTAGTTACACTGTCTCAGTAAGAACTATAATATGCAGTCATGGCAACATTCTGGTACTGCTTCAGCATAAAAGATTCAAATGGTTCTTGCAGGGCTAGAAGCCATGTTGTTGTGATGGTACATAGTACAGTTGATTTTATTCTTGATTCACAATCGGGGATCCTAGGTTCGATTTCCTATTGGGTAAGAAATGATTGGGCATGTTTCTTTCACTTGATGCCTCTGTTCCTCTAGCAGTAAATAGGTACCTGGGAGTTTTTTTTTTTTTTTTTTTTTTTTTTTTTTTTGAGATATATACAAGAGTTGTTACATTCTTGTACAGCCACTAGTACGCGTAGCATTTCGGGCAAGTCCTTAATCCTATGGTCCCTGGAATACGATCCCCTGCCGCGAAGAATCGTTTTTCATCCAAGTACACATTTTACTGTTGCGTTAAACAGAGGCTACAGTTAAGGAATTGCGCCCAGTAAATCCTCCCCGGCCAGTTAGACAACTGTTGTGGGGCTGCAGCCTGGAAAGGGTCAGTAGTTCAACCTTTGGGGAAGGCGACCTTGATACAAGCCTGAAGTATATATTTATCTACAGGCTTCATGTCACCAACAAAACGAGTTGTTATTAAGTCAGAGTAGTCAGAGCTACCGATGTGCTTTAATATACCTACTAATCTCTCTCATCTCATTTTTTTTCTTGCAATGTACCTGTTATCACTTTATAAATTTTGCTAGAATTTACTGACTTAAAATTAAAATTATATGGTAGATTAAGGACCTGCCCGAAACGCTGCGTGTACTAGTGGTTTTACAAGAATGTTAACACAATGCTATGTATCCTTACAAACCCAATGTACCTTTTTGTATATACAATATATAAATAAATTAATAAATAAATAAAGTATTTGGTGGTGTCTGGAGGTACCGTACTAAGTTGCAAAGCAGGTAGTGGCCTCTTAGATAGAACTCTTGTATGGTCACAATATATCCTACATATTTTATGTATAACAAACTATAATTATGTATATTTATTCATAACTACAGTATATAATTTTTGTATCCTGATTATTTACTTTTTCTATTTACTATACTTTCCAAGGTCGTGTAAGAGATGACCCAAATCATGCTCCTGGATTTAACTTTGCACCTCCACATGATCACACAACTGATACACCATATGGACATTACCTGTACTTCTATGATGCAAAAGATAATGCTTCTACTGCCACAATATTATCAGAAACTTTCACCATTGAGAAAGAGTCATGTTTTTCATATTGGGTTTATATGTTTGGTGATAAGGTAAGCTCAAGATAATACAGCATATATTACTGATAAATTGAAATATTTAATGTTCAAATTACAACATAAATGAAATACATGAATACACTACACATAATGCTGTATGGTATACATATAGGATCCTCTTAATTGCATTAGGTGGGTAGACTACAGTTGAAATCTGTCAATGAAGGAGGCACTTCTTTAATGAAGACTGCAGAAGGATCACAGGGCTTTGAGTGGCAGCAAGTTCAGGTTAGTTAATTGGTGTCCCATGTTCACAATAATTAGTTGTTACTTTATACATTGTTAATAATGTGTAATATATGTTAAAAATACTTGTGAAGCCTGTATACTTCATTAGTACTGATTATATAATAATATGTTATTGTTATTTATGTCTAGTATTTATATTATATATTGACTTGCTTTTTTATATATTGCAAGCAAGCGCTTTTCACATTTCATTAATAAAGTTGGGCCTCATGTGGGTCTATATTGACCCACATGAGGCCCAAAAGGAAATCATGTACTGTATCTTAACTCTTTCTTGTGCAGCAAAATGCATTCCTCTAAATAAAAACAGGTATGCATTAAGATTGCATTTCTCATCTACTATGTAGCTAACTTGATTATGTGATTAGGTGTGGATTAATCATGTTACAAATAGAGCCTAATGCATTATGTATTTTTAATGTAAATACACTATTTCCTTTGAGTGGTACAGTATTTTTATAATAATTTTACACTTACACTCCAGGTAGCAGTAACAGTATCTCCTGAGCAGTGGTTGGAATTTGCTGTTGAAGGTGTGGCTGGACATGTTAACATAGTGGCATTAGACGACATAGAACTGTATTCTGGTCCTTGCAGAGGCAACTCTAGTGTTCCTGATTTTCGTTGTGATAATGGTGAAACCATTCCTCAACAAGAGGTGGGTAACTTTCTATAGTCAAATGTTAATAAATACTGTATATAAATAATAGCTTACAATAATTTTTTTTATTTATCTATACTAGTAATAGTTTAAATAAAACATATTGTTTTGTTTATATTTTCTATTTTGTGTAATATTTCATAGCCTGTATCACATGAGGGAAATAAAAATTACATGAAAAGTGTGATGGTGGCTTGAGCAGTATATATATTGGCATTTCTTTAGTATTTCATATTATATTAGTAATTCATATAGACAAAGAAAATTCCTTGACTGTAGAGTACATTCTGTACTTATATTTTGTTGTCAGGTCTGTGACTACATAGCTCAGTGCTCCAATCATGAAGACGAGAAATGGTGTGCTAGTTGCACTTTCTCAGAAGATACTTGTGGCTGGCGCAGCATAGAGTCTCCTCAGGATAATACACGTCTATGGTGGCAGAGACTTCAAGATGGTATGTAATACACTTATGATATTCACGGTCACACACATAATCAGTTAATTCTGTACTGAATTAACTGTAAATTAATTGAATTGAAATACTGTACAGTATCTTATTCATAAATTTTTGTTTTGTACATTTATAGCTGGGTTAGTTTACACAAATTTACAGTAAATTATTTACCTAAGAGAAAGTCATAATAATAACATAACATGTAATATCTGTGATTATAAACTGTATACTCAAGAACTAGATTTAGATTTTGAAGTTATATTTATCAGTGATTTAAAAGACAGTATGAAAGATATTGTCATTAAGAAAATAGGTAATTTCTTACATTGGGCTTTTCAAATGTTAAAATGCCTCTATCTATATTATTTTAAGACACACTCAACGAAGATGACACTCACATGTATCATATGGAGGTTAAAGAGAAAGTTGGCTCTGTAATCAATCAGCCACGCCTCTTGACCAATCTTCTGCAGCCTGCGCACCATACCTGTTACTTAGACATGGACTATAAACTCTTTGCTTCTGTGGCACCAGGTAAAGGTTTATGTATACATTATCAATATATAATTGTCTGTGTGTAACTTTAATCAAGAAAAATATTGTAAATTTTCTTCTTCCCACATCATGCATGGTGCATCAAGGTAACATAAGTGAAAACAAAAATGCTTTATATTTTTTATGTGAGGAGTCTTGAATACTGTTAAAGTTTGTGTAAAATAGAGGTGTCATGAGCAGATACAGTACTTGAAGTGAATGTTTCTTAAATACAAGGGTTTGAGTGTAGATGAAAAGCTACTTTATAATAATTTTACAGAAAAACCATGATTAGTAAAAATAAATGCAAAGATATAAATAAGATTTGATGGAAATTACTTTACATAATGAACTGACTCACTGATATTTACTGCATCTTCCCCAGAATTCCAATGTTTTTTTATAAGGTTGAATTCCAGGGGGAAAGTTTGATGGATGAATTTTATCCATTATTTAAGGGGATCAGGCAGAGGAAGGTTGGATTTGAAGTGTGCACTATACTCTACTCTTTGAATTAAAGTATTATTTGGAGGAGATATTTTGAGTGTAGATGAATCAGCTTTCTGAAGATCAATCTTGGCTCGATTGAAAATTCTCTAGTACAGTATCTTCCTTCTCCACACATAGCTCAGTGAAAGTGGATTGAAAAGATCCTCGTTGCATCAGGGATGGAAAGTTGTACAGGCCAGGCTGGGTTTCGACTGTCTTGAGAAGAGCATAGTAAAAATATGCTCCAGACAAAATTTATCTCAAGCAATATTGCCATGGTTGTACAATGTTGCAGTATGACAATATGACATTGATTGTTTTTTCTAAGTTAACAAATATAAGTACATTATTTTTTCATCTGTGTTTTATATAATGAATAAATTTCCCAGAAAGCCATTTCTTAGAATATACTGTAAAAAGTAACATTCTGAGTTTGATTATTTGAAGAAAGATTTTATTATATATTGTGTATTATATTCAGTACAGTACTTTATTCTATTATATCATCACTTTGTATCATAGGTCCAAAACTAAGTGTGTACCTGGAACATGGAGGCTCAGACTTGACCTTGCTATTTGAAGCCCAAAGTCACTTGGAAGAGTGGCAGACATTACACCTACTCCTTGGACGGGTTTCCTCTTCATACCACCTTCTAGTTGAGGCTTCTAGCTCAGATGATCCGGCACAGATAATAGCATTTGATGAATTGATGCTATCAAACTGCTTTCCTCCTGGTTTGTGTGAGGATTTGCCAGATGGATTCCAGTGGTGTAAGAACAAGGCATGTTATCCAGAGGAAGCTGCTTGTGACTTCAATGATGATTGTGGGGATTATTCAGATGAGACCAGTTGTGGTAAGTATTAGAAGACATTGATTTTCAAGCTTTTGTTGCTCATTTATTTGACTGTTGTATGTATATAATATCATAAATTTCATTATAATATAATTCACATTTCATTAATATAAAGCAACATTAAATATAAATAATTTTTTTAATACAACAGAGTATTATCATCTAAGATGCAGCTTTGAAGATCAGAGTCTTTGTGGGTGGACAGCATCAGAGTTCTTTAGCTTGGTTCAAGCAGGGATGAGCGGTGGATCGCCCTTCAGGGACCACACCGTAAACAGTGGGGATGGCCATTTCATGTTGTTTACATCACGTGCTCCTCGCTCTGCTACCATCACCAGTTCAGTTATTGCATCCTCTGATAACTGTGAAGTAAATAAATGGAAATCTTCAGTTATGTATTTGTCATACTATAAAGAGTGAAGCTAAAGTTCTTTTAACAAAGATGAATATCCATGGGATAAATATATTTTTATCTATAAAGTGTTTTAAATTGTCTACATTTCCATAAATGTAACCATTTCATATAGTATTTTATAAATACTTTCAGATCCGCTTTTACTATGCTGTTTCTGGGGCAGGATCAACATACTTGAAAGTGCGTGTACGAAACCTCGAAGATGGAACCATACTTTCTGAGGATGCAATTCAGTCTCTTGATGAAGAGATATTCTATTGGAAGCGTTTCTCACAATCATATTCTGTTAAGAAAAGCTTCTATGTAAGTACAAATAATCCACTATCTTAAAATGAACATGTTAATAACAGTATAAACTAAATGAGTATATGTATAAATATATTTATAAGTGTTAAACTAATTGAATTCACATGGAAATAGATAGTGCTGACAAGCATAGTCATATTTCAAACATTTGCATACACACACATGTTCTTTCTCATACACAACTTAACAATTTACAAACACTAGCAAATGAAACATATAAGTTAATATTGACAAAAATAAAAGCTAGGCATTGCATACCAGTCATTACACCTCTTGTAAGGTGGAAGGTAGATTTGAAATTTCCTCCATCTTACTTTGTACAGTTTATGTACATTATTTAAAACTATGAATGCTGAACAAATTTTACATATAATAATGCACTTCAAATATGAAAGGGAACACCAAGTGAATGACATAACTATCTCGAATTTTGGACTCAAAACAAACCACTAAGGTGCATGCATTACATTTATTTAAAAAATACGTAAAATGGGACATATCACACAGAGAATAAATTTACCCACTTACCAGATCGACTACTGCATTCAGTCATACTGAGGAAACTGTGGTAAACAAGCTCACAGTAATGAGATGGACACTTGATGAGCACACTCACAAGCACAACCCAACACACCACCTCAGTCGGTTAAATCTGGCTCCCCTCTGAGAGTGGTGGAGGGCAGTGATGCTACCTCTCACAAAAGGAGCACTAAAGCTACACAATACTAAACTTACATTCTCTCTCATACACAACTCACCAACTTGCAGACCCTACAAATGAAACATAAAAATTAACATTGTCAAACATAAAAATAATAGCCAGACATTACATACTAGTCATTACAACTATAGTTGATAATGATAATATTTATTTAGAGAAAGTACTTACATACAAAATGAGCTACAAGAAGAATGTTGGATTTCTAGATATTTAGGTAATTACATGCTCATGTGCATCCTGTATTGTTACTGGTGGAAAATTTTGCAGTTTGAATTAGAGGGAGACATTCAAGAATGGGGAACTGTTGGACTGGATGATATTTCTCTCACTCCTGCGTGTCAAATAGTTCCAGCAACGGTAACACCACCCCCTTTCGAAACTACAACTAAAGGCCCCTGTGAAGAGGGCTTTATCTCGTGCAAAACAAACTCCAGTTCTATTACATGCATCAGAGCTGACCAGGTTGTTGTTATTAACTTTTTTTATAATAAAAATGTTCCTTGTTTTGTACAAGTATCCCTCACCACCTGTTCCTCCTTTCCTCTCTTCTCCTTTCCTCTTTCTGCACTCTTTCTATTTCTACTCCTTCCTCTCTTCCTTTCTTTCTACTCCATGTCCTCCTCCTCTTTTTCATATCCATGATAAAGATGATCACACTCATAATCATTATTTGTTTTTAATGAAATATTGTAGTGTACAGTAATTACCTTTTTCTTGGAAATACTGTTACTCAAACTCTCATAAAATTGAATGCTTTATTATAGTTTTTTATCTTTCTGGTGCTAATCTTGTAAGTATAACTATCTCTGAAAGGTGTGTGACTTCATCACTGATTGTCCATTGGGCGACGATGAGTATCTTTGCGGTTCAACAACCTTCGAGTATGACTCTGGTGGCTGGCAGGACACAAGTGATACCACTTATGCATGGTCTCGGATCAGAGCGGCTGATGCTGCTTACCCATATTGTACAGCTCCTCCCTTGGATCACTCCATTTCAAATCAAGACGGATACTATATGTGGGCTCCAGCAAAGCTTACAGGTGCAGTTTACAAAAGTTTCCCACATTCAGCCACCACATTGAAATTCATTCGTTATTGCTGCTTCATTATATGATGAAATTAGTCTACTATATTTGCTTGCCAGAAATTCTTCTCCCCCACTTTAATTCCAAGTGAATTAATCGATTGAACGAGTTACCTGTGATTGTGTTACCTCACTGCTAGCTGTCGCTTTGTCCAAACTTTGACCCGATCCTGTGGGATGCAGTGCCAACTTTTTTTTTTTTTTTAGTCAGTTTCAGTAGTCCTTGAATCATTTAAACATAAAGGAAACATCATTAAACATTAAATATTTATTTTAATTTTATTTTCATTTTAGTGAAATAGATTTTTATGTGTTCTAGATATTCCTGAAGCAACAGCCACCATGGAGACTCGAGCTCTTGGCCCTCCAGGTCTGGCTTGTACCATGAGCCTGTGGTATTACTGTAAAGATGATGAGCCAACGTTAACAGTTATGGCATGGACCACTGATAATGTTCATGAACTAATAAACAGCAAAGATTTACCATGTTATCACAATGATGAATGGCGTCAAAATGAGTTGTTTATTGGAGAACAGAGCATTCCAATCATAGTAAGTATAAAATGTCAAGAGAGTATAAAATATCAGATTAATTAATTTATGGTTTACAGTTTCCATTGTAAAAAAAGACACTTTAATGCATGAATAAAATTTGTTACACATAAAGCCCACATTGGACATTAAAATATTTTCATATACTGTACTGTTCATATCTCAGCCTATCCTTGTAAAATGAAAGTACAGTACTGTATATATATAATATATATATATATATATATATATATATATATATATATATATATATATATATATATATATATATATATATATATATATATATATATATATATATATATATATATATATATATATATATATATATATATATATATATATATATATATATATATATATATATATATATATATATATATATATATATATATATATATATATATATATATATATATATATATATATATATATATATATATATATATATATATATATATATATATATATATATATATATATATATATATATATTATAACTATTTTCTTAGCATCAGGGCTTAATTGAAATATATATAATATATAATATATATATATATATATATATATATATATATATATATATATATATATATATATATATATATATATATATATATATATATATATATATATATATATATATATATATATATATATATATATATATATATATATATATATATATATATATTTATTTATGTAATTATATTCATATTCAAATAAATATTCTTTTGACTTATTTTATGAACAGGCAGAAATGAGAAGCACCAAGTTTTCATCTACATGGACTAACATCCAATATGATATTGCTGTTGATGATGTTACTTTTAACCATTGTTCACCAAATGAGCCACCAACTGAGGTATGTTTCTGTGGGGAGCCTCGTCAGCTCCCTGAAGCTATCTGAACTGATATGTTCTATATTAGTTTGCGGTCATCAGTCACAGGAGTTCTTATGCCTACAGGGAACCACAAGCCAGAACCTGGTTCCCTCAGAGAGGTGCAGGAAGCAATGGTCTATAAGCCCATTACATTAAAATTGTCATAACTGCCATTGACTGGAAAAAGACCCAGAAAGGTAGGCAAATCAAAACAGACCACTATCTGGTTAACCTGTGCAATCTACATCCAAATAGATCAAAATAACTCCCCTAGAAAGAAACCAAGGAAGCAACCCTTAATGCGACTAGCACTTCTGCTCGTTAGTGCTAACCCCCCCCCCACCTTCCATTTGGAGGAAGGGGGAGCCGGCAGCCCACCACTCCAGTTCTTGAACAGATGTGCTGGCAGTTCGTTCGGTCACCTCTGGCTTCAAGTTCCTGTTCTGGATTTTGCCCTGTGTGAATGTACCAGCAGTGTGTGGTTGTTGCCCAGGTGTCTTCTTGTACACAAAGCAGCATGCACCTAGGGTGATCTTCCCTAGGTGCTCAGTAAGTACTACCCTTGCGTTTCATGGTTATCTTCCCTGGGGCATTTGGGAATCATTCCCTGCTAGAGGACTTCCTTGCTTGAGGTTGTCTTCGGCCTTGGGGTACATCGGGGGTCTTGGGCTTTCTGTCTTTCCCCAGGTGGGGCAAGTGGTGAGCTGCCGGCTCCAGTGAGCTGGCTCCCCCTCCCCCTCCCCCTATTGTGGGGTAGTGCTAATGAGCGGAATTGCTAGTTACATGAAGGGTTGCTTGTTTGGTTTCTTTCCAGGGGAGTTATTTTGATCTATTTGGGTGTAGATTGCACTGGATAATCAGACAGTGGTCCATTTTGATTCACCTACCTTTCTGGGTCTTTTTCTGGTCGATGGCAATTATGACATAATTTAAATGTAAAGTGCTCATAGGCCATTGCTCCCTGTGCCTCTCTGAGGGGACCAGACTCTGGCTCGTGGATCCTGGTAAGCATAAGAACTCCTGGGACTGATGACCCCAACTAATATAGCACATCTCAATTCATATAGCTTTAGGGAGCCTCTGGGGCTCATCCACAAAATGGCATTCCATTATATTCAACTCAAATTTTTAGCAAAAATATGTATGAATATGTATACTGTCACAATTCTGATTTCCGAATTCCTTATGGTCGAACCCGGGAAATAGTCTGATTTTTCCAGATTGTTGGGTGTACGTTTGTACCCAGAAAAAAAATATTTTATCCAAAAAATTTCATAATACTGTTCAGTGTCATTAAATACTGTAAACAAAAAAAATTATATTTTACAGGTATAGTAGTAGTAAATTACATAATAAAGGCTCTCACCAAGAGTCCAGGTGTTTTCTACATCCACATACTGTATTACATATTATTGAGTATTACATATACTGTAATAGCTCAGTAATCAGAATACCAGAAATCAAAATCTTTATATAATCCGAATGAATTTGTCATCATCATTTTCAAGTAAATGGTGGGGAGGGATAAACTCTTAAACCATGAAAATGTGTAAATGGTGGGAGTAAGCAGATAAATGATGAAAATGCAAGGGTAAATGGCAGAGTAACCTGGTTGTCATTCAAAACATTTGAATTTGTGCATTTTTGGACATTCTCAGAAAGAAAAGCATTTGAGATTAGGATTGGTAGGCAGCAGCACATACATTCACACAAAATTTTCAGGAGACAGGAAGGCTTATAGGCTTATTGAAGTGCCACTAGCCGAGGAAAATACTGCCTGCACAGTCACTCGGGCAGTTATTGACCATACCTGTTGGTGCTTAACTTGACTGGCCAAGTGATGAGCATATCATCATATATACTTGATACAAATTTATTTTCTATCTACTGATTTACAGGATGAAATAAGATGTACATTCTCAGAGCCTTGCAACCTCTACCAGAGCCACAATGATGACATGGATTGGGATCCTTTAGCGGAGAACTATAGTAAGTTTATTCTTATATTTTGTTATAAATCAAAATAAGATGATACTTGACAAATATATTGATCATATATTTATATGTTTATGTGCCATCATAACCTCAATTTTCTTTAAATGCAGACACTTTCATGGTTGCTCGTGGAAATGGAGAAAACCAGACAGCCATTTTACAAACACAACTACGGAGTGCTTCTGTAGGATTCTGCTTATCATTCAGGTATTTATATGACATCATACATAATGTACTATATTATTATCTCTCCCTCATATCCACCTATGTATCTATATATCTGTATTTGAGTACCTGTAAAACATCTTTTCTATAGGTATCTCATCATGGGATTAGCCAATCTTGAGATTTCAATAATTACTGCCCAAGAAATTAAGACAGTGTGGATTCGTGGAGGAGGAATGAATTTCTTGGATTGGCATACACAACATCTCAGCCTGTTCAGTGATTTTGACTATCAGGTAATGTACTTTATCAGTATTTGTTGTGTTGGTAGTGGCTTGCTTGTTGTGAATGTTATCATATATCTATTTAGCTACAACATTTTCATACAGTACACACAGCTTTTGGATGGGCAAAGACTTTACACATATTCATATCTTTAAAGAACTACATAACCTCAGTAGTGATGCCTGCCTCACAGACATACTCTTATGTTCTGTCATTCCAACTGGTTTTTGCTATAAATAAATAAATAAATAAATAAATGTTTATTTAGGTAAGGTACATACATACAAGAGATTTTACAAAGATTGATGGATTTATAGATAGAGCTAGTACATACAATGCCTAAAGCCACTATTACGCAAAGCGTTTTGGGCATACTATCACTGTACTTTGTTTTTACTTCTCAAATATATGCATTGTTACCTTCCTCTCCACATGTACTATCATGCATGCTGCTCCACATGTATTACTACATGCATGCTGCTACCTTAACATATGTGCAACATGAGCCTATTGTACTGTGAAACCAGAGTTTTTAATAGTGAAATCAAAGCACATACAGTACCTGATTCCAGTTTTGAGCCTGCAAGCTGTCATAGGGATTAGTCAGGAAGAATGTGATAGGCTTGAGACTGGGGACCTGGGATTGACAAGGGTGCTGCTATCTAATATGAGCTCAGTTTGACTGTCCTTGGTGCCTCCCTAGCAACAGACTGACCTAAGGAGGATGTTTGAAAAGATTCCTGTTACACCAGTGCAGACTGTCACCCTGGCCCTGACTGTCATGTTCCTAACAAAGGGACCTCAGATTCTTGCCTAAGGGACCATCCAATTGAAATACAATAGCTCAGAAAATACTATCAGTGTCTTCTAATAAAATACTGTATACTCTATTAATATTATAGTACTGGAATGATATACATCATTATGCATGACTTTCATTGCTTTAGGTATGGATAATTGCCCACACTGGCAGCCCAGAAGATCAGGTGCAGTTGGATGATGTGGATCTCATTAATGGTCCATGTCCAGCACCACTTACCTGCAGCTTTGATGATGAAACAGAAACTTGTGAATGGGAAAATTTCTTCATGGATAATGCTACCCTCCCTTGGTCCATTGGATCTGGTTCTGAAAATATTTCAACTGCACCCTCGTATGTGTCTGTTTTATTAAGTGATTATATTGTAAAATATAATTGTGCTGTATCATTTTTGCATTAAAAAACAGTCTTTCTCTTAGAACTTCTAAATTTTACCACAAGTATAAATAATATATGAATTATATTAATTCTATATAAATGATATGAGTTATAATATATGAATTGGTCATTACTGCTTATTTACATATAAGCTTGTATTATTTACAGTGTGGATCATTCATGGGGAACTCCATATGGCCACTACCAGTACCTTAATCTTCAGATTAACCAAGATAACCAACTGGCTTTCTTAAAGAGTCAAGAAATAAGCACCACTGCTCCTGAGGGCGATTGTTTCCAATTTTGGTTCTATCTCTATTCTGTTATGTGTGTTATTACATGATATTTATCGTTTTCTTTGTCTGTATTTTGATATATCATTGAATTAATTGTTATATTGAATTTCATTAAGTATTTAATTTCAAATTCATGGGTAATTATCAGTTCTTGTCTATATTATTTATAACTGTATTTGAAAGCATTTTCCTTGGGCTTTAGTATACTTTCCTCCCCCAGAACTGGAGAAGATGTTGGTGAACTAGGTGTGCGTTTGTTAGCTAACAAAACGGTAATGACGGAACGTATTTGGCAACACACGTACAATGGTCATGATGGGTGGCAGTATGGAGAAACAACCATCAAATATGAGATTAATTTTAGTGTAAGAATTCCATGAAATTGATTTTGCTGATGATATTTAAATTACATTACGTTTTGACAAATAACAAAAATACATAAATTTAACCCATGAAATGAGCATATGATATATCAAGTATTATCTCTGTATGCACAAAAACAAATCAGAACATTTTGTATATCTTCCTTTATTGTTAATAAAAACCATGCCCTGAGCATAGGAAAAATATCAACAAAATTGTAATTTTTTAAAATAGCGAATATTTACTCAAATTCTGACTGGGAACCCTGTACACCCACAGAAGTTACGAATACCGAAAGTTACAAAGTACCTAAAACATTCTAGGATGATATGTGCACGTAGGGCTGAGCCCTTTAAAATGATATGCACATTTCAGGGGTTAACGAATATAGTTGAAAATATTATAAAAATCCATATGGGATTCATTCATATAGGTTGTACTTGAAGGCTTAAGACTTAGTGGATCACAAGGATTTATGGCTTGGGATGATCTGACTGTAAAACGAGGTGCCTGTCAAGCCCCAGGAACATGCAATTTTGAAGATGGTTTGTGTGGGTGGACAAATGTGCCAGACCCCAATAACAATAACTGGGTTTGGCTTAAGGCAGAGGAAGCAAGAGATGGTGTGTTGACAGACCATACGACAGGCACTGGAAATGGTAAGTAATATAACAAAAATATTATTAAATTAAGTTTAGATTCTTCCTGAATAAATGTTTAGCCCTTATGATTTTACCTTCTCACTATGGTTTCAGTATGCTGTAGTTTCAAGTCTAATTCAGTTACAGTATATATTTTAGCTTAAAACATTGCAGCATTTTAATAAATACATGGTGGGTATGGTGACAACCAGCTGTTCCTATTAAACAATAGTTGTCTAGTAGGTTCAAGGATACTGCATGTGATTCCCACAAATGTTAAATGAAAGATTTAAAATACATATTAAGGATTAGATATAAGAGAGTACATAATACCTAGAGGTATAATAGGCTAAATTAATATTCTAAGCTAATATAACCTAACCCTTAACTAATAGAATACTAGTGAAACAAAATAAAGCTAGAGAAGCATCTTTTCATACTTCCACACACTGTTTCCTTCATTTTATCTAGTGCATGTGTGAATATATATTTCGTTAAGCAAAGAGTTTTGGTTTAGATGTTGCAATTTATTTTCAGATTTTTATTCTTAATTGATCCCATTTAAGCAGATTAATGGATATAAAATAGTTTACAGTTAAAGGAAGGTAAATTTATAAGTGCTGTTTACCTATTTATATGCCAGTTAAAAAATTTCATTAACGCTTTCCATTTGCTATAGTATCCCATTGTTAGGGACAGTAAGTGTGATAGGCCTTTTGAGGCCACCTAAGCAAAAGTGATGATGTTTGCATAGTCAAACTTGTCCTCAAATTTGTCCTGGACTAATGTTTGTATATTATAAAACACTTTACCATCTTAAGAAGGATTCTTAGGGATCACTGATAAGTAGTTTTTTTATATTATATGTCACTTAAACGATTACACTCAGATTTCCACTTGACTGGACTAGTGTTGTATGGCTGCCTCACTAATGACGGCAAGCCTGTGAGAAAATGCACCTGTTATGAAAATAATGTATCATAATAATAAATGGTATTTGAAGTTTCTAATAATGGCTGCTTGTGAGAATAAACAAAATCAGCATGAGTTGCAAGCCACCTATTATTTGAAGTGAAATACAGTATTTGTACTATAATTACTAAAGTGTTTTTACAGGATGAGAGCTCAGAATCATATCAACACAATAACCTTTATATACAGCAATATTTTACTTTCCAGGTCACTATGTTTCCTTTGACCGGGCGCACTGTAACTATGGGTCAGTTTGTTATGCCGACCTTGTGAGCACTGATATCACACCTAAAGGCAGCCAGTATTGTTTCTACTTTTATATGAGTAATCTACAGACCAGCTGTAAGTCTAATATTTTTTTTTTATTATGTTAATAATTGCTCTCAGTATATACAATTTTTATTCTTTTACAAACATAATCAAGTAAGTCAATATCTGCTCTAAACAGCCAGCAGAGTATGAATGAAACTCTCCTGGTCCTATCAAGGTTTACTGATGTCTTTGTAAGGAAGAAGGTAATGCAATGTTTTGTGATAAAAAGAGCAGTACCATTAACCCCTGCACTGCACCTGCCAACATATTAAGGGGTGTGCTGGTGTGCTAGCCAACATGGGATTATGTTAGTACAGTGGTACCTCTATTTACAAATTTAATCCGTTCCCAGAGACGGGTCGTAACTCGAAACAAATTTTCCCATAAGAAATAATGTAAATTGAATTAATCCGTTCCACATTCCCAAAAATATTAACTTCAAAATACATTTCATACACAATACACACACATATTTTGTACTATAGTATGTACAAGTTACAGTTTACCTTTATTGATGACTCTTGTTGGCATATGGAAGATGGTGAGGAGTGGGGGGGGGGAGGGGAGGAGAGGTGTTACTGTTTGGAAGGGTAGTACCTTTCCATTATAATATCAGGCAGTGATAACTTTTCTGGGGTACTCTCTCTCCTACGTTTTGCCTGCATACCACTAGGACCTGGTTGTGGCTCACTGCTTGTTTTTCTCACTAAGTACCTTTCCATAGAGACTTGTTTTTTCCCTACGTTTAAACATTTGTCTGTAGTGAGGCCTCACAGTGTCATTGAAAAGGTTAAGGCAACGGCCTACTGCAGCTTGATTTGGGTGAGTCATTTGAAAAACTGTATTTATTCCCATACTGCACACCACTTCTTAAGCGTTGCAGAAGGGACATTCTGTACTGCCTCCTATTCCCCTGAAGAAATTTCCTCAGCTGTCACTTGTTGCTGCTCCTTGTAATGGTTTAGGAGTTCTTTGGTGGTCAGTTCTTTGCTGTGTTCCTCCACCAACTCACAACACACAACATTCACAACTCTCGCAATACTATGAATGCCACAACTTTTTCTAAATTTCTCAAACCATCCCCTGCTCGCCTTAAACACTTTGGTATCTGCATCACTTGTTTCAGGGGTTTTCTTTATAAAATCTTCATGCAAAAGCCTTGCTTTTTCACAAATTATGGCCTCTGTCACCCACTAACTCCTTGTTGTGTATCCAAATTAATAATAACTTTTCAACATCCTCAAGTGTTTGTGTTCTATGTTTCGTGATTATTGATACGCCTTTTGCCATTTTAGCACTCATAATGTCCTTTTTCATAGCAAGTACAGTGGATATCGTTGACATAGATTTGTTGTACTGCCTAACTAGATCAACAACCCGTACACCATCTTCAATTTATGAATAATCTCTTGTTTTCCCTCTATGGTCATCCTCACATGTGTTGTCTTAGGTTGAACCTTACCACTGACTTTCTTGGGACCCATGGCATGATATATAATAATTATTTTTATGGTCAAAACCCCCAAAAAAAAGAAAAAACAATGAAATTCTTTACAAAGAATTCAAGCGAGATCGTCACTAAGCGGGCGGTCTGGTAAACTGAAGCAGGGTCGCCCATGCCATCAGGAACCATGCACTCTGTCGACCCATACGTGTATCAACAAAGTTGCAAGTTGAGGCAAAGGTCATAAGTCGAATCAAATTTTCCAACGAAATTTGGGTCGTAACTCAAAAAATTTGTAAGTAGGGGCATTCATAAGTTGAGGTTCCACTGTATAAGATTTGAAACTCCCATGCATACAAGGGGGGTGTACATTTGCTTCTTCAGGCCCCCAGTAACCATCCCCCATCTTGCATCTTAACTGTGATTACATTAGACATGTGATACTAATACCTACATTCGCTTTTCAGACTTGAAACTAACTAGACACTTTTTCTATATTTATGGATATAACCAATTAACCATTTTATGGGCACATGACATATTGAGAATACAATACAATAACTATTTGACTGCCTGCATGTTAAAAACATGCTTTCTTTTATTGGGAGTGCATAACCTGAGTATATTGGTCTGAATCTTTTATTTACTTGAATGCATTAGATAGTATAAAGTCAGTTGAATTAATATTGCATAATTTATGTGACTTGTTCATTTTCTGTATTACTAGATGATAAAAATTCTGTGCAACTTGAAATGGTTAATGTAGAGGAGAACACAGCTCAACTTGTGGCCACGTATGCAAATGAACTTAATGACGTTTGGACCTATTTCCAACAACCTCTTCAAAACTTGCATCATGTCTTCAATCTTCGCATAAGGTCTAAAATGCTTCCAGATTTGCTAGATGCAGAAGGCAAGTATTAACCATCTATTTATACTTATACAGTATTTTTATACCATAAATATTTCTGTAATATTTAGTCTTTTTAGATAATAAGGTCACGTCAAAATATATTTGTCATATACTGTATAGATATTTTACATTTTATATTAAATCATAGTACTGCATGTCCTATAATTATAACATTTTCATTCACTAGCATATAATGCACTGGATGATGTTGAGCTGTCACTTGGAGAATGTACATCATCTGGAACTACTTTAACACCCGTTTCCACACCTACACCCGATTCTCAGCTGACATGTACATTTGAGGAAGGCACTTTGTGTGGTTGGAGTCAGGATCTTGCTGATGGACGAGATTGGATATTAAGCACTGGTGAAATTATCAACTCTCCTCTAGGTCCTCAAGTTGACCACACTACTCACCTTTCAGGAGGTAAGCACAGTTTTCTGCTTAAATAATCTAAATGTATCCAAATTATACATTCATAAATTTGTATTGTAAGGAATCATAAATTTATATCTGCTTCTGAGTTATCATGTGTGGTTACTCCCTGAGGCAAGATCCAACTGTGTTCTTGGACATGATTATTCTGCAGCTAGGCAAAAGTTTTAAGATTTCATCATATATTCCACATTTTTAATGAATAGGTATCATTTTTTCTTAACTACTTCAGCCTAACTAATGGTGCTGCTGCAAGACATGTTTCCTACTAAATTATAGTCCAATCAAATAAAAAGAAAAATAGTAGAAATCCTTTATAGTTCACAGAATCACCCAACAGTATCACATAATGGTAAATAAAGAGTGGTGGGGCAGGGAGGGAAATTATAAATACCACTAAATCTGGCAAGTAATTCTAAACAAAACTAAAACAAATACTTTGGCAAATACTATTTTCTGGCAAATACTTGTGGCGAAGTTTTATCAGAAAATTACCCAAATTTGACTTAGACTCTGTGCCAGTCTGCATTATCTGGCCAAATCTCTTGTTATCCAAATTTTTGTTTGGATACAGTGAATTTTTGCAGATAATTGTCCAAACCCGATTTTGGCCAGATAACCCAAAAATTTCGTTCAATGGGTTTCGGATTACCGAACACATACAGTATAGTCACACTAAATATACCCAACACATTACTTAAATTAATGTGGCCGAGATGCTCTTCAATTCTTTTTTTTTATTATAATATCTCTGCCATTTGTTTGGTTTGAATGTAAGGTTGTATTCAGTACTTATGTTTAGAAACTTCATGGCTGGCTGTGTAAAGTTACCCATTTTATGTTTCTATAATTAATTTTTCAGTTTAAGCTACAATTGTGAGAGTGTAATGTGTCCCAGCATAATTTAGAAAAATACAAAAAGAACATAAGTAAATTATTCTATTGTATTACTTCATGTGTGTTTGAATTAGGTTTCATTTCTCTTATTGTAGTGCTTAGTTTTTTTCAGATTATAATTCAGTTTTTCATTTAAATGCATTATATCAACAGGTCATTTCATCTACATCTCATCATCTGGTTCTCTGAGCATTGCCAACCTATTCTCTGAAATTTTGGTATCCAGTGAGAGCGGCAACTGCCTTTCCTTCTCATATTACATGCATGGCACTGCACCACCCTTCTTGAAGATATATATTCTCAAAGGTATTTATTTACTGACTACATGTTAATTCTATTCAGCTGTTCACGGATATTCTTTCAAGGTCATACATGCAACCATTTTGAAAATTTTTATTGCAGTCATGAAATTGTGAGCCTATTTACTTGTTGGTTAATATTTACAGTATGTGCCCAGTTTAACACAGATTCTTTCCTTGAGTTATTGTACAGTATCAAACAGAGTAGAATAATGTAAACAATTGATGAAAAAAATATAGGATACAGGTATGTTCAAAGACAACAAATTTTGTTAAGTAAAATATTAGTGTTATACTATATGCAATATTGTAAAATCAAAGTTTTATTTGTTGCAGTAAAGTTAGTTTGTATTATTAATAAAGATTACCTTGTATAGCTGGTGAGAGGCCTGGACCATCAGATTTTCCTGACTGGGTCCATCTTCGAGAGGTGGGAGAGAATTGGCAGCAGGTTCATCTATTCATACAAAAGCAAGATTATGACCAGTATGTAGCTTTGGTCGCCAATACACAGTATAACAGTGGAGACATGGGACACACTGCAGTTGATGACATCTTGCTGACAGATGGTTCTTGTGATAACCTTAGAGGTATTTACACTCTTGAATGGATGTATATGTGACTCAGAATCATAGTGCCAAGCTGCATCTTACAAGTGTTTATTTATTGTATTGGAATTTTTCTTAATGTGATTTTGACCCAAAAATGTTAATGTACTGTACATTATTTTTTTCCAGAAAATTCATGTGACTTTGAAACCTCAGATCTCTGTGAATGGATCCCATCTACTAATCAAGGAGCAGAGTGGATTTGGAATTCAGGTCAAAACCCAGACCACAGCAATGGACCATATATTGATCACACATTTGGTAATATTATTGCATGTTTATATATTGCAATGTTTGTTGCATAGTGTGTGCATAGTTCATTGCACACATGTATCTCTTGTCCTTAAAATAATGATTTTTTTTTTTTTAAGTTCTAATATAATTTAAAAGAGAATAATTTAAAGGTTAATACTTTTGTAAAGTATTTACAAATTCAGTGGATTATAAGAAGTTAAGTCAAACATCATGTTTACACCTGGCTATTTGTAAGTACAGTACAATGTATCCTTATGTAAAACATTTGTGAGATAACATGGGTTCTAATTTATTGAACAAAAAATTTAAATTGTATGCTATTTTTATATAAAACACACACAATGCATGATCATCTTTTCACTCCAGCAAATGAGATCTAAGGAACTGGCTTCCTTCCCAGTCCCCCCCCCACACACACGCACACACACACACACACACACACACACACACACACACGTTGCGTTGCTGTGCTGGTAAAAGAACACCTAAAGGTGAAGGAAATAATGACTGCCAATCCACAAGAAGTTGACATAATAGCACTAGAGATCTGCTATGAGGATGATAAACTAATGATGATAAATGCATATAGTCCACCGCCAAGCAGCACATGGTCAAAGGAGGAGCTAGATAGTAAACGTGAAGGTCTTATAACAATAATGAGAGAGATTATAGCGAGAGCGGATAACGATAGATCACGACTGTTGATAGTCGGTGACTTCAACTTGAAATCGATAGACTGGGAAGCATATGAAGCTAAAACAGAAGATTTTTGGACCTGTAAATTTGTAGACCTCATCCTGGAAACATTCTTGTATCAACATGTTAAACAAGCTACGAGGATGAGGGAAGGGGACGTTCCCTCCATGCTAGATTTGATATTTACCAGGAAGGAGGAAGAGATATTTGACATTCAGTACCTTCCTCCCTTGGGTAAAAGTGACCATGTCTTTTTGGGAATAAAGTATGCAATGCGTTATAAGCTGGAAGAAAATAAGGAGGTTGAAGCAGTTGAAAAACCAGACTTCAGGAGAGGACATTATGGTGACCTTAGAAATTTTTTTAGTGAGTATAATTGGACAGACTTGATGCTAGGCAAGGAAGTGAATGAGATGTATGGCAAGTTTTGTGAAATATATGATAAAGGCACAAAAAAATTTATACCAAAACAGAGATGCAGAACTAGGAAACAGGATTGGTTCAATAGAAATTGCGAGAGGGCTAGAGACCGAAAGACACAAAAATGGAATCAATACAGGAAGAGGCCGAACCCCCAAACATACCAGCGATACAAAGATGCGAGAAACAACTACACGGCAGTGAGGAGAGAGGCAGAAAGAAATTTTGAAAAAGGGATTGCAGACAAATGTAAAACAGAACCAGGTCTATTCTATAAATTCATAAACAACAAATTGCAGGTAAAGGATAATATTCAGAGGTTGAAAATGGGAAATAGATTCACGGAAGATGAAAAGGAAATGTGTGAAACACTAAACGAAAAGTTCCAAAGTGTGTTTGTACAAAATGAAATCTTTAGGGAACCAGATACAATAAGAATTCCAGAGAACAACATAGATCACATAGAGGTGTCTAGAGACGAAGTGGAAAAAATGCTCAAGGAGCTCGGTAAGAACAAAGCAGCTGGCCCAGATGGCGTTTCACCATGGGTTCTGAGAGAATGTGCATCTGAGCTCAGCATTCCACTTCACCTGATCTTTCAGGCATCCCTGTGTACAGGAATCGTAGCAGACGGGTGGAAACAGGCTAACATAGTTCCAATCTACAAAAGTGGCAGCAGGGAAGACCCCCTCAATTATAGACCTGTATCATTAACAAGTGTAATAGTGAAAGTATTGGAAAAACTAATCAAAACTAAATGGGTAGAACACCTAGAGAGAAATGATATAATATCAGACAGACAGTATGGTTTTCGATCTGGAAGATCCTGTGTATCGAATTTACTCAGTTTCTATGATCGAGCCACAGAGATATTACAGGAAAGAGATGGTTGGGTTGACTGCATCTATCTGGACCTAAAAAAGGCTTTCGACAGAGTTCCACATAAGAGGTTGTTCTGGAAACTGGAAAATATTGGAGGGGTGACAGGTAAGCTTCTATCATGGATGAAAAATTTTCTGACTGATAGAAAAATGAGGGCAGTAATCAGAGGCAATGTATCAGAATGGAGAAATGTCACAAGTGGAGTACCACAGGGTTCAGTTCTTGCACCAGTGATGTTTATTGTGTACATAAATGATCTACCAGTTGGTATACAGAATTATATGAACATGTTTGCTGATGATGCTAAGATAATAGGAAGGATAAGAAATTTAGATGACTGTCATGCCCTTCAAAAAGACCTGGACAAAATAAGTATATGGAGCACCACTTGGCAAATGGAATTTAATGTTAATAAATGTCATGTTATGGAATGTGGAATAGGAGAACATAGACCCCACACAACCTATATATTATGTGAGAAATCTTTAAAGAATTCTGATAAAGAAAGAGATCTAGGAGTGGTTCTAGATAGAAAACTATCACCTGAGGACCACATAAAGAATATTGTGCAAGGAGCCTATGCTATGCTTCTAACTTCAGAATTGCATTTAAATACATGGATGGCGATATACTAAAGAAATTGTTCATGACTTTTGTTAGGCCAAAGCTAGAATATGCAGCTGTTGTGTGGTGCCCATATCTTAAGAAGCACATCAACAAACTGGAAAAGGTGCAAAGACATGCTACTAAGTGGCTCCCAGAACTGAAGGGCAAGAGCTACGAGGAGAGGTTAGAAGCATTAAATATGCCAAAACTAGAAGACAGAAGAAAAAGAGGTGATATGATCACTACATACAAAATAGTAACAGGAATTGACAAAATCGACAGGGAAGACTTCCTGAGACCTGGAACTTCAAGAACAAGAGGTCATAGATTTAAGCTAGCTAAACACAGATGCCGAAGAAATATAAGAAAATTCACCTTCGCAAATAGAGTGGTAGACGGTTGGAACAAGTTAAGTGAGAAGGTGGTGGAGGCCAAGACCGTCAGTAGTTTCAAAGCGTTATATGACAAAGAGTGCTGGGAAGACGGGACACCACGAGCGTAGCTCTCATCCTGTAACTACACTTAGGTAATTACACTTAGGTAATTACACACACACACACACACACACACACACACAAGATCCTGTGTATCGAATTTACTCAGTTTCTATGATCGGGCCACAGAGATATTACAGGAAAGAGATGGCTGGGTTGACTGCATCTATCTGGACCTAAAAAAGGCTTTCGACAGAGTTCCACATAAGAGGTTGTTCTGGAAACTGGAAAATATTGGAGGGGTGACAGGTAAGCTTTTATCATGGATGAAAAATTTTCTGACTGATAGAAAAATGAGGGCAGTAATCAGAGGCAATGTATCGGAATGGAGAAATGTCACAAGTGGAGTACCACAGGGTTCAGTTCTTGCACCAGTGATGTTTATTGTGTACATAAATGATCTACCAGTTGGTATACAGAATTATATGAACATGTTTGCTGATGATGCTAAGATAATAGGAAGGATAAGAAATTTAGATGATTGTCATGCCCTTCAAGAAGACCTGGACAAAATAAGTATATGGAGCACCACTTGGCAAATGGAATTTAATGTTAATAAATGTCATGTTATGGAATGTGGAATAGGAGAACATAGACCCCACACAACTTATATATTATGTGAGAAATCTTTAAAGAATTCTGATAAAGAAAGAGATCTAGGAGTGGTTCTAGATAGAAAACTATCACCTGAGGACCACATTAAGAATATTGTGCAAGGAGCCTATGCAATGCTTTCTAACTTCAGAATTGCATTTAAATACATGGATGGCGATATACTAAAGAAGTTGTTCATGACTTTTGTTAGGCCAAAGCTAGAATATGCAGCTGTTGTGTGGTGCCCATATCTTAAGAAGCACATCAACAAACTGGAAAAGGTGCAAAGACATGCTACTAAGTGGCTCCCAGAACTGAAGGGCAAGAGCTACGAGGAGAGGTTAGAAGCATTAAATATGCCAAAACTAGAAGACAGAAGAAAAAGAGGTGATATGATCACTACGTACAAAATAGTAACAGGAATTGATAAAATCGACAGGGAAGACTTCCTGAGACCTGGAACTTCAAGAACAAGAGGCCATAGATTTAAACTAGCTAAACACAGATGCCGAAGAAATATAAGAAAATTCACCTTCGCAAATAGAGTGGTAGACGGTTGGAACAAGTTAAGTGAGAAGGTGGTGGAGGCCAAGACCGTCAGTAGTTTCAAAGCGTTATATGACAAAGAGTGCTGGGAAGACGGGACACCACGAGCGTAGCTCTCATCCTGTAACTACACTTAGGTAATTACACACACACACACACACAAAATGGAATCGGTATAGGAAGAGGCCAAACCCCCAAACATACCAGCGATACAAAGATGCGAGAAACAATTATACAGCAGTAAGGAGAGAGGCAGAAAGAAATTTTGAAAAAGGGATAGCAGATAAATGTAAAACAGAACCGGGCCTATTCTACAAATTCATAAACAACAAATTGCAGGTAAAGGATAATATCCAGAGGTTGAAAATGGGAAACAGATTCACGGAAAATGAAAGGGAAATGTGTGAAACATTAAATGAAAAGTTCCAAAGTGTGTTTGTACAAAATGAAATCTTCAGAGAACCAGACACAATAAGAATTCCAGAGAACAACATAGAGCGGATAGAGGTGTCTAGAGATGAAGTGGAAAATATGCTAAAGGAGCTCGGGAGGAACAAAGCAGCTGGCCCAGATGGCGTTTCACCATGGGTTCTGAGAGAATGTGCATCTGAGCTCAGCATTCCACTTCACCTGATCTTTCAGGCATCCCTGTGTACAGGAATCGTAGCAGACGTGTGGAAACAGGCTAACATAGTTCCAATCTACAAAAGTGGCAGCAGGGAAGACCCCCTCAATTATAGACCTGTATCATTGACAAGTGTAATAGTGAAAGTATTGGAAAAGCTAATCAAAACTAAATGGGTAGAACACCTGGAGAGAAATGATATAATATCAGACAGACAGTATGGTTTTCGATCAGGAAGATCCTGTGTATCGAATTTACTCAGTTTCTATGATCGGGCCACAGAGATATTACAGGAAAGAGATGGCTGGGTTGACTGCATCTATCTGGACCTAAAAAAGGCTTTCGACAGAGTTCCACATAAGAGGTTGTTCTGGAAACTGGAAAATATTGGAGGGGTGACAGGTAAGCTTCTATCATGGATGAAAAATTTTCTGACTGATAGAAAAATGAGGGCAGTAATCAGAGGCAATGTATCGGAATGGAGAAATGTCACAAGTGGAGTACCACAGGGTTCAGTTCTTGCACCAGTGATGTTTATTGTGTACATAAATGATCTACCAGTTGGTATACAGAATTATATGAACATGTTTGCTGATGATGCTAAGATAATAGGAAGGATAAGAAATTTAGATGATTGTCATGCCCTTCAAGAAGACCTGGACAAAATAAGTATATGGAGCACCACTTGGCAAATGGAATTTAATGTTAATAAATGTCATGTTATGGAATGTGGAATAGGAGAACATAGACCCCACACAACCTATATATTATGTGAGAAATCTTTAAAGAATTCTGATAAAGAAAGAGATCTAGGAGTGGTTCTAGATCTAAAAAGTTTCAAAAACTGTGGGCATTCTTTCTAAGCTCAGATATTATGTACCACGCCCTGCTCTGGTGACTCTCTATTACTCCCTTATCTATCCTTATCTCAACTATGGTATTTGTGCTTGGGGTTCTACTACCCAAAATCACTTACGTCCTCTAATTACCCAGCACAAAGCCGCTATTAGAACAATATCCAACTCTGGCCCCAGACATCACTCGGTACCCCTACTCAAATCTCTTAATATGTTAGATATTAAGTCACTGCACATTCTCTCATGTGTATTATACATATTTAAAACGCTAAACTATAATGCCAATCCTGATCTTAAAAGCTTCATAGAAGGTTGTAACAGAACCCATGAGCACCACACCAGAAATAAATACAGTTTTGATATTCCTAGAGTACGTCTTAATCAAACTAGAAATGCTCTGCAAATCAAGGGGCCCAGAATGTGGAATGACCTTCCCAACCATGTTAAAGACTGTACCTCTCTCAACCAGTTTAAGATAAAAACTAAACACTACCTAATAAATTCCCTGTAATCTACCTCACTCCTCTATTGTCAACCCATGTCTGTTATTTTCTCTTTTTTTTTTCTTTTTTTTTAATCAACACTGTTTGTCAACCTATTGTATTTGTGCTGCTTTTTCAGTCATGTTCCCCCTTTTTTTTTATCTTTATTTGTATTTGTTCTCAACATCTTTTATTCTTTATGCTCAATTAGTATTAAGTTCTAGATATTAATGTTTTTTCTTGCCCGAAACGCATTGCGTAATAGTGGCTTTAGGCATTGTATGTACTAGCTCTATCTATATATCAATCCTTTAATGTAACATCACTTGTATGTATATACCTTACCTGAATAAACATCTGAATCTGAATCTGAATCTGAGATAGAAAACTATCACCTGAGGACCACATTAAGAATATTGTGCAAGGAGCCTATGCAATGCTTTCTAACTTCAGAATTGCATTTAAATACATGGATGGCGATATACTAAAGAAATTGTTCATGACTTTTGTTAGGCCAAAGCTAGAATATGCAGCTGTTGTGTGGTGCCCATATCTTAAGAAGCACATCAACAAACTGGAAAAGGTGCAAAGACATGCTACTAAGTGGCTCCCAGAACTGAAGGGCAAGAGCTACGAGGAGAGGTTAGAAGCATTAAATATGCCAAAACTAGAAGACAGAAGAAAAAGAGGTGATATGATCACTACGTACAAAATAGTAACAGGAATTGATAAAATCGACAGGGAAGACTTCCTGAGACCTGGAACTTCAAGAACAAGAGGCCATAGATTTAAACTAGCTAAACACAGATGCCGAAGAAATATAAGAAAATTCACCTTCGCAAATAGAGTGGTAGACGGTTGGAACAAGTTAAGTGAGAAGGTGGTGGAGGCCAAGACCGTCAGTAGTTTCAAAGCGTTATATGACAAAGAGTGCTGGGAAGACGGGACACCACGAGCGTAGCTCTCATCCTGTAACTACACTTAGGTAATTACACTTAGGTAATTACACACACACACACACACACAAACACAAAAAAAAAAAAAAAAACACACACAAAAAAAAAAAACACAAAAACACACACAAACACACACAAAAACACACACACAAAAACACACACACAAAAACACACACACATACAAAAAAAAAACACAGAGACAGACAGAGACAGACAGAAATTCACACACACATTTATCTGGACCTAAAAAGGTTTTTGACAGAATCCCACATGAAAGGTTGTTCTGCAAATTGTAACATACTAGAGGGGTGACAGGGAGACTTCTGACTTGGATGCTATGCATGCTGTATGCAGGGGTGCTTTCTGGGGTTTTCCATTGATGGCTGTCTCTGCTTCCTAGTTCTTGTTTATTCAGTGTCCTTCATATGGTGTAATGGGAGCAACCTGATAAGACCTCTGGTGTATCAGAGTTGGCAGAAGGTTGTACTGATTATAGCAGTGTTTTATGCTTTGACTTTGAGATATCAGGATTATGCCTAAGTTATCTAGTGGCCTTTTATCAGACTCCTCGTGCAGAGAATATCACAATATTGTGGATGAAATCTTATGAATTTTGGAGAGCTATTGCAATATACTTTGAGCATTGCACCATATCAGTCATGATTTGCTTGACTTCAAATGCTAAAATTCTTTTACAGACCAAAAATTGATTTGCATCTTTCTTTTTTAGGTTCATCTGAAGGTCACTATGCCTCCCTAAAGCATTCAAAAGAAAATAAGGATGCAGTTGCTTATCTGACCAGCCCAACACACCAGAGTTCAGAAGCAATGTATGTATATTGTATAGTGTGTGTGTGGAGGGGTACGGGCAGTAGTGGTGCTGGCAGCAACACCAGCATAAAGCATCATAAAAAAAATGAGGAGCAACATGAAAATTTGTGTTACATGAATACATTAATTGTGATTATACTCTACAGTACATTAATGCATATTCATTTAAGATTTTTGACTTATTACATGTGTCCTGGAAGATGTGTATTATAACAGTTGTGAATATTTCTTCAGTATATTAATTCTGTTTTGTTTTTTGTCTTTTAATATATATTGTAGGTGCCTGCGGTTCTACTATTTTATGCAAGGACGTACCAACTGGACAGGGTCCTTGAGTTTGTACGTGAAAAGTCCATCTGTTGATATAAATGATGTAAACCCTGTGTGGATCATAGCAGGACATCAGGGGGATACCTGGAACTTGGGTCGAAAGTCTCTGGACTTTGTCAGTGAATACCATGTAAGTTAAAATTTTGTGTTTGCAAAGCTAATTCTTTTATTACTCTAATAGAAGTAGCTATTTTTAACAAGGCTATGTGTGTTTATTTTGCACCCTAATTTATATGGGAATGAAATTTTTGGGGATGGATAAGGAGATGAAAGGGTAATTTTGAAGTACAAGACACCTATTTTATATCTGAGGTTGGTTTCATTTTCATAGATCCTTTGTTTATAGACCTACAGCTTACAAGAAACTGTTTATGCTTACAACATGAAAAAATACTGTAGTTCATAATTCTAAAATGTTTTAATGCTATTCAACTTATCTGATATAGATAAGCAGTAGACCAGAAGAAAAAATAAATGCAAAAATATGATTTTCCAGTTTATAATAAAATTTACAGTCTAATATTAAATAAATTTTTATCAAGAGTTGTAAGTCAAAACTCATTAAGCTTTTACATGTATACTTATTAATCCTGTTCATCTTACATCAGTCGTGGCAGCTTAGTTTACACTTGTAAAAGTTTATGGCTCTGAAGTGCTACGATCGAGATTGTCAACTACAATAATAAGTTTAGGTTGCACAGTTTTACAGCTTGTAAACTGGTTAATAAATACAAGCTTAACTGCCATGATCAAGAAAATATGTACAGGTCTCGCAATTCATCAAATAAATGCATGGTGAATGCTGGCTTTTGACATTTTGGTTTTGGAGTATGTTTTCTCTCTCATCTGCTAGAATTGAAACTAGAAAATGATAAACCCAAATTAATTAAATAAATAAATAAATAAATATGTTTATTCAGGTAAGGTACATACATACAAGTGATGTTACATTAATGGATTGATATATAGATAGAGCTAGTACATACAATGCCTAAAGCCACTATTACGCAATGCGTTTCGGGCAACGAATGTGGAATGACCTTCCCAATTTATTTATTTATTTATTTATTTATGCATATACAAGAATGTACATAAGGAATGTGAGGATACAATTATGGTAATTACAGTCTTGTAAAGCCACTAGCACGCGCAGCGTTTCGGGCAGGTCCTTAATCTAAGAAAATTTTAAGGAGGTAAATACTTGCAAAATTTATAGACAAAAAAATGATAACAGATTACATGGAATGAAAAAAAAAAAAAAAAAAAAAGATGAGAGAAAATTATAGGTACAGTATATTAAAGCACATAGGTAGCTATGATTGATTTTAATTAAGTTCCTTTTAAGACATTGATGTTTGGGTTGAAATAGGTGTTACTGGTGAATAGGTGATGAACTGGATGTAATAGGAGATATTAAGAGACAAGACAATTTATTTGATGAATCTGAGGCAGAAGGGTCACGTGATGGTTCAGTAGCATTTAATACTATTTAATACTACTGTTTTCATATCTTCTCTCTTCATCTCTAGGCATAAGACTGTCCTGAAACAATAATTAGGAGCTTTATCAAGACTACAAGTTATAGATGCAAGTGCCAGCCATGTAATATGTAACATGTGCTGTACCGTTTATAAATAAAAACAGATTTTTATATTGACTGATTGACATTATTTATCTTGTTAAATTCTACAGAGTGTATTTGCGGCAGTTGAAGGCAGCAGCGGCGACAACAGTGTTATAGCTGTAGATGATGTAGCAATGATAGAGAGGGACTGTCCAGGTCCTGCCACCTGTACATTTGAAGATGGTTACTGTGACTGGACCAATGTTAAAGGTTATGATCAAATGGACTGGGTGATGATCAATGGCTACACACCCACAGAAAACACTGGGCCTAATTATGATTACACTCTCCATACAGTGCACGGTATGTTTACAGCATGACTGTAGATAATGGGTAGTTTTCCTAACAATAATTGTGCAAAACCGACTCAAGAAATATCGGAGAAACTAAAGCTCAAGAAAGTCTTTTTTTTTTCTGTGGGGAGCCCCTTTGGCTCCCTGGAGCTATCGGGCTAATATGCAAATCATTAGACCAGGGCATTAGTCTATGGAGTTCAGCCTACTGGGGACCATGAGCCAGGTTTTCCTTATCTGCCATCGACCAGGGTTAGGCACCCAGAAAAATAGGCATAACAAAACAAACTCCACATGGTAAGAAAATTGCACCCAAAAACCAAACAGAGAAGCAGAGCTCCCTCCAATCCCAATGAAACAAGCAAATGTCACACTCCATCGCCACGTCGCTCGTCCGTGCAGCCCCCTCCCCACCCACCACCACCACCACAAAAAACCAGCATTGAATGTAATGAAATGCCATTTTCTGGGTGAGCCCCAGAGGCTCCCTGGCAACTCTCCCTTCCTCCAGTTGGCAGTTTTTCGTTATTTGATACTTAGCAGCTGAACTGGAGTGGCTGGGTCGCCAGTACTGGGACCTGATCTGATAGATCTGGGACCTCCTTTTCCCCTCCTGAGGGAAGGGGGGCTGTACAGACAAGCGACACAGTGATTGAGTGTAATGTTTGCTTGTTTCCTTGGGATTGGAGGGAGTTCTGCCTCTGTTCCATTTTCGGTTGCAATTTTCTTACTTTGTCAGGTCTGTTTTGTTATGCCTACCTTTGTGGGTGTTTAACCCTGATCGATGGCAAATAAGGAAAACCCCAATCACAGGGTTTTTTTTCAGGGCCATTGCTCCCTGGGCCTTTCTGAGGGGGCCAGGTTCTGCCTCATGGTCCCCAGTATGCTGCGCTCCATAGACTAATGCCCCAGTCTAATTTATTATTTATATATGCAAGAGTTGTTACATCCTTGCACAGCCACTAGTACGCGTAGTGTTTCGGACAAGTCCTTAATCCTGTGTTCCCCAGAATACGACCCCCGCGAAGAATCGTTTAGCAACCAGGTACCCATTTTACTGTTGGATTAAACAGAGGCTACAGTTAAGGACTTGCACCCAGTAAATCCTCCCCGGCCAGGATACGAACCCAGGACAAAGCACTCGCGGAAAGCCATACAAGCGTCTTACCACTACGCCATGATGCTCTAATGATTCGCATATTAGCCCGATAGCTCCAGAGAACCTCCTAGAATAAACCAGAAAATGGTACTTCTTTACATTCACTGCAGGTTTCTTGTAGGATTTTCAGTGCTACACAGAGCTCTTTGCTTTATTACATGCAAGGTGCAGAATTGAAACTAGCTTAAGCAGATATGAAAATTAAACAAATTAAATATTTGCAAACAGTATGCCTGTATCTTGGGTTAATACCAAACAATAAATGATATATAAAATATTATTATATACTTATTATTATTATATATTTAATGTTAAATGATGTTGGGCTGAGAAGTTACAGTAAGTTATACGGTAAGTGTTTTCCTCGTTCACAGCTCCACTTATAGAACATCTCAACCATGTCTCAGTTAGGTTCCTGGTGCTACTGATGTTTATTCAGGTAAGGTATATACATACAAGTGATGTTACATTAATGGATTGATATATAGATAGAGCTAGTACATACAATGCCTAAAGCCACTATTACGCAATGCGTTTCGGGCAAGAAAAACATTAATATCTAGAACTTAATACTAATTGAGCATAAAGAATAAAAAGTGTTGAGAACAAATACAAATAAAGATAAAAAAAGGGGGAACATGACTGAAAAAGCAGCACAAATACAATAGGTTGACAAACAGTGTTGATTAAAAAAAAAAAAAAGAAGAAAATAACAGACATGGGTTGACAATAGAGGAGTGAGGTAGATTACAGGGAATTTATTAGGTAGTGTTTAGTTTTTATCTTAAACTGGTTGAGAGAGGTACAGTCTTTAACATGGTTGGGAAGGTCATTCCACATTCTGGGCCCCTTGATTTGCAGAGCATTTCTAGTTTGATTAAGACGTACTCTAGGAATATCAAAACTGTATTTATTTCTGGTGTGGTGCTCATGGGTTCTGTTACAACCTTCTATGAAGCTTTTAAGATCAGGATTGGCATTATAGTTTAGCATTTTATATATGTATAATACACATGAGAGAATGTGCAGTGACTTAATATCTAACATATTCAGAAAAATGCTCACAATGTCCTTGTGGTTAGGTAATTGTGATAGAATTGGGGGATTCGAAGCAAGATTTGCCCCTCTCTAAAATTGTTATATCTGGCTTACTGATGCCAATCACTAACAAATTATGAATGTTAGTGTTATCAGAAATTAGATTGTAAGCTGTTGTGCCTGGCATAAATGACTATATTAAGATTAATATCTTTCCTCAGGTCACTACTTGTACATGGAGGCAGATGATGGATCAATCCATTCCTCTGCTATTTTAGAATCGGCTATCATACCCCTTGGAACATACTGCTTCGAATTATACTATTCAATGTATGGCAAGGATGTTGGTGGTAAGTACTTTTATAATTTTTTTATATTTTGGATGTTAGTTGAAGAAAGTGCTAAGTGTAAACAACAATGTAGATGAACACTAAGATGAGAGTAGAACATTTGTTGATAACATTCAAGGCAAAAGCTATCTATAAAATAAATCTGCTCTTATCTTCACATTTCTCTGTACTGTATTTCATATATTCGTTGAAAGAATCTGAATTAACCGATGGGTATTTTATTCGTGATTTAAGTGTTTATTTTGAAAATTAAAAGTACTTCGTAACTTCCTACTTCATTAACTAACAGTTAGCCTGCCTAGCTGCATACACTGACCACCACCAGGTGTCAGCATCATGCTCACCTCTGGGTTCCATAATCCCAGCCACCCTACACATTTCCCAATTATATTTATTAGATCTGCACACAGGCAAAGCAGGAATATGTGGGACCGATCGGGACCAGCCAAGTAATTTTGTCCAGAAATTTGCTTCTTATATTAACTTGAAACCATACTATATTTTGTTATTATTGCTTTTGTCTGCTTCGTAAGGTATAATTAAAAAAAAGTTAACATAAACAGGAAAACTCATCTCTGCAGAATTGCAGTGCCTGAAGACTTTTGAATGGTGAAAACCAAATTGTTCAGTGTCAGATCACAAAGGTGCCAGCACAGAAGCAATCAGCAAAAAGGATTATAATGACAATTCTGTGCCTAATGTCACACATAGTGGTAACTCAAGCTGGAAACTCGACAAAGAAATGTTCTGCAAACTTGCATTTAGTCTGCTAAAAACTCTGATCGCTAATCTCCATCCGAACTTGATAGAGAACAAAGCTTTATAGGTGGCAAACTTCCTTAAATCATGCTCTTTAGGTTATCTAACACTAACAACCTGCTCAGCAGCTGAGAAATGCTGGCCTTTGTATAAGGTGGCATTTTAGCTACAGTTATATATTTACTCTCTTAGCAACAAATATATTCTCATTACTGTACTGTACTTTACTTATTTGAAACTTATTACACAAAATGAATAAAAATATCAGATTTTGTTGCTAATTTGTTTTGTTGTGTTGAATATTAGTTACAATGAGAGCGAACTGTAGCTCCATTTCTGTTTTCAGGTTTTGCTGTACACACGTTGAAGAACCAGACTCTGAATATAGTGTTTCAGAAATTTGGTAATCAAGGACCTGACTGGAAACTGGTTAGCTATTGTAGTGTAAACTACATATATACATATATATATAAAAATATATATATATATATATATATATATATATATATATATATATATATATATATATATATATATATATATATATATATATATATATATATATATATATATGTCGTACCTAGTAGCCAGAACGCACTTCTCACCCTACTATGCAAGGCCCGATTTGCCTAATAAGCCAAGTTTTCCTGAATTAATATATTTTCTCAAATTGTTTTCTTGTGAAATGATAAAGCTACCCATTTCATTATGTATGAGGTCAATTTTTTTTTATTGGAGTTAAAATTAACGTAGATATATGACCAAACCTAACCAACCCTACCTAACCTAACCTAACCTATCTTTATAGGTTAGGTTAGGTTAGGTAGCCGAAAAAGTTAGGTTAGGTTAGGTTAGGTAGGTTTGATAGTCGAAAAACAATTAATTCATGAAAACTTGGCTTATTAGGCAAATCGGGCCTTGGATAGTAGGCAGAGAAGTGCGTTCTGGCTACTAGGTACGACATATATATATATATATATATATATATATATATATATATATATATATATATATATATATATATATACACAGTATATATAACTGATGAAAATACTTTGGCATTTGTTCTGAGTTCACTGATATTAACATTATTTAAACATTTGTATTTTGTTTTACCCCTTATTTTATTAGTCAATGAAGTACACAAAGTTCTGAATCTTTTGCCAAATACAGTAATTACATTATATCAGATTGGCAATCTTAATCTTTTTTCAGTTAGCCACTAATTCCATAGATTGAGAGAACAAAATAAGCACTGATTAGCTTCGTATATATTTAAAAGATATAAGCAATATATAATTACATCCACAGGGTAAAGTACAAATAACTGAAGATGCAGATTTCAAACTTGAATTGGTGGCCTTGCGTGGAAATGGCAACGAAGGAGACATTGCTATAGATGATACTTGGACATCTATGGCTCCCTGCAATGATAACCCTGATGAGGCAAGTTAAAATACATATGGAGAAATTGTCATTGGAAGTAATAGTGTTAAAAGTTAATAATGAAATATATTCCTGAACCTAAGCAGATCATAACCTTCGCAGTCCAAATCTGTGCAAAAAATATATTTAAATAAACTGTATTAACATCTTATGTGCAGGCAACATTTTAACCTACACAGATTTGCCTGGCAATGTGAGCATTTGGAGCTAAATGAATTGTAATTACTTTAGTGTATTCATGTTGCTCCATTTGGTAAGGTGCTGCTATTCCCATGAACTATTTCACAATCATGGCTGAAATTTGTGGGCAGTGTGTGATGAAAGGAAGCTTTGCATAAATTAACTTGTAGAGTACAATTATATTCACACTTCCCAGTGTATCAGTTGGCATCAGATGAAGGTTAGAAATTGGTCAGTAATACAATTATATGAGAGGATTTAAATGCATGTACCTATTCTTAGGTTTGCACAGAGTATATATGATAATGCTTGTTATATTCAATTATATGTAATTTTGTTACACTTGATCATATATTTTTTTAGCAATAAAGACAAATATACAGTATAAAAAATACTGTAATGGACTTGCTTTGGTTTAGTTATTTTACAATGGTCTTCTTGTTACCTATTGCAGTTTGTTTGTTCTGATGGTACAGTACTCCCACAAGACAAAGTCTGTGATTTCATTGCCAACTGCACCGAGGAGGATGACGAAATGTTTTGTGGAAGCTGTAATTTTGAATTTGGTAAGTTTTTTCTATAACAGTAAATACTATTCTTATGAAAACCATTATGAGATTTTTTCTTAATCATCCTTGATCAGTCTAAAATATATATGTATTGTTTCTTAGTTTATTTATAACGTACCTCATTTGATCTGAATATGTTCATTATCATCAATGTGTATCAACTGGATTATATAACATCTTTATTTCATTATGTATTCTAAAATATTAGTTATTTAATCTTATTTTAATATCAAAAGTTTTTTCTTAAACTAATTATGCATAAATATTTAGGTTTTTGTTAATGTGTTGAGCAGAATAGTGCATAACATTATAAGCACAGTATCAAACTCCAATGAAACAGACTAATGCAGCAGGTAGCATTTTGCTGGTCAGTGTATCACCTCAGTATTTGTTAGTATTCTTCACATTTGCATGTGTCGGTGTTCTTCACATCTGCATGTGTCAGTGTTCTTCACGTCTGCATGTGTCGGTGTTCTTCACATCTGTATGTATCAGTGTTCTTCAACTTTGTATACAGTACATACATATCAAGCAACTGCATTTCAATCTTGTTTTCTAGGTGTTTGCGGATGGAATTTTGTGATAGATAACGATTATGTGTGGACCAGGGGACGGAACCTTAGTAATGATTATGACTACAGTAGCATCTATGACCACACTGTGGGAACAGATGCTGGATACTACATCTACATCACAGAACATTCTAGTCACCAATCTGGCCCTGCTGTTATGGTGACCAGACCACTCCACAATGCATATGTTGACTGTACCATGGATTTCTGGTAAGAAACGCATAAAACTGTGCATTTATACATTTTAAGAATTAGGCTTTAAGTGAATTTGAAAAGCTCCTCTCTGAGTAGAACACTCGTGAGATGATCCCTAAGGCAAGATGCATCCTAGTGTCAAAGGAATGGATTGTAGCACTCATGGCTGGGTGACATTCTGCACCAGCACAACAGGAAACTTTTCAAACCTCTTTGTCAGATCATGCTGGTGCTAACAAGGCTCTACAGAAAAGCTCAGTTCACAGAAAGTTAACAAATTAATATTTAGTCTTTTCATGCCAATGATTGGCATTATCAAAAGGATTGCCAAGTAGCCCCCTGCAAGTTGCCAGTTTATCTTTTTAATGGGGGAGGCAATTTAAAAAGGGTTGTATTCGAGCAAGGAAACACAGGTGGAAACTGAGTATCAGAATCAGCCACAAACGTTTGAATAAATTTGTTCAGATTCAGAGTTGTGAACAAATAGAATGCACTAAGAAGTGAAGTGGTGGAGAAAGACTTCATGTACACTTTCAACTGTAGATATGATAGACTCCAATAGGCTTAGGAAACTGTACACTACTTGATTGAAATTTAAGTGGTGGGACCAATAATTCAAGGTCCAACCCCCCCCCCCCCAATAATTCAAGGTCCAACCCCCCCCCCCCCCAAGCACAATTAGGTGAAAACACCTGGTTTGTTCAAGTTCAAGTGAGTTTATTGAGAAAAGGAAGTACATCTCAAATGGATAGAATAGCATCGGCAATTTCCACCCTCATCTATATAAGGTCCCTCAAGGGGCTTACAAACCCATACAATACACAATTACTAATCATATTTTACATTCTAATGGCAATCCACATTGCATACTGTGAGATCTCTTATTAATTATGCTACACCTGTCATATCTTGTTTTGGTAAAGGTCAACTAAATAAGTTGGAGAAGGTACAAAATGAAGCCATGAGAATAATCTTCGAGGCTTTCCGTGCGGTTCATATCCTGGGAGTGTCCATTGTCCTGGCCTGTCTCGGTTCATTCCCCTGTCCACGGAATGGATGGCCAATGCCGACCCCTTCAGTTGGCTTTGCCGGGTCCCCAGACGTGGACCTCTTTGTATTGGCTGGTCTCGGCATCTCCCAGTGTATGTGGTGCCCTTTCCTGACTGCGAAGATGCTTTTTGGCAGGATTGGTCGAGATGGGGGCTCCTTTACCTCTTTCCCCTGGTCCAGCTGTTTTTGGTCCTGGCTCGGCTCGAATTCTTTCAGGGCAGGGTGGTTCTCCTGGCTCCATGGTGGCCAGTCCAGCCTTGGTTTCATTCGCTGCTTGCCCGGTGTCCAAACCCGAGAGTTTTACCGCGGCTGCACCTTTTTCAGCAGGTCGGGCTAGTAAGGTACCTTGCTGGTTTGCCCTACTGCTCGGCTCTTCGCGTTTGGTGTTTTTGATGCGAGTGTATTGCCATTTGTATGGTGATCAGGTGGTTTCTCTGATGGTGCCCCACCTGCAGTCTTCCTCTCAACGACAATATGAAGTTTCTTGGTGTTCTTTTTGCCATTTCCTGTTTCTTCGTAGATTGTCGTCCATTTCTGATCGTGTTGTTTTGTCCTCTCTCTCTTGGCTTTTTCAGGTCTGGCATCTTGTACTGAATACTGTTGCTTCTTCTCATGGAACTGGCGGACCCGCTTCAGCTTGCATTCAGGGTAAATGTCACTTCTGCTCCATTCCGCAAGATCTTTTCATTTTTTCAGAAAAAAAAACTCTTTTCCTCAGTTTCTTGTGGCCCCTTCAGTTCGGGATTGCTTCAGGAGGGCATTGTTTTTGTTGACTTTCATTTCTGGGGGTTGGGTTGAGGAGCATTTTGTTCGTTTGCAGCCATCTCCTTCTTTTCTTGCGAAGAATGAGACAGTGGACTTCTGGAGGGGTCTGTGGGTTATTGATGCTTGGTTGGTCAGGCCGGGAATGCATCATGTTTTGTGTCCGGTTGCAGCTCTCCGCCATTCTCTATGCGCATTGGGTTCTGTGTCGAGGTACAAGAGAGAGACCCTTGTACAGGGAGAAATAGAAGTGTTAAATGTTGGAAAGCAGTCTGGAACTCTCTTTTGCAAACAATACTCTCCATCTAAGTTTGTATACAATACTCCCCATTAGAGTCAACAAGTTTGCAGCTCTTGCTGCAGTTTTTGGTAATATGTCTTGGATCGACATTCAGACACAGGAGTTTTGGCGGTCGAACAAGGTCCTGGCCGCCCATTATCTTGTTAACATTCAGGGTCCTTTGTGGCCTTGTGTGACTTTGGGGCGTCTGTCACGGTCAGTTGTCCTGTCTTCGTCATGAGGCATGCTGTGCTGCCGCCGCCCAGGTATGTCCCTTTTCCTTATCTGTGAGTGTATAGCTTCAGGGAGCCGACGGGGCTCATCTCAGAAAACCAGCGTTGAATGTAATGAAACGCTATTTTCTGGGTTGAACCCCAGAGGCTTCCCAACACCCTCCCTCCCTCCGGTCAACTGTTTGTTATAAGTGTGTGGGGGAGGGGGGTCACTAATGTGCTGGTTGAGTGGATATTTGTTTGTTTATTGTTTCCACTTTGGGGAGGGAGTTCTTGGGCTCAGTTCAGTCTTGGGTTGCAATGTTTTACCAATAGGGGTTTATAATGGTTCTCCTACCTTTGTAGGTGATACCCCCGGTCAATGGCAGAGATGACTATACTCTCACAAAGTGGAATGTTCATAAGCCATTGCTCGCTGCACCTTTCTGAGGGAACTAAGTTCTGGCTCTTGGTTCCCAGTAGGCAAAGAACTCCAACTGATGCTCTGGACTAATACAACAGATATCAGTCCATTAGCTTCAGGGAGCCTCCGGGACTCAACCCAGAAAATGGCATTTCATTACATTCAACGCTGGTTTTTTTTTTTACAAATTTGCCTTATTTTCACAAATTTCCAGGGTACGTGAGAACTCAAATAGTAATATGGGTGAACACACGAGAGTGGCAGTAAGTGTTGTGAAGGATGGTCAGGTGAGCCCAGTTTTCTACCTCATTGATCAAGGCAACAATGAATGGCAGCAAGCTAGTGCCAGTCTCATGGGTTTGTAGCCTCTTAAAATGTTATTAAAAACTACTTATTATAATATAGAAATAATATTATATTTAAAGTGTTTAAATGTATGCTCATCATCTTCCAGTGCCCATTATAAGTCATTTGAGTGCTCTTCTTTTTTGTGGAAATTTCCTATAGTTTTTGTAAATACAGTACAGTAAATACATTGCTATGACACAGTGGATAACTGTTCTGAGAGCCTCGCCCTTAACTAGGGGGACCTCAATAAGCCTAACATACATCTTGTCCTTGACACTGGTATACCATTATATCTTAGCAAAAAAAATTGACATTTAGTACCAGATTTTAGGAAATTTGATTTCTATTCAAATACTCTATAATGAGATCATGGTAATTTTGTGCCTTGTATATTTTGCCTCACTCTTAGATATATTTTAGTGTCAAATTTTGCCCTCTTAATTTACCCTTTATGTTTATTTTGTCTTTATGAATTCAGAAAATTTTTGCATTTTAATTTTTGTTTTCTGTTCCCTTTAATAATGTAGGTTTCCTCCCTTCGCCTTTGTTGATTTATTAACTTTTATTGACGCCAAGCTTTTTTTTTCTCTCAGACTGGACAGGGGAGTTTACTATTCAAGTTGATGGTGAGAGAAGTGCAGGACCATCAGATCTTACCATTGATGACATTACCTTTACTGGATGTTCCATGCCATCTAATCTTGGAAGCTGCCCAATGTATAATATTAAATGTACACAGACGGGTAAGAATCTCGTCGAGATAAATAATTGTATAATGATTCCATTATTGTATTTTATGCATTCATGTGATAAAAAATAAATATGCATATCCAGTTTTCTACTTCTACAGTTACTTCTTGTATCAGTATTTGTTTATTATATATAAAACATTATTTTCTTTTGGCTTCAGGCTTGTGTGTTCCATTTGAGTTCTTATGTGATAACACTAACGACTGTGGTGACTTCACTGATGAAATGAATTGTGAAGACTTCTTACCGATGTGTACCCTTGAAGAAGATGAGTTGTGTGATTGGAGCCAAGAACCAGATGATGATGATATTGGTTAGTTGAGCCTGTTTTATGGAATTGGACAATCAAAACAAGTATTGTATTCTATATTGACCACATTACTTGCATACAGAACTGGACATTCACTATACAGTAAATACAATAGTACCACCAAAATCTGGACTACATTGTTCTAGATCTGATCCAGATTCACAAATAATCTAAATTAAAGGATATTGTTGCAACTGAATCATACCTGTGAGTGAGTTCAGAGCTCAACTAATGGATGCTTCTTATTTTTCAAGAATGCGGTCTTGACAAGACAGAAGGATATATAATAGAAATTTCAGAACTATTTGTTTATATATTATCAATCAAGCTGAATTCTTTATTCATGTAGTCAGTTTTGTAGTGATGGTAATATTTTTTCAGACTGGGTGTATGGCAGAGGGCACACAGTAGCTGGAGGCACCACCTTCCTGACTGGACCAGCAGTAGACCACACATTGCGGCACTCTGATGGTCATTATATGTATGTTACAAGTCCAGTTTCTAAGGCTTCAAGCAACAGAGAGAGCAAAGTAACCTATCGAGCCTGGTTTGTTAGCCCAGTGATGAGGGCAGATGACGATTCATTTTTCCCCTGTGAGCTACGTTTTCATTACTACATGTATGGGAGCAATATTGAGGAACTCAATGTGTATATTCGAACAGAAATACATGGAGACAAGACGCTTTCCTTTACAAGAAAAGGAGAACAAGGTCAATTTTGGGATCGATCTGTTGTAACCACCACCACACAATTGCCTTTCCAGTTTCTCATTGAGGGAGTTACTAACAATATTGGCTTATCGGACATTGCCATTGATGATTTATCATTCACTGAATCATGCTTGAAAATAAATGATACACTACCCGGTGGCAATACTCCTGAACCCCCATACAACCCGTGTGCAGATAGTGAGTTTTATTGTAACAATGATGACGAATGTATAGCTAAATACATGATATGTGATTGGAAAAAAGATTGTTCAAATGGTATTGATGAAGATAATTGTGGTGCATGTACTTTTGAATATGACCTGTGCAGTTGGTCTGATGCTAGTGAAGGAATATTCCATTGGAGGCGAATAATTGCTACCGACTTTTCCCAGTATGCTCATCCAAATGTAGATCATACATTCCTTCAGTCAAATGGCCACTTTGTATATGTTGAAGGTTCAGATGGAACTATTGGCAAATCAGCTGTACTAGTCAGTCCACCTCTAATCCATACTACAGGATATTACTGTGAACTCCACTTTTGGCTGTTCCTTGAAAATGGCATGAATGCAGACTTAGCCCTCTATTATCACCATTCATATCAAAGTGATGATCACCTATTATACAACTTGACATATTCAGGAGTTCAAGAACAAATTTGGTATGAAATTCTTGTTTCAGCTAAATTAGTACCCTCCACAGCTTATTTCAAAGTGACAGCTACCCCTTGGTTTAACCAAGCCATCAACTGGGCAGACTCTCATTCTATTGTTGCCATAGATGATATCAGTTTCTTCAACTGTAATGAACAGTTATTGGATCTGGAATGTAATTTTGATGATGAAGGTATTTGCAACTGGTATCAGGATCATACTGATCAGCAGGACTGGATGAAAAGTAATGCCTATGAATCCCCTCCCGACCATACATCTGGGTCTGGCCATTATATTTTTATTGACTTTCTGCATGAAGATGTCAAGAAGGGTGATAAGGCAAGGCTTATAAGCACAATTCAGTCAAAACCTGTGGGTGTCAAGAATATCTTCACTCTCTGGTACTACCTATATGGTGAAGAAGTTGGCACATTCAGAATTATTGAGAAAAAACAGTATGTAAAGGAAAATATTACTCTTTTTGAAATTGGTAATTCTCAAGAGGACAGATGGATGCTTTTTGAGCAACAGCTAGATACTGATGATGACTACACAATAATACTTGAGGCAGAGTGGAGAGAAGTTGGATCAGGTAAACTAGCTGTAGATGATGTCAAAATTACATCAACGGTACACAATTCATTATGTAATTTTGAGATAGATTTTTGCCAGTGGCAGACTAATGCCAGTGATACAGCAAAATGGATTAGAGGGCGTGGAGAGCAGAATAAGACAGGTACTCCACTGGTGGATCACACGTATAATACTCTGATGGGATATTATGCATATCTAAGTGAAACTGATAACCCTGGAAAAGTTGGAACCCTTACATCACCAGTGTATCAATCTGTAGGTATTCAGTGTCTCAGGTTTTGGTATCATATTTTAGGTGATAGTGTTGGTGATATTTCTGTCCAGGTTGCAGACCAAGTGGGATCTGGAGCATTTAATCCTGTCTGGTCTCATGAGAACAATACTTACGAAATGTGGTCTTTGGCAATGGTAACACTTCCCAACTTACAAAAGTTTGTTGTTCGTTTTGAAGGAAAAACTGGAACAAACAAGCTAAGTGTAATAGCACTTGATGATGTTGAATTTGTACCTGATGTTTGTCCGAGAATTCACGAGTGCGATTTTGAATATGATTTGTGTGACTGGTTCAACTCCGAAGATGACACCTTTGACTGGCAATATTCATCAGGTGCTGAAGGTGGAGGTATTCCAGTAGATCATACCATTAACTTTGAAACTGGTCATTATATGGTTGCAAATCTCCAGGAAAAAAAGAAAGGTGATAAAGCTAAACTCTTTAGTGGTACAGTTCCCGATAATCTCAACTGCATGACTTTTTGGTACTCAATGCAACACATAAAAAATGCCACACTTAAAGTAATATTACTTGGTGATGGCAATCCACTGGTAGAACTTCATAATTCTACTCTGGATTATCTCTGGGAAGAGATAACATTGATTATTGATTATGTACTTGGCACCTTTAAGGTAAAATTTGAGCTTGCTGTAGAAGAAGATATAACATTTTCTGAATATTATTCAGTGGCAATAGATGACACCGCTTTTACGGCAGACTGTAAAATATCCACACTTCCTCCACCTGTTACCACTCCAATACCTACCCATATGCCTTCCATATATGACTGTGATTTTGAACAAGATGATAGTCAGACATGTGATTGGATGCAAGGAACAAATGATGACCTCAACTGGGATCGCTGGCAAGGGAAAGTACCAACAACTGAAACAGGTCCAAAAACTGATCATACTCTTATGACAGAAGATGGACACTACATTTATGTTGGTACCGTAAACAAATTAGAACAAAATGCTACTTTGGTTAGCCCTCCCTTAGACATGGGAGTCCATGGGGCATGTCTGTCCTTCTGGTACCATATGCATGGCTTTGATGTTGGTAAGCTGCAAGTACAGCTGCAGCAGCCACAAACTAATTCTTCTAAATCTGTTTGGCAACGTTCACATGAACAAGGAAATGATTGGATACAAGCTAAAGTTCACCTAATAGAAAAAGAAACCAATCATATAGTACTTGAAGCTACACCAAATTATTATGGCAAAGGTGCTATTGCTATTGATGATATTACACTTGACTTTGGCTTTTGTAGCACTGGAAAATTATGTGACTTTGAGTCAGATAGTATATGTCAATTTGAACAGTCGATTGAAGATGATCTTGATTGGGAATTAGTAATGGTTTCAAGTTCTCACACAGGTAATGATGTAGATCCTAAAGAAGATCATTCCCAGCAGTCATCACTTGGGCATTACCTGAAGATATCTGGTGAAGGCTCTGCTGTAATTTACACTAATGACATTCACCCACAATATAGTTGTGTTGAGTTCTGGGTATACCTGGATGGATATCCTGGGTATTATTCATCAGACTTGCATGTCTATACACGGATAAATCAAATTTTAGATAACAAAATTAATATTACCGACATTATTGGTCGTTCTTGGAGTCGCTACCTGCTACCTGTAACCACCACTTATTATTATTCTTTGGCTTTTGAAAGCCATGTCCGAGGTAGTGGCTACGTAGTTGGCATTGATGACATACAGCCACTACTATCTTGTGAACCAATGGAAGACTGCAACTTTGAAATTGATTTCTGCATGTGGACAAATTCTGTACATGAAGATCAATTTGACTGGTCAATAACAACAGCTGAAGATCTTGATTCACTTTATTCTCCTGCTGTTGATGTCACATTAAAATCTCCTTATGGAAAATATGCATATATTGACACATATAGGGAAGGTTATTTTGACGGTAAACCCCATGCAACACTTGAGTCTAATGTCATGGAACCTATGGAAAGATGCCTTAGCTTCTGGTTCCATATCAAAAGTCAAGGGCAAACTTCATTGAGTGTTAGTATTAAAGATGTAATGAGTGATGAAATATCAAATATATGGGAACATCCTTCACTACTATATGCAGAATGGAAATATGAGCAAATTTCAGTTGCACAGTTAAATCGTCACATCATCCAGTTTAACGCAATTTCTGACAGTAGTAATGGTACCATTGCACTTGACCAAGTAAGAGTGATATCTGGCAGTTGCTCCAATTCTACAGTACCTGACTGTGTTATTACATGTGATAGGGGCACCACTTGTATAAAAGAAGATCAAATGTGCAACTTCATTCAAGACTGTAATAATGGGGAGGATGAAAAATTCTGTGGCTACAACTGTACCTTTGATGAACATTCTGAAAGCCAGCCACCATGTGGCTGGAACAGCAAGTCAGAAAATAATGAATTAACAGCATGGTTGCGACTCTCAGGCCAGCTTAATAATTCATATGGGCCTCCCTTGGACCATACCTTCCTGACACCCTTGGGTTATTATATGGCTGTGGTTCCAGTAGATGGTAAAATCAAAGATGAGAAAGCAGCTATTTTGCAAAGTCCAACACTGATAAACTCTGCTTCTTATTGCCTTATGACATTCTGGTACGTCATGTATGGAAAACCCGATAACCTTTCCACAGCATTTATAGGCACCTTAACGGCACATTTTCAGGTTAATGACTTATCCACAGAGCTACTGAAAATAAGTGGAAACATACGTGATGAATGGATGCATGGAGTAGCATATATTGGTAGGATTTCATCTCAGTTTTCTGTTAGATTTGAAGGTGCCAGGAACTTAGATATCAATGGCTACATGGCAGTTGATGACATAATGTTTGAAAGCTGTTTCCTTCCCACACCTCACAAGAGGCCTGGGGAATGTACAGAATATCAGTGCAGTAATCTTGCTTGTGTATCACAGTTTGATCGCTGCGATTTTGTTGATGACTGTGGTGACTACTCAGATGAGGAAGACAGCTTGGCAGGATGCAACCGATTTATTGGACGATGCTCATTTGAAGATAATTCCTTCTGTGATTGGACACAGGAAGATCCTAATAATTGGCACTTAGGATCACCAAGTAAAGAAGACATTATACCAAAGAGGGATCACACTCTTAACATAGCTAGTGGTTCCTTCATTTATGTTGCAAATACCGACAGTAACAAAAATGTTACTGTTGCCACTCTACTTAGTCCAGTGATAACATGGAACAGTCAAATGGTAGATCCATGTGTTCTCCACTTTTTCTATTATATAGATGGGTCGGCTGAGCAATATTTAAGTGTTTCATCACGAGATACATCTGATGGACCATTAAACATACATTTGACAATATCAAATGCTGTTGGACCATATTGGGAACGAGCAGAAATCTTTGTGGCACCTCATGATATGTTACATAAACCAATTCAGTTTATTATCAATGGAAAGAGAGGTGTGTCCGAAGGAGATGCAGTATCAGTTATTGCATTAGATGACTTGTCATTTACTGAATCTTGTGTATTGTCAAATGATGTTTTACCAACAGCTGCACCAAGTTCATCAACTACTACATCAGGATCATGCAACAACCAGTTTCAGTGTAAAAATGGAGAATGCATCCCAATTGACTATGTCTGCAATTTTGTGGATAACTGCATGGATGGAAGTGATGAAGCAATATGTGCAGAATGTACATTTGAAAACAATACTTGTGGATGGCAGGATGAAAGTTATGGCTCCTACTTTTGGAGTCGTGAAGAACCTGGTGTTGAGGGCCGTGATGGTCATGTTATGGTTGTAGAAGAAAAGGTTGGCAGCATTTCCAAAACAGCAAATCTCATCAGTGTCTCTCTTGGTACCTCTGCCACACATTGTGTCATGAGCTTCTTTTACTATCAACATGAGGCTAACAGTGATGGAACAAGTCTAAATGTAAATCTTAAATCCAACAGTGGTGATGAATACACAGTTTGGTATGTACTAAATGATATGAACACCACGTGGCACAAACAAGTAGTTGGCATTGGTGAACATGAAATGGGGTGGAGCCTCAAGTTTCAAGCCAACCAGTATGACACTAATGGATTAATTATGATTGATGATATTCATTTTGAAAATTGTTCTAAGCCAAACTCCACAATATGCAAACCCCAGGAGTACCGATGTGTAAACGGCATTTGTGTTAGTAAAGATGAGTTCTGTGACTTCAGTGATGATTGTGGTGATGGTACTGATGAATTATCAGCATTCTGTAAAGATTATCCAGAGAGATGTAATTTTGAAGATGACATTTGCAATTGGAAATCGGAGAGCAGTGACCTTGAATGGATACGTAAAACAGGTGAAATGATGTCCGAGGATGTTGGGCCAGACTATGATCACACTTATGGAAACAGCACAGGTTATTTCTTATATCTGAATAGCGGAGAAGGAGACAAAGGGAAAATTGGTAGAATATCCAGTGTTGCATTTTATCCGTCTTCATCTGGCTTATGCCTCTTTAGATTCTGGTATATGATAAGAGCTAACCAAAGTGCCACATTAACTGTTTTTGCTCAAGAAACATCTAAATACTCATTAAGATATATTCCATCAGTCAAAATTTTTGAAACGAATGGTTCTGAAGTATATGGATGGAAAAAGGGGAGTGTTCCTGTGATATATACAAGATATTTCAAAATCTTGATAGAAGGCAAGGTGGGTGAGGCATTCCTTGGTGATATAGCTATTGATGATATATCCTTTACAACAGACTGCAAGCCTACTAGCACTCTCCCAACTGTCTCGCCAACTCCTGGCCCATGCCCAGATGGAGAGTATCATTGTCAGTCTGGTGAATGTATTGCTAATTCTAATGTCTGTGACTTCCGATATGACTGCAAGGACTCCAGTGATGAACTGTCCTGTCCTTCTTTCTGCAATTTTGAAAATAATAGCTGTGGTTGGCAAGAAGCTGTTAATGATGAACTTAACTGGGTGGTTGCTAAGGCTGATGATAGCCACTTTGGCACAAATGATAATGGCCCTCTTGTTGATCAAACAGGAAACAAAGATGGCCATTTCTTGTTCCTTTACAAAACAAGTGATCAATTGCTATATGAAGAAGGTCTTTCCTTTACCCACTGGTATCAAAACTCGGCTCCAGACTGTCATTACATTTACTGGTACTATCAAAAAGGTGTCCTGGGATCCAACGTTGTCCTGAGGCTCAATTCAACGCCATATGACTTTACAAATCTGACATTCTTCACTTCTGACATTGGAACAGGTGATGGGCAGTGGCAGTTAGGAGAAGTAGGTATTGGGAGACAAAAATATCCATTCCAACTTTCCCTCTATAAGGAACCAGCTGAAGATTATTTTGGAAGATTTGCTATTGATGAGACTTTATTTGACCAGAGTTGCCACTATCCTGACCCATCAGATGAAGACTGTGCTGGTAATGAATTCCATTGCCTAGTTACAAAGGTAATACATAAATTTAAATAATAATTAATGGTATATCTAGCAAATATCATTAAATCTGAAATTCTCTAAATTTTATAAAAAGTAAAAACAAAGAAATATAATTACAGTATAGTATTACTAAAATTATTACTTTTCTGTGGGGAGCCTTTTCGACTCCCTGGAGCTATCGGGCTAATGTGTGATATATTAGACCGGGGCATTAGTTTTAAGGAGTTCGACCTACTGGGGACCGCGAGCCAGATCCTGGCCCCCTCAGAGAGGTTTAAGGGAGCAATGGCCCCTGGAAACTCCCGCCCCCCTGTGTTTGAGGGTTTTCCTTATCTGCCATTGACCAGGTTTAGGCACCCAGAAAGGTAGGCATAACAAAACAAACCCCACATGGTAAGAAAAGTACATCGAAAAACCGAAAAGAGATAGAACTCCCTCCAATCCCAAGCAAATATCATTCTCCAGTGCCGCACCGCTTGTCCGCGCAGCCCTCCCCTCCCCGTGCCGGCTACCTAGCACTCCAGTTCCTTAGCTAATGTGGTCCGGGGCAAACATCTTCTCTAGCCTCGATTTCCATAGGCGGTGTTTTGCCTTCTTGGCAACCTCTGCAGTGTTGTTGTGTGTGGTGGCCAGGTGTCCTCATCAGTGCGGGGGCTGCATGTGCTTAAGGGCATCCTTCCCTAAGCCCCTTTTGAGTACTACTCTTGCTTGTTAAGGTTCCCTTCCCTGGTGCATTCGGGAAACCATTTCTACAAATGAACATGTAGACATTTTGCTGCTCGACAATATGTTATTTTATTAAATATTTAGCAATATTTTCTCTAGAATAGGGGGGATTGTTTTGGGGTGCCTACCTTTCTGGATGCCTGACCCAGTTGATGGCAGACATAGAATGCTTCCAACCACATGGGGGTTTCTATAGGCCATTGCTCCTCGTGCCTCTCTGATAGGGCCAGGTTCTGGCTCGTGGTCCCCGGTAGGCCTAGAACTCCATGCACATTGACTGATGCCAGGGTCTAATACATTCATGTGAACCCAGACAGCTCTGGGGAGCGTCCAGGTCTCACTCAGAAAATAGCGTTTCATTACATTCAACGCTGTTTTTTTTTTTTTTTTTGTAAAGGTTTGTATCTTGACTGAAAAAATGTGTGACCTAAATGATGACTGTGGAGCTGGTGAGGATGAGTCATCAATTGCTTGCCTTGGCTACCACTTTTTCACTCTTGAAGACAACAAATGGCAGCAGTGGTTCTCTCAGGGCCAAGATGGTCTTGACGACGACTTTGATTGGACAGTGTGGAGTGGCACTACGAACATCTTAGGCAAGTAATAACACAACTTCTCCTTATCTTTAATATTATTTGGATATTTTTGTGTGTAGGTTCATGCTCATCCTGTGATCAATAGTGCAACAGGATGACAGATCACAAAAGGTTTTCATAATTCTACAGTGGTTGATAATTATACCATTGAATATATCAGTTAAACTATCACATTTCTCTATGCAATAGTTGATTTGTATACTTGATGTAGAGTGTGAATACAGTGTCAACATTTTAGCCATTTTTTCATTCTTGTAGAGGTTTTGGATGTACTCTCTCGAAATAACTGAATGCATAAGCATGGCACAGATATTGGATACAATCTGCAGTCTCACCTACAGGTTGTATCCAATATCAACATTGACTATCAACATTAACTATCAGTATGAACATTAACTATCAATATCAACATTGACTATCATCAACAGGAACAGGCCCCAACTTTGATCACACAACCTCAAGCTCTGTTGGCCACTACATGTATCTTGAAACTTCTCATCCTCAGCGATATAATGAAAAAGCCTGGCTAATTAGCTACCCTATGATAGCTGGCCCAGACTGCACTGTTACTTTTTATTCCCATATGTACGGCACAAAGATTGGGTCGCTTTCGGTGTTAGTGCGGTAAGTTCAAGCACATTTTTCAGTAATAAATTTTACAGCTCAAATTAAAACACCTGTGTGTTAGCTTGAGATTCAGAAAATCTTATTGTGCTCTATATCACAGTTCTATAATTCTGTTTGCAGTGAGTCCCAGTCAGATGCTTCAACAATATGGTTTAGTAACACAACATATGGAAATTTCTGGGTGAAGCATACCTTGGCACCATCCATACTGCCACAGGAGAAATCTTTCCAGTTAATCTTTGAAGGCAAGGTTGGAGAAGAGGAACTTGGTGATATTGCTATTGATGATTTTGCCTTTTCTTCAGACTGCAGGTACAGTAATTGATTTAAATGTGATGCTGTGTAAATAATATACGGTATGTTTAACCCTTAATGTGCAGCATTCAATTTAGATCCACACCTGCTTATGCACAAAAATAACAAATAAAAAAAAAATCCTCACATTATGAGCCAATAGGCTTTCTGTAGTTTTATATATATATATATATACTGTATACAAGAGTTCTTACATTCTTGTACAGCCACTAGCATGCATAGCATTTCGGGCAAGTCTTTAATCAAAATGCCAGGCGAGTGTCTTACCACTAACTACACCATGAGGACTGCTAGAAGAGGAACTTAGTTCTTATATTGTTATGTTCAAATGAGGATTGGTTGACCTAGTATACCTCATTACAAGTATACAGAGTTTGTGAAATTATATAAATATAATCAGCCTGCATATCATGTAATTATAATGTAGTTATTATTTGTTAATCTATTTGTACTTTAGACTTTCTGGTCAGCCGTCACGTAACTGCACATTGGAAGAACATGAATGCAGTGATGGAACATGTTTGCCTTTGAAGGATCGCTGTAACTTTGCTGTTGACTGTCCAAATGGTGATGACTCGGATGAAGAAGGATGTGGTAGGTTTTCTTCTAACTCTTGAAATATAATATTTATGTACAGTAGTGATGTATTATAACATTGCTCACAAATTATAACTGTTATTTCCAAGTGAGCATTATTTGGCATTGGATTTTACCATTTGTATGTACATCTTATATTTAATTATAGATTTGATAATTATAATACACTGGGTGGAATATTGTTGCATGTACAGTATAATGTTAATGGACTATCACTAACATTACATTTTATTTTAATAGTTTCTCAGAAGTGCACATTTGAGGGCCAGGATCTATGCAACTGGGAAATCAAGGCAAATCAACACAGTCTAATGCAAAATCTTCAAGAAGATACATCATTTACGTATGTATTAATTAATAGCGAGATGTGTTATGAAGAAAATTATGTTTTAACGTTATCACCCTTTGAACTTTACTGCAATTAAATTCTGATAAAGTAGGCATTCGCACTTTAAGAAGTTTATGCAACCTCATTTATGTATACAGTATACATACAGTGGTACCTCAGTTTTCGTAGTTAATCCATTCCTAGAGACGTTACGAAACCCGAAAATTACGAAAACCAAAACAAATTTTCCCACAAGAAATAATGTAAATTGAATTACTCCGTTCCAAATACCCAAAATTATTAACTTAAAAATACATATTATATAGAATACTACTCATATTTTTCATACATAAAACAATCAGGTATAAATATAAACCATAAATAAAATAAGTGAACATTTAACTGCACTTTACCTTTACTTAGGACTCTTGGTGGCATATGGGAGATGGTGAGGAGGGAGATAGGAGCAATGTTGATGTATGGGGAGCATGAGAAGGAGAGAGGAGGTGGTGGGACCGTCCTCCGCTCACCTTAAACGTTTTCATATCTGGATCACTGGTTCCAGATTTTCCTTTCAAACATTTCACTACTTATGTGGCAGTCAGTCAGAACCAATCAGTTAGTCACAAGTCAGTCAAGCATTCACAGTCAAGACTAGTCACAGGCAGTCATAACCAAAAGAAGTCAAGCATTCACAGTTGTCGTAGCAACCGGTTATGCATTTACAGTCAGGTATTTACAATCATTCAACCATTTACAGTCAATCAGGCTTTCACAGTCAATAAACAACAAGAGTTTAATGTCAGGCAGTCTGCCTCCTGATAGCAAGGAAGCCTTCCGTATTAATACCATCCAGATGTGGCTGGGAGGGTACAGCTGGGGGGAGGGGGGGGGGGGGTTCCTGTGTGGGGGATGAGGGGATGGAGGTAGAAGGGAGGGTCCTGTGGCGGGATGGGGGTATGGGGGTAATGGGGAGGGTGCAGTGTAGGGGATGAAGTTCGTAGGGAGGGTCCAGTGGCGTTATGGGGGTAGCGGGGAGGGTGCATTGTGGGGGATGGAGGTTCACCCCACCATCCATCTATCCAATCCCCCCACCATCCATTCAGTCCCCCTCCACCATCCATCCATCCAGTCCCCCTCCACCATCCATCCATCCAGTCCCCCTCCACCATCCATCCAGCCCCCCTCCACCCAGCCCCCCTCCACCATCCATCCAGTCCTCCTCCACCATCTATCCATCCTGATTTTCCCCATCCTGAATTCCCCCCTCTCCCCTCCCGGGGAGGGAGAAGGGGGAAGGGGGGAGGGGGAACACATCTCACTAAGAAACAGAAACAGGGTACTGTATGATAAATATGGGAATAGAGAGCAAATGAGCATAGACCATCAACCCTATCCTCACATCTCCAAGCACCTGCATTAGTAAACCAAGAAGCCTGTTAAGACCGACAGTCAGAAACAGAGGCAAGGAAGTCAGTCACTTAATAGATGAACCAGGAACCAAAATGCTTTCCCCTGGCTGTAACCCCAACTTAAGACCTTCCTGTCTTGTAAAGATGAGACAAAAAGAGAGGCTAGATCCTCTTCAAAGTGAAGAGAGCCCAGTGGTAAGAAATTCTGAGCTAGAAACTGCAAAAGCTAAAACTGAAAATATTTGGCACAAAAGTCCTAAATCTAGCAGTTAACCAAGTAAACTCATGCCACGACTAAAATCTGAACAAAGAATCTGTTGAAACACAACACATGTTGCAGCGTCGTGGATGAAATCAGCCCTGCACACAGCAGAGATAAATTAAGGCATCAACAAGAATGGCCATTGTCATTTTAGAATATCACATGCATGGTTATGATTGAATATCACATCATGCATGGTTATGATTGAATATCACATCATGCATGGATTCAATGATTGTTGTGCTATTATACCAAATAGTATGAAAAAACAACCAAGGGGTACCACAGCCCTTAAATACTGCTATATCTGTGGCATACTTTATATAATGTGTATATAAGAACAACTATTGTTTTAATTCATCTTTGTATCATTAGGTGGAAGTTAATCCGTGGAAAGGATCCTCTAGATAATGAAGAACAGGTGCCATTCAAGCCTTCAATGGATCACACACATGGAGATGACTCCAGTTATTATGCTTTTACTTCAACTTCTGCAGGAGACTTTGAATCTGCAACTGATCTTATCACCTCAGTGGCCATTGGTAAGTTTGTGAATAAACCTGAATGAATCCCATGTTTATTCTCATTATATGGGAGAACATGCCAATTCCACCAAAGGAAATATAAAACTTGCTAATCATTTTTATTAAGGACATGGTTTTGGTAAATTCTGTACAGATAATACTTATGTAGAAACCTCTATCTGATAAACTGAGTACTGTACTGCATTCTTTGTTTGTGTCAGCAAAAGTTATGTAGTACCATACATTATTATTCTTGTCTTATTTAGCAAGTATATGTTTTGTATTAATAAACTTAGTATATTTCTTGTTTTTCTTTGTAATAAAACAAATTGAAACCATTTATGGATTTGCATCAGTATTCATTGTACAGTATTCAGCTTATAACATTCATATTATGATGTCACATGTACAGCATCCACTAAAAATTTATAGAAAATAAATTATTATGCATAGAAGAAAGTTGTAGACTAATATGATCCTGCCAAGCTGTATTGAAGGTTGTTCATTGTCCTTCCTGACCCTATAGTGTCACTAGGAGAGGGAATATTGATTTGTTCCCTAGTACAGTATGTTAAAATGGCTCATTCTGCTCAAGTCATGGCTTGTAAGTGCATACCTGAAAAATCATTTCTAAGTTACAAAATATTTGTTTGCAATGACAGGTGAATCGAGTAGCACGTGTCGACTACGACTGTGGTACTGGATGGCTGGAACTGAACCTGGTTCACTGCACCTTCAACTCATCTCTAGTTCTGATGAGATCACTGAAGTATGGATGGTAGATGGCGATAATGGATTTATATGGAACTTGGTACGAAGCTAATTATTTTACTACAGTATTGTATATATATTTACTATATAAATATATATTTATATTGTATATATGTACTACAGTGGAACCTCGAGTGATGAGCGGTTTATCTACGAGCATTTCAAGTAACGAGCGAACCACTCTGCAAAAAAAAATTCAATTGACGAGCTTCCGCTCCATTAATGAGAAAACCATGTGGTGCTTCCTAGCGTTCCCGCTGATTCTCGCAAATTCTCGGACACCTCTGACGATGCAAATAAATGTATTTTTTTTTAAGATGCTAATGATGCAGGGATGTAAAGGGGTGACTGCTGTGATGTTGCAAAGCATTGAGTTTTTTTTGTAGAATAAAAAAAAAAAGAAAAATTTTGAAAAAAAAACAAATAAAAAACGAATAAAACATTGAATAAATTTGAAAAACAGACAAATGTCATAAAGGTTTGTTCAGTGTGTGTTAGGTAGGCTTCTCCATTATTAATAAATAAATGAAAAATACAAAACAAATCGAACACATTTGAAACAAAGAAAGATTGTCATAACGGAGCATCCTACCCGACAAACACTGAACGAACCTTTATGACATTTCTCCGTTTTTCAATTTTTTTTTTTTTTTGTAAGAAACATGGAGCAGCCTACCTGACAAACACCAAACAAACCTTTTGCTATAAAAAATTAAAAAAGTAAACAAATTTGAAAAATGGACAAATGTCACAAAGGTTTGTTCAGTGTGTCAGGTAGGATGCTCCATTGTTCAGATAATCGAATATCATACTGATGTTTTTCAGTGGTGGAACGGATTAATTTTATTTACATTATTTTAAATGTGGAAATTCGTTTCTAAAGACGAGTTTTCCATATGACGAGCTCGGTGCTGGAACCGATTAAACTCGTTAATTAATCGAGGCGCCACTGTATATAAATATATATTTATATTGTACATATTTACTACAGTATTGTATACTGAAGTTTAAACTGAGAGATTAAGAATTAGTTATTATACATTACTGAAAAACCACATCATTTGTTTACATCAAATTATATATATTTCATTCATTCCTATCATACTCTAAATTAATATTCTTTTTTAGTATTCTTATTTTGAACTCCCTCATGACACCATCCAACCATATAATGAATAACCATGAGGGAACATTCACAACTCTGATATACTCCTGCATAATATATGCATATTATTATTATGCATATAGGATATATGCATAATATCAAACCAGTCACGCATATCCTCAACTCTTACATCTGCTTCACTTCCTTTATAAAAGCTCTTCATAGCTTTTATAGCTATGCTATTTTAGCTATTTTTATTTATTATATATTATTTTTTCATAGCATTCATTAACCCTTAAGCTGCTAAGGGGTCCTGAGGAGATTTACACCTCTGTGCGCAAGAAAAAAAATTCTAACAAAATTTTTTTGTCTTTTAAAAATGTTAATTTGTGTTCCCTGAGGATGGGAATAAAAAATCATAAGTGACATATTTTGGGAGCAATAGGCCATGGAAGTCTGGCAAAATGTGAGCGTTGACATAGCAGTTATCAGAGGCGGTCAGCGTCACCCGAGCTGACAGGCGGGAGTTGCCACAAAGATATTATTACCTAATTATTTCAATATCTCTGATTGATTTGTAATTAGTTTTTTGCAGTAATATTATTCAATAGTGTGTAGTGTGATATATTTATATAATAAAAGAGGTGAATCATCGCTATACTCAAAAGTATGGTGTGCATATTAGTAATTCAATTATTATGTTCGTGAAACAATAAACGAATAGTTTTGCTGTTATTACTCTATATACACAGGTTGTATATAAGTATCTGCATGTTTTGTTCACCATAATGAACCACTAAGTTGGTATTGTGAGTTAAAATGAAACGAAGAGTGGCAGCCACACACCAGTCAGCCACTCGCTGCCATTCCTCCCTCAACAACACCTTATTTTCCTCCCACCGTACTGTTTTTTCTTATATTCACTATATACAAACATTATATAGAGAACCACTGAGCTGGTATGGTGAATGCAGGCAATAACAGGTGGCCACACTCCCTCAGCATTACTCCTCCCACACAGTGCTAATTATCACAACAATTCTGCTATTATCACAATCCTGGTCATTGTTATCACAGACAAGAGTCATCTGTATTACTGTCATCGCTAAATAATAGCAGTTACATATTTATTTTGACATTTTTAGGCGATGCTGTGGTCACAAGCTGAACAGCAATGCTGTTAGCTCATGCTGCGTGCGCCAGCCTTGATTGCTCCCACAGTACTGTGGCTCTTACACCAGAGAATATTGCCCATGATTTTTTTTTTAAAACATGGCGTCTGTATACAAGAGCCCTGAGGAAGCTGATGTGAACCCCGTGTAGCCGCAGGCCATTTGAATCGTGCATGGCACCCTATGGTGTATATATACGCCGTGCACGGTGGGACATGTTACTCATGGCATATATATATGCCATGCGCAGTTTAAGGGTTAATGCTATGAATGCTGGGCTCCACACAGTAAACTAGCATTGAATGCAATGAAACACCATTTTCTGGGTGAGCCCTAGAGGCTCCCTGGCATCCTCCCTTCCTCTGGTCGACTGTTTTCGATTTTGACGCTCAGCCTCCAAACTGAGGTGTGAGTTGCCAGCACAGGAGACTCCAAGGCTCCCGCCCTCCCCCTCCCAGGAAGGGCTGCACAGGCAAGCGGCACAGCCACGGTGTATGACGTTTGCTTGTTTCTTTAGGTTTTGGAAAGTTCAGCCTCTCCGTTTGGTCTTCGGTTGCAATTTCTTACCATGTGTGGTCCGTTATGTTATGCTTACCTTTCTGGGTGCCTAACCCCAGTCAATGGCAGACATGGAATGCTCCCAAACACAAAGGGGTTTCCATAGGCCATTGCTCCCTGTGCTTCTGTGAGGGGGAGGTTCTGGCTCGTGGTCCCTGGTAGACTGAACTCAATTGACTGATGCCCCAGACTAATATAGCGTACATCAGTCCAATACATACAGGGAGCCTCCGGGGCTCGCCCAGAAAATGACATTTCATTACATTAAAAAACATTACTGTTTTTTATACTTACCTTCATTATTTTATCATACACTGCACTCATAAGACTAATGCCCCTATAGTTCTTATTCACAGAGTTCACCTTTATTTTTATATAAAAGTTGTCCAAGCTGATTTTCTGATTATTTGTCAGAGCACCACATTCTCATACTTTCCAACAAATTTGCTACACCCATTTAAATTTCTTTTCTTGTTGCACTGAACCATTTTTACATATAGATTACTACCTACATCTTTTATATCTTTACTGATCAACAATTTTCTTCAATGGATATCTTCCTATATTCAGTTTATCATTATTCTCACACCAGAAAACAATCATTGACATTTGTTTTTAATTACAATCGTGTGGTTTACCCTTTTAGGCAGAGATACCATTACGACATGTGTTTAGTCAGAGGGTGTCCCTACGTGTGCAACGAGGTATAAGCTATGAAGGGGCCATTTCCCTTGATGACATAGAATATGTCGACTGTATCCCACCTACAATGCCCCCTGAAGGTGAGTGTTTAGTAGAACTTTATTATTTTGTTTATTTTCCATCGGGAGGTTGAGAGTGAATAATATTCAGTTGAAAAGATCTCTGCTTATATCTGAAATGCTTTCTACAGCCTTTATCAATATGAAAGGTATATTCGTGCATTCCTTTGAAATAGCCTGTGACTATAGGATACTCAGTGGGCTGTTGTTCTTAAGAGAATAGTCAAAAGATTGTGAACTTGTTAAAATTACCTGTTAGAGATAATTTGCCCATCAGATTTTTTTTTTTTTACTGATGTCTGCTGTTCTCTCATCTACAATATTATTCTATGCTCACATTAACTTGCAAGGCAGGTTAATCCAAGCAAAAAAATATGCAGACCTCATTTTCTGCTCACATGGAATCAGTAAAGCACTTAAACTGCTTGTACCATGCCAAAGCACTGAATATGATTTCTGGAATGGAAACTAGAGGCATCATAATCTGTACAGAATATGGAAAATACTGTCAGGGGTAAAAAAATAGCACTTACCGGAGTTTAAGATATTGGGGGGGGGGTTTGCAGAAACATCCTAGTGAAAAGTAGGGGTACCATAAGCACTATTAAAGAATTGTGTAAATATTAATGATCCACAACTTTTCAACTTTCTATCAGCAAACATAAAATATATTTCCTTGAACAAAGGCTGAACATATTAAATGGGAATTAAACAAGTTTCTGAAAAAGTACTAGATCAACTGGGTTGTGATGGCTGTTTGAGTTTGCAGGCTATGAACAGCAGTATTCTCACTAACCAGGCTATCACTATAGAGTATGGCAAGAACAGAAAGCTCCAAACTGATCCCAAGTATACAGATAAGATCATCCAACTTGCAAGCCGCCCATGCGAATATTATGTGCTAATGTCATTACACTGGTTCAGATGGAAGAGCTTGATGAAATATTACCATGTGGATAAGGGTTTGAGAGACCATGTATCAGCAAATTGTAAGAAAGATTTTTTATCATAATAAAATCATTTCACCTTTATAATTTTCAGGTGAGACTTGCATAGAACTGATGAAGTTTAAGTGCAGGTCTGGTTCCTGTGTTGATGAAGACCGAGTCTGTGACTATTCTAATGACTGCCTTGATTTATCTGATGAGCTTGCATCTCAGTGTTCTGTGTACGTATCCCGATGTAATTTTGAGGATGGTATGTGCAGGAACTGGAAACCAGAAATTGAAAACACTGGAAAGTGGGTACTTTTGCATGCATCATCTGACGTAATTGGAAGTTTACCTTCCTATGATCATACACTGCTCACTTCACAAGGTTAGTAATTTTAAAATTAGTAAAGTTTTAGTAGAATTTAAAATTTAAATTAGTAATTTTACTCTGTTTAGTGTATATTTTGTATAAATTTATATACAAAAATTATAATATGTATATATTTTCCAAATTTTGGGGGAGATTTTCATTGCAGTTGTGCAGCTTTTATTTCCAATACATTTTAAACTTAATTATTTTTCAGCATTTATTTCTGATATTGTCCATAGTTTTATTTATACATATTATTTTAATCTTCCTCAGTTAACCCTTATACTGCTCCTGTCTTTCTCAAAGGATAGGCTGACAATGCTCTTGTCATTTGTGAATAATTTAATGTGCCACTTAATATTCAAAGTTCCTAACAATTTAAATATTCTGTGTGATTGCCATTTGTTATTAGAGGCCTCTGGCAATTGTTTGCCATATTGGGAAAATATTTGAAAGCCTTAGTTACCTTCCTGGGTATTATTAGAAAAAGCCGCACCATGTCAGGTGCATCACCATCCATTTACTGACAACTTTGCTAGGAACCATGGATGACATGCAAAACTTCTAGGACTTTTATGAACCAGAAAGATAGTTGTGATAAGGATTATTCTAGTACAAATAGTTTACTTGAATAATAATTATCAGAATGTGACGTGCTTCACCTCATTATTGCCAAACTAAAATTATTAAAAAAAATTCCGCAACATCAGAGATAAATGTTTTATGATATAAAACAAAGAATTTGTTATAATTTTTTATGCACACCAGGAAAGGGACTTAAAAATGGGTTTATACCTTGAGGATTAAACTGGCAGATGCTGAAAAGCTGTATTTCTCTAGTATTAAGAATTACATTTTTAGATATTATCTTTTATTTCAGTAACTGATATTTAGCAGTTTCTCTATATTCCACATGCAGTCCTTCCCTCAGCTTTTAGCTGGTGGTGAAAATACTTCTCCTACTACATTATTAGTTGTTCATACAGTCTACTTCATTCATTATTATTATTATTTTCATTCTTACTATTTTTAGTGCAAACCTTAAGTGTTGGCTTCTTGTATATGATAACCATAGCAACATTCAATATTTATCTTGTATTTATTCTCAGTATTAGTGTTACATCTCTGAAATGTTCTATATGTGCTATGTTATGATGAACACAGTATAGTGTAGAAAATTTTATTTTTATAGATAAAGATTATAGTTTAAATTAGTACAATGACATACAGCACTGTATAAGGATTTCAATGTAGGTGCTCCATGAGATTGTGTACTCATAAGTTTACATCATAAACCATTCCTAGGACATTATCTGAAGTTTTCTGGAGACACAATGAACAATCGATCAGCTGTTGCCCAGATCCGCTCTCCGGTTATGCGTGGCAGTTCTAAAAATTGCTTCTTCAGAATGTGGTACCAGTTTCTTGGTGTTAAACCTGGGATCATCAATATTTACAAGTTAGTATTAATTACTCTTTTATACAAATTATTTTACTCAATTCTTTTTTATGTCATGAATAGTAACTTGTGTCTACCATGCCATATATGTTTTCCTGGAATATTTTTAGCCAATAATCTGATATTGTTCTGTAATTGCTTACTGTGCCACTGAGGTCCATATACTAAGGGCCTATGATTATCATCAAATGGCAATTTGGTCTTTTCTGCTAGTGTGTGAATTCATGCCTTGTACAACATTCCCTAAGAAAATTTTAACAAAAGAGTGGATTGTAAGACACATCCTTTAAGCTATGGCAGGAACAGAGTTGTGTGAATAGGTGTACATATTACATTGTACATAGGGATTTATATGGCACAATACTCAGTTAGTTTTCATCAATTATCAGTATATAAAATTGAATTATTCAGCACAATTTTTTTTGTAAACTAATAAGTGAAGCAACAAACATAAAATATTCAAGGTCAACATGTGAGTCCTCTTCCCTGTACTACTTAGTCAATAATTTTCTCATCTGGCATTGAATGACACAATGACACCACCACCCGGATACCATCTACATCTCACAAAGCCAGAGGAGACTTTGAGAGGCACCCCAAGGTATCACTACCCAAAAAAATGGACCTTTCAGATAGAGTAAGGCATCAAAGATAAAAAGACAAGAAACATAATAATAATAATAATAATAATAATAATAATAATAATAATAATAATAATAATAATAATAATGTTTATTCAGGTTAAAGTACATACATACAAAATGAGTTACAAACAGAATGTTGTATTTCTAGATAGAGCTAGTATATACTATGCCTAAAGCCACTAGTACACACACATCGTTTTGGGCAAGATGTGGAAAAATACTTAAAAAATAAGACAAACTAATTGAGATTAAAAGAATGAATTGGACAGAAAAAGGAGAAAAGAAGAACAGAATGACAATAGTTATATGTTGGATGGAACAGCAGAAATTACAACAGATCAGCAGAAGTAATTTTAACTAAATAAACAGACTACAATTTTTTTTAAACATGTTTTTGTACAAGTTTATACCTGGAAAATATCAGCAGTTATACAAGTTGGTCAATAATCAGTATTACTTGAAAATAGCAAGACATAGGTTGACATTTAGGAGGTAAGGTAGGTTACTTGGAGTTGATAAGGTAGTACTTAGTATTTCTCTTAAACTGATTGAGAGAGAGATACAGTCTTTGACGTGATTGGGAAGGTCATTCCACATTTTGGGTCCTTGATTTGCAGAGCATTTCTAGATTGGTTAATTCACACTCTTGGAATATCAAATAGATATTTGCCTCTTGTGTGGTGCCCATGTGTTCTGTTACAACCTTCTAAGAAGTGTTTAAGGTCAGGATTGGCATTACAGTTCAGAGTGTTATATAGAGTAAACTTGAGACGATGTCCAATGACTTAATATCTAACATATTCAAAGATTCAAGATAGGGGGCCGAGTACTGTCTGAGGCCAAAGTTTGTTTTAATAGCAGATTTGTGTTGAGTAATTAGAGGACATAGATGATTTTGGGTAGTAGAACCCCAAACACAGATACCATAACTGAGATAAGGATAGATGAGAGAGTAATAGAGCATTATCAGGGTAGGGTGAGATACATAATATCTGATTTTAGAAAGAATGCCAACTGTTTTAGAAACTTTTTAAACTATATTTTGAATGTAGCCCTGGAAATTCAGCTTATTATCAATGAGAATGCTAAGGAATTTACTGTCTACTTTGTAACTAATTTGGATATTGTTAATTTTTAGGTTAATTAGATCTGAGGATTTATTACCAAACAAAATTTTATTTATTTAATAATTATTTTTGGAAATAATTATTATAAATCCAGTGTATCAAAGAAGTCTTTTCTTTTTTTTCCCTAGGCGATACACGTACTATGAAAATGGGTTAGAACTGCTAATGCAGCTTGATACATCTGTCAAAAATGTGTGGCTCAAAGTCAGTCTTTTACTACACAATAGTAGTAATTTGCAGGACTATGCAGTAAGTAATCAAGGGTTTGTAAATAATCAAGAGTTATACTGTACAAATGTGTGCCAATTTTTTTTAAAGGTCTATTTCAAATTTGTTGACTTTGGTGATAGGCAATCGAGTTACCTTAATGCTCTACTCAGTCATCCAGGGGTTTATTGTATTTTTTTTTTTTTTTTTGTGGGGACTTTTTGTGCAAATTTCTCCTAACCTTTATTCTTGGCAAAAACTGAGAATCGGGTTTTTAGGTGGGTCTCACTTTTGGTTAGGGTTTGGTTACTGCTATCTTTATTAATCATTCACTGTGTTCTATGTCTTTTTGCAATAGTATTTCCTGGCATTTTAACACTATCTTGTTTTCTCTCTTCTTGAATCTTTGCCCCATGGTTCCCTGCTCTAAGGCCTATTGCTTCCAGCTATTCCACATAGTGGTTATGATGAATCAGTACCAAGTATATCCTGAGGTGAATGAATGATCTCTGCAAGTTTGCCACACTAAATGTGTTCTCAGCAGTGTCCTGTGCTGCCATTAGTGGCTGGACGTTTTATAAGACCACTTGATTGTTTGCCTCCTGGTTCCTATCTGGGGTTTTCCCACCTGTACCATTGATGTCACCTGAGGCAGGCTCTCGTAATGGTCATCTTCTCATTAAGTGGGGTCAGGTATCAAGGACACAACTGCTGTTCCCTTTGTCCTTTTTGTGCATGTGTGTGTGTGTGCCACTCTAGAGGCTAAGTAAACCTTACCTATTCTGTTCAGTAGTTTGGGTGGCTCACTGAGCCTAGCTCTTTTGGACCTACCAAGCAGTATTGCTCAGAAAGCTAGATTTAAGTTCATGAAAAGCACTATTCTGAGCAGTATGTTTAGTTTCTTTCGCTTCTGCCCGTTTCTCCTTGGCAAACAGTTTGGCACAGTTTTTTCTGTGGAGAACAAAAAATCTTTGTTTCCCTGGAGCTATACTGGGCTGATGTGTATATATTAGACCATGGCAACAGTCAGTCTATGGAATTCTAGGCCTACCGGGGACCAGTGCCAGAACCTGAGCCCCCCTCAGAGAGGTACGAGGAGCAATGGCCAATAGACGTCCGGTACGTGGCTGGTTCGATCTTCTCCTCCAATCTTCACATTTGATCCTTTTGACCCGGGTTTATCACCACTTGTGTGGTGATCAGGTGGCTTCATTGATGGTGACCCACCTGCGAGTTTTGTCTCTGCGGCAGTATGAAGTTTCCTGCAGTCCTTTTTGGCACTTTGTCTCTTCGTAGGTTGTCTTCGATTTCTGATCGAGTTGTTTTGTCCTGTCTCTCTTTGTTGTTTCAGGACCGTTATCTTATGCCGAATACTGTTGCGTCATATCTTGCGGTGCTGGTGGAGCCGCTTCTGCTTGCATTCAGGGGTGGATGTCATTTCTGCTCCGTTCTGCAAACTTTCTCGGGCATTGTTTTACCTCTGGCCTGCTCATGTGCTGCCTGAACCGTTCTGGTCTTTAGACCAGGTGCTCTCTTTTCTCTTCTCCTTGGTTTGTGGTGCCCCCCTTCAGTTCAGGACTGCTTTTCTAAGGCGCTTTTCTTGTTGGCATTGGCCTAATGGGGTCAGGTCGGGGAGCTTCATGCTCTCCTCTGGCGCAGGGGTTTCTGCTCTTTCGGTCCTGGTGGTCGGTTTGTTTGCAGCTGTCTTCTTTTCTGGTGAAGAATGAGTTGATGCTTGGGTTGTTGATGCTTGGTTGGTTTGGCCAGGAATGCATCATATTTTGTCTGGTTGCAGCTCTTCGCCGTTACTTGCGCGTCATGGCCTCCGTGGCAGGGGACATGCTTTGAGTTGACCCCTGTTCCCCTTCTTCCCTGTTTCAGGGCGCGGGTCTCCCAGGTCGTCCGCAGGATTATTCAGTTCAGCCAGCCTGCGGTCTATCCCTGTGCCCACAACGTTCGTAAGTTCACAGCTTTGGTTGCTGTTTTTGGTAATATGTCCTGGGCTGACATTTTGGCACGGAGCTTTTGGAGGTCGAACAGGGTCCTCACAGTACCTCGTTCATGTTCCTGGCCCTTCTCGGGCATGTGTAGCCTTGGGTCGCAGGTTGCAGCCATTTGTCTCAACTTCAAGTTGAGGAGCGAGTGGCAGCCACCTCGCAGGTGAGTCCCTCTTTTCCTTTATCTTTTGTTAGGTAGCTCCGAGGAACAAAAGGGGCTCTCCATAGAAAACCAGTGTTGAATGTAAGGAAATGCCACGTTCTGGGTGAGACCCAGAGGCTCTCCGGCATCCCTTCCTCCCTCTTTTATATGTTTTTTCACGTTTTTGATACTTAGCCTCTGAACTGGGGTTGGGTAGCCGGCGCGGGAGGACTGGGACCTCCCTTCCCCCTCTCGGGGAGGGGGGGGGGAGTTGCACAGACAGCAGCGTGGTGGCTGTGGTGACGTCATGCTTGTTTGCTTATTTTCAGATTGGGGAGTTCTGTTTACTCGTTCAGCTTTCGGTTAGCAATTTTTCACCAGCTGTAGTTTATTTTGGGATTCCTACTTTTCTGGGTGCCTGACCTGGTAGATGGCAGACATAGACTGCTTCCAACTACACAGGGATGTCTATAGGCCACTGCTCCTCATGCCTCTCTAAGGGGTCCAGGTTCTGGCGCTGGTCCCTGGTAGGCCTAGAACTCCATCAATTGACTGTTGCCACGGTCTAATATATACACATCAGCCCGGTATAGCTCTGGGAAGCCTCTGGGTCTTGCCCAGAAAATGGTGTTTTATTACATTCAACGCTGGTTTTTCTACTTCAGTTACAGGAAAAAATGTGGGGAGTTGCAGGGTGAAATGCGAGTGTTGTGTTCTGTTGTAATAACCTAATGATAATTTGGTAGTTTACCAACATGCAGCATAGTGATCTCTGTGTTGCCATGTTGCACCTGGTGTAGACTTTTGGATTTTATGGCAAAAACTTTTCTGTCTTTAGTCTGGACTAGATTTAGTACAGTATTCTCACATGTTTTCCTATCACCAGTATGATCTGACAGAAACGGTCTAAAATGCTCCCTGTTAAGTCAGTGAAACATAATGACCTGCCTGACTGTTTCTGATTCTATCCAGGAGGTCAGTAGGACATTGCCTTAGGGAGTGACCAAGTGTACTGCTCATAAAAGTGCATTATATAAACTCAGAAATAGCACTTTACATTTAATATTATTTTTAAGACTTTGAAAATCATTGAATTCTCAATTCATCTTATGTATTTTGAAACCAGATGTGTGTGAAATATATTTTTATTTTGCAACAGGTTGTTGTGGAAGGCTATGCTACTTCTGGAAATGTAGGGAACATGGTCTTGGATGATTTCTCAATGACAGAGAGTTGCGAGATTTCTGCTAATCAGGAGCTGCCTGGAAGTAATGATTTAACTACACCTACACCCATATGTGAAGAGGGCTTAGAAGCCTGCAACAATGGCAAATGTTATCATCCCACAGAGGCCTGCAACTTTAAAGATGACTGTGGAGATGGAACAGATGAACAGGATTGTAGTTAGTATCTCGATGGCACATTTTTTATCTCGGTATTATGTCTTGCTGATTATAATCTTCCCAGAGTCATTTTCATATTTTTTCTGTAATATTATGTCTTATATTTATATTCTTTACATTATTATACCTGTACCATATAGAGATGAGTTGTTTGCTAATCAGTAGATTTGAAACAAGATATTACATTAACTATCCAGTTTTCTGTCATCACTGAAATAAGTACTTTAACAAGAATGAAATAAGAACCTGTATACTGTTGAAAGAATTTAGAGTACTGTAATTTTGATTGCAGAATAGTAAAAAAAAAAAAAAAAATGTGAATTGAAGTACAGTACTATACACTTGTTTCACCTTGTTAATAATCCATGAATGAAATATAAAAATTGATATATGCAGTTTAAACTTGAAATACAAAATAATATTTATTTTAAGACTTCTGTGCCATTTTGGTTTATTGAGAAGCCTTATGTATTTGAGTTACACTATGTTTGAAAATTATATATTGTTATATATATATATTGTATATATATATATATATATATATATATATATATATATATATATATATATATATATATATATATATATATATAAAATTATATATTTATATATATATATATATATAAATATATATATATATATAAATAAATAAATAAAATTGCATATTTTTTCTACAGCCAAGAGTTGTGACTTTGAAAAAGAAGCTTTGTGTGGCTGGTTTGAGAGTGTTGCCAACTCCATCCCCTGGTTGTGGTCAGGGTTCCCTGCTCCTCCTCCTGGGCCCTCAGCAGATCACACTCAAGCTAATACTACTCATGATCTTGTTACTTCCAAAACTGAGGTTAGTTTATACATAGCTTTCTTTAATTATAGACATTCATAATACAGTACAGTATTTGAAATAAAAATTTATATCTGGTACATACAAAGGTATAAAAAACAGCATTGAATGTAATGAAATGCCATTTTCTGGGTGAGTCCCGGAGGCTCCCCGGAGCTTACCGAGCTGATATGTATGTATTAGACCTTGGCATCAGTCAATTCGATTGGAGTTCTATGCCTCGCAAGGACTACGAGTCAGAGCCTGGGAAAGAACCAAATCCCTAGCGAGCAGACACACGGACCAGCTGGGAGCCCACACCAGCCAGTCTACCTGGGAGCCCGAGGTAGGCCAGAACCCGAATCCCTAGCAGATGCAAGTAGATCACCACGAACTGAGTAAGGTATGTGAAAACGCAAGGTGCCAGATTCAAGCCGAATGGAAGGCAACGAAAGCAGAAAGCCTGATGCCCCATTACAAAACTGAGCCAGTCCCTGAACTCTGGATGAATCGGGATGTACCAATACGCGTCCTGGAGGTCCAGAGACACCATCTAAGCATTCCTGCCCTGACTCTTAAATTCTCAGACATTTGGAAGCCAGCAACAGAGGAAGAGGTGGGGGAAGGGGGGGAGGAAGCAGGACAAAGCGCAGCAGGATAAGGGGGTGCAGACGAAAGCAGAGTCGAAGCGCCTAACGCCCTCAAGTCCGGGTCCCTATAACCAAAACGGGGCAGCCGCAGGGCTTCCAGAAAGGCAACCAACCTAGCGCATTGCGGCAACTGAAACTGTGCATGCAACGCCGATGCTGCCTGCCGCCTATTATCAGTATCAGTGAACTGGGTGAATTGGAGAACTAGCAAGGAACACCACTCGCAGGACTCTGGGTAGAAGATGTCACCGACCCAACAGGCGGCATGATGGAGGCAAAACCGGTGAATGTCATCCTGAGACAAGGGGACAGAGCAACCTTCGAACTTGCACAAGGCGAGATGGGACCCAGAGGACGCATCCATTGAACCAATAAACCCCAACGGGGTTTTCTAGGGCCCTTAGTCTTACTGCTAAGAGAAGCCCAGGCAAGGTACTGCTAACCGGTTGGCCCAACTACCAAGAGGTAATTAAAGCTGAACCCTTACGATGTGTACAATCACAGGGACCTAGCAGGGTACCACCAGACAATAACCAAAGGGCAGACCCACTACCAGGCAACAAACAAAAAGAAAAAGAAAACCCCCGCAAAAGTACGACGTCTCCAGGAGGAACAGAACCGGCCACTGTGTAATAGGTGACAAGCTGCACAGTACGAGCCATGATACTACCTCCTACCCAAGGTCAAACAGCAGAAATAAAAAACCCAGCTGACCCCAAGTGTGGGGCAATCACTGAGCAGCAAAAGACCCCTATGGAGGTAGTTCCCAAATGATTTGTGGAAGGCAATCCCAAGCCGCAAGGGCAGTACTTACAGGACTATTAAATAAAATGTAAATACAATTCTAGGTAAAGTACAGTTTTGCATTTGACATTCTACTGTCTCAGTACTACTGTACTGAATATTCTGGACATGCTCTCTTACTCCGTAGCACCAGTATGACCTCTTGTGTGTACCTGTACTTGAAAACCTAAATGGCCCAACTGTCATGATTCAGTCAGTAGGATCTTCAATGATCAGAGTATAATAGCTTAGAAATAGTATTTGGTTGATTTATAAACACAATTTTTTTAATACAGGATCAAGGTGGACAGGTTGCTGTTTTAGAATCCAACACATTCTCCTCTGTGGGCCGAGACTGTTTTTTTGTGTTCTGGCACTTTTTGGCTAGTGATATCGGTGAAGAATCCACTCTAACTCTCTTAAGAAAAACTGAAGATGATGAGGTAAGGATATATTATGCAGTCTGATTATAATTTAAAATAAATTACAGTAAAGTGTTCTCAGTATAATTTTCAAATTTTTTATATACACTTTGAGTGAATTGGTGGGTATCTAGGTGTGTGATATCCAAATCACACACCAGAAAATGAAGAAATTACAATGTTTCAGTCCATCCTAGACTATTATCAAGTCGTGTAGTCATGAAATGACTTGACAATGCTCCAGGATGGACCGAAACATTAGTCATTTCTTCATTTTCTGATTTATGGTTTGCATATCATATCTTCAGCCTCATTATTGTGACTCATCGTCTGCTCTAGGTGTGTAATTATCTAAGTGTATTTACCTAAATGTAGTTAGTGTGAGAGCTACACTCGGGGTGTCCTCTCTTCCCAGTATTCTTTGTCATATGATACGTTGATACTATTATCGGTTTTGACATTTACTGCCTTCTCACTGAATTTGTTCCAACCATCTTCCACTCTGCAAAAGAAAACTTTCTAATATTTTGGGGGGCACCTTTATTTCCCGTGCTTGAATCTATGACCTCTTGTTCTTGAAGTTGCTAGTTTCAAGAATTCTTCTGTCAATTCTGTCTATTCCTATTGCTATTTTGTATGTAGTGTTCATATTGCTTCTTTTTTTCTTCTATCTTCTAGATTTTGCATATTTAACACCTCTAGCCTCTCTTCATAGCTCTTATTTTTCAGTTCTGCAAGCCATTTTGTAGCATGCCTTTGCACCTTTTCCAGTTTATTTATATGCTTCTTGAGATATGGGCACCATACAACTGCTGCATATTCCAGTTTTGGTCTCAAAAAATTGTGAACAGTTTCTTTAGTACTCATCTAGTTGTACTCACCTAGTTGTGCTTGCGATGTTGAACTCTGGCTATTTGGTCTCACCTCTCAACCGTCAATCTACTGGTGTACAGATTCCTGAGCTTCTCGAGCTCTATTGTATTGGACAACAGGAGAGTTGGGAAAGAGGGTCAAGCAAATTATTTTGCTCGGAAATGTGTTTTTCATGCTCGCTCAATCCTGATTTCTAAGTTATTACTTTTGGTTGTTTATAAGGTAAGCATATTCAGCAAACACAAAATTAATAATTGGTAAAAACTTGTTAAGCAATACTTAGTGGTACCAAAGCAGAAGGGTGCAGAAAAGTGCCACAGAGAAGAAACCAGGTGTAAAGAAATACTACAATATGCTTGAATCATATATATATTTTTTAGATTCTTGTCATCTACCCTTTTGTTTGCTATTGTTGCATATACCACAGATGTTATCCTGTTAAATGAACAAATCCACAAGGGCCGTGACGAGGATTCGAACCTGCGTCTGAGAGCATCCCAGACGCTGCCTTAATTGATGCTCTCTGACGCAGGTTCGAATCCTCGTCACGGCCCTTGTGGATTTGTTCATTTGATATATCATGCAATTGTGATTTCTGTGTGTTATCCTGTTCATGTGAGCCTCTGGCATTAGGTTCAATGATATCTGCCCCTAGGTCTTTTTCTCTTTCTAGCAATGAGAGCTGCTTACTCTATGGCTCATATGGCACTATGGCACTACCAGTCTCATTTCTATGTACCTTATTTGTTTATGTTGTTCATAAATACTCATTTAAATAAAATTGTATAACTTTATAAGTAATAAACCTATATTAAGTATTATTGCTTCAAAAGTTAACTAATGTTCTTGTTTAATCACTGCTCAGACACATGGACTTCCAGCAGAAACCTTATGGAAGGGAACATCATTATATTCTACTGGTTGGACAAGAGTAAATATAAATCTTGCTGGCAAAAGAGACTTCACACTGCATTTCAAAGCCAATCATGGTTCAGGAAGAGTGAGTGGTTTTGCAATATAAGTAATTTTTTAAGAATTATAAGTTTTCACTTCAAGAATAACACCTAAAAGATAATTAGGATTTCCCATTTTAGGTCAGATAAATCTTAGTATTATTCTATTGCACATCTGCTGTGCCTCTTGTTAGGTATGTTTCTCTTTGGTACCTCACTCATTAAGTATATTACACACACATGCTGTATCTTGCTCTTGATGTACTCTCACACCATGTGTTTTGCACTTTATGTACCCCCACACTTTGTAGCTTATATTTTATGAAGACCTCACACTTCATATTTTTCACTTGATATACTCCTGAAATATGTTCAGGACCAAAGTATACTGCTGGTTGGTCGGTAAACTCTTGCAGTGGAGAGTTCTAAAGACCACCACAAAAAATGCCAACTATGTGTTATGGCCTAGTCACCTGATTTTTTGCAGATCCAAACCCAAGAGTATGAGTTGTGGAAGTTATGCCAAGTGCTTAATCTTAGCCAGGGGTATATACTGTAACAAATAATATCATTGTAGGTGAGTGTAATCTTTTGTCATCTCGCAAACATTATTTCCTATGAGGAAAACTACACAGTAGATTCTAAAATGAATGAATCGTTTCAGTCCATTTTCTCATCAGTCAACGCAATCCATATTTTGTTCCAGATGAACATAGGTTTTAAAAACCTAGCTTCATTCTTTACAGATACAGGCAGTCCCTAACTTATTAATGAGATGCATTCCTAAAAAGGCTTTCTTAAGCCAGCCATGTTATGAGGGGATGCGTTTCCAGAACACCATAAATCAAACATAAAAAAACCAAATTTTTGGGACAAATAATATAAGAAACACTGCTCTTTATTTTCCTTGAATGATGGAATTGCCTAGCATGTCTGATTTGAGGCTTTGTGAAGAGCAGTGGCATAGTTGCTGAAGGAGACAGTGATAGGTGGTGATGGAAGGGCATCATCAATAATCTTCCTCTTCTTCTTAGACATTGAGGAGTTTTCTTGATAAACAACTGAAATAGTGCATTAGTAGCACTGTTCATAATGTGGGAAATTTGGAATTGGTTCATATAAAATACAAAGGGTTAAAATGGGGACTTTGAGGTCATTCATGAGAGTGAATGTTCATAAGTCAGGGGACCCCTTGTACTTAGAAAGGCCTCAAGTTTACCTTGTAAACAGAGCAGACTTTGGGAGGCTTATTTAAATTTGAATGCCCTGGAGAATTTTCTATAGTGTCCACCATAAATAGTTTCCAAGGGAATGAAATTCCATATATACATAGTAGTAGTAGGCATCCTTCAGTCTCGGGAGACTATGGAGTCGCGCTCTGGTTGTCAATCCTGGTGCAGCATCTGGAGTGATTGATGAGGCCAATCCGAGAATGAGAGTCCATCCCACACTGAGCACAAACAAAATCTGATTCTGGTATATCTTTCTGGCTACCGGCTATCCTTCTCTGCCTCTGATTTCTTGGCCAGTGATTCCTTGAACATGGAGAGACCTTTCTGAACAGACTGCCTCCAGGCTGATCGGTCTGCGGCCAGTGTTTCCCACGTAGCATGATTGACGTTCATGGCTTTCAGATCCCTCTTGCATACGTCTTTGTACCGCAGCTGGGGTTTCCCTGTTGGACGTTTTCCCTGTGTCAGCTTTCCCTACAGGTACATATACATACACTGTACATACATACATACATGTCATGTATGGAGGGGTCGGTGGTTGAGCGGACAGCACGCTGGATGTGTGATCCTGTGGTCCTGGGTTCGATTCCGGGTGCCGGCGAGAAAAAATGGGCAGAGTTTCTTTCACCCTGATGCCCCTGTTACCTAGCAGTAAATAGGTACCTGGGAGTTAGTCAGCTGTCACAGGCTGCTTCCTGGTGTGTGTGGTGGAAAAAAAATAGTAGTTAGTAACAGTTGATTGACAGTTGAGAGGCGGGCCGAAAGAGCAGAGCTCAACCCCCGCAAGCACAACTGGATGAATACATATTGACCAAACCACACACTAGAAAGTGAATGGACGACGACGTTTTGGTCCATCCTGGACCATTCTCAAGTTGATTGCGATCACAATCGACTTGAGAATGGTCCAGGACAGACCGAAACGGGCCGTCCATTCACTTTCTAGTGTGTGGTTTGGTCAACATTTCAGCCATGTTATTGTGACTCTTCATCTACGTACGTACGTACGTACGTACGTACATACATACTTACATACATACATACATACATACATACATACATACATACATACATACATACATAAATACATACAGTACATACATAAATACATATATGTATGGATTGCATGCTAACATCTAAAATTATTGAATTATTCACAGACTCACTTAGCTGTGGATGACATTCAGTTTAGACGTTGTGCACCATCCATTGGAGAATGTGTGACCAACACAGACTTCCAGTGCAACGATGGCACCTGCATTCCTTATCAATACGCTTGTGATGCCAAATATGATTGCATGGATAAGAGTGATGAATACAATTGTGCATATGTGGAGGTAAGTCTATAAAAATGTAATATTTCTGTGGGGGAGAACTTTCAGCTCCCTGGAGCTATTGGCTAATGTGTAATATATTAGACTGGGTCATTAGTCTATAGAGTTCAGCCTACCAGGGAACATGAGCCAGAACCTGGCCCCCTCAGAGTGGTTTCAGGGAGTAATGGCCCTGGAACACTCCCCCCTGTGGTTGGGGGTTTTCCCTTATCTGCCATCGACAGGGGTTAGGCACCCAGGAAGGAAGGCATAACAAAACAAACCCCACATGGTAAGAAAAGTAGAATGAAAAACTGAAAAGATAGAGGCAGAACGCCCTCCAATCCCAAGGAAACAAGCAAACATCACACTCCACTGTTGCCCCGCTTGTCCATGCAGCCTTCTTCGCGCCGGCTACCCAGTACTCCAGTTCGTTCGCTAATGTGGTAGGGGCAAATGTCTTGTCTGGCCTAAATTTCCAAAGGCAGTGTTTTTACGTCATGGCGACCTCTGCAGTGTTGTTGTGTGTGGTGGCCAGGTGTTCTCGAGAGTACCGGGGCTGCATGCACTTAGGTGCATCCTTCCCTAGGCGCCCTTTGAGTAGTGCCCTTGCATATAGGGTTCCCTTCTCTGGTGTATTCAGGAAACCATTTCCATAGGGGTTTTTGCTGCTTGGCATTTACCTCGTGATTGGGGCCAGCTGGAGTTTCATGGCCCTTGTTTGGCCTCGGGTAGGGAGTGGTATCCTTCTGGTTGGGGCGTCAAGATGTTGTGCAGCCTGCCTACCTACACGGCAGCCGATTCCTGTTTCCTCTGGGGACGTTGTATTTTTGAGGGGTTTTTCTTGTTTTTGTTTTCTTGCCTGATGGGGGTCTGCCTGGTGTGGCTATTGTTCCACTTCTAATATTTTGGTGGCCTAATATTTTTGGTTTGCCTCTGCTAGGCCCCTTTGATTGTACACGTCGCAGGGGTTTCAATGTTTTGAGCTCCCACTTGTTAGCTTTGGGGCTTAACCGGTTAGCAACACCTTGCCCGGGCTTCCCGTAGCAATCAACTTACGGGCCATGGAGAACCCCGTCGGGGCTCGATGGACATATGGATGAGTCTTCCGAGTTCCAGCCTGCATCGTGCAGGTTCGAAGGTTACTGTGTCCCCTTGTCTCAGGGTGACAGTCACCTCTTTTGCCTCCGTCATGCTGTCTGTTGGATCAACAACACGTTTAACCCGAAATCTTGCAAGTCGTGTTCTCTGCTTATTCTCCAGTACTATTTTGATGACATTGCTGTTAGGGTACAGGCAACATCCACGTTCCATGCTAGGTTCAGGTTGCTGCAATGCGCTTGGTTTGTGTCCCACCCAGATGCCCCGCAGTTGACCCTCTTTGGTTATAGGACCCTGGACCTGGGGAGCATTAGACGCTTCAACTTTGGCCCAGTGTATCTTCCCAGGTCCTTCCCTTGTTGTTCGCTCTCCTCCTCCTCCTCCTCCTCCTCCTCCTCCTCCTCCTCCTCCTCCTCCTCCCTCCTCCTCCCTCCTCCTCCCTCCTCCTCCACCCCCCCGGCCCTGCTTCCAGCTCCCAAACGTCTAAGGGTTTCAGAGTCGTGGCAGGGTATAGTTGGTAATGAGCCTCAGGCAGCTTTGGGGTCTGCCCCATTTGGATTGGGGATGGAGGCATTTGAGCCGGTTCCTTCTACGGAGGCTTCCGGGTCCCACCAGCAGGCCCCCTTCTTTTCAGCCTTTTCCCTGGACTCTGCTTTTTCTTTAGGGGTAGAGGGTATGGAGGACTGCTCTGCCCTGGGTCCCGACTTAGGGGATCCCAAGGCTAGGGATGAGTCGACCTGGGCGCCTTGGGCCCCCTTTGACCCTGCTTGGGTGTTAGTGCCCCCTTTGCGAAGCTTGTTGTTGCAGGGGAAGGGATTTTCTTACCCCCCCCCCCTCCCCCTTCCCTGTATGATTTGGAGTCGACTCCTTCTTGGGTTTGGTTCCGGGCTCTTTTGGGTTCCTCAGCCCCATTCTACCGGAGGTTTTGTGCCTCTCGTATCTTCCCTAGGGAGGTTTGGAAGGCTCTTGCTGCATACCTCCTGCGAAACCCGGATTCCTCCTCCGTGATGGATCCGTCCTTATTTGAGTTCGGGTTTTCTTCCCCATATTGGGTGCGTTTGGAGGTTCCGGAGTCTTCCTGGCAGTCAGATCAACTGTCCTCTTAAAATAAAGTCGCTTTTCGCTTTTATGTGCACTATGGCCAAAATTGGACATAATTTGAAATGAAATTGGCTCACAAATGTGATATACTGTCCCATTTTCTGTTTGGAGACCTCCGGATTACTCGGTTAGGTTAGGAGAGTAAATTTTCAATTAATGGTTTTCGTGATGTTTTGAAACCTTAGGAGAACTTCTTGCCCTCCTAACCTACCAGAGGACCCTTAACTTGCTGTTTTTTAAAAAATATTCAATTTATTTTCAAATGTTTTTCATTTTCAAATTATGTCCATTTTCAGCCATACGGGCAAACAGCCAAATTCAGACATAATTTGTAAGGGATTGGGCAGATTGCCCATTCTTTTTGTGGAGGGGGGGGGGCATGGCTTGGGTTCCATCGGTCCTGCACACTTGAGTGGCGAGAAACTTCTACCATTCTGCAGGTTTACCTGGGGCGAGTTGGAACACCCTAATGGTTGCTTGTGCCCCTGTGCTTTCTCGGGATGTTAGCCTTGTGCAGTTGCACGTGCAGGTTCCTACCCTTTCGGCATCCTTGGTTGCTGAGGATTTGCGCGCCCGTGGGCATGTGGCTTTGGTCTTGCTTCTTTTTCCTTCTCGAGCTGTCTTCGACCTGGCTTGAGGAGGATGTGGAGGAGTTGGGTGCCAGGCCTTCGTCAGGTGTGATGTTCTCGGCTGCTGGGGCGTTAGCCTCAATGTTGAAGCTGTTTGTGCCTGTCCTGAAGGTGGTGGTGTTCTGTGGAACCCTAACCCGAACCTGGGTTCGGGTTCCTGGTGAACTGGTGGAAATCTCGTCTGGTTCTGTCCCAGGTTCGGACCTGGCTGGGTCTTGTTTGGGATTCGCGGACTGCTTCCATGTCTCTACCTCCGGAGGCATTGCTGTGGCTGTGGTACCACCTTCGGCTGTTTCTGGGGGGTTCTGGGACACTGGGTGGTTGCTTGAGCAGTTGTGTGGGAGTTTGAACTTCGCTATGCTGGTCTACCTGGTGGGTCGGGTTTGGCTTCGGCTTCTGTTCTGGTTCCTTCAACTTCTCTCGCGATTGCTGGGTTCGTCCTCTGGGGGCCTTGAGTCGGTTGCTGTGTTGCCGGCTTCCTCTTTGGGATTTTCGGGGTTCAGTGCCTTGGTGCCTACCCAAGTGCTCACCAGGCCAGCCAGGGGCAATGGGGTCCATCCTTCCGTCGGGCTCACAGCACGGTGCAAGAGTTCGATGCGGTTTGGCTGTCGCTTCATGGGTTCGGGTCGCTCAGGGTTCGACCATTTGGCTCGATTCGTACTGTTCTCCGGTGGTTCATTGCCTGAACCGCGGGGGTTCCTTTCAGTCCTTGCCTCTTTGAGGCTAGTCGCTTCGAGTGGCTCATCTGCTGGTTTCTCGAGGTTTGGCTCTCAGTGTGGTTCATATCCAGGGAGTGTCCAATGTCCTGGCGGATGGCCTGTCTTGGCTCATTCCCTTGTTCACGGAATGGATGGTTGACGTCGACTCTTTCAGTTTGCTCTGCCGGACGTAAGGACTCCCAGACGTGGACCTCTTCGCATTGGTGTGGTCTCGGCATCTCCCTTTTTATGTGGAACCCTTACTTTCTTGCAAGGCTGTCGTGGTGGATGGGATAACCTGTACCTCTTCCCCCTGGTCCAGCTGTTGCTTCGTTTTCTGGCTCGGTTGGAATCCTATCAGAGGAGAGTTGTCCTCGTGGTCCCTTGATGGCTTTGGCTATGGTGGCTGGGAATGCGTTTTGGGTTGATCCGGTTTCCCACGTTCCCTGTTCCAGGGCTCGGGTCTCCCAGGTCATCCGAAAGGTTATTACATCTAGCCAGCCTGTGTTCTATCCTCGTGCCCATGACGTTAGGAAGTTTGCTGCTTTGGCTGCCATGTTTGGCAACGTGTCCAGGGCTGATATTCGGGCGTAGGGATTTTGGAGGATGAACAGGGTCCTGGCCGCCCTTTATTTGGTTATCATTCCTGCTCCTGGGCGTTCTGTGTTGCTTTGGGTTTGCAGGTTGCAGCCAGTTGTCTCGACTTCGCGTTAAGGAGTATTTGGCAGCCACTTCTCAGATAAGCCTCTTTTCCTAATCTTTGGTTAGGTAGCCCCGGGTAGCCGAAGGGGCTCCCCCACAGAAAACCAGCGTTGAATGTAATGAAACGCCATTTTCTGGGTGAGCCCCGGAGGTTCCCTGGCAACCCTCCATCCCTCCAGTCAGCGGTTTTTCGCGGTGTTTGATGTTTGCTTAGCTTCCAAACTGGAGTGCTGGGTAGCTGGAGTGGGGAGAGGAGGGCTGCAAGGACAAGCGGCGCGGCAGTGGAGTGTGATGTTTGCTTGTTTTTTTGGGATTGGAGGGAGTTCTTCCTCTCTTTTCAGTTTTTCGTTGTACTTTTCTTACCACGTGGGGTTTGTTTTGTTAGGCCCACCTTTCTGGGTGCCTAACCCTGCTCAATGGCAGATAAGGAAAACCCCCAACCACAGGGGGGTTTTCCAGGACCATTGCTCCCTGAAACCTTTCTGACGGGGCCAGGTTCTGGCCCGTGGTCCCCAATAGGCTGAACTCCATAGACTAATGTCCCGGTCTAATATATCACACATTAACCCAATAGCTCCAGGGAGCCTCCGGAGCTCACCCAGAAAATGACCTTTCATTTCTTTCAACACTGGTTTTTTCACAAAATATATACTTTTCAGTTGTGGTAATTATTTGACTTATAGAATACCATATACTGCATACTAATTACACAATATACTAATGTGGTTACATAATTCACTAGTTATATAATCTAAACTTAAACTTATATTTGTATTTTTGTGAAAAACAAATTTAAAAGCTATAGGCATAAAAAACAAAAATTCTTGGCAAAATATTTTTTTAAACAAAATTTCTCTACATATGCATATAATAATTAGAATACATTAGTTTTCTATTGTATACATATTGTTAAAAAATTTATTTTTATAAAATGACTACAGCTTTTATTGGAAAGAAATTATTTGATACAGGGTAACTGCAACTTTGATTCAAAATCATGGCTGCAAGACTGTGGGTTTATCCAGCGTACCGACGAGGACTTGGACTGGAAACAAGCCGATTCCTCGGGTAACCCATCTTTTGGCCCTCAATATGATCACACGCTGGGATCAAATGGTATTAATTTTGCTTATATGATTCATTTACTGTTGTTATTATTATTATTATTATTTTTATTGATATTATTATTATTATTACTATTATTATTATTATTATTATTATTATTATTATGTATTATTATTATTATGTATTATTATTATCATTCACACAATGAAATCACATTAATGTGATGTATCAGTGAGAAAACCAGTAGAAGAAATAATGAGAATTTGAACCTGCTTACTTGGTACTACCAAGCACACGCCCTAGACCACGACATGGTCAAAAGCAATATAACCTGACTACCTGTTGAGGATTTTGAGGATCGGTGTTCCGCAACCCGGTCTCTGACCAGGCCTCATAGTTACAGGTCTGATCAACCAGACTATTTGATGTGGTTGTTCACAGCCTAAGGTATGAGTCACAGCCTGGTTGATCATGTATCCTTTAACCACCGTGCTGCGCTGCCTTAAAATATGACACCCATGGTGTGCCAAAACTAAATTCTTTGCAAAAAATTATTTTCTCTTTTATTGTTAAAATGCAGTTTCTGATCACAGGAAACTAAAAAGAAATTGTGACATACTTTGGCTGTGATGAAGCTGAGAAGTTGAGGAAATTATGGGCACTGAGTGATGGAGCCCTCGGGGCCACTCGACCCACCACCCCGTGGGGCACCAGTTGTTGCAAATATAATTTTTCACAATTATTTTGACGTATCTCATTAATTTCTTCTGTTTTTTTTGCTGTAATATTATTTAAGTGTGTAATTTGTGGAATTTATATAGTTCTGCTATGCTCAAAATTATGGGGCTCATATGTACTTTACCTGAATAAACGTTTTTTGTTTTTTTTAATTTGGTATGTGTCATGTATGTTATATTCAACGATCAATAAGTGTTTTTGCTGTTATTATACTATATACACACACACACACGTTGTATATAACTATTTACATTTTTGTGCACCATAATGAACCACAAAGATCGAGTGTTGAGAGTTTATATACACACAACAAGAATCCAAGGCCAGCTTTGCAGCCGACAGCTGAGTGTGGCAGGGGCTGCCCTCCCAATACTTTTTTTACATAATTATTTCAAGTGTATGTGAATGGTTTTATATCTAGTTTTTTCTGCATGTTCCAGCCTTGGCGACTCTCTCGTTACTAAGGCTATCACAGCTAGCATGGATGCTGATGTTGTTCGTTCAATATGGGGTCTGTTTACAGGAATTCTGAGGCACAGGATGTGAGCCCCGTGTACCCGAGGGAGTTTTGAATCTCTCCCTATACCTAAAAATGCCACAGGACACTCTGCACACCCTCATTCCAGCGCCTCAAGGCGCTCTGTGCAGTGCAGTGGTTAAAGGTGCTTGCTGAGGTCCCTTTTGAACACTGCAAGAGGTCAGCCAGTTATGCCCTGTACATGTAAGGGGAAGAGTGTCGAAAAGTCTTGTGCCTCTGATCAACAACAAAGACCCAAGACCTCTCTCTCTCTCTCTCTCTTTTCTCTCAGCGTGTCTTTTGCATCTCTGCTTTTCATTGGGGTTATTTTGCACATCCTGCCATGCCTTCTGGTCTCATGTGGTGTTATTTTTGTGTGCAAATTTGAACCAGTCTTTCTAATATTTTTGAAGTGAAAATTATTATGTATCTCTCCTGTCTGCATTCTAGGGAATAGATTTAAAATTTTTAGGCAGTCCCAATAATATAGATGTTTTATCAAGTGGATTCTAGCGGAAAAAGATCTTTGCACGCTCTCCAGATCAGCAGCCAGCTTTGAATGTTAGTGTGCCACAATATTCCACTCTAGAGAGCACTTGTGTCGTAAAAAAATATCATCATTGGCATGGCATCTCTTATTTGGCAGGTTCTTGTTAACCAACATGTCATTTTTCTTGCAGCTGTAACAGCTACTTTGTTGTGTCTTTTAAAGGGTTTTCCAACATGATTACTCCTAAATCTTTTTATGTTGCTTGTTCATTCAATAGTGTGGTTGACTGTTTTATATATGGTTTCTACTTTAATGCTTTTGTTTTTTACATAGTGCAGTAATTAGAACTTATCCTCACTATACATCATGTTTGATCAGTTGACCTGAGATTCAAATGAATCCTCTAGGAGTGCTGAGGCTTCACTGTAACCCAGTCACATTTCACACACAAAGACTGCATGCACTCTGGTCCAGGAGTTCTACCTTCAACCAGTTCTACCTCCTCGCTTGTTTTCAAATGAACAGTGAAATCGCATTAATGCTTTTTATCAGTGAAAAAATCAGTAGGAGCCATGAGGACGATTCAAACCTTCACACTTGGTATTTCCAAGTGGTCTAGGATATGTGTGCATTATTATACTCCCAATGTTTATTGCAACAGCCTGTAATCATTCATACCATATACTGTTCTCATTATACTACGCTGTTTGTAACCCGAGATATAGATATTTATCTATTTATTACTTATTATTATTATTATTAGTTATTATTTTTATTATTATATATTGTTTAAATAGAAGTTATTGTTAAATACTGTAGTTGTGTTAACCTGTTCCAGCCTAGTAGATACAAGAATACAATACCTTGACTTTTGCATGCAAATGCAGAATTTCATTGTTCTTTTAAATGTATACCAACACATTAGTGGAACTTCATGCTTCAAAGTATAATACTAATAGTGTCAATATTTTAACAGTAATAATTTGAGCAGCTAATTATAAATATATGACTTTTTTCTGTTTAAGGCCCTTTTCTTCAGCCATAAAATATTGTCATACATTTCTTAATAAAATGACAATTTACAGGCTATTACGTGTATGTCGCAAACACAAACGGAGAACCTGGTCAGTTGGCTAGCCTTAAGGTTGACTACTTGTATCCAGCTTCTGAGAATGTGTGTTACATTCGTTTCTGGTACTACATGCATGCTGACTCTAACATTATTGCTTCTAATGTTGATTTGGGAACTCTCAGGGTGAAATTGGAGGGTATGTTCGACGCTTTTTTAATATATCTCCATGTACTACATATATTGCATGCTTCATATGTAAATATTATAGATGATATACATATATAGCTCATACAAAAATTTATTAACACTTCAAAAGGATTTGTAAATTCACATTTAAAGTTTTTTTACTTTACCAGTAAGAAGTGGTCAGCGAATTACTCTAGCATCTATCAGTGGTAACCATGATGAAGTATGGGACGAGAAAGTTTTATCAATAAACATGGACAAATCTTATTCTGTTTTCTTCGAAGCCGAGACTGGGACATCTGAATACACCTACATTGCCTTAGATGATGTATCTTTCACCCCTGTAAGTTTGTTACTGAAAATTTTGTATTGCATAACAGTATGCAATAACAGTCTTTATAATTGACTTTATAACAATTGGCAATTATTGGCAATAATTGACTTTATAACAATTGGCAATTATTGGCAATAATTGACTTAATAACAATTGGCAATTATTGGCAATAATTGACTTTATAACAATTGGCAATTATTGGCAATAATTGACTTAATAACAATTGGCAATTATTGGCAATAATTGACTTATAACAGTCAAGTATTGTACAGTAAGTCTATGAAGATACAGAATATGTAAAATTATACAGTAGTATATATAAACAGCATTTTCTTAATTGTTTAAATACTCTTAGGTTGTTAGTACAGATTTTGGTGATTGTACATTCTTGTAAAGCCACTAACATGCATAGCATTTCAGTTAAGTCTTATAACTAACCAAATTTGCAGTGGGTTCAAGTTGCAAGGTGAACCTTAATAAAAAATTAAACTTGGACTGAGATATACAAAATGAAATTTAACTAAAATTACTAATGTGATTGGTGTATGTGACATTAGTAACAGTGTAAGGGGAGGTAATGAGAAATTATCTTTGAGTCAATTTTTTAGTTAGGTGAGCTATTTTTTTAACTAGGTGAGCTAGTAGCCCCAGGTGGGATGCTACATGAGATTTTGTACTGCATTGTTTTACTGTTGAATGAAGTATAACTTGAACAATTTTGTACTTCATTAGGAAGGGTGTTCCGTGTATTTGGTCCCCTCTAATTGCATGGATTGTTTGCTTTGATTTAGTCAGACTGGGGAATATCAGAGATACTTATTTCTGGTGTGATGTTCATAGGTTCTATTATGCCCATTTTGTTAGAGTTTAAAATCAGAGCTAGTATTGATAAGACTTTGTTAATATAAGTAGCACAAGAGACTGTATGGAATGAGTGTATGTTCAGCATATCAGAAAAAATTTATATATTTCTGATAACTGATTTTTGCAGGGTAATGATGGGTTTGAAGCAGTTTGTGGTGGTTGAGCCTAAAGCTTACTCAATTTTCAGGAATGTAAAACAGGTGTTGGTCCACCACCAATCAATAGTACCTGCGAGCCTGATGAACTACAGTGCAGGACAGGAGAGTGTATTCCTGCAGCTTTCTTCTGTGATTGCTTTGCAGACTGTATTGATGGTTCTGACGAAATTGACTGTAGTGAGTATTTTATAATAAACTATACAGTGTGGTAGCATAATCATTTAAAATAAGGTTATATGATTTTTCTGGGCTATTATTTCACTCAAAATTATATAAAAATATGAATAAATATTAATATTGCTGCAAATATTTGTAATTCATACAGTATCTCATCTCTTAAACCTATCAGCAATTTGACCCTGTACTATATTTGATTTACTTGATTCTGAGAGAATATTTTAAGGCACTAAAAGAAATTAAATCCTCCAGGAATTAATTTGTAAAATCTATATAAAAAATATAAATGTCCATTCAAATTGAAGACTAACATACTGGTATAACATAAAAACATCCACAAACACCACTTCTTACTCACATATATTGTACTTACATACCTTATCATACAAACTAAAGATTTTGTAATTAGTGAATTGCCACCTCATACAAGCTAGTTAATTCCTAGAACTTATAGTAAATTTTTTTTAGGATGTCATTTATTTTGTTTTGATCACCTTTGTTAACATGTGCAGTCATCAATCATTTCTTTGTTAAAAGTATTGTAATTTATTTATTTATTCATTCACTTATTTATTTGTGTGTTTGCACCAGGTGACTCTTGTACAACAGTGATGACACGTCCTTCTATAAAGACAACTCAAGGATATACGAGCAGCACCACCACCACTACACCAAACCCCAATGCCTGTCTCGACACCGAGTTTGCATGTGATGACAATTGGTACACCTGTATTCCATCCCTTCTCCTCTGCGATGGGATTGCAGATTGTCCCAATGAGGGCGATGAGAAACATTGTCCAGGTATAAATTATAATAGAAATTCAAGTAGTATGATATGTTTAAAATAATCTGATTTCATCTCACCATACTCGACCCTTTCTCGGTGAATGATGTTCCTCTTCTTTCCCTTACTCTTCCTCTGTCAAGCATCTCTTGAACCCAGAATCTGTCAGCTTTTCGGCTTGCTTTCTGTAGCCTGCAGTAGAGTTGGTCAGTTCCTTTCTTTATGTTTAGGGTCAATCCTTTTGGATCAGGAGTCCTTCCCAGCACTACATTGGGTTATTGCAGGTTGGTTGGATACAGGTATTGTCAAGGTAGCCATGGAACTTCGGGATGCTTATTGGCACATCCCAATACATGCCAGGTTTGAGGACTGGCAAGGTTTTGTTGTGGGATGTCAGGGTACTTCCATTTGCCTTGAACCTTGCCTCCCATGTGTTTACCAGGGTAGTGAGGGTCATTGTAGCCAGCTGCATCTCTTAGGGGTTCATGTGTTGGCCTCCCTTGACGACTGGCTGCTGTGGACCACAGTCAATCTGCGCGACAACTGGCCAGGGATCTGGGGGTTTTCCAGGTCACCAGATTCGGGTTCTGGTAAAATGGAGGAAATTCCATTTGATTCCTTCCCAGTTTCAGACTTGACTGGACCTCATTTGGAACTCTGTCAGCATCTCTTTCCCTGACTCCAGCTGCTATGCTGCACCTGCAACTTCACCGCCGTTTGGTGCTAGATTGGTTCCAAGGTGACTTGCCCAGCTGGTCAAGCAGTTATGCGAGAGCCTGAACTTTCTTCATTGGCTTTTTCCTGGGGAGGGTTTGGCTCCGGGCATTGTGCCAGTTTCTCTGGTTATGCCTGTTCTGCCACTCCCGGGAATGGTGTGTTAAGGTTCTGCCTGCCCTTCGTCAACTCTTGCTTTGCTGACTTCCCCTTCAGGCTTTTTTTGGAAATCAGTTCTGTGGTGCCACCCTCCGCATCTCTTGATGTGTTCATAGATGTCTTGTCACAGGGTTGGGTCTTCATAACCAGTGCTCACGAGGCCAAGCAGGTGGTGGTGGTCAGGCCAGTTCTTTTGGGTGCACATGTTGTGTGAGCCTACAGCTGTGTGGCATGCCCTGAGCAGAATTCAGGCTGGCAGTGTTTACTCATGAGAAATTACAAATGGCTGACCCCCAATGCAGTGCACACATATATTAATTTATTTATTCATGTAATTAGACCTCTTCATTCTTCAAAAACAGTTAACTTTGACAAGCAAGATAACTCCATCATTAAAGGTAAATAATATGCAGTGGTACCTTCATTTTCAAATTCAATCCGTTCCCAGAGATGATTCGAAAACCAAAGTGAATTTTCCCATAAGAGATAATGTAAATTGAAATAATCCGTTCAACACCTCCAAAAATATTAACTTAAAAATAAAATTTATACATACTACTACTTATATTTTGTACTACAGTATGTACAAGTACATCTTACCTTTACTGAGGACTCTTGTTGGAAGATGGTGAGGAAGGGGGGAGGAGGAGAGGTGTTAGTATTTGGAAGGGACGTCCCCCTTCCATTATAACAGCAGTGATGATATTTCTGGGTTACTCTCTCTATCTTACGTTTTGCAGGCATACCACTAGGACCTGGATGTGGCTCACTGCTTGCTTGTCTTACTAAGAATCTGTCTATAGACACTTGTTTTTCCATACATTTTAACACATCAGTCTCTGTGGTGTAGTGGTAAGACACTCGCCTGGCGTTCCGCGAGCGCTATGTCATGGGTTTGTATCCTGGCCGGGGAGGATTTACTGGGCGCAATTCCTTAAATGTAGCCTCTGTTTAACGCAACAGTAAAATGTATACTTGGATGAAAAAACGATTCTTCGCGGCAGGGGATCGTATTCCAGGGACCTGCCCGAAACGCTACGCGTACTAGTGGCTGTACAAGAATGTAACAACTCTTGTATATATCTCAAAAAAAAAAAAAAAAAAAAAAAAAAAAAAAAAAAAAAAAAAAACTTGTCTGTAGTGAGACATCACATTGTCTCACTATGAATGATCTCTCATTTTTTCTCTATCGTCATCCTCACAACTATTTTCTTAGGTTGAACTTTATCACTGACTTACTTTCTTTGGAATCCATGGCGTGATATATAATAAGGACTTTCATGTTCAGAAATCAAAAAAAGCACAAAAACAATTAAATTGTTCACAAAGAATTCAAGTGTGGTTGTCACTAGGCAGGAGACACTGGTAAATTGAAATAAATCTGTACAAATTTAAAGGTCAATGGGGTAAACACTTAATAACACAAAGGAAGTAAACTGACTTGAATAGGTAATTTAGAAAATTATATACTGTACAATAAGTAACTTTTCTTATCGTGTAATGATTGAGACCCAAATTTGGCTGTACCTCATCATAAGTAGATTTAAGACAGTCGAGTTTAGCTGGATTCCCAGCTGTATTAGTGTTGCCTCTACAAACATAGCTGCAAAAGTGGTTGTTCATGCTTGTCCCATCTTCGAGAAACAAATCTCTTACTCAGATTTCTACCATGTCTTTCATAATGCAATCTGCAACGATTGGATTGATAGATGGTTAGCTATTACAAATAAACTACTGTATTTGCTGTCAAATGTGTCCTATCCCTGTGGTCTTCCTCCTATCATCAAAACAGCAGGTGGGAAATGTGTCTAAATAGGTTATGTACTGGTCACATTAAATGGAAGAGAGATCTACACCTTACAGAAAGAACTGCTTTGTTGAGTTAATTAACAGTCACACACCTGCTCATAGAATGTCCCAATTTCTGGATTATTGGAAATTTTGCTTTCCCACAGTGCCATTGAGTCATATGTCCCCTGAATCCAATAACTTTGACATCCCTTGTCTTAGGTCTTTCTACTCTCATATTGGCATCCTGAATAATTTGATTAACTCTTGTAATATTATCTAACAAACACTACTACATATAGTATTATAGGCATTGTTTTTTTTATATTTACTCACTTCTGGGACAGAGTTAACACACTCTGGTCTCCTTCAGGGGCTGAGATATCATATTCTGTCTTTTTCATAGGTCGAGTTACAATTAAAGCAATAGCAGGGTTTGTATAAATATATACATAATAATAGGCTGGCAGGCTGTAGGATGTAATTTTATCATATCCGAATGCACATTTTCAAATGTTTACACTTCTGTAATATTTATAATACAGAAAAGACTCCTTGTGACTCCGGATTTTTCTACTGCGCTGACCGTTTCATGGAGGTCCCATGTATGCGGGTATCTAACCTATGTGATGGCAAGGTGCAATGCCAAACTTACAAAGCTGATGAGTCTCTCTGTGGACAGTGTCCTGACAACTACTGTCAAAATAATGGCGAATGTGATGCTGCAAATGGGGGTGCCCCAGTCTGCAAGTATGTATGATCATTTATAATTATTTGTCAAATTTTTTTATAAATAAGGCAGATATGTAAATGACAGTTTCAAATTTAATTTAGTTTATAGTATATATAGTGTCCCATATTGTTTTCATGTAACAGTCATGAGTCAGAAACCAAAAGAAATATATGTATATTCTCTCTTCATTTCCAATGTTTCTCTCATCCATAGAGCTTCAAAATAATTTCATCCACAAGCTTCCTTGAATTTGTGAGCCAGCTCTATTGGTGCTAAATATGTATTATTGATTTGATTTTCGTAATATAATCTGTAAGTATATAACATAACTTTTTAGATGCCCCAGCAAGTACACTGGTAACCGATGTGAGTTGGTGGCTGCTCCGACTACCACTCTCACCCCAGTCTCGACCCTCACCACCACCACCAAACAGCCTCCCAGGGCTGGTCTCGGCCCAGGTGCTATTGTTGGCATTGTGCTTGGTGTTCTCCTCTGTATTATTCTACTAGCACTATTAGCTTATTATTTTATAAAAAAGAGACAGTAAGTACCCTTTTCAATAACTTCTTTATAGATATAGACAAAGTTATTGGTTATTCATTTCTTAACTGAAAAGGTATCAATATACAGTAATTTTTCTTTTAAAGTAGTCAATAAATTTAAAACTTGCTTGTATTTCTAATATAAATTTTTGTTATAGCCCTTTCATTCTGATTTTTGCCAAGAATATTATTATTTTTAGTTATGTTACATTTTAAGTTTCTATATATTAGTACTCTACAACTAAGTGAAAATAATTTCTATACCATTAATACAATTGTTTGTCACACTAATACTGCTATATCAACCCATCCTCTCACATAGTACACCACATTTTGACATCAAAATTCCAAATGGACAAATAAAGGAGTACAGAGGAAGCTCGGTTAACGAATTTAATCCGTTCCATCACCAAGCTCGTCACGTGAAACGCTTGTCTTGCGAAACGAATTTCCCCATTTAAAATAATTGAAATACTATTAATCCATTCACCCTCGAAAAACATCAATATGAAATTTTATAATGTAATTATAATACTGTAGATGTAATTATTATAATTGTTTTGTTTTACCGTTTTCAATTGTACTTTACCTTATGAAGAGTCGTTGCTGGCTTGAGGGAGACTATGGGGAGGTGGGGAGGAGGAGAGGGGTTACGGTGTGGAGGGAGAATCCACCTCTGAGTCAGGCGAGCTCTCTCTTCTTGTGAATTTCACCCCACTGGGACCAGGTTGTGGTTCAATATCACTTGCTCGTTTTTTCTGTACCTTTCCAAAGAACGTATGTATTGACACTTGCTTTTGTCTTTGTGTCTTTTGTATATCTGGGATGGACTGATCAAACAACACTTAATACCAACCAACCACTGGGACTTGTACACAATTTATATACAGTACTGTAATTATATAAATATCCTACACCTAATTATAGAAATAGCACCACAAATATGACAAAGGTTGTCACTGCACTTATCGTATTGTAGAAAACCACAGAGCATCCCACAGAACTTGGGCCGGTCATCATAGTGTGCCCACCTCTAGCTAAGTGAACGAATCATTGGCGCACTTCTCTGTCCAACCGCCAGAGTTCCAATAATATTTCTTTTCAAACCATATCCCCAATTTCTTTCGTTTTTGCCTCATTGAGTTCCAAATTGGTTTCCTTCATTTAACACTGATTTGTCCACATATTTTCAATCTATGAATGTACTTGAGACTTTATTTTCTTTCATTGAATTGATGTTTATATTCTCTTAGAGGGGAACAGCCTCACACTGTGACGATGCACTGCGCATGTGCAAAACCAGCAACTTATCTGGCGGAAATTTAAAATGTCTTTCCCAAACAAACCATCACAGTTATCAACGCTAACACATTCTTCCAAAAAGGGACCCCTTCCTTACAACATGAGCTGTGAGAAGGGATAGCTCTAAAGTTTGCTAGCAGGAGTCACCTATTACCAACCTGTGTAAAATAAAAAAAAAGCTCTCCACCTTGTACTTCTATTCTCTTCTTTAGCATTAAAAATTTTTCCAAGTTTATCCTTAACATTCACATTTGCCCAACCACCAGCCTTGCTGTCAAATTCCTTTCTTCTATGTCAGAGAGCTTCCTATTTTCTTAGTAATTTTCTGAATAATTTTCTCCTTATCTTCTCATTTGCTGTCTTTTTTGTTTAAACTTAAATGGAAAAACTTAAGCTTAAACTTGGATTTCACATACCGTGTACACCACCATTTTCTTTACCCTCTCAGTTCTTCACTTTGATTCTATAAAATCAACATCTTTTATCACCTGCTCTTGCCACCTCATTCCACCATTTCTGCATAAAAGCTTCTTTCCATCTTGGTTACCTGCTTTAAAAAAAACACTGTTTTGTGTAGTACCAGCTTGTATGGTTGAATTTTTCAGTACTGTCATTAGTTGTGAACCTTAATGATCATTCCCGCCTCCAGGTTCCAACCTTTGAGAGAGGAAAGCAATTGGGATGACCCTCGCCATCAGCCTTATTTCGGGCTGGATATGCCACAACCCACAGAAGATGAATATCCCTTGGAAGATATCCACAAATCTAATACTGCAGAAGGAGCTTCTAACCCATCTTTCCTCAAAGATTTTGATGAATCTTCATCAAGTAAACCTGTATCAGACTTGTAAGCTTATTTATATACATATTAGACTTGATATAATGAGTATCTCATTACTGTATTTTCCTATTATAGGTATTTATTTAACTTTCAGGATATGACCTGTATGTTCATGTAATTTCCTGTGGCAAGTATTCCATATAGGTATTTCCAAATACATACCTGTAAAATATGTATAAAGCAAGACAATTGTGATAAAGCATGACATTATATATATGGTATATATATATTCTTAGGGGGATATTTTTAATTGTTCTAGGTTATTAATAGTAAGGTATTTTATCTCAATATATTTCTCTGTAATATTTTAAGCATTGTATGTAGATAAAATTGTAGAGTCCAAATTAAACATTTTGCTAGTCCATATTTTATACTTGCCTTTTCTCTAACCTTTTGGAAGCACAATGTTATTATAAAGCCTTCATAACTTATTAACTATGTACCCACAACCAGGAGGGTAGAAAAAGCCTATACTACTCTATCCCTTTGAGATGTATTTTATTGTCTAGATAAGCATACTTGAATTACCCACAACCTAATGGCCATTGGGTGCCATAAGATGGAAGAAACAGGATGATAAAATCATGTTAGGAACTAAATTGTAGTTCATCTCACCCACCTATTTAGGTCATAGTACATGCACAATCCTGGAAAAAGCAAATGACATCACCAGGCATTATGGTATGGTTCCCCATAATCAGGGACAGGAAGCCAGTTATATTGAGGTTTCACCAGGCCAACTACTGCCCTTCCTAAGAAGGAAACCTACAACAATTGCTAAGCTTTCAGGTAACTATTTAGTGCTAGGTGAAAAAGGCTTGTCCTGTCATGGGAATTAAAACCCAGAACATTTTGGATGTGCTTACCCCTGTGCCACAATTTTGCAAAATAAGCCTGTGGGAAAATATGCTACACTTTATTGAGTTTCCTAAGAGATCACCATAGATATAAAAGTACAAATAGGTGATGAAATATCACTACTAATCCCAATAAATGTGTTCCTCAAGATAGTGTGACTTGCCTCACTGTTGCCATCGAGGTGGATGAAGTTCTCACATCTTCACTATGCATTAATGACTGCAATCACCTGTTTAGGCCCTGATGCCAGCTTGGTGCAGAGATATCCAGAAAGAAGTGAATTTCATCAGTTGTTGGGTACAACAAACAATTTACATTCTCATTCCCAAAAAATGGTTGCTATGCAGTTTAATAGGAAAAGGAAATACTAATTCCTACTTACAGCCTCTGAATGCCTTGTGATTCAGTGGTCCTGAAATTGTTTGTTTTTTAGAGGCCCCACCCCCCCTCAACTGAACTGCCTACCTAGTTCAACAACCCGTGTACCATTTTCCATGTATACAAATGATCTCAGCTTTTTCTCTATGGTCATCCTCACATGTGTTTTCTTAGTTTGAACCTTGCCACTGACTTTCTTGGGACTCATGGCATGATATATAAACTAGTTCCCTAAGCTAAGTAAAGGTACAGCCATGCCTTAAAGATGTACTAGTCCTTCGAGACCCAATCTTGCCTATAGAGAGCCAGGACCAAAATCGGGTTCTCTCCATGAGATAATGAGAGTTTGGAAATCAAACTCAGGTTTGAGATTAATGCTTAAATTTGAGAAAAAGCCCACCAGAAGAGCATTGGTGTGAGGAAAACACCTAGAACATAAGGTGCCTGACCACTAGGTGGCATCCTCAGTCACCCGGGACTCCAGCCAGTACAGTATATAGTAACAACAGTACAGGAAACTTAGAACTGTTAATGGCCCAAACTATACTTAATGCTTTCAACTTAGTGGTGTTTGATATCCATGGAACATTAGTTCTGCTGGGAGCAATTTCTTTTGTTACTGTTTCCTTTTTCTTTCACAATTGTCTTTTAAGCTGCTAGAGACAACCCTAGGGAAGAAGAACAAGAAACTCAATGTTTCAAATAACAGATAAGTATTTCATAAGAGGAATAATACAAAGAAAGCAGCAGCAGCAGAGATAAGGATGAGGTGCAGTAAAGGGAAGGAAGTGGAGAGCCCTTATCAATCAGCTCTACAACCCCAGAGGTGAGTGGGAAACTCGTAATCCTTAGTAAAACAACAAAATAAACCTGTGAAGGAGGTCATTCATCTAGAATCAAGACAGATAAAGTACCTTAGAATGACTTTAAAAAGGCCCATAGCCGAGTCATAGATATGCCTGGCAGTGAATACAGAATCTTACAAAAAGGCAAACCATTAGTTTATCTATAGTTTTTTGCCTCTGATTAAATAAATAAACCACAATGCTCTCCAGACTGGCAACATTACAACATACGGGTTCTCCAGCCCTACAATATTTGAGGAGGTACCATTCAAGATTTGTCTATTGACACCCTTTTCAATTATTAATTAATCCTAGTCCAAGTAATTAAATTACAATACTTAAGAAGATCAATATCCTATATAAACTGCGAAGACACTACCTATTTCCTATTTTATTTCCTGTTAATGTAATACAGTGGCCCCTCCATTTATGAATTTAATCCATTTCCAGAGACAATTCATAACCCAAAATTCACAACCCGAAATTAATTTTCCCATAAGAAATAATGTAAATTAAATTAATCTGTTCCACATTCCCCAAAATATTAACTTCAAAATACATTTTATTCCTAATACTCACAAATATTTAGTACTATAGTATATACAAGTTATAGCTTACCTTTATTGATGACTTCTTGGCATATGAAGACAGTGAGGAGGGGGGGTGGGAGGTGTTAGTGTTTGAAAGGAGAGTCCCATTACATTATAACATCAGGCACTGATGACTTCTCTGGGGTACTCTCTCTCTCCTACATTTATTTATTTATTTATTTTATTTATTTATTTATTTATGCATATACAAGAATGTACATAAGGAATGTGAGGATACAAATATGGTAATTACAGTCTTGTAAAGCCACTAGCACGCGCAGCGTTTCGGGCAGGTCCTTAATCTAAGAAAATTTTAAGGAGGTAAATACAGTACTTGCATTTCCATAAATGTTTATAAAAAAAAAATAGTAACTTGATTCAACACTGCTAGCAGGAATTGTAATTTTATAAATATATTCACAGATAGATTTTAACACCACGTTGAGGAAGAATAAAAAAAACTTGTTTCAAAAATAATAATCCAGACCACCTTTCCTACCCTCAAAGCACCCATTAATGAAAGCCCATCATATGCCATTCAAACTGAACAATGCACAAATCACTCCACCTAAAGTAATAATGATGAGGCAAAAATACAAAGCTGCTGACATTGTCATATATCAAGACAAAGACTAACCCTCTATATTGCTGCTAGCAACACATCCTACAATCTAGAGCAGTGTTTCTCAACCAGGATTCCGTGGAGCCCCAAGATAACTATGGGCCCCACAAGAAAATGATAAACAGGCTAATTCTAATCATATACCAATGTATTTGAGTAATTTTTATATATTTTTCTTGTCTAGCCAATATCGCGAGCAAAGACAAAAATAGTCTCCTTTCAGGCGACAGTCAAATCCCGTGTGTGTGCATCTAAAGTACAACCCGGAATTATTTCAACGGTACAACGGCTGAGAAAAGCTAATCTAGAGTATATGACATTAGAAAAGATGGAATATCCTTTAACTTGAGGGTCCTTCAGGACCTTTCACTCATTGTCATCTGGAGTGAAGTATATATTTTCTAATCAGACTAGAAAGTTAATTTCAGAATCCAGTACAATAATATTTGAAGTTGTATTTACAAACTTATGTAAATATACAGTACATGTATTAATTTTTTCTTAAATATGTGCAATAATTTAATGGTATCAACATTGTTTTAGTATTTATTGACCATGTGCTCAATATACCAGAGATAAAAAGCGTCTATTAATAATATGTGGTATATTTAATATTAATATATTAGTCATGAAAGATGGTCTAGCGTAACACACTTCACACTCGAACACCATGCAACAATAACCTATTATAAGACAAGCGTGCTTATGCAAACTGTCACTGTGAAATTTTAAACTTGTACTGAAAATAGAAGTAAAATTATTTTTGGTGTTAGACACAATATTAATAGAATACCTGAAAACTGAGGTGGTATTATAACTGAGCAATATTAATTTTAATACTGTAGTGGGAAGTGGATTTGATGTGAATCAGTCAAGTTATGTAAGCTATAGAAGTTTATTTTTTTTACAAATGCCTTACCCTAAATACAATGATGCAGTAATTTTTATTTATAATGCAAAAGACAATGACACTGCAATATCTTCCCAAAGGTCTATCATTACTTTTGAACACAGGCATTAGTCTTTTAAAATTTAATAAAAATAATCAACAGTTTTAATTAATGTCCTATCCCATTAATTTTTTTACATTTAATTTTGTATATTTTCATACATAGTGGAGCAAAAACATGATGACCAAGCATATTTTGAAATGCTAAATTATCTGGGGTTCAGATTGTAAGTTTCAATTAAGAAAAATTGAGAAAATCCTTGTACATCCTTGAGAAAATATTTAGGATGTGCAATGCGTTCAAAACTCGATGCAGGTCTGCTCCTGACACACGAAATATTGACAACCATGATGAGCTCAAAAGTACCTCAAACATATACTTTTTAAGCTCATCATGGAGAGAGAGAGCGAGAATGAGAGACAGTGAGAGAGAGAGAGAGAGAGAGAGAGAGAGAATGAGAGACAGTGAGAGAGAGAGAGAGAATGAGAGACAGTGAGAGAGAGAGAGAGAGAGAGAGAGAGAGAGAGAGAGAGAGAGAGAGAGAGAGAGAGAGAGAGAGAGAGAGAGAGAGAGAGAGAGAGAGAGAGAGAGTGCACACACTCACACTAGTGTGTGAGTGACTGTGCGCGTGTGCGATGCAAGTTCGGTCTTATCAGACAGCCTCGATATAGTCTCTCACCTATATTAGTCTTGTGGTTTCACAGTACAGTGTTTCTCGATGTTGGACCACTACTGAAGTTGTCGATGTTACATCAATGTTACTAATGTTGGATCAACATTACTGATGGTGGATTGTTGTTGATCTAGAATAAGATAAACAAATATCACTGGTCCAACTAATTTAACTGTGTTTCTAGAATTTGGGGAGGGGGGGTTCCAGATACACTATTATAATATTTTGAAATTGTTGCAAATACTGTATGAGTAATTTTCAGCTACTGTTTCAGAATTCCACATTCCCTATTGATTTTTATTAAGCAAGCATCCATGGCTTAAAAATCATAGATAATAAATATTATGATAAACATAAAACATTATGTACTTGTGTCTTTGTAATGAGCAAGTACATCAAGACAGGAGTGTGGGACATGTGGGCGGAGAAAATAAAGTCTACTTGTATGTCATGCGTTCCTATTCTCTTGGAAAATAGTGTAACTAACTGGTAGAACTGTATCACTGTTAAATGCATAACAGTAGTATGCAACACCATGACTCAAATATGTGTAACATTTATCTACTCTCAAAAACATCTACAAATAATTGTTTTGTATAAATAATTCAAACATATGTTAATTTCGATACAATGATCATAACTAAGTTTAGGGTTATGACAACAATAATAAGAAAAGGAATTAAATAGCAAATATCCAGAAGATGAGGCACTGAAAGACTGAACGAGTAAGAACCAAGGTTCTTGGAAAACGAGGCTTTTTGGCTGATGTGTCGACTAAGTTGGGTGCTGTTGCACTGAGGTTGCACTATTCTCAACTGCTAACTTACACTGTTTGAACAAGAGCGAACCTCAAGGATATGCTGAAGTGTCTGGGGTAAGAGATGCCACTGCTCTTGAAGCTTCTCTCTGTGCTTACCAACAACCTCAATACCCAATCTGAAATATTAATTTATTGTAATTTCCTGAATAAATAACCTTGCATGCTTAGTACTGTACAGTATAACCTTGAATATACTGTACAGTACAAATAACTGAAGTATATAAATTGCTGTCTCGAATACCACATAAGATGTTTCACGTGTGCTCTACATAATGAGATTTGTGATAAATAACCAAGTGTCTATTATAATGAAATGACCTTTTCTTTTGGGTTACAACAGATTCCTGGAGGCTGTGAAGCACTAAGGAATCGAACCTGGGCTTTGAGGCCAACTCGAGCCTATCAGGAACCAAGACCAGACTGTGCTCCTCTCTGAATCATGGGGGGAGCTTGTGAGTCACAAACTCAAAACCTAGAAAAACCCACCAGAAAGTATAAGCACTTCAAAAGAAGCAACCATGATGAAACCTAAGCAATATAGCCAGGAAGGGGACAACCCAAAGCCTCTGAATGTAGAGGGGAGGGTTCCAAATAGCCACCAAGGACCCACCAGAAAGATATATTTCATTACACTAAAGGCTGGTTTTCTGGGAGGGCTTCTACTGATGGCTTCTACTGATGGCTCCTTGGTGCTATCTCACCACAAAGAAGAAACAAAAGGTATACTCACCCGGAAAAAGAGAACCACAAAAGTAAACCTCGGGAAAGGGGGAGTTAGCGATGAGTAAATCACCTCAAAGCCTCGTGCAGACTAAGAATGTTTACTAAGCAATGAGCCATCAGCACTTATTTGACCACCAAACCCGACCCCAAATACCTGCCCAAGCCTCTCCTGTAAGAGTACTAGTACAATAATTAAATTGTGATCATATTGACTTGCACTCGTGGTGCTTAATTGCAACCCAGTGAGACTGGTTGATACCTGGTTGATGGGGTTCTGGGAGTTCTTCTACTCCCCAAGCCCGGCCCAGGCCAGGCTTGACTTGTGAGAGTTTGGTTCACTAGGCTGTTGCTTGGAGCGGCCCGCAGGCCCACATACCCACCACAGCCCGGTTGGTTCGGCACTCCTTGGAGGAATAAATCTAGTTTCCTCTTGAAGATTGGTGGATGGTCTTTACTACCATCAAGTTGTCAAGTTGGTTGGTGAGCCCACTGGAGCGAGATGCCACTCTTTGCGGGACCAAAGAGCCAGAGCTCAACCCTCCACAAGTACAACTAGGCGAGTACACAGAGTGCCAGTCTGGACCACTCCCATGTGTTGGAACAATCATTCTCAAACATGACAGTATGTTATGGGGCATGTAATTTAATGCCCCGAGCATCAGTTTTGAGCTCAAAATTGTTGCATATGGCAGTGGTGTTAGGCAGCCATTATTGTTGAAGTGGTCATTATGCCACTAACCTGGAAAAAGTGTGTACAGTAAGGCACAAACTAGCAAGAAGGCTACTGCCCGAGAGCCCATTGGGAAAGAGGCAGATTAGCCAGCACAGAAGGCCAGTAATGAGACAAGTTACACACCCTTGGGTGGCAAGATCTCTTTTGACAGAGGCAACAGAAATGACCATTGAAATTGAAAACAATAAAAGATCCTAGAAATATGCAAGCAGCAAAATTTGGTTCTCAAAACGGTGAGAGATCCATCAAGAACCAACTAGCAAACATAATCAAGGTAAACAAAGCTTATAAATGCAAGGGAAACTGGTTGCCTTGGCTGCTAAACAAATTAGTAGATGTGACAGGTACAAGAGAGCACTATCAGTGGACACACACCTATCGGCAACAATGAAACTTCTAAGAATAGCCACCATTGTATGTCTCAAGAAACAGCATACATATATGGATCCCAGCAAAGGTCAGTGGACCAAGGCAAGTGAGGTAGGTAGTGGGCAAGGAACAGATGCACAGGATCACCATCTGGTGGTGGCCAGCTGAGTTAGGCCAGAGTTGTTCACTTGAAGCAAATTATTGTTTACCTTGGTTTCATATTTTCAGTTCTTTTTACTCTGGTTTAATATTTTCAGTTCTTTCTTTCAGAAAGTAGTTTGCTATATTTTGCCTGACTTTCTGGTCGGTTTCCCTCAGTTCTGGGTAAACTCAGATTCTTAAACGCAAGGCTACCCTTGCTTCAATAGAGAAGCACCAGATTCCAGCCCTAGCTCCTGGAAGATCAACATTGGTCTCAAGAGACCTGTCCTTAGGCATAGCAATACTAGTGTCTAAGGACTGTAATCTGGTCCCCAAAAAATAAATTTCCATAAAATTTAGTACGATTATATCAAACATTACAAATATCTAAAATACCTCAGCTAATTAATGACAAGTGTTTTAAACAGACATGTTGTGTGGATAAGTTGTGTGACTTACAAGTTAAAGGAGAATTTTAAATATGTGCTTTTACCTTGATGTGGTTCTAAGGATTAATATCCTGTGTCCCAGTCTCTGTATTGAATAGTCAAGATAAATATAAAATTCAGAAACTTACCTTTGCAGACTGGGTGGACTAAATCTTAATACCAATAAATCTTCAGCATGGTCCTGAAAAAGAATTAATTCCTGTTTACTGTTTATTACATACAAAGACAATACTGTAAACTATTGAAATATTTTCTGGAGAAGTAGCAATGGACAGCATATGATCACTTTGTTAAGAGGTAATTACTAATACTATTTGTTATTTATTATGTGGCTGAGTACTGCTGTGGACTGTGTAAGTGATGCTTCTTGTTCTCTCTTGTTCTCTCTTAAGTGAGCTCAAGAAATCATTATGAAAGGTTTGTTGGCAATGGATATCTTTACAATTCTTTGCTTATGTTAATAATACCAAATATAAAAATGAGTTTATTAAAAATGTTATTTTAACCTCAGAAATTTGAAAAAGTTGTTCCCTATGAAGTGAGTTGTTTTATGAATAAATCCTATAGATTTGTCGAGAATTTTCTTTTTTTTTAATTAGAAAGCCAAATTTTTGCTAAGACTAATTTCTTCCTTGAACATAAAAAATTGAGCATTTTATTAGATTCAGTGGTTGCCTGTGCATCAGCCTCTGGTACCAATACCAGGCCTGCCAGATATCAAGAACACAATCTGGTGTACTTCAACCCAGCCTCCCGTTTAGATACTGTAGTACCTACAGTATTGTGATGATCGTCAATAGTCACGAATTTGTACCTACTTGGCTTTTAGATAGTAGTATACGGACTAGTAAGGAATTCTCTTAAAATACAGTAAATGAAGCTGAAAAACTAACTTAAATATTCCTAGGCCTAATATAGCACACACATGTACTATATCAGGCCTCATATTATGTATTAGGCATAGGAAGGTTAGGTTAGGTTACTTTAGTTTGTCAAAGCAACGTAAGTAAAAGATAGTTTTCTAGTTTGTCCAACTCAATAGTTCAGATTTCTACTTTCTAATTTCGTTGTACACTGTACGTCGTTATATATACTATGGTCCTCATATAAGTACTACCAAAACAGGAGGATGGGCTGTGTACTCAGAGTTAATGGGATAAAGGTCACTTAGAAAATACAGGTGAAGCCAAGTCAACCATGACTCGATAAAAAAAACCCAGCGTTGAATGTAATGAAATGCCATTTTCTGGGTGAGCCCCGGAGGCTTCCTGGAGCTCTCGGACTGATATATACACTATTAGTCTGGGGCATCAGTCAATGAGTTCAGCCTACTGAGGACCAGAGCTGGAACCTGGCCCCCTCAGAGGCACAGGGAGCATGGGCTAAGGAGACCCTAGTATTTGGGGGTATTCCTCATCTGCCATCGACTGGGGTTAGGCACCTAGAAGGGTAGGCATCTGAAAATAAACCCCACATGGTAGGAAATTGCAAAAACCCAAGACCGAACAGAGAAACACAACTCCCCAAGGGAAAACAAAGGAAACAAGCAAACAAGAAATCGTTATTCACCGCCGCCGTGCTGTTTGTCAGTGCAGCTCCCCGGGAGAGGAAGGAGGCATGCCGGACCTACGTGCTGGCTACTCACACCTTAGTTCGGAGGCCAAAATTGAAACCGCCGACCGGAGGAAGGGAGGGTGCCAGGGAGCCTCCAGGGCTCACCCAGAAAATAGCATTTCATTACTGTACATTCAAAGCTGGTTTTCTGTGGGGACCCCTTCAGCTCCCTGGAGCTACATAACCAAAGATAAGTAAAAAGAGGGACTTACCCGAGAAAAGGCTGCACTGCGAGGATCAGAAATAATTTACAGCAGACAAGCAGACTGGCTGGGCGCCCACACCAACTAGTCATTGAGGTAGGCCAAGAGGGTGGCAATGAAAACAAGAAACATGCCGCCCCACTATGAACCCTAACCAGTCCCTTAACCCATGATGAAGCAGGACGTGCCAATACGCATCCCTGAGAGCCATCCAACAACCCGTCAGAAGAAGCCAGATCTGGAATAGAGAGGTCATCCAAAAGGAGGGACAAGGAATCCACGGGTTCAGACGGGACAAGTCCAGAAGAACCAAAGATCCGCACAGTCCCATGATGGCACCGGAACAAGCGGGAAACCCACCTGAGGGACGAGGTTGTTTTCACCACACCCAGGCACACCCACTCCAAGATGACCCAAAGGGGTGCAGGGGGGTACCCCGCCCCGAGTCTCTGGGAGGAGGAGCCACCCAATGCCACCACAGGCCAGAAGACATGACCCAAAATGCCCACAAATCGTAGGACCAAGCGTAGGCAAACAGAGTTAACCTCACCCTATCACCCTGTCAACAGGGCGATCCGCATAGGGCTGGCGCCCCATCCGAGAAGATGACCAGCGAGCAGAGCGAGCACTGCGTCCACCACGGAAAGAGGGGCCCCAGAGGCGGCACCAGCACAGAAGCAGGCAACTAAGGCCCACTTCAACTAGCAGAAGCTGGAGCCCCGGCATGACCACCAAAACCTGTGCCAAGCTCAAAGAAGAAAAGCCATCTGCAAGTCAGGAAGACCCAGGAACCCCTTAACGCACCCAGAATGGGGACGAGGACCTGAACACAAGAGGCCGGGACAGGAGGGGCAAATTTCGGGTCGCACAGGAGGAAAACACCAAGGGCCTCCTGAACTTCCACAGGGAAAACCCAAGTGGAAGAAAATCCTCTGGAACACAACTGAAGAACCCAAAGGAACTTTGAAACAAATCCAGGAGAAGCCCAAACCAGCACATTTCCCGGCGAAAAACGCACCACGGAAAGGAAAGGCCAGACACAGATGGTGATCAAAGGCCAGCTCTGGTGGTGATCAACCACATCAGTTAGTAGAGTAACCATGTGGTAACAATTATATGAAGTGTTTACATGAGGGTATAATTTTCCTTCAAGCAGTTGCCTGTTTTGTTGTACCTAACCTTTCAAGTGCCTTTTTTGGGGGGTTTGAGTACATCTTAGATTCCCAGGCTCCCTCACCTCACACAGTCAGGGTCAAGGTAAGTCTGGCATTTTGTCTCAGAACCATGGTGGGTGCAATTTTCATAGGCTCAGGAAACTACTGAGGGAGCCCTCCTAGAAACACACACATACACACACACACTGTATATAGCATACAAGCAGTGGCAAAAATATCCCAAAAGCCTTGTGGCTTCATCAATTTTAAAAATATTTACAATTAGCATCGCCATAGTGATGTAGTATGGCTGAGTGAGTCCTGAAAGAATGTAGAGTTCCCCAGGAGGTACAACTGCTGCAGTATGCCAGCACCTGGGTACACCATGGTCATAAGCTAGGGGCACCTCTCGCCAAGTTATGCTATAAAGGGCTTGGAAGGGTTCATCGACCTCTACCTTCAGCAACCAGCAATCATCTGTGTAGCCACAGGTAATACCTAATATTAGGAAATGGCAACTTCTAAACTTTCATTACAAATGAGTTATCTATAAGTCACAAAACTATCTTCATTTAAATTAATTCTTCAATTTAAGAAATTTTAAGTACAGCAGCAAAATCTACTCAGCTGTGTTGTAGCACATAAAGAAGAGATGATGATCTTGTTAAATTAATTACAGTATTATGAATAGGTATACAGATAGGTAGAAGAATGTACGTAAAATAATTAACCAAATATGAATAAAATCCTAATGTATAAAATTATACATTTTCTGATATAGTAAACAATTTCCTCTATATGGATCAGTTTCAATAAGAATAATTTGAGAGATGCCAAATCTTGCTATTTTGGTAGATAGCCTAAAATTTCCCATCAGTGATGTAGATGAGAGTAAACATTATTTGCTGTTCCTTCTTGAAGTGTAACAGGTATTGTAAAATGTTTGATGCGAGAAAGTAATCCAGAAAGCATACAACACCTGAAAACCCCACACCAACTTACACTAAGCAAACTATGCCACATCATACAGTACTTTACAAATTATGGTGCTAACTTTCAAGCCATTTAGGATAAAAAAAACACTTGTGTATATATGAAATATATGTAAGGAATTTACATCAAGTCTTTTGCACTCTCCTGATTGCTTTGTCAAGGTCTCATTAGACGTTGAGATGCAAGTCTCGTCCTAATCACATACTCGGACCTTGATGCAGCACTCGGGAGAGTGCAAAAGACGGTGTAAATTTTTTACATTATTTCACATATACACAAGTGTGGGCTTTTATCCTGTTATTATGTCTGCGAGAACACATTACCATTACAGTATTAACTTCAAGCTATTGTTACGGAAATTTTACACATTCCAAACTTGTGAATAGTGACGGTATATGCAGTCTGGTTTAGCAAAGGGTCAAGAAAAGCATCACCATGTAAAGTCACAAGTCTATTATATCTACATAAAGGTACCCATAAAATAGGAGGCCACAACCTCAAATTACTGAAAAATTGGTATAGAGAAGACCAGTAAGAATGGCAGATGGTGGGTATAGCATGTAAGAGAAGGCAGCGTGTGATAACACAACTAGAAATGTTTAAATTGTTTTCTAAAAGATGAGGCACCTCAAGCATGACTACTACTGCAGTCACAAACAGAAACAGGAAATAATATTTTATCTCAAAGTACAAATGCAAGAGCAACACTGGAGAAGTATGTAGGATCAGTATCTCTCAAATGGTGACTTATTAGACTAAAAAACCAGCACTGAATGCAATGAAACACCCCATTTCTGGCATGTCCCTAGTGGCTCCTTGTTGCTTGCAACCTGAATAACTACCCAATTCAGTCCATGCCAGACTCTTTTCAAGTCATTGTAAGCTTACCAGAGACCAGAAGCCAAAACCTGGCCCCCTCTATAGAGGCACAAGGAGCAGGGAATACGAGATCACACTAATCAAGAAAAGGCCACCAGAAAGATGGGCAAACCAAAACAGACAATCAGCAAGGTAAACATATCCTTGAAAATTTTCATATATATTTATGAAAAAATATATATGGGGGGGCATATTTTGGCCTCTGGTCCAGTAGGCTTACAATGACTTGCAAGGGCCTGGCATATATTGAATTAGGTGGAACTGTTCAGGTAGCTAGGAACAAGAAGCAATCATCAGAGCCCTGCCAGAAAGCATATAACACACTGAACAAAGATTCAGCAATCACAAACAATTTTATTTTGAAAATGCTATGAATTATTTCAAGCAAATTATATATCAAAAACATTAACTTGCTCTTTTCCATGAGAATACAGCATGTATTATTTTCTGTATTAATCATGCACATTATTCAATGGTTAGTACAATGCCATGGTACGGAGTACAATATAAACAATATAGAAAATGCTACAATATATTTAAAGTACATACTGTATCTTGAAACCAAGTATCCAAGCAATCCCACTGGTACTTACCTCTCTGCACTCAAAGAATGACAAGAGAGTAACATACTTTTGGTTGTGAATAGTCCAGAAGATTGTTTTTAATTCCTCCATAGAATGTCACTTCTCCAGGGAATCCAACAGCTGAAGTATGCCACAGTACAGGCCCTGCGTGCACATTGTGTGACTGCTGCCATTTTCCATTGTTAACATCTAGCACCCAGATGTCCTCTGTGCCAGAAAGTGAAAAACTAGTAATAACAATCAATAATTGAACTATTACACTGATCACAATAATATACTTCTCATAATACAAGTAAAGTATAACTACCAATCTCAGGATATAGTAAAGATAAAAAGATGGGTGTTCTTTCTCAAACTGTTTATTCTTTACCATAGCTGTTCAAAAGAACAATTGATAGTGGAGAACATTTATGTATCTATATCCCTGACATCTTACTTCCTCCTTTGAGCTGGCAATCAGGTGGTGGGCACAGCAGATGTTTCTAGGAAAGACTATTGCAACACAAACCTTTCACTTTTAAGTTCTTTAAACCCTCCAACCACCCACCTTTCTTTCATATATAGTTTAGCTATTCACTACCAACATGCTTGCTATCTACTTCTACCATACGATCTATATTTCTCCCTTGTACACCTTTCTTGTTAAATGATTCTTGGCTAAATGTTTTCCACATACCATTCACATTCTCCATTTATTAACTACTACTGTTTATTTTTTTTTTAATCTAGGTCTATGTGCCTTTTTATCAAATCATGCCAATTCAAATCCAGCAAGCCGAGATATTTATTACAACTGAACAACAATACAAGGAAGCATTGCTACTGCATATCTGAGAAAATCCATCATTATGGTCAGAATAAGGTTTTTATGCCTAAACATGACAGACACAAGAATATATTATTAGAAAATGTTGCCGATAATTGTAAAAACATTTGATAAAACTACAAAATTTTTAAATAAAAATGAAAAAAAAAAAAAAAACAGTTGAATGTAATGAAACACCATTTTCTGGGTGAAACCCAGAGGCTCCATGGAGCTATACCGGACTGTGTATATATTAGTCCGTGGCAACAGTCAATCGATGCAGTTCTTAGCCTACCTGGGACCACGAGCCAGAACCTGGTCCCTCAGAGAGGCACGAGGACAAAACGGACAAGCCAGACCGAAAGAACCCTTGCACCGGAAGAGAGCATGAAGTTCCCCAACCCTACCCCCAGAGGTCAATGCCAACCAGAAAAGAGCTTTAGAAAAACAGTCCTGAACTAAAGAGGCCACCACAAACTGAGGAGGAGAGAGAAAAGAAAGCACCACGGTCCAATGACCAGGACTGCTCAGGCAATGCATGAGCAGACCAGAGGTGAAACAACACCCGAGAAAGCTTACAGAACAGAGCAGAAGTGACATCCACTCTGAATGCAAACCAAAGTTTTCAACTTTGTTTCCTTAGCTTGAATCTGTGTCCTTTTGTTCTTGAAGATGCTGGTTTCAGGAATTCCTGTCAATTTGGTAAATTTCTGTTATTATTTTGTAAGTGGAGATCATATCACCTTTTTTCTCTATTTTCAAGCTTTGCCATATTTAACACCTCTAGCCTCTCCTTGTAAATCTTGTTTTTCCAGTTCTGGAAGCCATTTTATAGCATACCTTTGCACCTTTTCCAGTTTATTGATGTGTTTCTTGAGATATGGGCACCATACAACTTCTGTATATTCCAATTTTGGTCTCAAAATTCACGAATAGTTTTTTAGTATTTAACCATCCATGTAGTTAAAAACAAAGTCTGAAGTTAGAAAGCAATGCATACGTGTCTCACACAATGTTCTTTTTTGTGTTCCTCTGGTGACAGTTTACTATCCAAAACCACCCCTAGATCTTGTTCTCTGTTAGTTCTTTAATTACTTTCCACATAATGTACAAGATGTGTGTGGTCTATTTTCTCTGATTCCACATTTCATAACATGACGTTTATTCACACAGAATTCCATTTGCCATATTTCGCTCTCTTGTTTGTTCATGCATGTGCATTCATGCATGTATATTGGAATTTATATGAATAAACATGATGCCATATGATGGTATCTGTATTCATACCACTTTATGTAGCCTTTATATTCCAAACAAACAAATTTCACATTAAAATTCTTACCTTGATTTCCCTGACTAACATTATTGCACTACATAAAGTAATTGGATATTAAATTTGAGTTAATTTTAACAAGAAAAACACAAACATGCACAATATGTCAACAATATTAGTCACAAAGAACAACATTCATAGAAAAGAGCAAATGCAAAAAATACCTCAATTGTTCAGCACTACACTACATGATAAAATTAAAATTATAAATGCTGATTCCCAGTCTTATAAGAAGTACAGTACAGATGTATCAAGAAATGCTATCTTATTGATAGTTAATAATGTTTTAACTATTCTAACTGTTATTTGCCTACTTAGAACTTGTTGAGATGTATTGAAGCCACCATATATAACTGCCTTATTTTCAGATACAAAATTGAACGTGTGCCAGGAACGACCCTCAGGAGTTTCTTGAACCGCGCTCTCAGTCAAGCTGGAAAGACAAAACCAAAGTAGTTAATAAATGTATGCACCATGACGAAACATATACTCATTATATAATACTAACATACAGTGGTACCTCCGTTTTTTAATTTAATCCATTCCCTGAGACAGTTCGACAACTGATAATTTGAAAACCGAAATGGATTTTTCCATAATTTTACCACCGACTTCCTTGAAACCCATGGCATGATATAAAGCACAAAAACTTTGAAATTCTTCACAAAGAATTCAAGCACGGTCGTCACTAGGCTAGAGACACTGGCAAACTGAAGTGCGCCATGTGCTCGGTCAGCTCATACGTGTAACAACAAATTCGAGCACCGAGGCAAACCTCGAATACAGTGTCAAATTTTTCAAAGAAAAATTGAACTCGAGAACCGAAAAATTTGAAAAGAGGGACATTCGAAAACCGAGGTTCCACTGTTCCAATAGATATTTGTCAATCATGCAAGTGTCTAACGGGGTATCTCGATCCCATTTCCAAAATTATATATCGCCCTCAAGACAAAAGGATCTCTATTAATAATAATAAATACTTCATTAAAGAATTACCTGGACCTTAAATATTTTAGGATCCCAGTAGTGCAGTTAGGTTCATTCTCGACTTGCAATCGAGAATTCCGGGCTCGAATCCCGGGAGGGACAGAAATGGTTGGGCGTATTTCTTATCACCTATGCCCCTGTTCACATTGCGGTAAGTAGATACCCAGGAGTTAGTCAACTTATTGTGGGGTTGCATCCTGGGGAGGGGGTGTTAGTAACTCAACTTAGGGGAGGGGGGAACCTCGATAGAAGCTTGTGTACAAATACACTCTGGCTGCCTGTTCCCCGACAAAATGAATTATGAGGCACTACTTTATTTATATACTGCATCTTCAAAGCTTAAGTACAGTTTTAACAGTATCAAACATACTGTATTACCAGGAAGGTCCAGTACTGCTCTCGTTATTCTATACAGTATAGTAAACCTAAGTATGTAGTTTCAGGATTATTCGAGAGAATGGCCAGGATCATTTTACCATTTATTTATTGCCTACACCCATCCTGGAATGATATTAACATCTGTGTATCCTCACATCTCTCCCTGGTTCCCTGTCCAGTATCTCAGGAGAGTGGCAGCTTTATATGGGTATTATTTATGGGTATTATATACAGTAATAATTAAATTAATACTTCTATCTCCCTCTTTCCCCCCCCCCCTCCCTCTCTCTCCAGTTGTTTACACAGAGGTCAACCTGAGCATTTACATTGATGGGTTATATTTATGACAGCCTAGTGGTATTACAAAAGTGACATTACAAATAGAGGTATTACAGGACAGATAAATGGATAGATGGAGGGAGGGAGAGATAGAGGGACGAATGGTAAACAGAGACACAGACATGGGCAATGCTGGGACTCCCCTAGTATATATATTGGTATATGTCCATCTCCAGGCATGGTAGGTTTTTCATCTGGTCTTGGGTCTGAAATGTCCAGAAAATACATAGTCTCCTGAATGTCTAACCTATGCTTCAAACAATTCAGTAATCTAAATCTATTATTATTCCTGTTAATTTGCTCCATTATCAATACAATAACTATCTGCAAACCAGCATGAAATTTACCAAGGTCTTTTCTATTACTTTTAACAACAAAAGTTCTATTTAAACCATAAGTGTGCTACCGTCACTCAAAGTATTAACTATGTAACAAAAGACCAACCTCAACAAGAAATTCCCTTCTCAGATTATGCAAACAATAATACAGTTTAAAATATAATAAGGCTGAGGTAATAAAAAAAATTAAAAATGTACAGTACTTCATTAATGAAATATGAAAATACAACTTACTTGCCACTCCATATCATATTGGTAAGATCCAAGCAATGTAAATCATTCATTCTAGCTTCTTTAAACCGACCTCCAAATATGAACACCTTGTCATCAGTTACATCTGCTGTGTGTGCAGCTCGAGGAGACGGCTTGGGACCTTGCGTCTCAGGCCACACCCATTTATTATTTTCTGAAAGTGAAGAACTGTATATTACTCGTGTTGTATTTCTTACTGCATCATAGAATATATAAATGCTAATTAATATTTTAAAAACTTAGTCCACAGATAAAAAAAAAAGCATTGAATGTAATGAAATGCCTCTTTCTGGAAGGGTCTCAGTGGCTCCCTGAAGCTATCCCACAGAGATGATTCCCCCACTGATTCACATCAGCCATAGGAGTCCTGTATGATTTACTGGGGACTAAAGCTAGAACCAGGCACCCCTTCACAGAGGTACAGGGAGCAAGGCTGGGAGTCCAACCAGCCAGTCGTGTGGAAAGAGCAGACACAAACTTTTCTGCACTGCACTTTCATTGGCCGATACACTCGCCATAACTTATAAAAACTGTGAATCAATGATATTCATTGAAATATTTGCATGTAAAATGTGTGTTGTGTAATTGTAAGACCGGGACTCTTATAAATATTGATACTGTATGTATAAATACAGGGTGTGCATATAGTGATGTGCATATATCTGTTCATATGCAAGTTTCACAATACTGTATATGATACATTAAAACCACTAGTGATGTCCCACTATCATTTGAGTATGGAAATAAAGGGAGGAAAAATAATTGAAATGGAGTGAGAAATTGCTGTGCAGCACCTCGCACCAATCACTTGTCACCATGTAAACACAGCCAGCGAGTCCACCCACCAGCAACTAAAACTAGCCAGCTTTACCACTTCACCACAGTTAAACCCCCGAGACAAATAATTTTAAGATATCTGTGCTTCCTGGATGCTAATTACCAATATCATGAGAACAAATAACTTTTGGAGTGTGTTTTTGTGCATATGAGAAACAATGCACTCTTATCCCATACTGTTTGAGGGTTAATCAGCCTGAAAATGACAAAAATTAGTGCAATTCAAAAACAGTAAAAATATTACTTACCTATATCATAATATACCAGTTGATCTATCCAGCCACTTGGGAAAATATTGTCACGTACAAAAGTGACCTTCACGCCAGACATTGAGTGTAATTCTCTTGCTGGGCCAAAACCTCCAAACACATAGAACCTATAAATGAGAAAAATTTAAGAAAATACTGTATAAAATTAATAGAGTAATCTTGAAGAATGTTTAAAATTTTCATATATGCTATCATTAATCTACATTTATTAATGCAGAAAACACTTTATACTGCAGTATATCTATGAATAACATTAGTTTTCAGAGAGTCATAATTCCAACAGAGTGAAGTATGAAGATGAAATTGGAGTCAATATTTCAAACTAAGATACTGTATGTGCAATCTTTACGAGATGAAGAGGAGCAACTTGGAAATATAAACGAGTACAGGAAATGTAAAGAAATATAGGGCAACCTTATCAGGGACTGGGGACCACTGCACCTCACTTGACCCGGGACCACTGCACCTCACTTGGCCAGGGACTATTGAAACCTACTTGTCCAGGGACTACTGTGGTGTGCTCAGACCATAAGAGGAGAGGAAGGTGAATGAGAGATAGGAATGAAGGAGAGGAAGAGGAATACAGGAGAACTCGCCAGAAAAGACCCCCACCCTCCAGGGCAGGAGCTGAATCAGTAATGCCCACCTAGCGAGTGAACTAACTATTTCACTGGATGGTTAATCTTGGGTGTCTTGTTCTATGTTTTGTTTACTTTTATTTGTTGATTGTCTATATTGCCTCGCTCATCTTTCCAACATTCCCCAAAATTATTTTACTAAATTTGTGTTTATCATACCGTACCTATTTTTGAAGACCCAGCAGGCAGCCTTGTCACAGGGAAATGGTGGTATACCCTCAGGAAACAGCAACTCCCAAGTTAATGAAGGTAGGTGAAGTCGCCACAAGGAATTGGAACTATTTTCATACTCGTCTGATGTATTATTAGTCCAGCCTGCGTGGAAAAAGAATACCGAATGAAAGGAAACAATTCTAAGTAACTCTTAAATGCTTCCTAAGCCAGAGGACTCAATTCACTCAGACTCTAAATGACCTGTTTTCCCACCAAGATAAGTAACTTTTCAATTTATCAACTGCTGACGAAATTGTCACACATTTGGGGAAGAGGAGTGTACCATGATCCCTCACTGTGCGAGTAGTCGCTATATAAGCAACAAATACTTACAAAAATACAAGTAACCACAAAACAATATTGCTTATATACCCCCCCCCCTCAAGCAGTTACTGGTACAGTATTACCAAGTTACTCATTATTGCTCTGCAAACTTTAAGTTAGTACCTAAACACATTCCAGAATGCTATAGGTTCTGTCCATGGAGGACAGAAGTAAATGTATACAGTATATGCTAGTTAGCATTATAAATGTATGGCCACGTCTGTGATAGAAAGTAATACTGCAATAAATTAACAACAATCATATATAATAATAATTATAAAATATTTGTTTATTGCTGCTGCTATGGTGCTATGCTGCTTCTGCTGCTATTACTATGCTGCTATGATGATGCTGATGCTATCATGTTGCTGCTATGCTGCTGCAAAGTTATGCTACCATGATGCTGCTCTGATGCTATTACTGCTATGATGCTGCTGCTGCTGCTAATGATGATGATGATGATGATGATGAGAAAATCCGTAGGATCCATGATGAGGGTTCAAACCTATGCGGTGGGTGTTCCCCACACACACACACACTAGTGACTAGACCACGATCCTCATTACGGCTCCTTGGATTTTCTCATTGATGCAGTCACGTTAGTGTGATTACTCTGTGTAATAATAATAATAAAATAGGGGATAGGTTAGGCTTGGAGCTAACCATGTGGGTGACTAGGAGAGCCACCACGGGAGATCCTCACAGAAACAGAGGGGTAATTAAAATGCAAACTCTAAGAACACCCCCCCCATCTTGAGGTTACCTCGAGATGATTTCGGGGCTTAGTGTCCCCGCGACCCGGTCCTCGACCAGGCCTCCACCCCCAGGAAACAACCCGTGACAGCTGACTAACTCCCAGGTACCTATTTACTGCTAGGTAACAGGGGCATCAGGGTAAAAGAAACTCTGCCCATTGTTTCTCGCCGGCGCCCGGGATCGAACCCGGGACCACAGGATCAAATGTCCAGTGTTCTGTCCACTCAGCCACTGGCTCCCTTTCATTATCATCATCCCAAGGAATGCTACACCACTTATCTAGAAAGCAGATGAGGTACCAGGTATGCAAGACAGGGTGTTGGGTGATCCGAGCTGTCACCTGGTGGTGCACTGTATGGTGATGCGATGTTTGTTGACCATCGGCAAAATTCTGTTTACTATACATGATTTTCTTTTAATTCTCTTGTGGTTTGCTTTGCTTCTCCTATGGGTAGTTTTCTGTTCTGGGTCGATCTCTGACTTCCATGCTTCCCTTGTCTCTGTGGGCAAATCGCTTTCTAATACAACAGAAAGCTACTGAAGGGCCAGCCCAGAAATCTACCTTAAAATACAACATAACAGATGAATGGCCTACCTCCAAAAAGATACATGTGCTGATGGTGAACTGCCGCACATGATCCCGAGAGCTGTAGTGGAATATGCCCATTACTCATGCGACGGGTCCTGAATATATGTAAATAAAATTAAAGTATTTAAAACAATCTTGTATCATAATTTTTAATAGAAGACAGTAAATATTAAAAATAGTTCTCCGAATGTATATCTAAAAAATCTATAACAGAAGCAATAGAAAATAATTTTTAATTATAATACTATCTCAATCCAGGCCTCTCTGAAGAGGAAAAATGGTGATTTCCCTGTACAGTAGCTAGCCACACTGAGATAGCTTCTCACGTAAGTTACACAAACCCTAGGAGTCTTACCCGAGTCCAGAGGCCAAAACCTGGTCCCCCACTACACAGAAGTGCAAGGAGCAGGGGATTCATGATCAACCTTCTCGAAGAAACAAACACCCAGAATAGAAGCGAAGCAAAATAGGCAACTACAAGGTTCCCAAAAAGTAAACAAAAATGCATTAAATGATCCCCCTCCTCCAATAGTTAAGTCATAACCCATCCCACCCCCTCCCCCTAGTTACAGCTGACAACTGCCAGGTGGTAGTAGAACCATGAGACCTGCCAGCTCCCCCATGTTAACAATCTACAGTTTTTTGTCTGATGTCAGCTCCTGCTGACCACTACTTGAGTCACCAGCTCTACAGGTCCCAGATATTTTACACAAGTGTTGGCCATCCTTAGGACTGTCCTGTGAGTGGCCCATTAGCTTGTGTATTGTTTCAGTGTTTAGTGTTTGCATCATGTGCATGTGTTTACAAGCCTCACGTATTGTGTGGACTTTGGAAACTGTTTATTGCTGCATGTGCTTAGGAATGCCCTTTCCGAGGCACTCATTGATATTGCCCCCTCCCCTGTCATGACAAAGTTGTTTCCCTGGTGGGTTTGGATGTTTATTCAATAGAAGTTGGCCTTCTGTGGAGGGTGCAGTAGGTGATATGCCGACTCACATGAACCTGGTGTGACATAATATTCATCTACAGGGCTATCTAGTTGGTTATCACCAGGGAGCCACCAAGGGGGCCCTCCCAGAAAACAGGCTGATATCACCGATACTGATGAATTGATACACCACTAATTATTTATAATAATCAATGTCAAGCTTAAATTGCAAATCTTAGCATTAAACTTACATACCATGTATTGAGCAGAGGATCATACATAAAAACATCTATGGCACTATGATATAAGCACTTGCTGGGTGTCATAAGGGTGTAGGATTCAGAGTGAGGCAGCTCCTGAAAAAATAATAAAATTCCTTAGAAAATTTAAATGTTTGTTAGTTTTTGTGCTCATTAAAGCAATTTAACTAGAGCAACTATTTTTGCAAACTTGAGATCAATACTATAATATCTTTAGTTCAAATCTAGTGGTTTGAAGCTTTAAACATATAAATTTTACAGCATATTTAAATATATTCATCAAAATATCAAGGGCTGAATGTAATTAAAAGCCCTTTCCTAGTACAGTAGTCCTCTGTTGCTTCCTGGTGCTTAAGCACTGGTAAAGTTAACCCTCAGGATCGTGCTACACTGGAAAATTAACAGAAAGCGATCAAAAAAACACAAACCACAGTTTAAAAGAAAAAAAGAAGAAAGCAAAGAAAATGACAGTTTGCTGCATGTAAACAACCATCTCCCAATTCACACAACTACCACCAGATAGTGACCCAGAACATCCAGGGTCCCGACCAACATCCTACCACACTGATAAACCACCAGTATGCAACTCTTAAAAAAAAAATGCCATGGGGATGAAAGTGCAGGGACAGGTAACAGCTGAAAGCCTACCAAAAAACCTGCGTCGATTGTAATAAAGTGCCATTTTTTTTTGGGTAAGCCCCAGAGGCTCCCTGAAGTTTTCCGAACTGATACAGTGCTTTTGAACAGAGGCGTACAGTTAAGGAGTTATGCCTAGTCAATCCTCCCCGGCCAGGATACGAACCCAGGCCAAATCGCTGGTGCAGCGTGAGGCGAGTGTCGTACCACTGCCATGGGGACTGCAAACATTTCAACAAGTTGTTTTATACCTGTGGATGGAACACACACTAGGATATGTACATTATAAGGTAAAGCCACACACCATTTACAAGTTTCCACCTACTATTTATTTAAGCAGCTATGTTTATTGGATGAATACCAGTCATTTCGTACCCAGGCTGTATTAACTAGCTTGAGAATGGGCTGCAAAATTAATTGGATTTAGAAACTTACCTAACCTTACTCAATAGCCTGTGTTAGGCTTTTATGAGTATTTTAAGTTTAAAAGGAAGTTAGAAATGAGTAGACTTTACCTGAAACAGTACATACGCCTCAAATGAAGCAGTTACGCTCAAGGTTAATTTAATTTGCATTCGTAAGAACGAGGTCAGAGGTGCAACGCAAGAGTTTGGTTAGGCAAAAACCATGGACATTTTTCTCACCCAAGAGAGTAAACCTATCACTAATTATACCTTAATTATACCCATCACACACACACACACACAGTACCGTACAGTGCCTCAGTGAAAGTGCTCACCATGTAGCCGCCCCATACGAATAAGCGATTATCATAAGCCACCATAACATGGCCAGCTCTCCGGTGAATAAACTGATATTCTTCTGGTTCCTGACGAGGCATTGTATTACTTGTAGAGTGATCTGTGACCAGCACACCTGCACGCCCACACCAGCCCCGTGTGCAGCTGTGTGTACCACCTCCGGCACCCACACTGGTCACTTGGTACACACCACGGATCGAACACACATATTTTCACCATTTCGGACACAAAATTTATACGTTTTGTATACTTTATTATATATATATATATATATATATATATATATATATATATATATATATATATATATATATATATATATATATATATATATATATATATATACATACATATATATACAAAAAGGTACATTGGAATTGTGAGGATACTCAGCATAGTAATTACTTTCTTGTAAAGCCACTAGTACTCGCAGCGTTTCGGGCAGAATTTATATTTTATTTTATTTTATTTATGCATATACAAGAATGTACATAAGGAATGTGAGGATACAAATATGGTAATTACAGTCTTGTAAAGCCACTAGCACGCGCAGCGTTTCGGGCAGGTCCTTAATCTAAGAAAATTTTAAGGAGGTAAATACTTGCAAAATTATAGACAAAAAATGATAACAGATTACATGAAATGAAAAAAAAGATGAGAGAAAATTGTAGGTACAGTATATTAAAGCACATAGGTAGCTAAGATTGATTGCAATGACAGCTTGAATGGTAGTTGGCAAAAAAAAATTGGTAGGCATAATACAGCAGAAACAATATAAGATTGGTTGCAATGACAGCTTGAATGGTAGTTGACAAAAATTGGTAGTCACAATACAGCATATGGCTAGCACATAAAAGAAGACAGCAATGAACACAATGATAAGGTTGTTTGAAATTACATAAAAATTAGGAGATTGGGTAACACTAGGTACAGAGCAAATTTAAAGCTCAGTGTAGGAAAACTAAGAAGATGAAGTTAGGTACTTTTTGGTTTTGCTTTTAAATAAGGCAAATGTTCTACAGTTTTTCAATTCACTAGGGAGTGAGTTCCATAAACTAGGTCCCTTAATTTGCATAGAGTGTTTACACAGATTAAGTTTGACCCTGGGGATATATGATTATACTTATATGATTGGTCAATATTAAAAACCAAATATAATGCTATTAACAGTTAAAATCTTCTACTTAACAGGCATATAGTTATTAAATTAAGTAGCGTTATGTAAAAATACAAAAATGTAAAAAAAAAGATTATGCAAAAATGTAAAAATACCGATACTATGTTCTCTTACAAACCCATTGCACCTTGTAAATAAATAAATTAATAAATGAGAATAGCAGGGGACACAAGCCAGTGCATATGTACAGAATGTACGAAAGGATTCATGTATACAAAATTGTCGGTGAACGAAGTTTGTTTTGTACACCGAACCAATGTTATTCTGAACAGTTTGGACGAATCGTCCAATCCCCTCCCCCGCCGCTTCTCTCACAGAGAACGAATAACTGCACACTTTCATGGCTAACTCATCAAATAATAATTTTACCCAATTTTTTTCTTCTTTCATTTTAGTATAATCAGACCACACACTAGAAGTTGAAGGGACGACGACGTTTCGGTCCGTCCTGGACCATTCTCAAGTCGATTGTGAATGGTCCAGGACCATTCAAGAGAATGGTCCAGGACGGACCGAAACGTCGTCGTCCCTTCAACTTCTAGTGTGTGGTCTGGTCAACATTATTTTTATTTATTTATATACAAGAAGGTACATGGGTTAGAGAGAATACATAGCATAGTATTTACAATCTTGTAAAGCCACTAGTACGCGCAGCGCTTCGGGCAGGTCCTTAATCTAACAGATAATTTAAAAGGGAAAAAAAGATAAAAAGGGACTGGTGGTTAATGAAAACAAAACTAAGTTTGAATGTAGAAGTCGGAGGCCCATTATACTGAAAATAAACGGTAAAAATATAGAGAGAGTTAATATATATAAATATTTAGGCATATATGTTGGATATACCCATGAGAGTTTGGAAGCTGAGATGAACAGACTGTTGGGTCAATGTCGGAAGAGATTACAACCTCTGAAGGCCTTGGCATGCTGTGGAAAGGGAGTGGGAGTCCCTGTGCTACGAATGATATACTTGAGTACTGTAAGATCTCTTATTGATTATGCTGCACCTGTCATTTCTTGTTTTGGTAAAGGTAGGATGGGCAAGTTGGAGAAGGTACAAAATGAAGCCATGAGAATTATCTTAGGAGGCCCAAGAAATGCTATGATTGAGATAATGAGGATGGAGTTGAATCTGCAGAGTATTGGGGGATAGAATTTCAGAGATAAATGTAGCCTCTGCCATTAGATTAATGAGAGGTGGGGGAGCTAATGAATTAATCCTCTCGGTTCAAAAGGTGGGAAGTAGTGAACAGTGTATGATGAAGAGAGTATATATGAATAACTTATGTTCTAATGTTATAAAGTATGATGTTATTACAGAGTGTATTGCTGTGCCCAAGAGAAAATTCACACGCCCATGGGAGGATTGTAACGTAGATGTAGTACTTACTCCCTTGCAAAAGAAAAAAAAGTATGTATGAAATAGGAGAGCTGAGGGGCAACATATGATTATATAATTAGAAAACTGCCTACAGAAAACACTCTACATGTATATTGTTATGGGTCAGTAGCTAGGGATGGGAAGGCAGGATGTGGAGTCTTGATCAGGGAGTACACTGACATCGGCACTGTAGATACTGTTATTGGACGCCGCTTAACTGACAATGTCTCTTCAACGCAGGCTGAACTCCAAGGAGTATTAGCAGGATTACAGGATTACAGGAAGTAGTCAAATGTGGTAAAAATGCTTGCTTCTTTATTGACAGCAGAGGAGCGTTAGAGTCTTTAAATAGCAGACGCCCAGTATATCAGAATATTGTGATAGAGTGTAGAGAGAATGTTAAGAAATTAGAAAAAACTGGGTATAAAGTAAGATTCATGTGGATCCCTTCACATGTGGGAATACTGTTGAATGAGGTAGTTGATGACATAGCGAAGAGTGCCACTGAAAAATCTCTTGTTGATATTGTATGTCAGTTAACCTTGAAACAAATAAAAACAAGAACCAAGATGATCCAAGAGGGTGAAGAAATGATAAAGAAAATGGCAATGATGGACAGTAGTAACACACTTAAGGATTATTCAATAATAAATACAAATTCGTCCTTCACCTATGGTAAAGGAAAGTCTACTTGGAAGGATTCAATATATCTGGCAATATGGTGTTGATGTCAGTGAAAAAGGTAAGGAGTGCAAATTATGTAGTATGCCGCACGCCCACACCTTAGAACATTATGTATTAGAGTGTCAACTTATTGAAAACTATAGAAATAAGGAAATAAATAGTGTACCACATCAAATTGTTTGGATGTGTGATAATGGTATGATAGACAGTATACTTAGGAGCTACAAGAATTTTTCCCCAAGAGTGTAAGAATTATATGCTGTACTTACTATATTAACCTGCAATGTTAAATGGGATTCTTGTAATGTTATTTGTCTATTTGTACTCACTGAATTTGTGCGCCCCTTGAGGGACTTGAAGTAGAGGGGGGGGGGTAGAAATAGCCTAAGCTACTCTATCCCTTTGAGATGTATTTATTGTTTATCTCAATAAACATACTTGAACTAAAAGCATTCATACACCAAGAACTTAAACATAACCTTGTAGATCTGAGGAAAAGTGAAATCATTATGACGAGAAATATAGGTGTTCGTGCAGTCTCTCCCGGGCAGATGGAATGCCAGTCATATAAAGAAACAAAAAGGAAAAAAAAAAAGGTTAGACTGCAAGTTGAATCTTCACATTGAGGTAACTGTAGGATAAGACATGCAGAACAAAAATTAAAAAATACTTTAATAGAAAACTGACGTTAAACAAATTAGAAAACAAAAATATTATCCAAGCTTGGCTTTATACAGAGTGCAAATCAAACAAACAATTAAATTTACATTACGTTAATGTAAGAATACTAGAAAATGGTGCGGAATACTGTGAGCCAGGCTGAATAAATCTCTTACCATACAGGGATGTGTCAACAGGTCTACTCAGTAGAGCACTCAGGAGTAATCTGACTAGCTGGATGATTGATTGATGAAGATTAAGCCATCCAAAAGTTGGCACGGGCATGAATAGCCCGTAAGTGGTGGCCCTTTTGAGCCATTACCAGTATCAAGAGCTGATACTGGAGATCTGTGGAGGTGTGACTGCACCCTGCGTGACGGGAGATGTCTCCCATTGACTAGCTGGAGCGTCAAGCCTCTATATATAGGGAACAATGGCTGTCCAGGTGGCGCTGGAGTCGTCTATAACTATGCACCGGCTCGTTAACTGCTTGTTTCGGCCGGTGGCGTGATCCTGAGGCGTCACCAGGTGCGAAGAGGGTGACGGGCCGTGGGGGAGGTAGACTGGTGGTACTGTCTAGCCGTTTAGAGAGGTGTTGTTGTTGCTCTTGATTGATTGATTGATAAAGATTAAGCCACCCAAGAGGTGGCACGGGCATGAATAGCCTGTAATTGTTGCTCTTGTGGCTGCAGTTCTTTAATATATAGACGTGGTATGATAGGTTAGGTGATGATGGAGCAGGCCGAATCTCTTCCTAGAGAGATTACCGTGACATCATACTATCATGCAAGAAGACCAACATATCAGTGGATCATCTAATAAAATCAGCAGACTCCTAGATGTTATTATTGCTCGGCTTAAACTCGGCTATAAGTATCACTAACGTCCACAGGACAGGTATGGGACCACTATGCGAGTGGCATTAGGATTAGTCACACAATGGGTTCAGGTACGCTACTCAAGGCTACATCTAGGAAAGTGAGAATCGGGCCCCCATTCGGCACAAAGAACCAGCTGGAAGTCTATTGTTACGGAAATCTCTTGCTTAGGCAAGGAGATCCTGCCTATTCCTTTACCGCCAATCAACAACATATTTTCATACTCAAGTATAAGAAATTAACAACAATAATACATGCTCAGAAGTCTGTGCAGACGCCGCCCCTCCCTCCACCCTCGAGTACCCGGGACACCTGCACACCTGGGGTGTTCAGGTGTCACACACCTCCACTCGCCGCTCAACCAGCCTAACTACTCGTTTGAGACTGCCGGCGATAGTTACCTTCACATCAGCGCCATCTACACTAGACCTGGCCGCTTATATAAGCAGCTCACCACCGGCGGGAGACATCTCCCGTCACGCAGGGTGCAGTCGCACCTCCACAGATCTCCAGTATCAGCTCTTGATATTGGCAATGGCTCCAAAGGGCCACCACTTACGGGCTATTCATGCCCGTGCCACCTCTTGGGTGGCTTAATCTTTATCAATCAATCAGCCAGTCCACGACACAGCACCGCTCCAATGCCAGGTAAGTCCACTACGGGCTCACCATAGCCCGTGCTACTTGGAACTTTTGTTCCTAGTAGCTGAATCTAAAACAACAACAACAACAGCCAGTCCTCAAAATACTCTTCGTGCTCTAGGCTACAAGATCTACTCTCACTGTGCTGGGTGTCGGTAGACTCGAGCAGCTCTTGTATAAAGTATATGTCCCGCACCTCTATTTGCTATTAACGTAACTGTCACCTGTTCATATTGCATTGTATTTTGTGTTCTCGTCAAGTAGAATATGGGAATTGTTTTATTTGTTGTTAAAGCCCTTTTTGTTATATTAAATATTTAAGTTTTTAATTCTTTTGGAATTTATCCTGCAGCTCTCACGCCGTAAAGTGGTCAGAAGCAGTTTTATTTACTTTGTTTTACTTTTTTTATTTAATGTGATTGGCATTCCACCAGCCAGAATAGCCACTGCCCTATTCTTTCACTTTTACGACACACACTGTCCGAGGAGGGCCGGGCGACTCAAACAGAAAACGGAACAGTACGTCACTTTTGTGAGTCGATTTCATTTCAAATTACGTCCAAATTTGGCCATAGTGCGCATACGAGCTAAAAGTGACGTTATTTTTAAGAGGACGGGTTGCGGTATAAACGTTTGGTGTTCTTGGAGCCTCCGTGGTGTAGTGGTCAAGACACTCGTCTGGTGTTTCGCGAGCGCTTTATCCTGGGTTCGTATCCTGGCTGATGAGGATTTACTGAGCATCAGTAAACTGTAGCCTCTGTTTACCCAACAGTAAAATGGGTACCTGGTTGTTAAAACATTTCGCGGGTTGTGTTCCGGGAAACATAGGGTTATGGACTTGCCCCAAACGCTGCGTGTGCTGGTGGCTCTACAAGAATTAAGAACTCTTGGATACATAAATAAGTAAAAAAAAATAAAAAAATAAACCCTGAGAAGTCCTCACACAACACCTGCCATGCTAGAGGACCTCACACACAACACCTGCCATGCTAGAGGACCTCACATACACAACACCTGCCATGCTAGAGGACCTCACATACACAACACCTGCCATGGTCGAGGACCTCACACACAACACCTGCCATGGTCGAGGACCTCTCACACACAACACCTGCCATGGCCGAGGACCTCACACACACAACACCTGCCATGGGCGAGGACCTCACACATACAACACCTGCCATGGGCGAGGACCTCACACACACAACACCTGCCATGGTCGAGGACCTCTCACACCCAGAAGATGCAAGTCGACCGTTGGAGGAATTTCACGGGCTGGCTGCCCTAGCTCGTCACCTCATATCGACCAACTCGAGCTCAAAGATCGGCTAATGAAACTATTCACCTCACAGTTCCCATTTTATGGGATGTTTGGGAAAAATATATAGAAAACTAGCGTGTAATTTTTTAAAGGACTATTTTCAATAAATTCTGAGAAGCGACGCTTTATGTTAGACGCGGCCGACACCGAAGATTTTATATATATTTTTGTTATTTGTGTTTGAGGAATAAATGCTCTGTAATGTGAGGGACATGTGAACGTCCATGACGGTCGGTGCACCAGATGTGTGCACGCCCACCATGACCTTTGTCAGGTAGTCCTGCTGACTCTCGTAGTGGCCTTCGTCAGCTACTCCTGCTCTGTTGACCCTCGTAGTGGCCTTCGTCAGCTACTCCTGCTCTGTTGACTCTCGTAGTGGCCTTAGTCAGCTACTCCTGCTCTGTTGACCCTCGTAGTGGCCTTAGTCAGCTACTCCTGCTCTGTTGACCCTCGTAGTGGCCTTAGTCAGCTACTCCTGCTCTGTTGACTCTCGTAGTGGCCTTAGTCAGCTACTCCTGCTCTGTTGACCCTCGTAGTGGCCTTCGTCAGCTACTCCTGCTCTGTTGACTCTCGTAGTGGCCTTAGTCAGCTACTCCTGCTCTGTTGACCCTCGTAGTGACCTTAGTCAGCTACTCCTGCTCTGTTGACTCTCGTAGTGGCCTTAGTCAGCTACTCCTGCTCTGTTGACCCTCGTAGTGGCCTTAGTCAGCTACTCCTGCTCTGTTGACTCTCGTAGCGACCTTAGTCAGCTACTCCTGCTCTGCTGACTCTCGTACCGACCTTCGTCAGCTACTCCTGCTCTGTTGACCCTCGTAGCGGCTGAACAGACACGCTCTCCTAGACGAATTAACTGGTATTGTGCTGCATTTCGGAACCCATATTCTTGCTGCATCCATATCACGTGTATATCTATACATATAAAAGATAATGTGTGTTTGCTTTTCTTTGTCTAATTGAGCTCAAGTAATCGTGTTTGCGGGAGTTGAGTTTCACTCGTTATTCCCGCCTCTCGACTATCAATCAACTGGTGTGCAGGTTGCTGAGCCTATTCGGCTCTATGGTATCTACATTTGAAACTGTATAGAGTCAGCCTCCGCCACATCACTTAATTAGTGCATTCCATTTGTTAACTACTCTTACTCTGAAAACAAATCTTGCTAATGTCTCTGTGGCTCATTTGGGTGCTATATTTTGACCTGTGTCCCCTTGTTCGTGCCCCCGCTAATGCAGAGTCACCCAACCTATTCCCTATCATATCTTCTTTTTAAATTGAGAACGAAGTTCGCTTCTACGATCTGCTCCATTAGTTCATTTCATTTTCCAACTACTCTGGTATGCACGTATATTCTGTATGTGTTTTAGGTGATCCCGTTGACCCAATTGTCAAGACAAAAATTCGTCATTGGTGCCCTGCTTCCATACCAGGTTGTTTAGAGGGGAAGGAATTGGTGGGAGACAGTGCCTGCCATTTCCGCTCTCTCTCAACGTACCATTATGCCAGGGGAAGGGGGGGGGGAGGTGATAATTGATCCTGTGATAGATTTCACTTTAACAGACAACTGCTACACGCGTCGTTCACTGATTTTCCACTTAAATTAATGGCAAAGAGACCATTGCTGCCACTTAGTTCCGCCTCGCTAAGTGACCCAAGTAAACGTCACAAGTCTTCGACCCTTACTTGTCTGTTGCTTTGTGTGAGTTGGCCTTCTGGGGGAGTCTTGGCCTTCTGGGGGAGTCTTGGCCTTCTGGGGGAGTCTTGGCCTTCTGGGGGAGTCTTGGCCTTCTTTGGGAGTCTTGGCCTTCTGGGGGAGTCTTGGCCTTCTGGGGGAGTCTTGGCCTTCTGGGGGAGTCTTGGCCTTCTGAGGGAGTCTTGGCCTTCTGAGGGAGTCTTGGCCTTCTGGGGGAGTCTTGGCCTTCTGGGGGAGTCTTGGCCTTCTGGGGGAGTCTTGGCCTTCTGGGGGAGTCTTGGCCTTCTGGGGGAGTCTTGGCCTTCTGAGGGAGTCTTGGCCTTCTGGTGGAGTCTTGGCCTTCTGAGGGAGTCTTGGCCTTCTGGTGGAGTCTTGGCCTTCTGGGGGAGTCTTGGCCTTCTGAGGGAGTCTTGGCCTTCTGGGGGAGTCTTGGCCTTCTGAGGGAGTCTTGGCCTTCTGGGGGAGTCTTGGCCTTCTGAGGGAGTCTTGGCCTTCTGGGGGAGTCTTGGCCTTCTGGGGGAGTCTTGGCCTTCTGGGGGAGTCTTGGCCTTCTGGGGGAGTCTTGGCCTTCTGAGAGAGTCTTGGCCTTCTGGTGGAGTCTTGGCCTTCTGGTGGAGTCTTGGCCTTCTGGTGGAGTCTTGGCCTTATGAGAGAGTCTTGGCCTTCTGGTGGAGTCTTGGCCTTCTGGTGGAGTCTTGGCCTTATGAGGGAGTCTTGGCCTTCGTGAGAATTATAATGACCCCAGGACTTCCTGGTCCCTTAGGTAGGTATTGTCCCGGTTTGTGAGAGACCTCACTTTATTCTCCTGGTAGTCCAGGTGACTCATTCACCCTCTTGCTCACCATTCAATGAGCAGGGAGACTCATGACATTACCGAGAGTTGGTAATTGATGGTAACTAATAGTGATGAGTGGAGGTAACTGGTGGTTGTGTGTTTGGTAACTGATGGTGGTAACTGGTGAAGGTGAGTGATAACTCAAATATTTTATAAAATGATTTACACTAAACTCATTAACTAGCTTATTACCTCAAGACTAATGTCGTGTAAAAGTAACACATCGCAACTAGGTTGTGTATATGTGGAATGTTAATCAAACTCCACATTTTGTTCAAATTTTGAATCGCGACGAAACCTTCAGAAATATGCTAGGCTAAATTATTAGCTCATATATTCAGTTTATTAAAAATTATATAAAACCAACAAATTATCCGTATTATTATTAATTAACAATCGAAGGAATTTTCATACGGGACTTCATTAATAATATACCAGAACGTAATTAACTTCATAAAGAGATAATTAATTATGTAATAAACACGTCAGGCAGAGGAACGCGGCTCCCAAACTGAAGGGGGCCGGACCCATTATAGGTCGTAAAATAAACAAAATGGGTCGCGACAAACAGAATAACACAATAAAATGAGCAAGTGAGAGCAACAATCTCATTCGCATTCATTACTCATCATTGCAATTCAAGAGACTGATGGTTCGCTTCTTGCCAGAAGATTCTGACCTACAGAGCGCCAACTCTGTTGGAACTCATCCTCTTAAAAATAACGTCGCTTTTCATTCATATGCTCGCTATGGCCAAAAATGGACGTCATTTGAAATGAAATCGGCTCACGAAAGTGAAGTACTGCCCCGTTTTAGTGTTTCAGTTCTCTGGTTTACTCGGAAAAGTTTGGAGAGGAAACTTTCAATTAACATTTTTCATGACGTTTTGAAACTTTAGGATAATTTCCTGCCCTCCTAACCTACCAGAGGACCCTAAACTTACTGTTTTGGAAAAACGTGCTACTTGGAACTTTTTGTTCCGAGTAGCTGAATCTAAAACAACAATAACAACTCTGAAGAGGAAGATGAATTGCTGCTTCTTAGTACAGTAGTTTATTTACACCGAAGAATGATTTTGAGCAATTAAATTTGTTAGCATTTTGAATTAAGGTTCAAAGAGCTTTGATACTGTTATGACCAGGGTAATCAGGGACAGTGGAATGTGATATATTGCAAACATATACAATGCATGTATTAAGTTTGGGGCAGTTGGATTGGAGTGCAGGGAGAGTGAATGTGTAGTGCAGGAAGAGTGAATGTGTAGTGCAGGGAGAGTGAGTGTGGAGTGCCCGTTATTGCTCAAAGAAGTTTTAATGCTGAAAGAAGCTTTAACATTAAGAGAAGCTTTAATGCTGAAGGAAGCTTTATCCTCAGGAAGTTTTAATGTTGAAGGAATCTTTAATGCTGAAGAAAGAAGCCTGAATGCTAAACAAAGCTTTAATGTGGAAAAGAATAATAAATATGGAGGAGCCTATGGTCAATGTTAGGGTCTTGAGAGGAAAAATAAATAAACTGAAGTCAAAATGTTTAGGAGACGAACAAAGTTGATTATTTTATTCGAGATTTAATAATAAAATAAACAAAAAATTAGCTTAAAATTACTTTCTCAAAAAAGTGATAGAAATCGATTTTAATTAAATTAAATCCTTACGAGGGAGGAGGATGAGGAGGGTGGGAGGAGGAGGAGGAGGAAGAGGGGGAGGAGAAGGAGGAGGAGGAAGAGGGGGGGCGGGAGGAGGAGGAAGAGATATCAATATTCTCTGGGAACACCAAACTCATTATCGGAGCCTTGGTGGCGAAGACGGACCTCAAGAAGATTATGGAACTTTAAACGAGAATGATTGCCTATTGCTTTGGAAAATGAGATTTTTTTAAGAGTGAAGAGTTCTCTTTAGACACTTTAAGAGGGGAATTTGGATGTGTGATAATGGTATGATAGACAGAATACGTAGGAGCTACAAGAATTTTGCCCCAAGAGTGTAACACTTGGTGTACTTAATATATATTCACCTGCAATGTTAAATGTGATTCTTGTACTGTATTGTGATTTGTGTATTTGTACTCACTGAATTTGTGCGCCCGTTGAGGGACTTGAAGTAGAGGGGGGTAGAAATAGCCTAAGCTACTCTAACTCTTTGAGATGTATTTTTTTCTTGTCTCAATAAACATACTTGAACTTGAACTTAAGAGGTGAAAGGAAAATATGTATTTTACACAAGTTACAGGGTGAAGGGTAGACAAGTATTTTACACGAGTTATGGTGAGGGGAAATAAATATTTAATACAAGTAACAGGGTGGGACTGTACTGGGGGTATTGGATGTATACCATTAGGGAGGTCAGGTACATAATAGAAATAGACGAGGAGTACGGCGTAAAGGGAGGAATAATAGGGCATAAATGGGAGACGAATGGGGTGACGCAAATGGGGACGAATGACGGGGAAAAAAGGGAGGAAACACATACAAAGATTAATCAGGTGTAGTGGGCGTGGTGTTTGGATCAGTCGTCAACGTTGGCCTCTTTGTGTTCCGATCTTGTTCTTCCTCTCATGGTGGGTAGAGTGAATAGTTCCGTTACTTGGGTATTCATGGTGGGTTGTTCGGCTATTATATGAATAGCTTCAAGGATTTGTAATTTTTTTTTTAAGATTACTAATTCTTGAATCATATGAAACGAGCAGCCTAACCTGTGAAGAATGGATGCAATGTTTTCACAAGCAGGTCGGAAATGTTGACAGTGTCTGCATGCGTGGTTCACAGGCCTGCAAGTCCTTGATAAAAAGTGATAAATAGCCTGCACAGTTGTGTTTGAAAAGTGCCAGCTTTTTTGTTTGTTTAATTAAAAAGACTAACGTTACGAGCAGCAGCAACAGCCGTACACACAAGGAATATTTTCTACTGATATTTTTTAACCGAAATTAACGTTGCAGATTGGTAAATAATTAAGGAAAGTCGAAACACCACAAAAAATTGCATATCTATGCATCGGTTGGTTGGTGGGTTGCATGGGTTCGTACGTTTCTGGTTAGGTTAGCACTTTGTATTTTGTACGTTGTGGTATATGAAGATAAAGGCGTGAATGGTCAGCAGGAGCGGGAGAGTCAAGGACACACTCCCTGGAAACTCACAGTCGCCACAAGACATGTTAAACTTATATATCTTGATGAATGGAGGAAACTGGATCATAATTTAATAGTCCATGCATAAGGAAACGGAATCTTTATTAAATTCAAGTTCACTTAATTAATTCCCAGGGCTCTGTCATCCGGTTTGAGTAAGACTTCACCTTACATCTGCAACGGATGGAAGTCTGTATAACCGAGGTAACCTGTTGCTTCTAACAGGTAGTTAGCCTGTGGTAACGCCCAGTCAGTTGGGTTGTCTGATCATTAGGATCACCCATGCTTATGGTTATTTGTAACCGAAGTGTTCAGTGTCTTCTTAATACTGTGTGAGTCAGGTAATTATTTATTTCACATTAGACAGAATCTGTGTGACCCGTTGGTACTAATATTGGTTTACAGGTGTAAAATATATATAAGTACGTGGTCATTGGACCAGTTGTATAACAGTGATTATATTGTGTATATTGTTGTCATAAGTTATTGTGCATTCTTTTCCAGGAATTGATATATCTCTCTGGTGTACAATTTATATATCTTCCTACACTTTATATATAATTCTGTGTTAAGATATCATTATCAGTGCAGTGCATGCGCTTCTCCTGATAGAAGTGTTGTATATGTACCATTCTATACCAGTCGAATACTCTTGTATGAACGAGTGCCAAAGAGAGTTATCAGAAGTGTTAAGTTTGTTCACTTTGTTGTCTTGCAAGTGGCTAATAAAAACAGTGGTCCTTTAATGATTCTGGCCCCGTGGGATACCATCCTGCTCATAGCTTAGTTTTATAGCAGTGATACTTCCTTTGAATGGTAAGAACCCGTGTTTAATAGTGTTAATTTACTTTAATAAATTAGTGTTAAGTTACACATATCTTCAATCAAACCCTTTTCCCCCATATTACTCTCACATATAAGTTGTTATACGATTTTCTTATTCACTTGATGATTCTTGGCACCATCTCAAGGATAGAGCCCTCCTCAGCCTTGCATCACTAAATATTGATGTAAGAACCCCAGGCGTTCTACGCCCTCTGGTGAATTTCGTTTGGGCAGGACGACGACCTAACCCAAGATTACAATATCATAGTAGAAGAGAATATTTCTTTGTGTTATTATGTATGCCACTGACGTGTCGGTGTCTTGCTGTTGTCTCTTTGACAATAGTGAACTATTGCAAGTGAAAGGAGTAATTGCAGGTTCTCTGTGAGAACCCAGTTTTGAGAACCCAGTCTTTACATGTAGTGAACATAATATGTAAATATTATTAGGGGTGTACTAATTTGAAAGAAATATTTAAAAAATATGCAAAATAGCCTTGACTGTTAGGCAAAAGATGCCTTCTTACAAGACAAAAAAACAGCAGATTTGGTTATTAGGTACTGGACATACTTTATATTCCAGTGCAAAGTCCTGGTCCAGTGTAGCAGTGGCGATAACTCCTGGGGAGTAAGCAGTGGTGCCACGATAGAAGAGAAGTGGATCAGTATGCCAGTGTGAGGACAGGCGACATTTGCTGCCTCTGAGAGGAACTCAGCGGTAGGTGGCAGCCTACCTGTAGAGGAGACCAACAGAGGCAGCTACTAAGGCAGGAACCAACGGAGAGGAGACCGCGTCACCATCGTGGGGTACTGCAGGGAGCTACAGGTCGCCGCGACGCTCTGCGGAGACTACAGCTGCCAGGAGCGATTATTAAGGTAGATAAATTATCCCTCTCCTTTCCCCTTGTTGTTAAGAAATGAGTGTTAAATATGTGTGTATGAGGTGAGGAATAATGTGAGGAAAAAGGCCCCGTAGTGAAGCCTCGCCTGTGGTGATATACAGAGACTAGAAGTGTTGCCATATCATTACTGACTTTAGCGGAGTGTTGCCATCTATTAAATAGGTGAGATATTTTCAGGTGTTACTGTGTAGTTAATCTTAGTAAACGGTGAATAATTTTAATTTATATATATATACAAAAGTTCTTACATTCTTGTAAAGCCACTAGCACGCATAGCGTTTCTGGCAAGTCCTTAAGGATCCTTAAGGGTCCTTAAGGATCAATTTTCCCCGGAATACGACCCGCCAATCGTTTAACAACCAGGTACCCATTCACTTCTGGGTGAACAGAGAATACAGTTAAGGATTGGCACCTGTTCAATCCTCCCTGGCCAGGATACGAACCCAGGCCAAAGATCTAGCGAAGCGCCGGGCGAGCGCTTTACCACTGTACCACAGACACTGTAACGTGGTGTTTACTATCTCTCCTTCATTTCTCTGTATCTGGGGTTTGGGGTTTACTGAACACCAAACAGTATTGAATAAGTGGCAGACTGGAACGAATATACGACTGCGACGAGAAAAATTTATCAGGTCTAAGATGAGTACAGGTCAGATTAGTGACCTGGAAACCGTGTTACCTGTGTGGGGGGCAAGCCGGCCCAGTGAAGTCAAGTTTTTTCGTGTCTACGGGCACCTTGAATAAACACACGATAGCGATCGGCTCACCTTACTTGCTACTTACTGGTTCCCTGAACCAGTTCCGGGTTCAAGGAACTCTAACCCCGTGGGCGACTAAGGTACTTTTTCTTGGTGGACAGTGGCATCAAGGGAGGGGGAGTAAGACCCGAGAGGAGTACTAGAGTGTGTTACATACTCTATAGCTCCTCCTTGACACGCCACTCACCTTCCCTCTCCTTTGCAACTTTCCCTACCCTTCCCCACCTTCACTATCCATCACCTTATTCCCTACACTTCACAAACTTTTCTACGTTTCACCATTATCAGTACCCGTCACGAATTTCCCTCTCTTTCGCATTTCCTCTTCAAGACTTTCCGTACCCTTCACTACCTTCCTCCCAGCCCATCCACTTGGGCTGGAAAGTTGAGCGACGGTCTTCATGTAGGTCGGCGTTCAATCCCCTACCTTCCAAATGGTTGGGCACCATTCCTTTTCCCCTGTCCCATCCCAAATCCTTATCTTGATCCCTTCCAAGCTCTATATAGTCGTAATGGCTTGGCGCTTTCTCCTGATAGTTCCCTTCCCTCATCCCTATCGTTCATCACTTTCCCCTTCATCCCAGCACTCCTAGTAAGGATACAGCCGTTGATTTAGTAAAATTAAATATTAGTATGATTGGCTATCTCATGCGAAAGAGGGTGGGGGAGGGGGCATGTGGCTGGAACCCGATCAGCCCATGACCATCCCCAGACATAGCCCAGTCACCCTGCAAAGTTTGGTGAGGCTTGCTCCAAGCGTCTGGCCCTCAATCTCGAACAGACAAACAGTCAGACATTGTCTTTTATTGTTATAGGATAGGTGAGTGAAGGTAAATTATAGTTAAGGTTGTCTAATTCTTAAATAGAATTTGATGAGCAGTCTCAGGTGTTTATGTAAAACACTTTGCTGGTCATATCTGAAATTTTTTTTAACAAATAAAAGTTTTAAGTTTGTCTGGCTGTCTGCCTTAAATATACCTTGTTTTTGAAAATAATTTAGTAATCACCCTTGCATTATCTTTTATTTAATTAAAATTATTTCTTGTCAACGTTATTCTGGTAATTAAAATCCAGTTAATTGTATTTTTCATACTTGTATATTTATCTTGGCATGCTCAAAATTTATCGTATGGAATAACTAGGCTTTAGAAACGATCTCCAGCCGGGTGATATTTTGGCGATTCTTGATCCACTTGTACATTTTATGGACGTTTTCTCAGATTCTCATTAAATAATCTGAAGGCTTTATAAATAATATACATGCAGTGAGTTAAGTCAGCAATAACATCCAACATATTTGATTACAAATAAATAAAATGATAAAATCCGTAAAAAATATGTGTTATGGGAAGTCAGCTATCACCAGGTATTAATCAGGAAAAAGCGCTAAGCCATTACGATTATAAAACTATCACCAGTTTTATAAAATGTATATGTGGAGTATTTTAAGATAAACAGCCTCTCTCAAATTAAATTTGGGAACATAACTAGGCTCATTCACGTGGATGACGATGACATTTTGGATACTTCCTCTCAATTCTTTCATGGTTTAAACTCATTAGTCTCCAATATCAAATTTAAAGCCAAATGAAAATGAAAAATAAAAGTTTTGGATAAGAGAAAACAAGAATTCCCTCGGTTTCACAGTTCATAGAAAATAAATATAAATTTAGTCACCGACAATATTTCAGCATCTGTAATTCCCATCTCTATGCATAGCTAATCCCATAATGCCTGATATAACATTGACCGTGTACCAGCCCGCATAGCAACAGTCTGCCCAATATGCCAACAAAACCCTTGGATAATAACACACCTTTACACTACCACATTATACATCGTTTGTTCTTTAGTGTTAGGATATAATACGTTACACCAATTTAACCATTGTTTCTTATTAACTGTCTGGGCGTAAAAGTAATTATTATTATATTTATTACTTTGCTTGTCGAAAGGAAGGTGTTACCATAACTTGGGCATTGATATACCATGTGTCCCGTAATGCCCGGGAAAATACATTGCATTAATTATGTAATCAATCATTGTGCAGTTAATAAATATTAGAACATTATTTACGATCTGTAAATTGTTGACAGAGTAATACTACTAAAAAACGAAATAATTAAATTAATCAATTAATGCATGTTGCCAAGTCACCGGGGGGAGCGGTGATGGGCAGTTATTCTCACCGGCCACACTAATGACCTCATCACTCCGTAGTCAACAAGTAGCGCACACCATGATGTGGTGAGCCCGTAGTGGACCTGCCTGGCACTGGAGGCGGGGCTGTAACTGGTGCCTCACTGCTCCTCTGTTGAAACATTGTTTTATTATGTTAGAGTGTCTATTTTTACTAGTGAGGCGAGAATGGACTTTGACAACCATATTATTGGAGCGAGGGGAAGGGAAGATCACAAGCCAGGTGAGTTGTATGGTCGACCGTGGGTGAGGCTGTTTGTTGAGTTCAGAGGCCTGGTTACGGTGGGTGAGGCTGTTTGTTGAGTCCAGAGGCCGGGCTAGGCTGGGTGAAACACAACCAGTGTACACAACCATCACGGTAAAATGGGGAGTGCTCCTAAAGTAATGAGTATCCTCTTGAAAGTTGGATATTATGAGCTACACATAAAATAACTCTACTTTTAAACCAAGTTATGGGGAATGTATATATGTCATTTATAACTTTGCTTGTGTCTGGGGTTCGTTTCGGAGTACTTTATTATACTTGGTAGAAGTTTCTAAGCGGTTGAAACAAAATTAAGTAGAATTAGCTGTTTTGTTCCCAAGTGCGGTAATTCCCACCGCTAATCTGCACATCCTCAGGATGTAACCACACTTCTCTATTTTTTGAAACATTGTAAAAGTTTATGAAAGTTCAGGGGATTGACAATGCACGATTTGGTGCAAAATACACAATTTATAATATGTAAGAAGTCTGTTTTTTTAAAGATGGAGGCCGCTCTACCTGAAGCTTAGTGTTGATTAAACTTTATATAGTTTCGATTGAACTTACACAGATTCGTTTAATGCCTGAAACTCTAGGAATTGGGAACTCTGATATAAAAAAAAGGCCTTAAATACAAATACCTTAAATAAGCAGAACGAATCGGATCAATTAACACCCTTCCCTCTCCTATGATTTTTTTTTAATATTTGCGGTCGTAGGCCACAGCAAACCACGGACTTACAAGATACATATAATAAACTGTGGTGCTGAATTCCATCCGACAAGGAATCTGGATAAACGAATTAAACTGTAATGAATAGAAGTATAAGGTACACAATACCATAAACCATATGGATGGCCCCGTCATGCACCTAAGAAACCTACAGAGGGGTATCAACATGGAGAGTAGTGGGACTGGCCAGCTCTAAGGTGATAATTAACTTGATTCGTTGGGCAGTAACAAGGCGAAATGTCGTCCTGAATGTGGATGGAATAAATGTTGTGTTTTTATGTCCATCTGGCAGTAACAGAGACTTATATAAACTATAATAATGCTGTTGTATCCACGCTGCACCTGTGTTATGACTAGAGATTGGAAGAAAAACATAGTCCATTCTTGATTTTGTAGGAATGCAAGTTGACGAATTACTAACCCGCTGGAGATATCCTATCAGTGTTGTCGCTGTCTGAGGTTCTTCTAGGTAAAAGGTAAGTGTCCATCCTTTTGTCTCTTAGAGTATAGATTCTCTGACCTGCATGGCTCTTATAAGGAACTAGATGACATTACTAAAATAATTTAATGTAACAGTATTGGAGGATGTGAATTAAAATCAAATTACACTGGTGGGAGAAGTGATTCCCTGATGCAGATTATAATTATATAATTATATATTTTACAATATATATCACGTGTTACAAGGTTTGGGTTGTAATCAAATAGATCTACTGCTAAATCAAGATGCCGAAACTTATCAAGAGAAGTCAGATACCATAACTAGATATTAAGAGCAGAATTACAAGGCAGGGTTTAGTACAATATATTCAGGTGACAGGGCGACCTTCCTGAGAAGCACTAGTGGTATACAGGATAGTCATGCTTGCTGAATAATAATAATAATACTTCTTAGCCACAGACAAAGTGCAATTCGCTAATCGTACAAATACACGTAAATGCAAAGCTAAAAAAATCTGATTGGAAACCATTAGACTACTGAAGTGAATCATTAATTGCCAGCTCTACTAATGGTAGGATCCTAATTGCAATAATTGTCATATTTTTTTTTGTTAATTGAAACACCTGCTATGATTGATTTAGTGTCATATTAGCTATTTTGTTACTGAATCCCTACACGGTAAATAGGTTCGCATGATTATTACATTTATGCTCAGTTTATACTTTGGGTCGAAATCTTGAAGTTATAACTCGTAATATATATATATATATATATATATATATATATATATATATACATATATATATATATATATAATAACAGCCGTAGCAAGCAAAACACGGTATCTTCAGTAGAAAGAACCATTCTCCATACAATGAATTGACACGGCGTATGTGTCACCTTTTGTCAAAAAATACTATTTTTATCTGAGCTATATTTAGTTTTTATATTCTCTTTTATACACCATTTCTTAATGTTGTACACTATTCAATTGCCTTTTAATCCCCTAATTTCGGTATTTTATTTTTAGTAAACGTAGTTCTGCTAGGTAACTGGCTGATGAAACACCCAACTCTATCTTTCAGAGGTACTCCCTGCTCTCGAAGCCTATTCCTACCATAGATTACCACCCAGTAATGCATTGGCATATTTACATTGGCGAGAGAAGTCATTAACTTTATCTAATAATAAACGCCACGCCATTAAACCTAATGGTTTCCCATTGATCTTTGTGTAATCAGAATCCCCAGATTCGAGATGTCAGTATCCTGCTTGCATATTGACTGTGTTGTAGGTACAGTGTGGTGATAGTGAATGTAGGTGGGTGTGGCATAGGAGGGTGTAGTTAGGGAGGTGTACTCAAATAGTTGGGCTTCGGCTCTTTGGTCCCGCCTCTCAACTGTCACTGAAGTGGTGTACAGATTCCTGAGACTACTGGGCTCTTATATCTATATTTGAAACTGTGTATGGAGTCAGCCTCCACCACATTACTGCCTAATGCATTCTATTTGTTATCTACCGTGACAATGAAAAAGTTCATTCTAATATGTCTATGGCTCATTTCGGTAATTAGTTTCTACCTGTGTCCCCTGTATTAAATAAAGTGTTTATCCTATTAATTCATCTGAGAATATTGTATGTGGTGATCATGTCTCCCCTAACATCTTTCTTCCAGCGAGGTGAGGGTCAGCTCCTGTAGTTTCTCTTCGTAGCTCATACCCCTCAGCTCGGGGTAATAGTCTGGTGGGATATCTCTGACCCTTCTCCAATTTAGTCTTGTGCTTGAGGAGATACGGACTCCACGCTGGAGCTGCATATTCCAGGACTGTTCTGACATATGTAGTATATATGATCCTAAATGATTCCTTACACAAGTTTCTAAAGGCAGTTCTTATGTTGGAGAACCTGGTTTATGCCGCTGATGATATCCTCTTGATGTGAGCATCAGGGGACAGGCCTGGCAAGATATCAACTCCCAGGTCATGCTCTCTAAGATTCTTGAAGGATTTCATCTCCAAACTGGTTCCTTGTATCTGACCTTCTGCTCCCTACTCCTATATTCATTACTTTGCATTTACTCGAGTTAAACTCTAATTTAGCAAACCATTCCCTTCACTTTGTCTTCACACACAAGGTGTGTTAGAGAGGATGTGGTGTGGGCGGGTGTGTGTGGTACAGGAGGATGTGTGGGTGTGTGGGGTACAGGAGGGTGTAGTGTGGGTGGGTGTGGTATAAGAGAGGGTAGTGTGGGTGGGTGTGGTATAAGAGAGGGTAGTGTGGGTGGGTGTGGTATAAGAGAGGGTAGTGTGGGTGGGTGTGGTATAAGAGAGGGTAGTGTGGGTGGGTGTGGTATAAGAGAGGGTAGTGTGGGTGGGTGTGGTATAAGAGAGGGTAGTGTGGGTGGGTGTGGTATAAGAGAGGGTAGTGTGGGTGGGTGTGGTATAAGAGAGGGTAGTGTGGGTGGGTGTGGTATAAGAGAGGGTAGTGTGGGTGGGTGTGGTATAAGAGAGGGTAGTGTGGGTGGGTGTGGTTGTGGTGGCGGCGTTGTGTGAGTCATCGGTGGCAGGTCGTAGGTCTTGTGCCGCGCAGACCTGAGGGCTGGTCACCAGGCAGCTCCTGCCGCCTCAACACCGAACTTCACTCATCTCCCGCCAAGTTTTGTAACGAGCCAATGTCAACGAATCACACAGATTGAGCTTGGTCAGTGGCGAGTAGTAATATTATGAGCGGCGATCACGTGTGGTTGTGGGGCGAGCGGCGTGGAGGAGCAGGTGGTGCAGGAGCGAGGGAGGCGCAGAGGGTGGTGTCCCTGGAGGAGGCGTGAGCGGCGAGTGAGGGCGGTGGCTGGTGAGGGTGGTGGCTGCAGGAGGACCCGGACTGGAGTGAGTGTGGTCGGGAAAGGAGTGTGGTGGCGGAGGGAAGAGAGCCATGCCTGGAGAGGTCTATTGATCGCGCACGGCAGCGGTGTTGTCAGTGCGCACTGCGGCCGCGCCAGGCTGCCCGCCCACCCCCTAGTTCCAACATGGCGGTCGAGTGTGCGGGGGAGCGCTCGCGGGCTCTCGCTAGTGTTAGCTAAGCAGTTTGATGTGCTCTCGGATTACTTACCTGACTCCTCCACCATGCAGAAGGAGAACAGTCACCCACCAGACAACCATCAGTATGTCGGGCCCTACAGACTGGAGAAGACCCTGGGCAAGGGACAGACTGGTAAGTGACCCGTCCCACTCCGCCCAACCTTACTTCTCAACACCAACTTTCGGGCGGGAGCGCCAAAGAAAACGAAGTCCACTGTTTTGTTGTTACTCAAATGCAAGACGACAATCTTATTTCAACTATTATCGACATAAATGGTGATCGGCAGTACGTGGAAAATACCTTTTTGTATTGTGCGAAGCGATGTATGTTATTGAGAGCGTGACAGGTGATCGCCTGTCAGTGAACAGAAAGTGTGACGAGATTAAGGTGTGTGTACAGTGTGTGTGTACAGTGTGTGGTGGTCGGGCTTCACTGCTGCAGTGAACACCGCCTCTTCTTACCATATAGATAAATTCCCTGGAATCCGAGCAACACTACAAGCGCCCATCAATTATGCAACACCTGATCATTTGTCTGGTTTTAAAGTGACATTCAAAACACAGTCGTATATCTACAGTGAACCGTAAATCACTCATTAGGGAGCAGCTGCCTGTGTAAATGATGAGCCGGAACCTGTCAAAACACGTCTGACCCGTTTACACTTACTGCCTACCAGGCACGTTGCAGCCACACTGTTTACACTTACTGTCTACCAAGCTCATTATGGCCACACTGTTTACACTTACTGCCTACCATGCTCATTATGGCCACACTGTTTACACTTACTGTCTACCATGCTCATTATGGCCACACTGTTTACACTTACTGCCTACCATGCTCATTACGGCTACACTGTTTACACTTACTGCCTACCATGCTCATTATGGCCACACTGTTTACACTTACTGCCTACCATGCTCATTGTGGCCACACTGTTTACACTTACTGCCTACCATGCTCATTGTGGCCACACTGTGTACACTTACTGTCTACCATGCTCATTATGGCCACACTGTTTACACTTACTGTCTACCAAGCTCATTATGGCCACATTGTTTACACTTACTGCCTACCAAGCGCATTATGGCCACATTGTTTACACTTACTGCCTACCAAGCGCATTATGGCTACACTGTTTACAACTGTTTACAGTTACGACCAGACAAGCAACTTATCACGCTGTTTACACTTACTACCTACTAATTACCTTATGATCACTGCATACAATTACTACCCACCAACTATGCTCTGGTCACACTTGACCAACCACGTGATCATCACTGTTTACAGTTGCTACTCACCAACTACGGTAACTACAGTAAACAGTTACCAACTATGCTATTATCACACTACAGTTACTACCCACCAACCACGATATCAACTTGTACAAGGCCTTGTAGATCAAGCCCCTCCAATAATACCGCACGTGTATGTCTCGGTAAATACCTTTTGTGGGGTTGGGCAGGCGAGGACAGCAGCTGTGGAGGTACAGAAAAATGAAAAGTTTTGAAATGGGAAATACAGTGAGAGTTATGATAACTGGCGGGATGTCCGCCTTGCTGATACGATTTTGTTTTATATATTTTTTATTTTATTTAGCTGAGCTTGCGCTCTCTCGTTAGGGAACTGCGATTGTGTGTAAGGGTTATATGTGTTTAAAACATATATGTCTGTACACGAATAACATTCACATATACACACTTGAGATGCTTGTGTTTATGTTTTGATGTTCGGTTTAAGTTTTTTGTTTTGTTTTAGGGGGGGGGGGGGAGAGAGGGTGGTCTGTATGTCGTCCTGGAATTCTGTATTATGGGGGATTGGTTTCCATGGAGTTTATCCAGACTTTTGGACCATTAGCTATGGGGGTGGGGTGTCTCGGCTAACACTGGGTCTTCTACTATTCCCATGGTAGATTCCCATGATTTCCATGGTAGATTCTACCATTTCCATTGTGTTCCACTTCTTGCTGGCTTACTGCTGTAGTGTGATGTCCAGTGGTTGTATGTTCATGGGGCTCCTGGATCGTCTCGTCATGTGGTGGTGTTCTGCAGCTCTTCTGTCGCCTTATTTTGCACTGCTTGTACTTTCTGAATGTTTAAGGTGTGTAGAGGGGTGTACTGGAGGATGTTAGAGATGCAACCCAACTTGAGCCTTGTATAAATGTAGCTTTATGTTCGTGCTAAGATTGCATAACCTCCTCAGTTTTCCTAAGGCTGTTTTTCTTTATTTACTCTTTTACGTTAATTTTAATTCCTATTTTATTAATCTTCAAAGTATTCTATCTACATCCGTATTTTGTATAGGGCGGTTGTTAAGTATATTGGGGTATACGGGCTCACCATAGCCCGTGCTACTTGGAATTTTTTGTTCCAAGTAGCGAATCTTCAACAACAACATATTGGGTTGTGGGTTTCTTTTTTCAAGTTATAACGTTTGTTTGTTGGTTTTCAAAGTTGTTTATGAATTCAAGTGCAGCCTTGGTTTTTGCCGGCCAGTAACGACTTTATCCTGGCTAATAAATTACGAGTTGTCCTGGTGACTACGAGTTACAGCGTCAGTGTATGTGATGTATTCTCCATGCTGGGGAGGGGCAGGTCAGCTGTATGAGTATCTTGTAAAACATGGGTGATAGGCAGCTTCCTTGTGGCACACACCACTTTTCAATTGGATTTTGTCACTCAAGCAGCCAATACTCAGCTTAGTTACACACAGAAACACATTTGCTCAGCTTAGTTCTGTTGTATATGAAGCTGCAGTGAAACTGGGGAAGCTCTAGTTTTGTCTAGAGCTTCTAATCTGGGGAAGCTCTAATCTTGTATTTTAGGCCTTTGTGGGAGAATTTCTCAAAACCTTTTGATACTTCTCTGATCAATATATTACATTACTCTTTTTTTCGTCATGTCACTGACAATATTTTCACAGATCCGGGCTACAGCTGCATGGGACCCTTGTTGGTTCCCAAACCCGTGTTGTCTGGTATTATACTTTTGTTCCTCTTCGATGTACTTCACAAGTCTTTGGTTAATTATTTTTTCGAATATTTTGCCAGGTACTTCGAAAAGGAAAATTGGTCTGTAATTTCATTTACACACCAATTTTCAGAGTTATAAAGGAGGGGGGGGGGGGAGTTCGGTCGGCCGTGCGGACAGCACGCGGGACTTGTGATCCTGTGGTCCTGGGTTCGATCCCAGGCGCCGGCGAGAAACAATGGGCAGAGTTTCTTTCACCCTATGCCCCAGTTATCTGGCAGTAAAATAGGTACCTGGGTGTTAGTCAGCTGTCACGGGCTGCTTCCTGGGGGTGGCGGCCTGGTCGAGGACCGGGCCGCGGGAACACTAAAAAAAGCCCCGAAATCATCTCAAGATAACCTCAAGAAGGTCTCGGCTTAGGATTTATACTGATAGTGGCATTAGTGATATTCTGATATTCTAGATGCAAGAGCTGCATTTAATATTGTTGTTTATTGATGGATTGCAGTAACTGGGAGGTTAGTTAATGCCGTTAAGTATATTTTGCTATGGCCAGGTTCCTTGTTCGTGAAACCTCTAATTGTTTTTTAGACCTCTTCGATGGTTCTGTGGTTCATAAAGGTGGTACTCGGTGCCAATATTGTTTAGGTCTGATGTTTGCACTGGAAGTCATGTTGCAGCTCTGTTATCGACTATATTTGTAATTTCTCTCTTTGTGTCGGGACAAAAGTTTACATTTTCCTCAGGGTTTATTCTAAATATTTTCCCCCAATACTTCATAAATTTCTCGTTCAAGTTCTGTCTTCGTAAAGTTTATTTCCTGAGGCGTTTGTGAGGTGTTTCCTCGGTTGAGGTTCCCGTCAGGGCTTTACTTCTCCCCAGAACTTTCCTAGGTTTCTGTGGTCCGGTTGGATGTGGCTAATTAGATCATCCCATATTTTGTTGCATTCTATTTTGCATCAACCTTGCAACTCGACCTGGAGTTTCTTTTGTATTCCTTTGTGCTCGTCAGTCGCTCCGTTGAGTGTTATAAGTTGTGTTGAGCGAGCCACAGTGGCTGGGGGTGTGGGAGCGTTGTGGGATGAGCTCGGGGAGGCTCGTTCATGCATTTTTCTATGGTGTTTATCCATGGTTTACATTACAGCACAACAATCACCCGTGGTTGAATATTCAATAACTCACTACACTACATGATGCCTAACAGATCTCTAACCCTGTCCATGGAGAGCAGAAGCAAATATATTTATGCTGGGAACCATTGTAAAATTTGTGACCTCGTCTGTGGTAGAAACTTTAAAAATAAGTATGTCAGGGTGTGTTTCTATGCAAGTTACGAATCCCATTTTCTGTGCGGAGTGCAGCCTAGTACAGTGGTATTACTGTTAGTGACTGGATGGCTATGTTGAAACCGCCTCCTTTGTAATGTCAGGTGGTTCGTGACGTGGCCATGGCGACTGTCGCCCGGTGAGATGATGTGGGATGCTGGTGATGAGGGAGTTGGGGATGTGGCTCGGTGAGATGGAGCCCCACTAAGGTGTGGCACAGAGGGCGTGGGAAAACTCACCGAATTGCTAATTTTGTGCACACGACGCCTGTTATATAGCTGGCTGTAGGAAAGTGGAAAGTATGAAAAATTGGTCTTGTTTTCAACACCTTCCTGCGCTAGGAACATCCTTCTTACTCACACAATAGAATCATGCATCCCCATGAAGGATACTTGCACCTTCTTAACATAAAGAAGCATCCTTCTCACGAATTATCAAAACCTTTCCATTCAAAACCAGCAACGTTTCTGTGTGATTCCTCTGTAATTTCGGGCACAAGGGCGCAGTCTCCGTAAAAGCCAACCCCCATTTCATTGGCACTGTTTTGTTGCCCCGTAGTGTGGAAGGAAGCAGAAGTGGCAGCAGTGACGTGTTAGTGGCAGCAGTGACGTGTTAGTGGCACCGCAGGGCACGGCAGCAGCGACTCGGTCTTTACAAATGTAAATTGATTATATTTGGAACCTAATTTAGGTATAAGTTTGAGTGCGAGGCGGTGAGTGTCTGTCCTGGCCGTGTCTGTCTGCCTGGGCTAACTTGAGGCCCGAGTGACGGTGTGAGTACAACTTTAAGCAGGTGCCACTCTACCTGGGAGTAACTACGTCGCTACAACTTTAAGCGG